TATATACATATATAATTAAATGGAAATTCAATTATTAAAAAGAATGAAGTCTAATATACAATTATAACTTAAAGGGTTCACTTAAACAAAATTTAATATAAATCTCTATAATTCATTTGTAAGACAATAATAATAAAGAGATCTTTCTTGTAAGTTAGTTTTTTGGCCCTTGAAATATTATTTTCAAATTCAATATCAACATCTTATCTTTATTGAAAATTATAAATTTTTGAAAGATAAACTTATAGTTTTGAATTAATATATAGAATTAGTAGTAAAATTAGTTACTATTTCTGAAATACACAATATATATCAATAAAAGATTTTTCAAGAGTGATACAATAATAATTAAATGAAAAAGCATAAGTAAAATAGAAATAAATAAAATATATTGAATATTTAGTAACTTTGAATAAGCTTTAACTATAAAATGAGTAAATAATTCTTAGATTTCCACAATTAGATATATATAAATACTATATGTAAATAATAACATTTTTAAGAATTATCAATTTAATAATAGAAAAATATATAAATAGATAAGTTTAAAAAAATAATAAGAAAGTATTTAATAGAATATATAGATTAAAGTATTGAATAAGGAGAATCATAAGCTATATTCATAAAGAAGATAGATAAAATTCGAATGGATAGTAAAAATAAACATAAAAAATACAATTTGAGATATCGGTAATAAAAGTTATATATATTATGTTAGTAAATTAGTTAGAAAATTAAGGAACTTTAAGCAATGGTTTATAAAATTTTTTATGGTAAGGATAAGAAGAAGGAGTAGTAAGATGAAAAAAACCGTTAAAATTTATGGATCATTCAATTAGAAAAGTATATCCTACAACTTGAAAATAGTTTTGAAATATATTTATAGATAGTATTATAAATGTTTTAATTGTTTTTTGTTTTTTAGATAATAGTTTTAGGATATTCATAACCAAACAGCCTTTTTATTTGAAGAAAAGTTTGATAAAATAAAAGATGCTGTGGTGATTTAGAGAAATGAAAGAGATGTTAATATAAAATATATGTAATCAATAATAGATTTAAAAATCATTGTGCATATTGACTTCCCAACCAGAAATAGAAGGCTTTTATTTAACAAGTTAAGGAAGAACTTATTTCTTAATTTTTTATGGAATTCTAGGTGAGCGAACAGAAAGGGTTCGTTCAGTTTTAAGTTAAATGGATTTAGCTTAAACTAAGAAGGGTTCTTTATTTTATGGTTATTAAAGAATGAGTTTCTTAATTTTAACTTTCTTGATGACTTGATCAAACAATTATAATTATTCTTCTATTCTGATTCTTTTGTATAAATTGGAAATATCATTCATAGGAGGAGATATGGGATATTGTGTGTTAAATCTTTTGTTCATGAAAATGAAGATGTTTAATAACAAAATAAAATATATTCTCATATAATTCCAAATTAAGATAAAAACGAAGGCATATTTTTTTTAAACTATTCTTAATTTTGTTATTTGATTTTGAGTTCTAGATCTTTGGTTAAAACATTAATCAATGCTTAATTTAATTGTTATTCAGATTTGACAAATTGTTTACTTAAAACATTAACAAAATTTTGATAATATGTACACATAATTGCAAATAGTTATCGATTAATTTTGTTGAATGTCTCCTAAGAACATTTTGCTTAGATCAAGCAAATAATTAGATCATTTAAGATATTATCTATAATTGAATCAAGAGGTAAGACAAAAGATTGAATGACTCCTAATTATGTAAGTTACTATTCTTCAGAAACGAATTCTAAAGTACAAATAACTATATCTGTTGTCTAATCTAATGATATTTTATTTGCTGGTTAATGGTATGATGAACATTTTTATGTTTTGTATTCTTAAGACTATTGTTGCAATAGATATTTCTATAGATTTTCTATTATACTCAACATTATGGATAAAGACTATGGACTTAATTCAAATAGTTATAATTATTATGAACTAACAACTTGAAGAACTTGAATCATTTATAAACAGGCTTTATTGTAAAGCTATTTATAGTAAAGAATTGATTACCATCATATAATTAGATATTTTATATGAGATATCTAATATAGCAATTAATAAATCTGAATATTTTCGATCTGCAAATAATAATTAACAAGCTTAAGATATATATTTACCTTTAAGAATGTTATTCATTACTTTGTAGACTAATCCAACTAATCTACAGATTTATGAAGAATATTCTGATTTAACTTTTTCATCTTAAATTGCTATAGTTAGATGTTAAACATAACTTGTTAGAATTCCTTAAAATGTTCTAACCAATTCAATTTAAACAATAGATGAACTATGATATTGAAATCTAAGACTCTTATTCTCTGTCATGGCTACCATCAATTTAAGACATAATTTACAAAGTTAGAATTATTGAGGATTTTCAATTAAAATAAATCTAGTTAAATCAGAGATTTTTAATAAATGTTATTTGATCAATAATCTAAAAATCTTACTAACATCAACATGTTTAAAATAACCAAGCATTTCATATAAATAAATTTGAATTGATTAGGATGTAGGTTAAATAGTTAATAATTAATTCAATTATACTATTGATTCTATATAATTTTCAAAAGCTGAATCGAATAAAAGAATTGATATGATTTCTGATGCCAAAGTACGACAACTAAAAAATTATTCCTATTACAATGCAGAATTCTTAAGATTCAGTAACACATTTTTTATTTAATTGACTACATTTGATTATTAGAAGGATTCACTATATAAATGATGTTTCAATCTCACAACAGTTTCTTTCATTATTATTAATGCATATTCAATTATCTCCTTATTTTGAATCTATAATTGCATTGCTATATATTATAATAATTGATTAGTTGCCTATTAAGGTTACGTTTATATAGGTTTGAGACAAATATCAAAGAAGATCTTATTAGATCTTTATCTCCCTATAGAGTCATCTGATTCACTTAAAGCAAACTAAAATAAATTATCAGCCAATGACATTGTTGACATTATCACTAATGGTGGCAGATTTATATTAGGTATTGATAAGAATTATAAAGAATCCTTTATTATAGTCTAAATCAATTATATCATATCTTAAGTAGAATTATTCAATATCAATGGATTTATTACAATATAATTTATTAAACTTAATTCTATTATGAATTTGTCTTAATCTTATGCTGCATTCTTGAATGAATGATATATCATCTTTATATGATTCCCCAAATCAACATCTAAAATTGGAAATAAATTCTCAAAAAACTCTTTTAGAGTATTCTTCAATTTCTTATGATTTTAAGGAGTATAACCTTGAAAAAATGAATTCTAAGAATTCAATAATAGATGTATTATAGACTTCCCTACTTCATTTACTGTTTAAGATATTGAAGTTTTAAATATTGTATCCAATTTAAAATCTGTTCTGAATTTTAATAATCTCTTCATTAATTCTATCATTTAGTACATATGAGGATCTTTTATTTTCATCTATTTTTGTAAAATTTGAATACAAAATTATTATAAATATTAAAGCCATTTCTAACTAAAAGCATAATCAAATCTTATTTATCTTAAACCAAAACAATTATTTAATTTTATATTCAACTCCAATATATCACTTATGATTTCTTCATTTGTTGATTATACATTTAAAAATAAATTTGTACAACCTGCATACAATTCTTTTGCAAAGTATCTCTTTTTATCTTTATTTCGAAAAATCTTCTTTTTTGATGATGCCATTCTTTTTAATGATTTCAAAGCTAATAAAGCCAAAGAACTATCTTTATTGCAATAAGTCTCCACCAACTTAAATAGTAATTCTAAAAATTATTGATCTGTAAAATATTCTGCAAATCTATCTGGAAACTATAAGTAATAGATCTATTCTTACACTAACATTATTCTAATCATTTGGATCAAAATCAGATTCCAATTCAAAATAACTCACATTAAAATTAAACATTAATATGTCCTTTAATGTACTTAAAGATTATTTATAAAGTTAAGGAGGACTATTTTTTACAATTCTACAAACTATCTCAAAACAATTAAAAATTTCTTAATTCTGGAATCCTAACATAATCCTTCTATAAGAAACATAAGAATCATATGATGAATATTACTATAGACATTGAATCACATTCTGTATCAATTTCAAACCAATACTAAGATTATAGATTTAATTTCCTTCAAAAAATATATTAAGTCTATCTTAAAATTTCATAAATTATGTTCCACTCAACATCATTATTTATTGAATTAATAATCCTACAAGATTACATATAGAGTTTTATTCATGAGTTGCTAATTCTCTTAATAAAGTTTGACAGAATAAAGTTACTAAAGTTTCATATACTCTACATTTTTAATATAAGATTTAGACTTCATCAGCTGTATAACATTATCCTACAATAATTTGAATTTCTTAAGAAGTAAGCTCAGGAACTTAAAATCCTATGAATTATCTTTCGGAAACTATAATTTTAGCTATGAATTCAGATATAACAAATAATGTAGAACCAGACTGAGTTTGAGTAATAATTTAATATAACCCATCAATATTTCTTATATCTTCTATGCATTGATAAATTGTTTAATCGGCTATTTATTTTTTCTAAAGCAATAAAAATGTAGAGTACTTCGACTGTTTAAGAATAACAACAATCATGACATAGAGTATCAAATTGAATTAAATTCATTTTCTCTTACTTTAAAATATTTAATTAATTTAATATTATATTATACTGGTCTATTAGATGTAAAAGAGGCAATAAAATAATCTTGTTTATTGAGATGTGTATATATATTGATATTATAATGGATAGAACAATAAAAGAATGAACATAATAGAAATAAATTCAAATTATTTATTTGTTAAAATAATATAATATATTAAGAAAAATTCCCTCCTTTTTTGATGAAAATCCTGTTAAATAATATAAAGGAATGCTTTCAAAAAATCTTAAAGAGAAGTGAATTTGGGAAGACATCTGTATGCATAATAGTATCATTGGATGTAGATGCAATATGTGCATTAAGAATTTTGACAGTAATCATAAAAAAGATAAGAATAGTCCTTATTGAATAGAGAGAATCTACAATTTCGAATGATTCCAGTGACAGGATATTCTGAGATGACTGAGGCTATTTAAAAATGTGGAAATATGTATAAGAGTATAATATTATTGAATTGTGGAAATGTATATGATATGAGTGAGTTTGTCAAAGGAGATGTTAAGTTCTTTTTATTTGACAGTCATAAACCAATCAATCATAACAATGTCAATAATGAGAAAAGTATATATATAATTGATGATGGAATGGGATAATTAGAAAAATGTCCAGATGAAGAAATCAAAGAAATGAGTGAAGAAGATGAAGATTCACTTGAAGAAGATGATTCAGGATCACATTCATCATAAATATAAAGAAAATAATAGTTAAAATTATAAAGAAGTCTTCGCAAATAACTCATCTAAATGCATGAAGATTATTACAGTTAAGGAACCTATTACAGTAGACCAAGTTCTACAGTTGTATATACTTTGGCTTAATAAATGAATCATGATTGTAATGATCATTTATGGTATGCCATTCTTGGATTAACAGATGCTTATATTCATATGAGATTAAACTAAAAGAATTATGATATCATCTTTGAAGAATTACAGAATGAAGTTATCAGATTGAATATTCATTATGAAGAAACTTAAGGAGATAACAAAAAAATTGGAGGAGTCTTTATTGAAAATGAATACAAATTCCTTCTTATGAGATAATAATCCCTTTATAATTCTATGTATTACTCCTCTTATGTTGGTACTAAACTTAAATTATGGAAGGATAGGGATAATAAAAGATTAGAAGAGTTTATGGCTAAATTAGGTATTCCATTAAATGAAGCAAAATAGGATTTTAGATACATGAATTAAAAATTCAAAAATATATTGAAATCTTAAATTGCAGAAGTGGCATCCAAATTTTAAATGGATGATATCCTTTATAGATCTTTTGTTCGTTAATCTGATACTAAAATTTAAATTGCTGCCAGTGATATGGTTTATGCTGTTAATGCAATACTTGAATATCCTTAAGCTTTGTTATCTAAATAATTAATGTAACATTAGTGTTCTGAGGTTATTGAAAAGTTGAAAACATCTGAAACTGCAGCTAGATTTTAGAATTTCTTTTGTGCCTTAGATACTTTAGGAAGGTATAACTTTATTATCTATTTTTTTAGTAAATCTGATGATTTATTTTAACAAGGAGTTCAAATGGCTTTAGAATTTTAAGCTGCTCTTGTTGACGAAGCTAATAATCTTATAGAAAATAATGAATTGTATCCATGTAAACATTTCAGATATGGAATCTTAAAAAATGAAAGTCCTTAACAAAAGAAGTTCTTTTAACATCCTTAAAGCTTACAAAAATTGGCACTTTTACTTATGGATATATATAAAGAAAAAGGATACAAATAATCAAATAAATCAGTTATTTTAGTAAATTAATTGGGTGAGCTATTTATGGTTGTTGGTGTTGTTGGTGGAATGAGTTTTAGTGGTTAAGAAAAAAAGTATATACTATTCATTCTTATCATTTCAGTTAATTTGGATAATATTTCCTTAGAAAAGTTCAAGAATTGAATCTGTAATTTAGACAAGACAGTTTTGAAACCTCTGTTATTGAGATTCATAAAGATGATTTTCCAAACTTTATTGATGCTATCACCGATTTTAAAAAAAATTGATCAATTTATTTATAAAGTAAATTTATCAATTTCATTCAAATTATTGTTATCTTTAGAAACTGTTTTTACTAATTAATATTTTTATAATTTATTAACTGTGTAAAAGCTGAATGGACAGATCATCAGCCAATGTAAGATCATCAATCAATTTCTTATCGAATAATGATTAAGAATAGAGAGAGAAAATAGAAATACAATTGATTCCAGCATTATAGAGTTTTTAAACGTTTATAAAAATGAGTAATGAATCACAAATGGCACAGATTGTTGATTCTTTAATGGCTATTGAATTTTTTAAGAAGAATTGTCCTGAAGGTTCAAGTTTAAGGGATTTTATTATGTATGCTGGAAGAGCTTTGACTTATGAATATTATAAGAAGGGGTAAATCATATTCCATTATGGTGATTATGGAGATAAGTTTTTTATGATTCTAAAGGGAAACGTAGCTGTATTAGTACCTAAAGGAAATCATGATGTTGAAACAGATAGAGATTATTTAATAGAAACAAATAGAGCTGAACCTTGGAGTAATGTTTGGAAGGGTAAAAAAATGTAGAGTACAATTGATATGGAATTGTTATTAGCATAAGGAGAAGATCCTTGGTTAATATCAAATCGATATTTTGAAGGAGGTGTTTGTCTATATTAAAAGGTATTTAATATATAAAGATATTCAGATTTATACTTATTATGGAGGTTAAACATTTGGTGATGTATCATTATATACAGATAAACCAAGAACTGCAAGTATATTGGTATTGTCTGATGATATTCATGTAATCACAATGAATAAATCAGAATACAAATAAATTTGTGAGAAATCACTTTAGGATATGAATAACAATGTTGATTATTTTATGAGAATGCTGCCAAATAATAGTAAATTTGTAATAACGAAATTTATGCAATATATGCACAAGATTGAATTTGCTCCTTAAAGTATATTATGGAAGGATGGGGAAGAATCTAAGTTTTTTATGCTAATATATAAAGGGAGAGTTGAATTGATAAAAAAGATTGGAAAGGTGAGAATTACATTGTGTTAATTAAGTGACAATAGTTGGGTTGGATAAGAAGAAATACGTAAATTGAATATTTAAATATTAGTTGATTAATAAATAAGATAATCTACATGTTAATGTGCTGACAATACAGTTGCATATTATATATAAATTGAAGAGTTTAATTAGATAAGAAGAAACTTTCCAGAAATTTGTAAAATTTTGAAAGAGAAATCTTAATTGTTGAAAGAATATATGAAAACAAGATATGAGATGATAATGAATAATTTTATTAATAAGCCAGAACTAATATAGAAGAAATAGTAAAAGGTTGAGAGAAAGACTATAACAGAAATATTTCATACTACCATAAAGACAAAAACCTAAGATATTAGATCGCATTCACCTAAGGCATTAAGTATAATTGGGATTACAGAATACAATAACAAAATAAATTAATCAAGAGTAGGTTTTTTATATCCAATTAGGGTGGATTCAAAAATCTAAATATTTTTCCGATGGACAAAGATTCAGTTCTATCAATTAGAGATAGGGTTTGTAGATAATTAACTAAATAAAACAAGAAAAGAGAGAGAGTCTAACCATAAACAATGAGAGAAGGAACACTTTTATCTACTACTATTTCAGACTTGTTCAAATCAAATGATTAGGTTCAATAACATTCGAGTTTTAAATTAAATGATCTTAAAAAAAGTTCATTCTCTTTTGTTAATCTATTTGCATAGGGATCTACTAATATATAAAATAGTAGCAATGATCATTTTACATCAAGATTACCTACTTAATAATCTTATTTTAGAATGAAAACAGAACAGGGAAGATCATAAATTTAAACATAAACTAGTTTTGATTAAAAGTAACATAGTTTAGTTAATTTCAGAAATAATAGTACCGAAATTAATAAATTACGATCCAATAGTCCTCTCAATTCCAATTAATTCTCAGATAGATATCAAAACAGAAGAATTCATAGCTGTAAGATGATAGCAAGACCAAAAAAGTATCCTTAATTATTGAAATATAAATTATTATGAATTTTGCTGAACGAAGAAATAAAACTAATCCAGATTAACATTAGCTATTAAGCATGAGCAGTTAAAGTTCTTCTAGAAACTCTGCTGTCAAAGCAACATTAAAGGTGTATTCTGAAATGAGAGATGATTAAAGTTGTAAATTAGCCATGAGATTTACATAATTAAAAATAGTTCTTGCTACTCATAAAATACTTGGATATTGTCATAAAGTCAAATCTATGAGATTATAACATTATTTCGATGTTTTGCTTTTAACAAAGACATAAAATACTCTTTCTATCCCTATTATAAATAAACCTTAATAAGTTTAAATGTAATATTTGACACCTCCAACAAAAAAGAAAAGTGTTAAATTTTAACCAAAATGTTCCATAGCTTCTTGTCTAGTCTTAAAATCTATTATGAATAAACATGTTCGTAGATATTTCACTATTTTACAATATAATCAAAACTTAAAAATCAGGTAAAACTCTTTTAATAATATTTTATTCCAGTTATTTAGAAAAAAGCAAACTTAGAACTTTGGAATTCTCAAAAAAAAACATTTATAATCAAAGACGTTTAGAAGAATTAGTTTAATAATTAATAAAAAAATCAATTCAATTTAATTCGAGGTTTTACTAAATGTTCTAAACTATATATACAATACTAATATTCCTTCTCAATAAGTAAGTTTATTGGATTCTGAGTTTTCTTAATAGTAATAAATGACATAAGGACATAATCATGATATTCATGAGCATGAAATAAATAATTAAATGATGAGTGCGAAAGAATAATTAGCAATGAAGTTTGCTAGTACTTCATTATTAATAGGGATTTTAAGTTAAGTAATGATAAAAGCATAATTCGCATTTTTATTACATTTAAGATCTGGATAAAACTCAAAATAAGATGTTCGAGAAGTTAAATCTATTGATATAAGTGAAAACTTTGATTAATCTTTGATTGAAGAAGAAAAAATAAAACCAAAAATAATTGCAGCTAATTAAATTTATCATTTCTTAAATTAATAACTCAAAAAATATTTCGAATAAATTAATGAAGGTCCATCAAGAATCACTAGACCTTCAATTAAATTTTTTAAAGCAGATAAAAAACATAAATCTTAGAATTAGAATTTGAAATTATTGATATTGGGACAGAAAATATTTAAAGAAGATGATCCTTAATAAAAAAGTACAGATATAACGGTTAATGAAAAAAAAGGTTCTTTTAAAGCTTTACCTGGAGTTCGTTATGTGACATAATATTCAGATATTTCAAAGAATGCATTTTCAGATGTAATATTTTCATATTAAAAATATAGAGTGAAGTAACTGAAAAATCAATAATTACAGATTGTGTTAAAACATTAGACAATATATAAACTTCTGTTCTAATGAAAAATGAAACTAATCAAACTCAACAACATAGACCAAATGATAAAAAAGAAAAATTAAATTCTGCAATTCAATAATTTTGTATATTTGAATATCATTAATTTAGTGACTCCAAATATGACTAATAAAAATTCCCCTCAAAAAGTATCAAAAAAAACAATTGAATAACAAGTCGAGAAGAAATTCTCAAAATTACAACTTTTATACAGTTTGCCAATAATTATAATAATCTTCATCGTAATTCTGATGAAATGAAATATTTTATATTAAATAATTATGTAAGCTCAATCGGCATCGACTTAAATTACAATCAGTGCAGGACCGAGAGATCCTTAATGGATAGATAGACTTAAAGAAGAATATACAGCATTGATCAATTACATAAAAAATAATAAAAGTGAAGATAATGATTGGGTTAAATTAGAACCAGCTAACAAAGAATGCACTAAGTAATAAAAATCAAGATAGTTAATAGCTGGAAAGGTAAATGTTGGGTAGTCCATAATTTGATTCGATATGAATTTGACTTTTAATTTGAAGTAAGCATTACACTAATATTTAGATTCCTCCAACATATCCTTTAGCACCAATTGAAATTGAAATTCCTTCACTTGATGGCTTGACACCTAAAATGTATAGAGGTGGAAAAATTTGTATTGATATTCATTTTGCTCCTTTATGGTAAAAAAACGCACCCAAATTTGGAATAGTTCATGCTTTACAATTAGCTGTAATAAATCTTAATTTATTAATTAAATAGTTGGCACCTTGGTTAGCTGCTGAAATCCCAGTTTTAATTGAAGAAGGTAAAATAAAAAAGGATTGATTATGTATAATAAAATTTATAATGTCTAAAATATAGAAATAAGATTATGAAGAAGTTCTCAAAAGAAATCCTAATGACATTAAATCTATGATAGCATTAGGTTGTTATTCTTATTATTTAGGTTAAAAACTTTTGTAATAATAAAAAAGGAATTAAGCACTTTATTGGTTTGACGCAGCAATTAGTCTCGATCCTAATATGGTTGATTCACTATGTGGAAAAGGTAATATTTTAAAGAATATAGAAGGTGATGCTTTGTAGTTATTTGATAAACATTAGAAAGCAATCTAATGGTATGATCGAGCTTTGAATATTGCTCCAAATCATGTTCCAAGTTTAGTTGGAAAAGGTAAATTATCAACTTTATCAAAATAATAGCTAAAGCCTTATATCAATTAGAATTAGATTTTAATAAATTAGCCAAACGTATTACTATTTTTCATTTTATTTAGCTAAAGTCTTAAACAAATAGATAACAGAATCTAGTCTTTATGAACGAGGTATGTATTAAGAATCATTATTTTCCATACTTTAGATTCGATAGAAAAACTAAAAATGGAATAGCGTTTCAAAGAAAAAGGTATAATATAATGATCATCTATCATTTTAGAAGATCAAAACAAAGAAAAATTAGAAATTCGTCTTAAAGAAAAAGGTATAAAATAAACATTATAATTTAGAGAAAATTACTATGAATAAGGAATAGGAAGCAAAATTAAATGATAAAGGTAATCATAATTAAATACTCTTAAGCTAAGGCTTTGCATTAATATAAAATTGAAGCATTACTTCAAGGAAAAAGTATATCTTTATTTAATAATTTAGCAAAACCAAAACATTAAATTGAATTGGAATAAGAAATAGAATTAGAATTAGAATCTTAAAAATATTTTGATTAAGCATTATTAACAAAGCCTAATTAAATTTAAGCACTTACAGGAAAAGGTAAGAAAATATTATTAGTATTGTAGGACTTTGTATAAATACTTTTTAAAAGTAAAATGATGCTGAAGTTATTATTAATAAAGCCTTATCTTTGCCTTCTATTTTAAGTAATAATGATAAACAATCTGATATTTATTCAGCAAAAGGTATTTTCTTTATATAATTTAGGTGATATTTTATTAAATCAATAAAAATATGCCGAAGCCAATAGTTTTTATGATAAAGCACTAGAATTAGATACAAATCATCTTCAAAGCTTATTTGGAAAAGGTATAAATTTCAAAAGAAAAAAGGTTAATATTTTAGATTAATTGAAAATTATGATGAAGCAATAGAATGGTATGATAAAGTAATAAAAATTAAACCAAATCATATAAATTCTATTTGGGGAAAAGGTTAATAATAATATATATTTCAGGCGAATCCTTGAGAATGCAAGATAAATTCAGAAAAGCTATTATGTATTTTGATAGGGCTCTCAAATATCATCCTAAGCATTTCTTATCACTTTATGGCAAAGGTATCTTCATTAATATTATATTAAAGGAGAAGCACTAAGAATGCTCAAATATAACTATGATGCTTCTGTTGAATATAAACAAGCTCTTGAATTATAACCTAATCACATTAAAGGATTATTTGGGTATGGAGAAGTGCTAAAATTAATGAAAAAATATTAATAATCATTGTTGTGTTACAAGAAAATCCTTGAAATTGATTAAGGCAATATGGAAGCGGTGCAGTTGAAATGTAAAACTATAAAATAAATAATTTAAGATGAGGTAGAACATTGTATTGCATAAATGTAATAAAAAGAATAAATCAATACATTGAGAAAGTAAGATCTCTAAAGCAACAGTAAATTTTTTGATGGTCTTTAAAATAATACTTAAAATTTTAGAAAAAAACTGTGAAGGTAAAATGAAAAATAAATTTTATACTTATAAATATTCAAAATAAATTTATATTCTAACTCATCTCATCCATAATTTCTTTTATAATTTGTATTTTTGTAATTAAATTATTTCAAAAAAATATATATGTTATTTTCATAAATAGTTAATTTATTATTCTTATGAATAGTTAATTTATTATTTAAGTGATAATATTTATTTATATTTATCAAATAGAATAAAGAATTTTTTATAAATATCTAAAAGATAATTCTTAATAAAGTAATTTAAAATAATACACAATATAAATGGACTTTAATTTGTAAACCATCTTAGACTGCCCCTTAACAATATAACTTTCTGAATAATAAATAATTGTATAATAATCTCATATTTTTATAGCCATTTAAAATTATTGTTAAATGTTAAAACCAAGAACTAGCATTATATGTAAAAATTAAACATATTTCAGACCTATTAAAGGCCGGTAACAAAAAAAGATGGATTTTTATTTGATTTTATGAATGAAAGAAATCTTAAGAATTTAGCGAATGATATTCAGGATTTTAAGATTTAGTTAAAAGAAGAGTGTGAAAGATAGGGATCAGAAGATAATAATATTGAAGATAGATATGATGCTACTTGTAAATTATTCTTGGGCACTTAATATTTAAAAATATCAAATAATAAAAGAAAATAAGATAATTATACAAATTTCAAATTAAAAACATAATTATTATAAAATAGTGAACACATATAAAGTTAAATTTTTTAAGCAAATAACCATCTACTTTATCAAAGTGCAGTAGTTTCAAAACCTGATTAAGATGATATACCTTTAAAAGTAATTATTATTAATAAACATTTTAGCAGCTTTAAATCTATGAAAATAAATCCTAGAAAACCCTAGTTTGTGGTATTTATGAAGACGAAAGTTAATCTTAAGTCGTAGCTTTTATCAAATCATTTAAAGATTAAAATGTTGATTTAGTAATACTTTGTAATGGAATTGATTCTTTAGAGATAAAACTTAAAGAATGTCTTTTTATGAATAATGATAAATCTACCAAAATAAAAGAGGAAATAAAAAAGAATTAATTTTCAGTTGATAATGCTTTAGTATTATAATATTAAAAGAATCAAGATAACCTTCCTAGAGTAATGTTTATTATTAAGTACTTTAAATCCTCAAATTATGATCTATAAAGATGGATTTATAAGGGAATTGGTAAATATTTTGATCCTGATTATTTTTATGTCACTCAGTGCTCTTTACTTTAATAAAAGGATTCAATTACAACTTAAATGAATTCTATAATTAAAAGGAATTTATGCGGAATAACAGGAAATATCTTACATAATTAATTTTCTTCTTGGAATCCATTAAATCATAATAATGCATTTTTATTAGAAAAAACAATAGATGAACTTGAAAATATATCAAAAAATAAGTTATTTTCAATTATGGATCATAATCCTTTTTTCTGTTTTTATAATTGGCAAAAAGTAAAACAATTTATTGATTCTTATTTATAAAAAATTATTAAGTCAGAGAGCGATTATGTTTAAAATATAATTTCATAGGGTGCAAATTACATATTACCAAGCTTAGCTGCAGAAAAAGGGTTGTTTTTTGGTAAATCAAATCATATCATTGCGAAAACATAATATAGTGACAAATTATCAAAAAATATGAATGAATAAAGAAAAAGAAGAAATTCTAAAATTTATGCTAATTATTAATTTTAAAGTACATATTTCTCTGAAAGTTCAAATTGGTAGTTCAATAATTTTACTAAAATTATTTAATTAATTGCCTTAAAACTCATGTTTATATATTCAAGTTTGAATAATTACTTTAGTATAAGTGCTATATTATTTATTTTCACTTAAAGCTCATATGACTTTTTTGGTAATGCATTTGACCATTATTATTTATATATTTTGTAATTCTCAATTCCTGCCTTATTTATTTTCAGTGTAGTTATATTTTTAATTTTTACTATTTTATTTACAAGTCAATATAAAATAGCCAGAGTCAAACGAACTAAAGATTAAATTTTTGTTAATGGAAGTTTAGTTTTACATATTATTCACAGTCCTTCTTTTAATTTTTGTTCTTACTTTATTGAAAACTAAAAGTAATCAACTATTTAAACAAAAAATAAAAAAAATATAGACGCTAGAAAAATTAAATTTATTGGATCCTCTCCAAATTAAAATGTTTTGAACTTGTTTTTTGAATATGAAAAATCCCTCTATTGTGCTTAACAAAATTAAACAAATAATATTCTTGATGAAATATTAAAAAAAGCTCGATTGAGCCAAAAATCTAAAAAAAAAAATGATTTTGTTGAATACTTTGCTAAAATAGAAGTAAATGAACTTTGCTTTAATTTTTAAAATGCCTAGTAAGATGCTTCAGAATAATTTAAGGTATTATTTTATTTGATGGCAGTTTTTAATTTTATCTTTTTGGCATTAATTATACTGAATTTAGTTTTCAATTATAATTTTAAAGTTGGAGATACATATAGATTCATAATTCTTATTAGCGTTTTAATTATAATTTTAGAGAAGGCAGTATAAATACAAATTTATTAATTGCATATAAAAATTTTTGTTAGAGGATATTTGAGTTATTTATTTTACTATCTAGTTGTAAAATTTGGAATGAAGTTTTACGAAAAAATAAATACTGATAATAATAATGAAAATGAAAAAATCAAAGAATTTTATTATCATAAAGTTCAACAATTTGCCATATGGATATCATATAACATAGCTTTTCTATTTATTTGTTTCATGATTGAAGCCTATTATGAGTTTTGTGGATATGTTTTACTATCTTTTTTATGCTATTTTGCGACATGCTCTTTATTGACTATCTTTTTCACTGTGATATCAAAATGCTGCTGTTATAATTTCAAGAATTCAAGAACTTAAATCAATGAAATTTAAATTGAATCTTACCAATATGATTTAGAATAATTTGTATTGTCTGAAGAAGCAGATTATGAAAATTAATTTTTATAAATTTAATAATAGGCAAATACAAACTTCTACGAATAATAGGGAAGATATTAGATTTTATAATCAAACAGCTAGGTTTTCTAACCAAACAGCCATCAACCAGATCCAATTATATTAACTTAAAATCCACTACCTATTATTGAAGAGAACGATTCATTATTACATAGCAAACAAACTTCAACTGGTTAATTTGATAATAAAAATTCAAGTTCTAGAAGTTCTGAAAAAGTTTTAAAAAATTATGAAAATGACAGTTAAGATAGTATGCTATATTCAAATATAGGTTTGAATCAAAAAAAATAATGAAATTTATGAAATGTTATTGATTTATGATAGTAATTTATCAATCATGATGATCATGTGATTTTTTTTTCTCTTCTTTTTTTCTTCTAATCTCTTTAAATTTAGTCCTTAATTTAGCATCATGTCTTTATAAGTTTTCTAAATTCTCTTTTTCAATTTATGCTTTGTCAATATCCAAAGCTGCTAAATTAGTATAATCTCCTCTTAATTATGCATCAGATGGTAGAAAAGGAGGTTTAATTGTAACTTAATGTGGATACTAAATAAAATTGATTTATATATACCATATGTCTATGATCCCAATATCTGACTCCATCGAATTCTATATATCCCATGTAAGTACCAAATATTTTACATAATTCTTAAGGTCCCATATTTATTGAACCTTCAAAATAATCAGTAGCCTTTCTTTTTACTTTTCCGAATTTCAAAGTTGCTGTCAATCCTTTATTAGTTTAATAAGTAGATACCCCAAGAGTCTAAATGATTTATTAATAATTATCATACTTCCACTTTCATAGAGCCCATAATTGTTCCACTATAAAGTTCATAAGCAAAATTATAATCAATTCTTTAACCTCCATTAAATACTATAGTTCTTTTCCCCTTATTTTTTAGAGTTATAGAGTTTAATCCAGCAGATGCTTCATAACAATAATTACTTATGATAATAAATCATGATACCCAAAATATTTATAAGTATTTTCTCTACCAACTCCATAAAATTAACTTATAGGCGGATGGTGACTTATTTATTCGGCATATAATTTTGTTCCATCAGATAGGAAGCCTTCTACTGTTTCTCCTAAGATAGGATTCAAAGGTTTATGAAAACTCAAATTTATGTGGAATGTAGCGATTGTAGCAGTTATTACTAATTTTAACTACTCCATATAATCTACTGTTTGAACAGCCCTATTGATATACAGAGGAAAAAAGATTGTAGATTGCAAATTTTTCTCCAACGCTGATTTTGCAATCATTGCTTTTATTGGAAAACTAATTTTAGTTAGATTCATGTCTCCTGATAAAATTTTACGTCCAATTTGTTAAATCACATATGTACCTACAGACCTCATACACTTAATTTATTTCTTATTTTCAAATTTCTTTCCACCATCTTTTGATGCCTGATCACATCTTGTATCATCTTTAGATTTAATTGGTTGAAATGCTACTACCTTTTATTATATAATTTCATATGGATCATTATTGAAATTCCTAATATATAAATATTTGTTAACTCATACTCCTCGCTAATGTAAAATTGCACTGCATCAGGAGCACTTTATTAAACTTGTTATATTCTTATATCATTATCTAAATCTTCTGAACTTAGTGTGCTATTCATTTTATTTATTTAATTAAAATCAAATCATATTCAATGATATATTTCATAAATCACTTACTCAATTTTTATCTATAACTCTCTTGTAATATTGTTTACAATATCAGTTCTAAAAATATTCATTTAAAAATGGTGTAATAATAATTTTACATTAAAGATTTTATCTCATATAATAATAAAAATAAATATCTTTACTATTCTTTTGATTTTACTTGGCAATAAAAGACTGTTTATAAATTGAAGGAATGAATTTGATTTAATTAGTTTTCGATTAATTTGTTTATTTTAATAAATATTTCATGTTGATCAGTAGTGCAAAACAGTCTGTTAGACCAAGTACTAATGAAAGCTCAGGTTTAAATACTAAGTTATGCAAAAATCTATAATCGATGACATTAAGTGCAAGATTCTAAACAGAATTATAACAATTGGAATATTAAAACGAACTATTTTTAACCAATTAATAACGATCCACTCTTAAGTAATAAATATTTCAATGTAGTTCTATGGATTTTAGTAGATAACTTAGTTCAAAATAATCATATAGATCAAGCATGCCTTTTGTTAAAAATAATTGGAACCATAATATTTCTTTGAAAAGAAAAAATTAAGGATAAATGCTAAGAACAAACCCTTGTATAATCTATATGCCTGGACTTAAATAAGAAGAATTCAAAGAAGACAACTCATCTTAATAAACTCTTAAAAAATAATTTAAAGCACCTCTTCTGAAATCACCCATTAAACATATTAGTTTTCAATTTAGAAATAGAGATAAATGTAATCCACTTTAAAAAATAAATTGACTTCTTTCATTTAATCAATTTTTTTTCAATAACATAAAATCATAAAATAATTTGGATTGATGAATATTCTTCTACAAAATTCTTCAAATTAAATCATAAATTTGATTTTAATATAAATATTATATATTAATATTCACTTAGTAAGTGAATTGAATTTTTCGATATTTCTAATATCTCTTTAGTATCTTGTTCGCTCTTAAAGTCGAAGTTATTAGAGCGTCTTTGTCTCAGCCATATAAAGTTCTAATTTTTGCTATTAGTGTTTTTGTTAAGCTTTTGATGTATTAAGTTCTTTTTTGAGATTGAGATTTTCTTGTATTATTTTTTCCTATTAGCAGAGAAGGGATTCAATTTATTAAGAAGTTTTTGAATTTAACTCATTTATCATTTTATCCTTGGCTGCCAATTCTTTTTTCAATTGTTCTATTGTTTCGATGTTTGTTTGAATGTTAGAAAATGTTTATTAAAACTTTACTGTTTATGGTTCGAGTGTAGCTATAGAATCTGCGCTTCTTTTTGTTTGATTTGGAGATTAGAACATTTGATGAAGTTCATCTTAAGTAATGTATAGAGGGTTCATTATAGGAAATAAATATATTTTATTTTTAATGCAACAAGATAATTTACAACAAGAAGCATAAATTTTAAAAGATCTAATTTTCTAAGAATTTTAAAAAGTGATCAGATGCTTAAGTTGCCATGAATTATTTTGAAGACGATCTAAATTTTTCTAATAAAATCAAAAAAATTAAGCTTCATGTTAAAGAATTATATTCAGAAATTTAGATCTAAATCAAATTTAATACAATTATTCATGAATATCTCTTGTTCTTACTAATAAGCGATGATATGAATAAACTCCTGTAGAAGATAAGAAATAATTAAAAGTATCTGAAAAAGACTCCATCAATATTGCACAACTCTTAATAACCTTCCCTAAGAATAATGGAATCTTGATATATTAATATCAAAAGAATAATTAGTAACAAGTCTAATGTAAAATGTATGAATGATCATAGAAAGAGAATAGAAAAGTTATTTTTAGAAATGCAATAGCTCTGGATTAACACAATAGGGTTAGAACTAAAATTGTAGGATTAATGGTAAACCTTTGTACTTGAGAGCAAGGTTTAAATGATCTGAATTTTTTTCTGTGAATTATTGTTGCTTATTTTATGAGTTATTGATATTTATAAATTTTAATAATATATTTGATGGAAAATGAGATCAATAATTAAGATTAATAATAACAATAATTTCCAGATGATGAAAGTATAAAACCATAAAATTTATTTACTAACCATCTTATCTCATCTAATAGAAGAAGTTACACAAATTTTTCTTAATCTCAACTTATTTAGTCAAATCTCTCTTAATTATTAGAAAAAGTTTTAATTCATATTTTATCTGAATAACTAATAGAAATGGGTTCTTTCATAAATGTAGACAAATGTGAATTGGAATTATTTTGCTCAAAACTTTCTATATAACCACTTAAAGATTTTATTTAAAATTAAGATGACTCTAAGCTACATCATTAGTAATTATAGCATTATCAAAATTATGAAAAAGACTTAGAAACAATCAAAGCTCAAATTGATCCCAAAAAATTACGTATGTTGATTTTTTAATGCAACAAGCTGGTTGTAACTTACAAATCCATCTAATTATTGATTAACAAATTTAAAGTTCAGATTTATGCTAATTCTATTGATGGAGAATTAAGCAGGTTACAGTGTTACAATTTGTTTGAGAAAATTCAATTAGAACTTTTTCATATTTAGAAATATCACGAAATTATCAAATAAAGATTGGCAGAGAAAAATGAAATTGGATAATTTTTAAATTATCCTATAAAAGATGTGTATAAATAAGAAATTAAACGTTAATTTTGTTAATTATTTATCTAAAAAGATTAATAATTATAAGCGTAAAAATAAAGGACAGAAATTTAACCAACATTAACAATAAATAAAAAATTGCCAAGTCATCGTCAATCTACTCTTACTTTATTAAAACCTACAAAGCATGCTTAATCTATTTCAAATGAAAATAGGTTAAGTGAAGAAATTTCAATAAAAAGCAAAATTACTTAGCATTTTTCTTCAATTGACAAAAGAGCAAATGATACAATGTCCTAAAAATAATTGTAGTTATTGTAAAAATATAAAACTAAATTTTCCACAACATTTTATGACTCCTTTACTATGAAGTTAATCGAAAATATTTATTTGTCTATTTAAACTAATTTTCTAATAAATAATATAGAAGAAGTATTTGAAAATTATAAAAATCTCATAAATCTATAGCCATTATAGTAAATTATGAGATTACTCAAAACTCAAACATGTATTAATATATTTGAGCAAATTATCAACAATAAATCCCTGTAGCTTAATGATGAATTATGTAGCAAAGATCTAAAGGCTAAATGCAAATAAGATTTGAAAATACTTTCTGATATTTTTACATAAGAATAACTTATAAAATTACATCAAAATATATATCATTTAAATTAAATGATGAGCACATATTTAAATTAATTAGATAACATAATCCATCAAATACTAGATGACAATAAGAACGCAATAAATTTTGATGTAATATAAATACAAGCAGGTGTTTATCAGTTAATGGAAGATGTAAGTTCTAAAATTTATGGTTAAACTTTATTAATGTTAAAATATATTCAAAACAATAGCATTGTTTTATTATAATCTTTATCAAACTTCTTATCAAAAACTAATTTTTTAGAGCAACATGTGCTTCTCTATCCATTTTAGTAGTTGGCATCAGCAATTAATAAAACTATAAATTAAGTCATGCACTAAGCTTAAAATGAAATAGTAAGTAATCTATTATTTGAAACATATATTTGCATACTTTCTAAGCATATGATTGATAGAAGATAATAATATGCTGAGTAGCTTAATTCTTAGAGTAAACAAATTATGTTGCAAATTTCTTAAATTATTTAAGGAAAACAATTAAAATAGTAGATTCAATCATATTCATAATCGAAAGTTATGTTATTTGATCTGAATGAAATTTAATAATCCATTGAATGGTTATTCGATTAACATATTCTCAAAAAATAAATTAATAGAACTATTGATTCAATTGAAGAATTTTCTTTCTTTATTTCATAAATTATTTCTTAAATAAAAGCCCTTTTTGAAGAAGAATTTTTTAATGAAAACATCAAATATAATAGAATCGCTTCTTAATTGTAGCTTTTTGAAAATTATGTGAAATAAGAAATACTTAAAAAACCATCTGAATAGCAGTTGAAAATTTAATGGTCGAACAAAATCTTTAGACTTTTTCATAAAATTAATAATGAATATTTACCTTCATCAAGGGCAACTACTCGAAGGAAATAAACAACTGAACCAAAATCTATGGAAAATCAAACTTCACTATAGAGCCCAATGCCATCTTAATAACAATCAAAACTCACATTTTTTAAGCAGAGTATTTATGTGAAAGGAAATAGAACCCATATTCAATAAACTGAAAGGTTAACATAATCCACTGTAAAGTTTAAAGATTATAAAGATTTAGAAAAAAAATTAAGTTGAAAATTTAATATACTTTAATTCATGATATGACAATTAATAAAACTGTGGAATAAATTTTCTGTTTTCTAAGAAAAATAATCTTTTATACAAATAACATAAATTATAGATTATTGATTTTAGATCAAATCTCAGCTAATCTTTTTTTGATTTCTTGTATCAAATTCTCTTAAGTAGTTTATTTTAATTTAAACCATTAGTTTAAATGATTTGCACTTAATCTTTCTTCAGGTTGGATACTGAACATTTAAACAAATAAGTTTTTGCATTCTTAATCAATATTAGTTCTAATGTCTTTCCAATATGTTTCCCATTGATTATTTTAAATTAAATTCCACCATGGATCATGATTATCTGGATTATTGGATTCGAATGGAGGATGGCCAGTAATTAAGATAAAAAATATCACTGCAACAGAAAACATGTCACTCTTAATATAATTAGGATTAGGTGTCCATATTTCTGGTGCAGTGTATCCTTCGCTTCCAGCAATAGTTTATTTTTCGATTGCCATTTTGCCATTCCATCTGGCAAAACCAAAATCACATAATTTAAGATTGTATTAATTATCTATCAGAATATTCGATAATTTGAGATCTCCATGAGTAAATCCTTATTCATGCATATAAGTTAGAGCCAGAGTTACCTAGTATAAAAGTGAGGCTGCTATGTTAACTGGAAGTGGAGAAGATTTGATCAATTAAACTAATGTACCATTTGGACAATATTGAAGGACCAGACAAGAGAAATCCTGGCTGTACCCGAAGAGCTCAATAATGTGGGGATGCTTGATGTGGATGAGAATTTGTATTTCATTCTTAGTAACTTCAAGTTATTGGAAGTAATACGAATAAGTTAATGGCGGTGTCTTATATTTTTTGGGCTTGGCACTTCAAGGCATATTGTTTGTTTTCATCTTCCTTCTTCTCAAGTGCAAGAAGAACTTTAGCATCATGTCCTTATCCCAAAATAGTTTAGATTTTTAAGGCCTAGAAAAACTGGGGAGGAAATGCTTGAACTTGTTGCATTCGAATAATCTTAAATTAATTTATGTAAAATCATCAGCTCTATTTAATATTGGACATTAACTTTAAGTTCTTGAAATCTTTCAAAGACAACTTTTTGGCTATTCTCCAGTGTATAAAGACAAGATTAGGATTATAATTATGCATAGATTTCCATCATTATTTCATTATCTATTCAATTGATACTTAAGATATCTATCAATTCGATATAAATGGTGAAACTCTGGTTTTGAATACAATGATGAATTTCAACAAGTTATATATAGTATCATTTCCATTTAGGATTTTATGATATTTGGGAATCCAAAATTATAAAATTTTAAGTTAAATTCTGTATTGCATCTTTAAAGACTAAGAAAATAATCAGGATCCTGAAGTCAAAGAAAAAATTTTTAATTTCAAAATCACCTTAATTACTTTCCAATATTTTTTCAATTAAGCTAAATAAATATTTGAAGTTGTTTTCACATGAAAGTAAAAAGAAATTCATTTACATCTATTATTAATTGATATCTAAGCTTAAAGCGAATAAAAACCAGAGGTTTTAGGAAATGAAGAACTGAAATTAGGAATGCAATTAACTGAAAGAATTGTTATAGAGAAGATAAGAATAAGAATTTTAATAAAATTTCGCCGAACTTCTTGCGTAAATTAAATTCAGTTATAGTTATCATTATTCAATCCAGAAGATTACCAAAGATTCTATTAAGTTAAATTAAATGAATTTTAATATAAGTCTTTTATTCCTATTGCAATAAGGTTATTAAACTGATTGTTTATGTTTGTTTAAGTTGCTTGACTAGTAATTTTTTATTATAATTAAGTTCAATGTGAAAAATCTTAAAATAATAGATAATGCAAGAAATATTTTCATAATTTTTCATGACTGAATAATTCAAATATAATCCAAGATTTGCTCATAATTTACTATTAAGTATTCATCTTTATTTAAGTTCGTATTTTCATTTTTCATATTATCAATTAGATTCTCTATATATATTATGATTTAAATACTATTATCTTTATTTTCTGCAACAAAATACGGTTTATCCTTTCTCACAATAAATGGAGTCATTAATTTAACTTTTAATTTTTGATCCTTGATGAATGGCTCAAGAATTTTCTCTCTCTCCATTTCTTTAAACTATTCACTTATTTTTAAAATCGAGTTTTTTGCTTTAGCTTTTTCCTTTTCTGGTTAAATGTTATAATATTGTTGCCAAATTAATGGTAATTTATCAAACTCATTGATTTTCTCTTTTTTAATTTCTATTTTTTTGTTAATAAGTTTAACTCTAGGTTATGTTTTAGAGTATTATTCAAGAACTTTAATCGAATTTAGATTACGTTGACTTTAATAATTTTCTCTTATTTTTATACTTTAATCGCTAATAAGTGAGTCATCATTTTAAGTTAAATTAATTTTAGTAATACTTGTTTATCTGTTTACTTCTTTTTATTCTCTCAAAGATCTCTCAGATTTTTGTTTACTAAAAACATTTGGCAAAATTCTACTGCTATTTTATGATGAATTCTATTCTAGTTCTTATTTTTTTAATTAATAAGTCTCATTAATCAATTCAAATGCAGTTTAATCGTCTTCATCAATATTTTCAAAAGAATAATTCTTTGATAAACTAACCTGAGCAAAATCTTCTAATTCTCCAAAGAGTTCATCTAAATTCTTTTGCTTTCGTCGAAGTTTTTTTAAGTCTTAATGAATAAATTTTTGCACCTTTTTGTTTGTTAGACTTCGATTAACAGCTACAAAACTTTTACAATTATTCTAATTTATCATATTAATCATAATATATCATTTCAATAACTAGAATTTTTCGCAATACAGTTTGAAACTGTTTAGAAATCCTAGATTAATTGGGATAGATAATAAAGAAATAGATAAATCAATTATTTATATTATGAGTCTTATATATAAGCACCATCTAATATTACCTGAATTTAAACTAAATGAAACTATTCCTTTTCAAAACCCTTAATCTAAGACTTTAACTACTTTAAGGTCATTTCAAAAGAACCAAACAATTTAAAGAGTAAATTAATAAAAACATGAAAATCATGAACAACATGAAGAATTCTAAGTTGAGAGCCTTGATTAAAATCAACCATCTAATAGAAAAATTAGTCCAAATGATAAGCAAAAACTTCCATAATTAATAGTTAAAACGGTAGCATCAAATGAAAAAACGATTAAAGATTATTTAGATCATATTAATACATTAAGATCTCAAAAAAATACATAGAAGCAAACTAAATTCAAAAAGGTTAGAACAGAAACAGAAATTGTTTAATATGGAGATATGAAATTTAAAAGTATTAAAGAAAATACATCAAAGAAATCAACTCGTATGTTTATTAACATTTCAAACCCTTAATCTAAATCTTATCTCATATTCAGCTAATAAATATATTAACTAGTTGAAAATCTACATAAACTCAAAGTATTTGCATATTTTACAATAGGATTATATCAACAATGAAAGAAAATTACTTTAAGTTATTAAGTAATTGATAGGATTAAAAAAGAATCTTCGTAAAGTGTTATTTAAATAAAATGGAGATGAATTAGTTGAATTTCAAGAAATAACTAAGCTATGTTGCGTAAAAGAAATTCAATATGTTTTTGGTGAATAAAAAGTAATTGATAAATTTGATCTTACATTATTTGATGATTTAGTGTATTTAACGGAAACCATAGGAAATCTATTGTTATAAAATAAGATTTAATCAATAAATCGCATAAATGAAAACGTAATCTTTAATAAAATATCAGATCATTAAAGAAGCTAATTAAATTTAGAATATTTAAATGCAATTAGGCATGGCTGATGAAGAATAAAAATTATCCGTGTAAACTCTTCCAATGAAAAGATTTAATATGCATGATGAAATTGAATAACTTGAATAAAAACTTGGTCCAATGCAATTAATATCCAAGTAAGTAAGATAGACATCAATGATTTTAAGCAAAGTTATTAATGAATTAAATGATTGAATATTAATTCTTCAATTCTTTATTAAAGGATATCTTTAAGTCTAATATATTTAAGTACAAGATTTCTAAATTTAATGATCAAAAAACAACAAAAAAAAAATATATATTAATTACAATTAATTAATTTAAGCTGCAATTCACTCTTGAGGATTGTTACCAGAATTATTTAAAAATAAAACTTATGATATTAAATTAAAAAAATAAAAAATAAAGCTCTAAAGCAAATTATCAATATTGACTATTTGAATTCTAGATTCTAGACTCTAATCTTAAAAAGAAAATTCTAAAAAAATATATGAAATATAGATAAAGTAATATTCATTTGTAAATTATAGTCTAAATTAAATATTCTAAAATATTTTGAACAACTCAGATAAAATTTTGTTGTCTCTAAAACTATTTTTTTGAGTGAAATAGAAACTGATTTAAGAGTGATTAATGAAATTAGTTAATTCTAATGCAGTAGATTAAAAGACTTAAAATAATAAAAACCGATTTATACATATTAAAAAATAGGAAATAAACGATAATTAATAGAAAGTAGTTCGAAATGAGATTTATTTTATAAAATATCTTATAATTAAATATTAACATAATGATCTGCTACAAGAAAAATTTCTTTTCGATATAAAAATACAACATTTTTATGTTAAAAGATGAGATTCAATTTTCCAACGTATTTTTTAAAGCATAACTTTAGGATTAACACTCCTTAGTAATTCAACTTAACTCATTTGAACCAAAAATAAAATGGATAAAAAATGATAATTCGGATATTATCTCATTTGAATTTTGCATTAATAAAAAAAAGTCTAGTTATAAATTTGCTACCCATATAGGGAAGCTTTTGAAGGAGTTTATGAATGGAAAAGTATGCTTTTAAGGAATAAATAGTCATTATAAGATAGCATAATTCATTTAGAAAAGAAATTATGGTTCTGTAAATTATAATATACTATTTTTATAGATAGTTCGTATGAGAAGTATATAGAATGAAGAATTAGTAACTTGCAAAATTATAAAACAAGGAAGAGCAGAATTTGAGCAAGTACAATTTATAATTATTAAAGGAATTTCGAAATGAAGTTGTAGCACTTTAATTTTTAAAGCATAAAAATATTCCTAAGTTAAGAGAATATTATATAGAGACTCATCATAATTATATAATTTATGAATTTATAGAAGGTGCATCATTGGATAATTATATCAAAAAAAATATACTTAATAAAGATTAAATTTATAAGATTATGAAGGTATTTAATTAACTTTTATAAAAGGATCTACTATCAGTTGTTTAATATTTACACTAAGAGGGATTTAGTCATCAAAATATTAAATTAGAGAATATTTATTATTGTACAATGTTGGATCAAATAACATTAATTGATTTTGGATAATAAAAATCTAATAATTTTATTAATTTAAGACAAGTTCAATCACTAAACTCTTTGTCTACTAAAGATTTTACAGACTTGACTTCATTTACTAGCAGGGAATTCTCAATTGAAAAAGATTATTTAGATTGTGGACTTATTTTTTTTTAATTGTAAATTTATCAAATTAATTAGAATCACTCGAAAAATATTGACAAACTAAGATTTACTTACTTCGGATTAAAAAAGAAAATTTCATTAACTAGTTTATGAGATTAATAATTAAAATGTCTCTAAATTTATTATGAAACTTTTCAACTATAGTAATTTACAATGTTAAGGAAAATTAAATTTCGTTTAGGATATTGATGAACTTATTTATAAAAGAAGAAATTGAACAATTTTGAGATTATATATTTTATAGAACTTAATTTTTTTTGTTGAATTAATTTGTGCATGTAATTAAGGAATTTTCATTTAATTGAATAAAATTTATTTGTTCAAGATGGGTGATTATTTTAAGAAAATTGATTTTTTCATAAGGAAATAAAATTTTTAAAAGAGTTTAAGAAAGCTAGAAAAATTATAAAATATATTGAATGCGAAATTAAATAACCCTGAGGAATACTTAGAAAATGAATTAGTATTATTTTTAATATATGAGATTCTTTAAAGTAATATTTATGAGAGATATGCTCAAATTTTCATAGACATAAATTAAGTTTATCGAGCCATGCAATATTTGATAAAAATGATTAAAATAGAAAAAGAACTTTTCAAAACTTAATGTGACAAAGAAAGCATCTTAAGATTATGCAATTCTTATTCAAAAATTGGTAATAATAGATAATATTTAAAGGAAGATGTTGTTTTTATTGTTGTTACTATGAGTAAACCTTCAAATATCTTGATTATGCATACTAATTATTGATTAAGAATAATTTACAATAAACTGGAGTATATGCTATGACATTAACATAATTGGGAAATTATTATAGATTTATGTTCCAAGATGATTTGGCAGAATAAATGCTTTTTGAAAGTTTAAAAATTCGAGAAGAATTATATACTAAATAATCAATTGTATTTCTTATCATCATTTTAGGAAGTAGCTGATTCATTACATGGATTATCACAGTTATTTTCAGATGAAGGAAAAATTGATGAAGCAATGAAATCTATTACTGAAGCTATTACAATATGGACAGAAGTCTTAGGTTATTAACATATAAAAACTGCTAAATCAATTTATTTAAAAGGTAATCTCTATTTAAGAATGAAAAATAATCAAGAAAGTATGATTGTTTTATAAATTTAAGATTTATCATCTGCTGAAAAACTAATTACTGAAAGCTTGCAAATTAATTTAAAAATTATGGGAGAATTTTCTTAGGATATTGCTGATTGTTATCATTCATTAGGAAAAATTAAAGCTTATAACTTAAATTCCAATGAATTTGAATAATATTTCTAAAAATCCTAGGATATTCTAAAAGCTTTGTATGGTTAAAGTCATGCAAGTATCGCAATTATTCTAAATAATTTTGGAAGATCTTATTTTGAAAGAAAGTAATATGAAGAAGCTGTCAATTGCTTTGAAGAATCAATTTAAATATATACAACTATTTGTGGCAAAATGCATGGTAATTTAGCTATTACCCTTAAAAATTGTGCAGATTGTCATAAAGAACTAGGTCGATATAAATAGGCTTACATTGATTATTAAAAGTCATTAGAAATTTATTAGGTATTTTTAATTTTTAAATAGAAAACATAAATAAACTCTTCATAGGCTAATTAAATCTAAAATTTAATGTCCTAAATCTTAGATAAGTACTTAGAGGACTGATAAATAAACTTATTTATTATTAAAAATTATATTTTACTCAATTTTATTCATTAAAATATCTTTTTTTATAGAACAGATTAGTTTCTTACTAAATAAATACTTATTATTTAAGTTTTTTTAATAAGTAATCTTACAATATGTTGAATTAATTATTTTTATATGATTAATTTTTTTCTATAAAATAAATTTAATCTTTTTTAAAATAATAATTTAATTAAAAAAAAAATGTGCTATTAAAATTCGAAAAGAGACTTAAGCAATTTTGATAATTAACAAAGTATTGTAGTTGACAAAAAGATTTGCAAATTTCTTAATATATAATATTGAGAAAGCTTAATAAATTTAAAAAAGCGTAAGTCTTTGAATGAATTAAATATCAATAGATTACTAAAGTGTTTGTCGTTAAGAAATGAAATTAAATTAAGTTTCAGAAGAACCATATTAAGCGAAATAATTTATATGGTGTGTATACTAAATAAATAAAAATATCTTTATAAAAAAAAATTAATTTACATTTAATATAGAAAGACTCTAAATAAAAAAATTAAAACAACCTATAGATAAAAAAAATGACTTATTATTAACTCATCAAAATAAAATCAACAAATATTTAATTAATAGTAATTACTATTTTTCTTAAGAATGTCTTATCTAAGCTTAACTATTATTATAGTTTAAATTTTTAATAGCCTGATTAATTTATATAATAAATATATAAGTAAATTTATTAAAAATAAACAAAAGAAAGTAAGTATTAAAAAATTGAAATGAAAATTTCTTGTAAACTTCAAATAAAAATTTGTTAAATTTTTGAATTTATATCATAATGCGAAATAAAAAAGAACGAATGAGTTGTAATATTTAACGGCTAGGGAATATAAATTAGTTAAACATTATAATATAATATAATTTTTATTAATTTTAAAGTGCATTATTCTTGTAAAAAGAAATTATAAACTTTAGACAATTTGTAGTATATACTATTAAAATGAATATATAACGTTGAATTTAAAGTAATGGGGATTTAAGGTTGCAAGTTGATTGATTGCAGTTGTTGTGCAAAAGTTTTGAAATAAAAAGTGTAATTAAGATACCAATTATATTATTTCGTCATATTAAATGTATAAAAGGTGATAAAGATGCATGATATTTTTGATAATATATTTAAAATAAATTCTGCCTATCAAATGAGTGTTGCATCTGACTAATAATAAGAAAATTAAGCCAAAAAGACCTAAAAAGATGTAATAACATAACAATAATGTTATTTTAGAAAAATTTTGTATGGAGTCCGAAAATTGAAGATAAACTTAAAGAGCTTTATGTCTTAAAATAAGGAAACTGGAAATCAATAAGTGTAATTCTAAATGGTCCAACACCATTAGAATGCATGTATAAATGGTAATAGCTTCATCCAAATTAAGTATTAATTTAATAAAAATTTAGACTTCTTCAAGGTAATTGTGGTCTCCTTAAGAAGATGAATAATTGAAAGAATTAGTTAAAAAATTTGGAAAAAAATGGAGTAAGATCTGTACAGTAATGAATTGGAGAACAGGAAAATAAGTTAGAGAGCGTTATTTGAATTAATTATAAGGGACTATAAATTAAGATAGATGGACAGAAGATGAAGATAAATTGATAATAAAATTACATAGAAAATTTGGAACTAAATGGAGTTATATATCAAGTTTTTTAAAAGGAAGGCCTGTAATTATCATATAACTATAAATTTAGGAAAATATGGTCAAAAATAGGTTTTATGCTAACCTAAAGAGAAGATATTAATGTGAATTAGATGATTCTGATGATGATGAATTTGAAGAGGATTCTTTTTTTTCTTCTGAAATTGAAAAATTTAAACTTTAAAAAAGAAGAAAAATACCTAACTTAACATAGGATGATCAAAAATAAAAAACAAAATAAGTTTAAGAAATGAATTTATCAAATTTTCAAATAATGACAAGATCAAAACAGAATAAACGAAGTGATAATAGTTAAAAAGTAGATGGTTCTACTGAGGATCATCATAAGGAAAATAATTTAGGTATTTCTTTTTCATTTATAATAGTGTTGCAAAATACTAACTCAAATTTGAATAATCAAATCATTAATATTAAAGAAGAAAATATATAAAAATTTGTTCATAATAATTTTAATTCATCTATTATTTAATAACCTTATATTCCTTATTTAGTCAATCAAGATGCTCATATAATCAATAATTCTAATTTTTTCCAATAGTATTAAAATTTTGTACCTATAATTTAAACAAGTCCAAATGTTTTTTAACATTAAAATGAAATTTAAAATTAATAACAAAACTCATAATAAAGCAAAAATTCATAATAGCAATTTGTTATCAATCAATATCCAAATATTCAAATGATAAATCCATATATAGGGATTGTCTCTCCATAATAATAGTTTGTATATTAGTTATAATATTAATCTAATTAAGATTAGTTTAATTATATGTAAAATTTGAATGAATTCTCTACATTTTAAAATAATTAAATATTGTAGAATGGTTAGTAATCATGAGATTACTTATAGGAATGTAATTAATTGATATATTTATTTGCATAAACATAAAACACACATTTAATTATTAATCAAATTTTCTTGATTGCTAAATTAAAATTACTCTATTTTAATTCCAGTTTTAATTTATTTCTTAAGTAATTTTTCAAACTTTTGCTAGTTGAATCATCATCTTCAAAATCAGACAAACCTTCTATAATGCGTTTTTTCTCAATAATTTCTTGAATATTTTCAAAAAGTTCTTATTAACTTTCTAAAATAAACAATTTCCTAATAGACTAGTCGTTTTAAATAATTAAGTCTTTATAGTATAAATATAAATACCTTTAATATGATCCTTCTCGCTTTGGGTAATTATTTCTGCTTTTAATAATTATTGCAAAATGAAAAAGATTTTTGCATATGGAGAATCTAATTACTCGTATTTTGCCATTAAATATAAATATTATTAAGTTATTTTGAACCAAATAAACTATAAAAATATAGTATGTATCTAAAATATATTTCTAACTTATTCAAAAATTGAATAAAATAAACTTAATAATGAATCAATATACTATACAAATTTGGATAAAGGATCTAAGTAAGTATGTTGACGGAAATTTTTAAATTTAAATGAACTGAAAAAGATGTGTTTGAAATTAAAATATAAATAAATAATTCTGGAAATTATATTTATTAAAATCAAGCAAAAAATCAGAACTAGATTAAATAATGAGTTATTTAAATTTGGCAAAAAGTAAATTGAGTGTAGATAACAAAAATTGTTAATTATTTGAAATTCTAATAATCATTTAAATTCAGAAAATAGATAATAGATTTGAATGATGAGAATAGAAAATGTAAAAAGTATTTGAATTATAAATTGAGAATTTAAGTTTAGTTATGACTTTAAAATCAAAAGGAAAATGGCTATTATGATATTTTTATATTATATAATAATTTATTGTATTATATTATGAGAGGATGTTGTGAGAGAATATGCTCATAAATTTATTTCTTAAGGATTAATCAAATTTAGAGAAGGATTTAAAGAATTTTGTATTGTATTTGAGAAATGATAGTAAGTATAATGATTTATTAAGAAGTCGAAAAAGGGATTGCATATGTCATAAATGAAGAAGTGCTAAGAATAGGGTCTGTTCATTCTGTTAGTTTGATTAAGAATAATGATTTGATACAATGGCAGGTAATATTTGAGCATGCATTTATAAAAAGTATTTAAAGAGCAGATATAATAAAAATAAATGAATTGTTCAGTTTGTGGATTGAATTTCATTAGAAAGGATAAAGGTTGTCAATAAAAGGAATGTCAAAAATGTAAATTAATATATCATAGATATTGTTATGGGTATAATAATTTAGATGAATAATGTGATCCATGTTAAGATAATGTTGAGAAACCTGAATGCTATATTTGTGGATAGAATGGATTACTTAAAAGAGTTTCTGGATATCATGAAATGTATGTACATGTTCTATGTGCAATTTTTGATCCAAATATATGGGTGAGAGATTATCATACAATGTCATTTAGTTTATAAAATAAAATAGATAAAAAAACAAAGGAAAAATGTTAGAATTGTGATAATTAAGGAGCTTAGATAAAATGTTAGGATTGCACAACATTTGCACATCCACATTGTATTTTAAAAGAAAAAGTAGAAAAAGAGTTGTAGCTAATTGAAAATTAATAATGGATTTTTAATCTTAAATTTCATGATAGTGATTTGGATCCAAGTATAATAGATGTAGGGAATTAAGAAATTTAAAATGAATTATATGATATTTAGGAAGCCTTTTAGAATGCAATTGAAATGATCTATGAAATTCCATAACAGAATGAAAATTTAATCATTAAATTAAAAGATGAAGTATAATTTAACCTAGAAACTATATTTGAAAATTATTCATTACCTAAATCTAATGAAAATTGTTGGTCTTCTGAGAATAAAGTAGAAAGTTATTGTTAATCTCATATGGAAAGTCATATGATTTTTTGTATTTGTAGAAAATCATTAAATAATTCATAAATGGTTTAATGTGATCATTGTTATGAATGGTTCCATTTTGGATGTATTAAAAAACGTTTAATAAAAGAAGAATCTTATGTTTGTGAAGCTTGTAAAAGATGGAGTATTAAAAGATGTAAAATTGACATAGATGATCCTTAATTATTAAGTTTGGAAGATTTGCTTATACCAAATGATATATATAAAGTACACTTATTAGACTTATTACCCATTTTATTATATATGGAAGCTATTATGAGAAGATTATAAAGGTTACCTTTAAGTAAGGCAGACTTTAAAAATTTAAAGTTAATTAAATAATTCTTAGCTTCAATGCCTATCAAATCATCTGCAGAAATTTAATTAGATAAAATATTATTGAGGTAAAAATTATTAGAAGAATTAAAATAATAAATGTTATTTATAATACCAGTTTAATTAGAAAAAAATAAATCTTTTTTTGAAGAATTAATTATATAATTAAAAAACAAAGGATATTTATTTGAAAAATATGAAAGAAAAGATTTTAAATCTTTTATATTATCAAGAAAATAAATTAAATTTAAAATCAAAAAAGGAATAAATGATGGTTATTTAGTAGCAAACACATTTAATCTTTTGGAAGAAAACTTAGTTGATATAGAAAAATTGTTTATTTATCAAAATTAGAATCTATTTTAATTAATTAATCGTTATATTGTATCATAAAATATTAAGAATTAATTCAAATAACTATTCAATGTAACTAAATTTTAATGGGATATTCCATGTATTGAAAGTTAACTTGAATTAATTTTATTTAAATAATATATATTGATGAAAAATTAAAAAAGCAAACCATTTATAGAGAAATTGATAGAATTAAAAAAAATGGCTTATAAAAGTAATATTACAATGGGATGTATAAAATTAATAGAAAAAATAATAGAAGAATGTTTAATTTTGGAAAATGTTAATATATAAACAAATTTATAATAAATAATAGAATTTCCTTTTAATAGTGATAAATTGTTAAATAATATATAATCTCATTTTGAAACTTAATTGATTGAGGAATTTACAATTGATTTGGAATAAAAAATATTGAAAAATTGTCATTTAACTGAAAGAGAATATATGGGACTTTATAGTTTTGAGAATATTAAAAAAGCTGCATAAAGATCATAAATAATAGGTTAAGTTTTTAATTAATTAGTTGAAATTAATGAGAAATTTTCAAATTAAGAAAAAATCACAAATGAATTTTGTACAGAAATGCTAAATTTGACGGAGAATTGTTTATTGACGACTGAATATATAGAGAATTAAAAAATAAAGCTTAGATAATTCAAAGAATTTGATAAGAAATTAAAGGAAATTTTAAGTATAAAGGAATTAGAGGAAATAGAAAATAAATGTAAAGTATATGGGTTTGAATTAGAAACTGAAAGTCGTATGAGAGAATTGATATAAGCAAGAAATATAGTTGAAAGGAAAGGTAGTATAATTGATAATTTGGATTAATATAGATATTTAAAATCAAGAGAACTTGAAGAATATATAGAGTTGATATAATAGTAAATAGAATTTATTCGTTAATTTTACTATATAGCATATAATCATTAAGAGAATTTACAGATAATGTTATAAAAAGTGAAGGAGATTAAAGATTTAGATTTTAGTAATGAACTAATATCTTAGGTAATAATTCCTGAGATTGTTTTTGATGAGATAAAATAAATTGTATAGAATTTTAGATAAATACATTGGAGATATGAATGTTAGAGATTGTTGAATTAATCAAATAGTATTGAATAGGAATGTGGGAAAAAGAGGTATAATATAGTATAAGTGATGAAATTGTTGAATTGTGATAGTTAAATTTAAGATCATTATTATTTGATGTAGATGCAAAAGATAAAAAGTTAGTATGAGAATTGGTTGTAAACATTGAGAGAATTTGAATTGTAATTGTAAAGTTGTAAAGCACCAGAATAGTATTTACTAATTAAATTATTAAACAGTAATTAATATGATGATCCAGCATTATAAAGTCAATTATGGTCATTTTATATTTAGATGCTTTGGATGTAGAAAGCAGAAGAGTTTTTAGAATCTAAAGCAAATGTAATAAGTTTAAGAACTTTAATAAATTGTTCTCATGTTGCTAATATAAAATAAAATAATTAATTATTAAATAAATTAAAAGAGAATTTAGATGTAATTTAAAATTTAAATTAAAAAATGAAAGAATTTTAAGAATAACGAATGTGGTGGTTGAGAAATCGAGAATAAATTAATCATTTATAAACATATAAATAATACTATGAGTTTTTAGAGAATAAATTGGATGCTGAATAAATGAATGAAATATTGATGAAAGCAAAGTAGTATTCAGTGTATAAATTGAAAGAATTAGAGGATGATTTATAAGAAGTAAAGATAGTTTTATATCAATATAATGATTTAGTATAGTAATAGCCAGAGAATAATGTGTATATTTAATAATTATAGAAAACAAGAACATTTTATTGTAGATGCTTTTTAAAAGTTTAAGGATTTAGTTTATAATTGATGTATAATATGATAAAGTAGTAATCGTTAAGAAATTTGAAATTAAGAAGTTCGAATGATTCGATTTAAGAGAGATTGAATGAAATAGATCTTTTAGTTGTATTTGGAGGAGAGGAATGGGAATAAAAGTTACTTGGTATTAATAAATAGAGATAGAGGAATACTAATAGTGCAGATTTGAAATTTATAGATTATGTAAGATATATGAATTAATATTAAGAGTTTAAGAGATGATTTTGAATGGATAGGATGGTTAAAAGAGAGTTTGAAAAATAAAAGTTAGAATAAGAAGTAATTAAAAGAGGAGAAGATTGAGAAAAAAAAGTTAGAATAAATGAAAGTAGATGTAATTTTAGAAGAAGAGAGAAAAATATCAAGGGAATTGATTACTAAAATGTTACATACATATAAAAATTGGAGAAAAGTGAATGAATAGTCTATTATGAATTTAGAAGCATAAATATTTATGGAGATGAGAGGAGATAAAGAGAAATATTTAAAAGAGATAGATAAAATAAAGTCTATAATAAAACTTAATATTTAGAAAGAGTATTAATAATATTTATAATTAGTTTATTATATGAAGAAATGAGAAAAATAAAATATCAAGGAGTTAAAAATAATGCACAAAAATAATAAAAGAGAATAGTTTAAAAGTAATAATAATAATAATAGAATAATAAAATAGTTAAGATAACATCTTAATCTATTATTCCATAAATAATTTGTAAGAAATTAATAGAATAAATAGAACCAAAATAATAGAATTAAATAGAAGTACAAAATAAAATTGGAAATGAAACACAATAATAATAAAATGTGGATTATTAAATAGAAGGATCTAAAATAGAAGAAAAATAAGTTTTAATGAATATCGGAGAACTTAATATAATGTTAAAAAAGAAATCTAATGAAAATAGAGATTCATGGTTGATACGACCATCATTATTAACTTATGATCATAATTAGACATAATATTTTCCTAGAACTGAATTAATTACTGTGACTTGTGAAACATATTCTTCAGTTAAAACAGTTATTGAATATTTGACTTAAAAAAATACTTAATTTAGAATGATAATAGGATGGGTTTATTCTAAAAATATAGCAGTAGCAGGAGATATTTTTAATTTGGCTGATAAATTAAAATATTCTAAATAATGTGTCGGAACTAAATAAGGAAATGTCGGATTAACCTTAATTTATTATGATTTTCTAAAGAAATTAAAACCTGTTACAAAATGGATACTTTTGAGAGACTAATTTGAGTAAATGTATAATAATTATATTAGAAATGAATAGATAATGAGTAATTTATAAAATTATCATACATTAGAGAAATTTAAAGCTCGTCTATGTTTTGTTTATTATATAAAAGAATGTAAGATTTGTATAAATACCATAATATCTTAACCTGTGGATTATATAGATGTAATGGAGGAACCAAAATTAAAGAACATTATTGACGACTATAAATGTCTTTAAAAATAACATTCAATTAAATCTAATAATGTAGATTAGATTAAAGAAGAGAATAAAGATGGTGATGTGTAACAAAACTAAAGTATTCATACTATGCTGATGGAAATTCCTAACATTTTTACCTTATTAAATTAATGATTTATAATATATATGTTAAGAAAGGCTATTTTGTTAGGAGCATTTACTACTGGATGCACATTGTTTCTACCTCCGCAATAAAAAAAAGATATATAAGGATTTACAGCAGGCTTTATAAACTCCTTTTCTGCCATTAAAACATGTATTCGATATTACATTTTTATTTAGTAATCGAATCACTTTATGATTATCAAATAGAGTTAACCAAATATGAATATAATACTGAAGAATATCATTAATAAAGATCTATTGTATAGATTTATTAATTTATTCATAGATTCATTAAAGAGTAGCTGATAGGATTTTAAGATTAAGCATTTAAAATAAAGGTGTTTACTTAAAAGCAGGTTAATATATTGGTAATCTTGAAAGAGTTATGCCAAGGTATAATTATAAAATATTAATTTAGAGAATTTACATAAACATTAAAAGTCTTATAAGATTAAGGACCATAAGTATCATTTGAAGATGTTTAGATTGTTTTAGAATATGAACTAAAAAAACCTCTATCTGAACTCTTTACATCATTTTCTCATAAAGCTATTGCAGCTGCTTCACTTGCTTAAGTTCATTAAGCGATTTATAAAGGTTAAGAAGTTGCTGTCAAAGTACAATTCCCATAATTAAGAGTTTAATATAGGTATTATTTTAATCATTATATTAGATATGATTTAATGATTATTCATAACATTGCTAAACTTTGTGATTTTATTGTCTCTAATACAAGCTCAAGTCAATTAAACTTTTCTGATTTATTTACAACTTTTAGAAATGCATTAGAAAAAGAATTAGATTTTACATTAGAAGTTTAAAATGCTGAAATTACTAGATCTAATTTTAAAAATTGTTCTAATATTTATATTCCCTAATTTTATGAATATTCTTAAAGAGTAATTATAATGGAATTCATTGATGGTGTTAAAATTAATGATGTAAATAAACTAAAAAATCCAAGAGAATGTGCTAATATTTTAATTGATATGTTTGGATAAATGATCTTTAAACATGGACATGTTCATTGTGATGCACATCCAGGAAATATTCTTATTAGAGAACACCATGGAAAATAATAATTAGTATTATTAGATCATGGATTTTATACAGATATTGATAAAGATATGTTACAAAATTTTAGATGTTTGTGGAATAATATTGCTAAGTCTAATTATAAATAAGTACAAAAATATGCAATTAAATTGGGAATCAAAAATGAACATATTGAATTTCTACCTCTTATCTTCTTCTATAGAACTATATCATCAAAGAAGAAATTAGGTGATGCTTTCAGTATTGAAGAAAGATAATATTTAAGAAATAAAGATTTAGTCACTCTTGAAAATATTAATGCCTTATTAAGATCAATGCCTCCTGAAATCATGTTCATTATTAGAGCAGCTAATTTAGTAGGAATTCATAATGCTTTACTTGGAGGTATCTTATATCTATTATTTAGGTACTACTAGAGATAGACTATTGAAGTTTACTAAATATTCGGTTTAATATTCAGAATCCAGCTTCTGGAAATAAAAAATTTAATGGTTTAAATTAAAAATAGCATTATTTTTATTTGAATTTTTTGGCTTTGCTCCAAAATGAGTATTTATATATATATATATATATTTTATCATATTTATCAAATACAATTACTTATCATTATCATTTTTTATATCAATATTCTAATATATCATTTAAGATAACAGACAACTTTATTAATTCATTAATATATTACATAGTTAGAATATAAATTAAAAAAGATTTGCTTACAATATAAAAAAATAAAACAAAATATATAATTTCTAAGGTAGATCCCATTTTACTCTCAGTCTTCTCTTATGAAATGTAATTAAATCAAAAAAATTTTAAATAATTAATTTTTTATGTCTCATAAATTTGTAATAGTTGGAGCAGGTCTCTCTGGATTGAGTAATGCTTTTTTTATCAAGCATTTTTATCCTAAGGCTTAAATAACTTTGATAGAGTAATCAAATCGTGTAGGTGGGATGATAGTTACAAATAATAGAAATGGATTTATCTGTGAAGAAGGACCAAGATCAATAAGAATGGGAAAGTATAATAGGCCACTATATCATATTCTAAATAAGATTAATTTATATAGAGAATGTAAAAGAAGCTTAAATTTCTTTAGTTGTGCCTAGTATTCAGTAACCTTATAGTTATATCTATTGGAATGGAAAATTGATAGCTGTTCCTTTGTAGATGAATTTATAAACTCTATTATAATTTGTAAAGGATAATGGATGTGGAGATGTGTTAAATGTTATAAAAGCTTTTCCAAAGATGATGTTGATGAAAGCAGATACAGATAATTTAGGTGAATATTTGGATTAGGTTTTGGGAAAGAAGATGACTGAGAAATATGCAGAATCAGTGTTTTATGGAATATATGGAGAATCAGTATATAATTTATCAAAGGGTTTATGTTACAGTAAGAGTCATATGAAAGGATATGATGAATAAGAAATAAAGAAAGAGTTGAGTTTAGATTAAGATTTTGAATAGATAAGAGATGAGAAATTGAAAGGAGGTATAATAGATAATAAATGAATAGCAAATAGCTACAGATTCAAAAATGGTGTAGAATCTTTACCAAAGAGTTTGCATGCTTATTTGAAAGAGTAATATGGTGAAGAATATAAAGTACAATTGAATTCAAAAGCAAAAAGAATAGATGTGAATACAAAGGAACTAATAGTAGAGAATAGAGATGAGTAGGAAGAGTAAAAATTAAATTATGATTATTTAATATTGAATGCTCCTACTCATCAATTATCTTAGATAATGATAAATTCTAATTTAAATAAAATTGGAGATACATTTAGAGGAATCAAATGTAATTCATTAGTAACAAGAAATATATGTTGGGATTAAAAGATATTACCATAAGAAGTATAAATAAGTTTATAATTTTAAAGTTTAAAGGCTTTGGATATTTAATAAATCCAAAGTAAGAATAAGTGATTTTAGGTATGGTAGCAGATTCTTTATCATTCCCTTCTCAATATCCTTAGAATTCAACTAATTTGTCTATTATGTCTATTTATGATGTTAATGATCATGTTATTTTGAATGAGTTAAGTAAACATTTAGGAGTTAAGATTCCTGAACCAAAAGAAATAATTACTAAAAGTTGGTCTAAAGCATTTACTCGATTCTCTCCAGGACATTAAGAAGAAATGAAAAAAATAGAATAAGAATTAAATGCAAAAAATATAATTATTGGTGCTAATAATTATACATTAGCCATTCCAGAATTAGTGTACCTATCATATAGTAAAATAAAACAATTATATTTGTGAATAATTATTTTCAGTTAGTGCTTTTAAATTTAAATATAAAATATGGATTATGATACTCTTTTTGCCATTCTTCCAAAAGAACCAAAAAAATGGTCAAGGGAGGATGTTTCTTTATGGCTCAATTTTGTTGGATTGCAATCATTATAAACAATTTTCAGTATAAATATTTGTTTATACATGAAGCAAATAATTCCATTGATGGATCATGTTTAGAATTAATTGAAGAAAATGATCTTATTGATGATCTTGGAATCAACAGTAAGATAGTTAGAAAAAAGTTAATGCATTGTAAAAACTATTTCTAAAAAAAGGGCTTAAAATTGGATTAAAAGAATATACTTTACATCTTAAATCAGTTATCCTAGAAGATAAACGATGTGATAAAATTGAATAAGAAAATACTTCTCTTGAAAATACAGAATCCGCTTAACCTTAATATGGATAAATCAATATATCACATGACATGATGACTAATTATATTAAGAATAATGAAATCTTTTCTTAATAGTTTTAACAACCATTATGTGAAATGTAATCAAAACATACTATTATATAGTGAAAACAAGCCTTAGTTTTTAAAGAAATAATAAACCGGCATTTTATTAGAATAAGAAGTTGAAAATTAAGTCTCAAAAGTGTAAAATGAACTCATTATTTAACCAACTGAAGGACCTTAAACTAATTTCTATTGTATTAAAGAAACAGGTGGAAAAATAGGAAGACATTCTAGCAATTAGATTTTAATATTAGAAGAAAGTATTAGTCGATTTCATGCAGAAATTGTTTTTTAAAATGAAGAAGTAAGAATAATGGTTATAGGGATAGTTCTTCATAAAAGATATTGGATCAACGACTGGAACATTTATAAAAGTAGAGAGTAAATTAGAATTACAAATAGGGATGATTATTGAATTGGGTAGTAATCAATTTGAGATTTAGTAATTGAGTATGAATAATCAAATAGTTGAAGTAAAGAAATGCATATGGAAATGTAGGTTGTCATGCTAATAGTTGAAGGATTGAATTCATCTGAGAAACATATTATTGCTTTAAACCTTTAAAAATGTGTTAGTACAGTAGGACGAAAGTAAACTGCAGATCTAACATTTAATGAAGATCATCATCTGTCAAATATACATGCAAAGATTTGTTTAATAGATGGACGTGTCTATTTAGAAGATATGGGATCTACAAATGGGTAATTAAATAAATATTAATGGAATAGTTCTTGGTTAAGATTATCAAAAGAAGGATAATTTTCTTAGTTATATCCATTATAGAATCAAACAGTTTTCAAAATAGGAACTACTTCTACATATTTATGTAAAAGGACTTCTTAGTTAATTACTGATAAGAGTAGTGAAAATAGTTGTATTATATGTATTGAGAATGATCGTGATGCTCTTTATATGCCATGCAAACATAACACAGCTTGTTTGAAATGTAGCAAGAATTTGAAAGATTGCCCAATTTGCAGAACTAAAATCCAAGATGTTATTAGGATTTACAAAAACTGATATTCTTATATATATAAATTATATATATATTTTTTAAGTTAAATGGGACCTATTTGTACAAAAGATAAAACAAACAAGATTGTTATTAGAGGAAATGCCAAACTTGTAAATACATCTACACCTGATGCTCCTCCAAAAATTATCAATACATATAAATATGTTGGTGAAGAGTTTCAATAAGAAATTGAAAAAAATGATCCAGCTTATTCTTAGAAACAATCAAAATGGAATCTCTACTATCAAAAGAAATATGAATTTATAAATGATGAGAATTATATTTTTTTGTTTAGACGATCCTCATCCATTGAGTAATTATAATAACAGACTAATGAAGATGATTAATGTAAAGAACCCAAAATCAATTCTAATAAGCACTTTTCTAAAAAAATATTATAATCCTTAACATAATAACTTGGTGGTCCTTTCAAATTATCAAACCAAGATATTATTGATGCTTATCTTCTTAAAGAAATCAATAACGAAGATTTCAAAAATATTCTTATGGATGGAGCCATCTCTAAATATAGATGGAACTTCTGGATGGCTTAAGTCTATAGAAACAGAGACTATGATCCCCATCTTTATACAAAGTTAAAAAACTAAACTCCCACTCAAAAAATCCTTGAAGATATTACCAAAGATATTAATAGAACATTTCCCTCTCATGATCACTTTAAAGATTACAATTAAGGTTAATAATAATTATTCTCTATTCTCAAAGCCCTTTCCATGCTTAATGAGGATATTGGTTATGTTTAAGGAATGAATTATATCGTTGGATTCTCATTAATTGTTAGTGGAGGCAAAGAAGAGGAAGTCTTTTGGCTTATTCATTTTATTAATACTAATCCTCTCTTTTAATGGTGGGAAATCTATAGAGTCAATTTCAATTATGCTAAAGCCATATGCTAAGTGTTCTCAAAAAATTTTAATGAATATCTTCCAGCACTTTATCAACACTTTTAAGATGAAGGAATTAGTGATTAATAATACATTTGGCAATGGATTTTAACTTAGTTTTTATATACCTTCCCTATTGATAGAGTAATTTTCTTTTGGGATTTTATTTTGGCCACTGATATCTTTTCAATCATCAAAATTAGTATTGCTTTTCTTAAAGAATTTGGATATGAATTAATTTAAAAAGATATTGGTTAAATCTCAGAATTTCTAACTGGTTTCATTAAAGATCAATTATAAATTGATGTTCCCAAAATCATTAGTGATGCAAAATAAATAGTTGTAAATATGACTGAAGACTAAAAATAATTCTTTTAAAATTATAAACCTTAATCATCTACTTGATATTACTTAATTCAATTTTTGTATATATNTCCTCCAAAAATTATCAATACATATAAATATGTTGGTGAAGAGTTTCAATAAGAAATTGAAAAAAATGATCCAGCTTATTCTTAGAAACAATCAAAATGGAATCTCTACTATCAAAAGAAATATGAATTTATAAATGATGAGAATTATATTTTTTTGTTTAGACGATCCTCATCCATTGAGTAATTATAATAACAGACTAATGAAGATGATTAATGTAAAGAACCCAAAATCAATTCTAATAAGCACTTTTCTAAAAAAATATTATAATCCTTAACATAATAACTTGGTGGTCCTTTCAAATTATCAAACCAAGATATTATTGATGCTTATCTTCTTAAAGAAATCAATAACGAAGATTTCAAAAATATTCTTATGGATGGAGCCATCTCTAAATATAGATGGAACTTCTGGATGGCTTAAGTCTATAGAAACAGAGACTATGATCCCCATCTTTATACAAAGTTAAAAAACTAAACTCCCACTCAAAAAATCCTTGAAGATATTACCAAAGATATTAATAGAACATTTCCCTCTCATGATCACTTTAAAGATTACAATTAAGGTTAATAATAATTATTCTCTATTCTCAAAGCCCTTTCCATGCTTAATGAGGATATTGGTTATGTTTAAGGAATGAATTATATCGTTGGATTCTCATTAATTGTTAGTGGAGGCAAAGAAGAGGAAGTCTTTTGGCTTATTCATTTTATTAATACTAATCCTCTCTTTTAATGGTGGGAAATCTATAGAGTCAATTTCAATTATGCTAAAGCCATATGCTAAGTGTTCTCAAAAAATTTTAATGAATATCTTCCAGCACTTTATCAACACTTTTAAGATGAAGGAATTAGTGATTAATAATACATTTGGCAATGGATTTTAACTTAGTTTTTATATACCTTCCCTATTGATAGAGTAATTTTCTTTTGGGATTTTATTTTGGCCACTGATATCTTTTCAATCATCAAAATTAGTATTGCTTTTCTTAAAGAATTTGGATATGAATTAATTTAAAAAGATATTGGTTAAATCTCAGAATTTCTAACTGGTTTCATTAAAGATCAATTATAAATTGATGTTCCCAAAATCATTAGTGATGCAAAATAAATAGTTGTAAATATGACTGAAGACTAAAAATAATTCTTTTAAAATTATAAACCTTAATCATCTACTTGATATTACTTAATTCAATTTTTGTATATATAATAATAAATTTTTAGAAATATTCATATATTTATATTTGAAAGATAGATTCTATTTTTTTAAATGCTCTATAGAGTTTGATGTTCAAAATATTGTTATATTATTGTCCAATACAAAATAGATTATGATTTAATATTAGAAATATTTAAGAATTATAAATTAATTTTTTCTGAATTATTGAAGTTCTAAAATTGAATATTTAAAGATAGAATACATTTGATTGTTTAATATAAATAGCTTTTAATTATTAGCAATTTAAAAATGATAATTATCTGTAATAACTTATTTGCTGGATAAAAAAATTGTATTTCAACATTTTTGATGCATATAATTTTACATCTTTATCATAATCTTCTTATAATTATCTAATTTTGTGTTTAAATTCATTATATGTTTTGATTTCTCATTATTCTTATTAAAAGTATTGAATTTTAAAATGTTTAACTGAGTACTTTTTCATCCTAGAAAATTTAAAAAAAATAGAATTTCTATAAATCAATTAAGAAATAGTTTAATGACATATTTGATAATGAGATATCAAATTTTGTATTATTTGTTAAAGGATGTTCACTTTGAGATTAAAAAAAAGCAAAAATGATTTTTTTAGATATTATACAATTCTTCAAAAAGATGATAAATAAAAATCAAAATAATAAATCTGATTTCTGATTCCAAATCTTGTAGTTATTGATGAAATAGTAGGGATAACCTTTTTAGAATACTTTTTTTTTTATATAAAATTATACAGTTTCAATTGATTACTGATTGTGACAATAATATCAACAATACTTTATAAGCATTTTAAAACATAATATCTAACTCGCCAGATCTTACTATTTAGGATTTGCAAATGAGTCATATGTTTAAAGATTAGATTTTAACTTACTTTTTTCATCAATAAGTTTGAGCATTTATTTTAATTTATCAATAGATTTAATTTTAACATTGCATGATGAAGATTTTTGCGAGGTTTCAAATTTACAAGTTCGTAAGATATTTGAATTATAAATTCATCTTCATTATCCTTCTCTAATTTTTATTAAATATGACATTAGTTCAAAGTATAATCATCACTTGTGAGTTCTTCAATAAATATAGTACAATCATTCTTCTATTTATTAATAATTAATTATATTACTTTTAATTTATTTCGTTAAATGAATAGATAGGAGAAAGTTGAAATGGAGCTTGGACTGCGAGTTCTTTTAGAGGAAGTATCGAAAACTTGAAATATAAAAGATGCTTAATTACAAAAATGAAAAATGTTTGAGGATTGAGTACTACAATTGTAATGAATTGATTCAAAGAATAACTAAGGCATTTCGAGAAATTAAAAATAGCAATCAAGAATACAAGAAATTAGAATCAGTTTTGCAATAATAAGAAGCCGATATTCGAAATCACATAAGCGTAATTAGATTTTCTTAATCGATGCCTAGTTGGAGTAATAGATGAAGTTGTATCAGGATTAATTGCAATAAAAATTAGACGAAGCATCTCAAGAAATAAAGAGATTGTAGCAAGAGATATATCAATATAGTACTAATAAAGTATAATAGTGGTTATCAGAATCTAAAAAGAAGAGAGATAAGAGTTAAGATGGTTCCTTAACATAGAGAATTAGTTCACCATAGAAACAATCCTCTTTGTCATAACATGGATACTCATCACATCGCAGTTCCTGTGATGAATTATTTAAGAGATACAATAAACTGCTCTAATAGTAATAAGCATAAATAAGCCAACGATCCAATAATATTTAAATTAGTTAATTTATGATGAAAGGTAGACAAACTCTAGCAGAAATTAATAATATTCATTCAAGCAAACCCAGTCGAAGTTAAACCAAAAATAGTAATAGTGCGAATAAAAGCAGTTAAAATAATTCAATAAGTTCTGAAACCATAAGAAATTTATTAAAAATGAAATGAATAAATTAACTCATAATTTTTATTTATACTTAACAATACTGAAATAAAACATCCCGACTCCAGCACCTGCCAATATTTAAGTTGGGTAATTGTATCCCCAATCTTCCATATAAGCGCATGTAATTTAAAATAAGGCGTACATAGGTGGATAGAGCAAGGCATTTGATCCTATCAACTTTGCATAGTCTAATCTGACCTATGATTTTGTCCAAGTGGCATTTATAGAATTTTGGGGCCATTCGTAAATCCCCAAAAATATTGAAAATATTAATCCATTGCAATATCCTTAAATAAGTTGACTTTTTTTCTTTTAATCCATTTTATTTAATTTATGAATTTATGATATTATTAATTTTATAACCTTGTCTAATGATTTAATTATTAGATGACTGATAATATCGGAATACTATTTCGTTGACTATAGCAATATTCTAACAGAGGAACATTCCAATAGGAATTTACAAAGAATAGTCAGTCTTTCTCAGAACACTGTAAAAACAAGCTACTTTAATCAAGTCAAGCAATTTTTTGTTGTTACTTTCATCAATTATCTCTAAAAAAATGGATTAGGAATAATAAACTTTAAAACATTATTGAAAATCTTAATACAGAAATATAAACTGAAAATTGATCGAAAAAATATTAAAATTACTAACAATATTGAGCCAGCATGTCTTTTTGTACTTTTATTATGGTTTTTTTTTATTCTACATTCTAAGATAATCAATAATTTTTTCTTTTTCTTAATTTTAATTTAAAAAAAATAATTGATTTTTTAAAGCTCTCTTCAATTCCTTCTTTTTCAATTTATAAAGGTCACTTATTTTTCTCATAATTTAGATTTCTTTTTATAGATTAATTCTTATATTTTTATTTTTGCTTGATTCGGTCTTTAACACTAGATCATTGGAAATTTAACATACTTTTCTATTTTTGTTTTATCGTCTTACTTATTAAATTCGATTTCTACTTTTATTATCATCAATTAACTGTTTTATATATAGCTCATAATTTTTGAAATAAATTATAGATTCAAATTCAATATAAAATTTATTTGATTTCTTTTATTTAAAATGAGTTTAGAAATTATATAATGCAGATGAATAAATGCTAAATAAACTCTATATTATTAATAATCATAATTTAATTTTTATATATATTAATTAATATAACGCTTCAATCTAATTAATAATTAAAGCCTTTATAATATATTTTTTTTAATATATTTTTTACAATATCTAATTTATCATATATTGATATCGACATATTTAAGAGGAAAAAATTAAATCTAATTTTTATATTTTCTTTATGATAGGATAAGCTCAACCTAAGAGATTTTACTCTAAAATCTCACTTTCTAAAAAGAAAGCTTTGATTTAAAAAGTTTTTCATAATAATTTGAAGATTAAGCAAGTATAAGATTATTAAATTTGTAGGCAGCTAAGTAATTAAACCTAAAATATGCTACTGCTAAGACCATTATACTTCTTTATAGAAAGAAAGTAGTGAGAAAATAACTAATCTTTGCTTCGAATAAACCTTGTTTAATTCTTCCTTTATAGAATAAAATGAGCAATGTCATTGTTGTCTCTTTGGTAGCTGGAAAATTATTGAATTAGAATGAAGTATGAGAATTTAATTTCAGAATGAATTTTTTCTTCATCTTGTGACAAATATATAAGTTTTTCTTGTGATTTTTTCATTATCAAAATTATGAATTGTAATGTACTATAACTCCAAAATCATCTTTTCAATAAAGACATTCCAGTAATGTTTAAACAGTTAAATTTCTAAAAATAAGTATAAAAAACTAAAACAAAGGGGTTTTAGGATTTAATAATTCTAAAGAACAAAATATGTTTAGGGTTATTAATAAGAAAATTATATTTATTGTTAACACCCACAATTTAATGATTATTTTTTTAATTAATACATAAATTTAAAAATTCAGGTTTGAAGCGAAAATAAAAAAAACCAATCTTTTATTTCAAAATTATCTCTGTTTTTATCATTGATGATGAAAATCTGAATTTAAGAAGCATTCTATTCGATTTTTCTGAAAAAAGATAAAGGTAGATTTTTTATTGTAAAAATAAATATTAAAAAACGACTGCGTTTTATAAAATGATATAATTTAAATTTAAAAGAAAATTGTATTTTTCTGAATGAAGTAAAATTTATTTTTTGCAGCAAGAGAATTTAATTAGCTTTTTATGATTGATAAAATGTCTCTTTCTTGAATAAAATTGAAATTAGTTAATGATTGAGTTTAAATTTTAAATCAGAGTCAAATTTTAAAGTAGAAAGTAAATAAATTTGGAATATGGTTTTATAGAAACCTTGAATATTTTAAAGAAGACATTCAAAATAAATGTAAATGAATAAATATAGTATTAAGTTCAATAAGAACTAAAACAATATAATAATGATTTGTATATTTTCATAAAAATCATTGTGATGTTAAGCTGATGCTCTCCCTAAGGTGACTAGTTTAGTCATACTTTGATTCTTCGTCTTATTCTGATTCTGTTAATTCATTTATAACAGGAATTCTGATTTATGTTAAATTATGAATTATTAATCTATTGTTCAAGATTATCAAGGCTGAGCTGAATTAAATTCTTTAACATCTTCAAATAGGCATCGCAATTCTTTACATCAATCGAGTAAACATAATATTAAAATATTAATTATGGTAAAGAGACATCACAAATTTGATAAAATTTAAAAGGATTAATTAATTTTTATTAATTTTATAATACGAATTACAGATTATAAAACTTAAAGAATCTTTGTAATTTTTGTAAAGAGTAATGAGGAAATGAATTACTCAATAAATTGATTTTAAACTTCAATAATAATTAATGAGAATAGACATAAAATATTAATAAAAATTAGAGAGCTTATTAAAAACTGCAAAAAATTTATGTTAATAATAAATCAACGAAAAATTCTAATACTACTAGTGATTGCTTATTAACAGAAACTACACTTCTTTAAATTTACAGACATTAAAGCACAGGCTTCACAATATTTTTAGTGTCCACATGGTATTAACGCATGAGTAATGTCTTTATCCATACAAATAATACAACAAGTTTCCTTATTTATTTCACTTCTTGGTTTAGAAGGCTTAACTTCTTCAATATTTATTTGTTTAGTATCTTTTTTTATTTAAATTTATTAATTATTGGCTTCAAAATTAATTTATTGTGCCATTTATTATTGAATTAAATTAAATTAATCAATCTTCTCTTATATTTGATCACGAAGATCCTATCTTTAAGTGTTATTTAGATATGATTCCAAAATTTACAATTGTTCTGAGATATTTTGTTATTTAGTATTAAAATCCACATCAAACAAAGCTGATATAATACTATCACAAATCACAAGCATATCTTAGATTTAACTTTCTGAGTATGGATTTTATTACTAATTTTGATTTTATTACAACATAATAGAGTCTGGTTAACGATTTTAAACTACTTCAACATTTCTTCCATTAATAAGTAAAAAACATTGTTCTTAATTAATTACAATCTCAAATTACGAGTTTTCAATTTTGATTGGGAACTTGATGTTACGACTATTTAGAAAATTAGTTTTACTTTATTTTAGTTTCAAGAATGCAATTATTCAATTTTATAAAACCTTTTTTGAAATCCTAATCATGATCGATTGCAAATACATACGTTAAACCATCATTAATTCTAATATGCCATTCTTTAGACAATAATTTACCTTTAGGGAACTCACGAATATTGATTAGTTTATACTATAGCATTTATATTGCTTTTATTAAATTATTTAATACAAATTAATGTCTTCTTTATTCAAAGAAGTACCTTTAAAATAAGTAATAGCTGATAAAAGTTAAGTAATAATAATATCAAAATAGAAAATTTAGCTACTGGTTTGTATGTTGAAAGACATATAAAAAGAAGAGGAAGAGATTTTGAAATAATTTAATAAAATGATAAAGGATGCAAGATCAATTGAAGGACTTTATGAGATAATGGAAATGATTAATTATGAAACTGGAGTACGAAATAATGATAAAATAGAAATAATGAATGAAATTAATCGTTAAGAAGAATATTTGTAATTTATCAATTTAATAACAGGTTACAACAATAAGCTAGCCTTGAAAAATAAGTCAAAGAATCATTAAAAGAATTGGAAATATCACAAATGTTTTAATAAACTAGATCATTACGATAGACTGGTAGATTTCTATAGTTCAAAGATAAAAATCATAATTTACATATTTAGGATTAAAATATATAATCTAATATTATTACTAGTTATGATTTTGAGGAATAATCAAGATTGAACGATAAAATGTAGGAGAATATCTTTAATGATCCAATTAAATATAATAATTAGGAAGGTATTGATTAAACTTAAGTATATGATTGGATTTTAGATATTGATTTGATAAATAATGTTTTATAAGGTTGGCCTGTTTATATTAGTAAATAATTTCAGGGAAATAAGGAATTAGTTGGGTTGACAAATAGCAGCCATGAATCGAAAACTTCAATAAAATGGGAAGGTGCAACAGTAGCTGTTGTTGGACTTTATGATAAAGGGAAAACATTTGTTTTGAATAATCTAACCTAGTCTAATTTGCCATCAGGAAAAAAAGTGACTACCAAAGGTATCTCTTTCAAACATGTTGATGTTGATTCTGGAACATAATTAATTTTAGTTGATACTGCAGGAAGTTATTCCCCTGTAAAAATTTAATCTGCTTTAAGTATTGTAGAAAGAGAAGCAACAGAACATTTTATAATTGATCTTGTTTTTGAATTGAGTGATTACTTCATTTGTGTTGTAAATGACTTTACATCTCTAGATCAAAGATATTTAGATAGATTGACAAGATAATTATAGAACAGTTCAAAAACTTTTAGGGAAATCATAGTAGTTCATAATTTGAAGGAAATTGAAACTCCTGAAATATTACAACATGTTTGGACAACTTAAGTTACTTAAATCTATTCAACTGGAGGATCTATTTAAAAAACTAAAGTGGCTGCAATTAATCCAAGAATAAATGAATTATAAGAAAAACATGTGTTATGGTTTAAGACCTAATATACAAGACATGTTTGTTTAGTGAGTGATGATAGTTAATTAGGATTAGATGTAAATCCATGGGTATTTTCATTATTGAAATATTGGTTAAAGGCAGTTTTTGTACCTGTTAACAGATAATTTTCAGTATGTGAAAATATTTTATAATATTCAACCAATAAATTGACTTAGTATTTTAAAAGGGAAATAAAAGTAAATTTGATTGATACTGATAATGAATTTGTTAAGAAGATTATTTAAATATAGGCTGATTTATAAAATGGAGAATTGAAGATACCTTAAACCAATATTGATTAATCAGGTTTAATTTTAGCAAGACCAGATTCTTTTGCCCCAGCTACTGATATTATCGCAAATGATAAATATATTATATATATGGATGTTCCAGGAATTAGTGAAGATGATATCGAAATGTATAGATAAAATGTTGTTACAATAGTGAAAGGAAATAGATAGAAACCTTATTAGGAAGAGTAAAGTGATCACATAAAAAAATAAGAGAGAAAATATGGAGAATTTACATTAAGTTTTAGAATACCTGAGAATTTCGAACGCAAATGGAAGTATTTTGGTATAGAAAATGGAGTTTTGAAAATAGTTTATGAAAAAGATAAAGAAGATATAATTCCAAATTAATTTATTAATAAAAATGAATGAATAGATTTAAAACTTAATCTATTTATGTTTTTGATAATATAACTTATTGATATAGAAATTAATAATATTTTAAATAAATTAAAAGTAAACAATTATGAAATCCAATAAAATTAATTCATAAATACAAGACTACGCAGGTAATATCATCTCTAGCTAAACTATTTTTTTTCCATGCATCTACTGATAAATTCAATAATTTTTATGCTGCTAACTCAGCACTTATATTTTTATCATAACATTAACTCAAAATTGAAACAACTTCCTAAGAAGTCAAATATTCCCAAATGCCATCTGAAGCAAATACTAAGATTTTGTCTTCATTTGTTAATTCATATTCTGTAATTTCAGGTGTTGCTATTACTCCTGCTTAAGCACCTAATCTATCACCTATAGCTCTAGTCATAGCTAATCCTGGTGCATTCAAAGTTTTTAACCAGACTCTAAGTGGACCAACTTAATTGCCATAAATATCTTATTGAGCAGCTATACGACCACCTGATTTTAATATTCTAATAGCTTCATCTTCTCTAGAGGGTTTTTAATCCTTTGTTAATTCAATGGTTTACCAAGAATTACCTATTTATTTTGCTAAAACACATCTACTATCACCAACATTTGCTACGTATAATCTATTTAATTTTATTAAACCGCAACATAGAGTTGAACCTGCTATGACAGTTTCAATTTTTGTATTATTAATCAATTCATTATTTGTTTATAAGACTCCTTTAATCAATGTCTCTTTTGGATCTAAAAGACTTTGTTCTATATATTTAGGTAGAGTGATTCTTATAAATCCAGAAACACGCTCTCCATTTACTCCATGACCATCTGCTACTCCATATAAATTTAGGCTTTTTTCTATTATAAAAGCATCTTAATTAATCTTCTGTTTTCCACTCATTAATTATCCTGGTAAACTCATTACTCCTAAATTTGTTGATTATTCTTTTCTACCTACTTTCCAAGACTGTCTGAATATTATAATACACTTACTTAACATCTGAAGTAATCGATTATAATTTTGGTAATCGATCCATTGATTGATATTAATAACGTTTTGGTGTTTCAACTAACAATTCATCTCATATAAATTACTGTAAGATTTCTTATAACCATACTAATATCTATGAGTCATTTATAATTATTATAAATAATAATCAATTCATTAATTCTTCTTAAAAATTGCTCTTCTTATAACTCCCAAACATACCCAAGTTTCTTATTTGTTAATATTTTTGACTTGTTCTTAATCTTTTCTCATCTTAATTCTTTTCTTATTTATAATTATATTAACTATCCTATATTGATACAACGTATTCTTCTTCCAACCTAAAAATTGTATCTAATAAATTAGAATTATTATCAAAAGCTAACTATTTAGCCCTTTAGAATATATCAGGTGTTCCCTCCTATTTTGTAAACACAATTCTTAATTGTAAGATTTCTATATATAACTATATTTTCTAAATTGGATCTCGACTTATTTTTATTGCCTCTAAATAACTCAATTCTGCTATGTCATTTAAATCAACTCTAAATATCTTTAAAAATTTTACAAAAAATACAGATCTCCAATTAACGAATATATTTTAGTCAATAAATTATCATCCTCACATATCTCTGCAGCCACTGTTAAAAATTCATCAATTTTCTTAAATTCTTAAGTCACATCTTAAAATGGTAATGTATTCTCAATCTTTTTAAATTCAATTAATCCATATAGATAAAAAATCTGCATAAATGCTTATTTTTAATACTTAGCTCATTTAAGGATCTAACGGATCAGAAACCCCCATTTTCAAACTCTTTGTTTCTATCGCATGAAGAGCAGATTCATAATCTTCGAAATTTAAATTTAAATTCATAATAATTAAGTGGATGTTAAACAAATTTTCTGCTCTTTAAATATATATTACAATTAGGATTGTAAATAACTTAACACTAAAATTCTTTAAAATATAGTCATACTAAAAAAAAATAGTATATGAAGGATTATTAAATCAATTTTATGTTATATCGTGATTTAAATATCTCAAACATAAGCCAAAATTTCATAAAAATTTAATCATAAAAAATATTAATGTATATTCAGATTTCAATCCTAAAACAATACTTAAAATGTTTAATTATTTAAATTCTATTGATACATCTTTAATTATACTCCTTTTTTATATTAAAATGCTCTAAATATAGATATTAATTTATTTTCATAATTTTTCAAAAACTGCAAAGTTCAATGGAAAAAAACTTCCCATTTTCTATTATCTTATACTAAATATATTGATTATTTGAATTGTTAAATATTTTCTTATCTTTCTCTTAATTTATTTTTTTAAATTGAATAATCCATTTTTATAAATTGATCTCAATTTCATATGATTGATTATAGCTTTAGAAAGAGTTTAGCTAATTCACTTTAAGATAAATTCATTTGAAATTCGATAATTATTAAAAATTTTTAAAAAGCCTTGAATGAAGCTTCTATGAGTTTGTAATTATTCTATATATATCGAATCAAATGAAATTTAAAGAATCTATCTTTCTAGATTAATGTTAAATCATAATGAAAAGAAATGAATCTACAATAATAGTATTTTAATAATATATTTAATATCGTTTTTGATTTAAATGAACAGAAATCTGTCTAGAATTTACTTTTTGAAATTTTTTGGTTCTGAACTATTTTAAAAATGACCTCAGGATAATATTTATTAAGTCCAGTTTTTTACTAGAATTTTATAAAAAAATTACCTTGACCCAAATTTTTAATCCTTTGAATTTTAATATAAAGTATGAAAAGAGTCATTAATTAATCAATAAATTAATGGGAATTTGCAGCTCTAGAAAATCAAATAAAGAAGCAGGAATATAATTACAAATAGAAAAAACAGTGGCTGAGTAGAAATAAATAAAGATAGAAGAAGAACTTTAAGTATAAAACACAACCAGGCGATCAGTTTGTAATTAGTTTTCTACTTTAAATACAAATGGAAATGCAATTACAATACCTTAACCTGAATAAGAAGTATAAGAAAGTAACGAAGGAGAGCCATAATAGCAGAAGACTACTAAAAAGAAAGCTCGATCAACAAAAGATGATGTAAATTACTATAGGAGATCGGATCACTTACTAAAAGTTTTCTCATTGATTGTGGAATTAATTTAAGATGAGCAAAACAAATGTTATAATATTACAATAGGTGCAAAAATTAAGGATTGTGTACATTATGCTCATGTGAATGGAATTTTAATTACTTAAGCAGATTTTGAACTATTTCATTTGTAACCAGATACGTTCAAAGAAGCAAATAAATTTTCTAGAATACCTGCTTTTTTTTCTACTGATAATTATTTTAATATGGACAAAGAAAGTCCAAATAGTTTTATTTCATTTGACAAATTATTAAATGTTGAAAGAAAGATTGCAATAAAGCAAACCTAATAAAGATTAAAAAAAAAATAAAGTACATTACATGATAATTAAAATCAATAAAAAGAAAATGATTATATAATGACTTCGAATTTGGAAATGCTTGAAATTATAACTGTTGTAGACATTGAATAACAATCAAGATTTTTAAATGTGCTATTTCACTTAATCTTATAGCATTATCATTAAAATCTTGATTTGTATTTAGTATTTATAATAAATACTACCTTTCTATTTGAAATACCTCCATAATTTGATTAACCTAATATGTATCGATTGGCATTGTTTTATGATAGACTTTCATATTCTTTGAAAGATTTGTAATAAATTTTAATCAATGAAAAAAGTGAATTAAGCATAATTTTACATAAAAAGTTGTCTTTAAATTTAATACTGATTTTCATAAATTGTTATGAGAAATACCTTTATAGACTAAATTTTACTCTGTCTACAATATTTTATGTTCCAAAATATAAATCATTTAAATTAGAATCTTTTGGAAGAATGAAAAGTCTAATATAATTAGGTTAGAATCCTGATGTTGCCTTAAAAACTATAGAAGAAAAGAAATATAAGTAATTTGTAAAAAGCTTTAAGAAGGATATGTTTGCAATAAGCGATTTGATTATTTATTTCAAAAATGTGTAGAATTAAAATTTAAGATCCATAACTACGACTAGAAAAAAGTATTTTACAAATATAAAAAAAGATAAATTAGATAGTTTAGATGATGAAAAAAATTATTGTTTATTAGCTGAGAAAATGTTTAGTTAGAATGAAGATCGTTATATCCTTGAGTTTTTAAAGCTGGCAATTTATTCATATGAAGTGAATGACATTGATAAATTGATTTAAGATATTAAATAAGTTAGCGAAAGTATTCAAAAAGACTTAAATGAAGTAGAATATTAAGATTCAAAATAATTTGATTAATAAGATTAAAATCTTGAAATGAGAAAATAATCAAACTCTAATTCTGTTGATTTAGATAATTTGAATGGCATAAAACAAATGGAAATCTTTCCGATAAATATATGTGAAGATTACAAATCGGTCGCTTTGAATAAAGATAAAATTACAGAAGTTGAACAAACATATAAAGAGATTATTTATTAATCATTATTATATTCAAAAAGATTTTAAGCTTATTATGAAAAGTTTCAAAATTTATAAAAACCAGTATTTTAAAATTGCTATGTGGAAATCCTAAATACTTTCTATTTTATTCGATAATATCCAGATGATTCATGGTAAGAAAAATTAAAAATTGTATCTCAAAAAATGGATAAAGTTGTTTAAACAGTTCAAACAGTAAGAGATGATAGTGTAGACAATTTTCACATAACATTGTTATTTTAGATTTTGACCTTGTCTCAAAAAAAGCCTTTGATAATTTTAAATTAGTTATCAAAATGCATTTCCAATTAATTAAAACAGAAACTACAAATGGATCATAGATTAAGGAGTTAAAATTAAGCAAAAGGATTGCTTGAACAAAAAAAGCATGTGATGTTATAAGTATGGTCTGCATTATCATACCTTAATTAAGATAATTATTTTTAAGCAATAAGTAAAATTTAAAAAGCTATAGGATTCTAATTAAAAAACTAACATTAAGCATCATTATCATATGGTTATTCTTTATTAGTAAGTGGAGAGATAGCAAGAATAAGTTTAGCACCAGTTTCAGCTATGCTTAATTTAGAAATGAGCTTAGTGATATATAATCAATTCTTTCCAGAATATAAGTAAATTGAAGATCAATAAGATATCTCAGATAAATCTGATTATAATCCCTTTTAAATAAAATATAAAGATGTGAGAGTTAAAAATTTAGCTACTAGCAACAAAGCTAAATTAGAGTTTCTTCTTGGAATGAGTTACTTTGATATACATGATTAAGAGAATTCGCTATTATGTCTTAAAAGGGCTTAAGAATTAATGTTAAGATCATTTCATATATATGCTGAAGAAGTAGTATTTTTGGTGTTGTAACAGTTATAGATTCATGTATTGCAGGATGATATAGGACATGTAATGAATATTGCATTATTTTATGCTAATGATATGAATGAATAATACAGAAGAGGAAAAGAATTTAAAAAGAAGATAATTTCAAAATTACAGTTTATAATAGGGTCTGTTTTTGAATTCAATGGATAATATTTAAGTGCAATTCGATTTATTGAACGCTCAAATCGGACGCTTTCAAAGTCTAAATGTAATAATTTTGTAATTCAAATGCACTATTAAGCCAAAAAAATTCAAATAATTTCAAAATTGAAGTAAGCTTTTTTGAAAATAAAAAGTAAATAGCAATTGAGATGTGAATAAGATTTGAGTTTATTTTAGACATTAAATGAATCATTGGGCCAAACATTTTAAACGCTTTTTTTTAAATAACCTATTACAATGAAAACTTCAGTTTTATTGGAAAAATTTGGGAAGCAGATAATCCATATTTAAGGTTTGATGAGAACAGATGGATTCAGTAAAGCTATAAAATTATTGGGAGATTTGATCAAAGCTTTGAATAGAAGTAAAAAAGATGAGATATATGGTTTGGTTTAGGATAAATATCTTATTTTATCTCTGGATAAAATTAATTCAAAAGAAATTGAAAAACAAATAATTAGTGTGATAGAAATTCATGATAGATACTTATAATTTCCACTAAAATAACATCATGTGCTTAAATGCTAAATGATTTTGCTCTGCATACTTTTAAAATTGAAGAACACTACTTAAATTTTTGAACAATTCAAAAACATTGAATAAACAATCGATGACTTCTAAACTATTTTATAATGGAAATCTCTAACTCAGAATAGCAGCGATGTTTATGTACAAAATAAATTTGAGACCATAGTGAAAAAGGGAAAAATTGCAATGGTCTATTAGATTGCAAATGTAACATAATTGATTGAGCTCTTTAATAAGCTGAAGAAAAAAATATTTGAAAATTTATAAAATAGAGAAAAGTTTGTAGATATAGCCAATCTATTTTAGAAGAAGATAATAAATAGTTAGGCTTTTATAAAACTATTAGAAACAAAATAGGAATGTTTACTAGGGAGTTATTCTTAAGTGAAAATAGTGAATGAAGCAGAGTAAGACCAACAACAATAAGAACTAAATATTTAAAGAGAAAATCAAAAACAGTTTTAGGTTGAGTAGTCAACAGAAGTTGATGCAAAAGAGAATTAAAAATTAGTTTTTGATTTGAGAAGCATTGAAGAATTGATGATGGAAAAGAAGTTAGCCCACCATAGGAAAGGGCAAACCTAAGAAGCATTATAAAAAATAGAAGAAAAAGTTGAACCTGAAGAAATAAAGAAACCTCATAAAAGAAATTAAACGGAAATCACTTTAAATAATGAAACGAAAAAAAAGAAAACAGAATATAAAATCAATCCATTTTTAAGCACTATAAAAAATAAAAAAAAATAGTAATAATGATTATATAGAGTTATTTAATATACATTTAAAAATTATATGGTTATTTTTTTCAATAACTTTGGGTTAGGAAATGTCCTTAATTGTTTTATTTGAGCATCACTTAAGAATGACTAAATTTAATTTAAGTTATCATAATCTATTTCAAACTACTAAAACGACTTAGTTTTTATTTAAACAGAATCACGAATATTTTTATAACTAAATAATGTTGGATAATTAGTATATCAACTAATAAATCCGTTAATTTAATTTCAAAAATGTTTATCAATTATTTTTCAAAATTCTAAATCAATAATTTATAGATTGTATTCAATCAAATGAAGGATATTTTATTTAATTATAAAAAATTTAAAAATTAGGCCTAAATTAAATATTTAATTTTAAATCATTGACTAAATTTAAGTATGTTAAAAAAAAGTACCATTTTAGAACATTTATTAATTTATTATTTCAATATTCAAAATTTAATTATAAATTTATAACAAGTTATATAAATATAGATTGGAGTTATAAATATTTGAAAAAATAATTTTTAACTTCCAATGGCTGCAAATTTGCTCGAAATTCTCACAAAAATTATTGCAATTTTACATCGATAAATAGTTATTCAAGAATAATTTAGATTAAAATTTAGCTAGGTAATTTTAATTCATATTAAAGAGTTATGAATTTCAATCTTAATTTTATATTTACATGTTGAGATTCAATAATATTATTGTAATATTAGCATAAGTTTATTAGTTTTAAATGCTTCAATAATAATATCTGATGCTAGTGTTATTATTTATTTTATTTCAACAGATTCTACACAATGAACTCTAAAATGAAAATGATGGGTTGTTACATAAGTTTCTTGTGTAATAATTTATGCTTAAAATTGCAATTTTAATATATTTTTTAAGTGTTCAATTTTTTAAGATAGATTTATCGTTCCTGATAATACTTTTTAAGAAAGATCTTTTCTAATAGCATTATCAAAAATTTTTATTTCCTTGAAAATTCATATCAGAAATAATATGAGGATCAATGACAAAGGATAACTGAGAAAATTAAAATGCAATTAAATTAATTGAGAATTAATTAAGAGAATGATCTAATTGGAAAGTGTAGAAATTTATTTTGATGAGTAATTATCTATAAAAAAATCGTAATTTTCGATATTTCAAACTGTCAGATAATAAAGAATTATGATATTTATATATTTAATTAATGTTGATGTAGATATTATATAAAAACGCATTAATTATTTATTAATGAAATTAATAAATTATACAACAAAGGCTTTATTCAATCTCAAAGTGTTTAAGTTAAATCTTAATAACCTAATCCATGATTAAATACAAGCGTTTTTTGTAATGATCTTTTTAGCATTGCTATATAATATTTTATGAGAAGTATTACAATAATTGATGTAAAATTGCTGCCTTTTTTATTTTACAAATTCTATAGCTTCTTTTAAATCATATTAAAGAATTGAAGCTAAATATAGAACAATGATAGATGGGGCTCTTCCTATTCCTGCTGTACAATGAACATAAACATATTCATATTCATTGATTAATTTTTTAAGAATTTAAACTGCTTTATTAGATTTTTTTTCGAAATCTTTTGCATCCATATCAAAAATTTAATAATTCTTCATCACAATATTATGTCTTTTATAAGCTTCGACAATTTATTCCCAATTAACTCCTCTATGGAACATATCAAGTCGAGTTTAGAGATTAAGAACTGCTCTCACCTACTTTTACTTTAAGTAAAGAATATCTTTTTCATTTTATGGGTAAGGTCCAATTATAATATTCTCATTTATTTCATAAGTTTAGAATTATACAACAAAATTCCAATCTAATTTATTTAATCTTCCAAATTCTTCATAATAAAAAAAAGAAGGCTCTTTATCAGCAAAAGAGTATCCTTAATTATTTTATTTGATCTTAGTTTTTGGTATTGTTGAAGATGAGAAAGATCCATTTTTATGAATTTATTTTGCTTAAAAAGCTGAGTATATTTATGTTTTCACTTTAATTGGATGATGATCATACTAATCTAATACCTACCTTATTGAAGACAAATCTGCAGTTTTTAAGTAACGTCCATTGCCACGTTCCCATATCATATTTCCTGTTTCATCATTTCTAATTACATAATAATAACGAAAGAAAAAGTTTAAGGGATTTACAATAAATGATATAGACCATTATTGTATTGGTTCTTGGGTTACTAGAAAAATTATATTGATATATTACAAATATCAATTTTCAATTGTTATTTCATAAGTACAGGTGATATCCAAGAACCAATCTCAGGAATAGATCCTATTATCATCATTCGTTCTTTAGGTTGTAAATTGTGATTAAGTTTTAGTTTTATAGTTCTATATCCCCAAAATTCCTCTAGAATAATATTAAAACTGTATTACAATTGAAGTACTCGCTCTTCTTTCCATTTAGAAGCAAATGCTTTGTAATAATACGATTTTCACCAGGTTCCCAAAAAGCTTTGTGAATGGAAGGCTCAGAATAATCGTTCACTATGAATTTGTACTCATATTTTCGACCGACTCGAGGTAATTTTATACAAATCGTCCATTCATTATTCTTTTATTTTCAATTTTATTTACCTAATTCCATTACAAACGTAGTGCCTTACACGGATCCCAATTTCCTAAAGATTCATCGTCACCACATAAATAAAGTGCCTATCCAAATTATGTTATGTAATGAATCTTAAAGTAAATTTTCACAATTCTCACATCCGTAAATGATGTGTTAGTTGATACTGAGTTCATTTATAAATAAATAAAAATTTTAAAGTAAACTAAAATTATTTTCAAATTTAATTCATTGAGAAGTGGATTTTCAATATCATTTGAATAAATACCAAATCATTAATAGCTTTACTAAATTATTTATGCAAATCTTTATATCAAAAATTTTAAATTTGAATAGATTAATCATTAGAGCTTAAAGAAATGTCTATATTTAATCTGTAATTAAAATTACATTCTTTAATATTAAAAGAATTTATTTTTATTTCTGCATAAGTAATCTTTGATTATTTTTATAATAAACCAAGCTAAAAATGCATTAATTTTTATCGTTAAATTTTAGTTTTTTGGTCCTTATGTAGAATACTCATTAATAACTTACTATCAATATATAAGAGTACTTAAAAATATTAATAATTTTATTTTATTTAATCATATTATAATTAAGCTTTATATAGAAATATTTAATTAATAAATTTTGTAAATTAAATTTATGTTTCAATTATTACCAAATACATATCTAGTATATCCTGGTAATCTGATTGAGTCATCAAGATCTTAAGAAAACCTGGATTATTAAGATATTTTTGACATTTCATTCTATTAATTTTGTTTATTATCTAAATTAGTCATACTATCAACTTTTTATTAAAGAGCAGGTTATTATTCAATTGATTATCTTGTAGCTAGTTAGGGGGGATGAATCAATATATCTAATTATTGCAAATAATTTTAATAAGCTTCTCTAGTTGAAAATTTTTTTAAAAACTCATTAAAACTAATTCTACCTGATTTATATTACTATAGCATAAAGAATACTCTATAATAATCATTGCCTTTAATTTGAACTCCTTTAGATTTGATATAAATTACAAAGTCATTGTATATTAAATATCCTTTTTATTTCTAATCCAATTTTCTAAAAAAGTCTTCAAGCAATTGAATATCATTTCCTATTTGTGTTCTTAGGTATAAAACACTTCTTTCAATTTTTGCATACAAACTAAAAATTTAATGGACTAATTTTTATTGATCCTAATTCAAAATTCCTTCCTATTATGTTTTAGATTATCTCCATTATGGTGTGGTAGAAAATTTGAATAAATTAGCAAATTCTGCATATGAAATGATATTATCATCTTCTCCACCTAAAGTTGAGAATAGAGATTCTATTTCTTCTCTTTTAAGAAGAATATCTAACTTTTGTAATGTGATAATGAAATCTTCTAATTGTAATTTTCTATCTCCATTAACATCAAAAAATTCGAAAAGTTTCCATAAACTAAAAGTTGGATCATTATTTAATTTGTTTTAACAATTTGTTAATTGTTCAAAAACATGATTGGTAGCAATTAAGAAACTAAAAAAATGATATTCTTCAGGAGTAAGTGATTTGATTTATTTTTGGAGTATATTTTTGAGATCATATTGTTTATTTTCATCAACAGCAAGAGGTATAAAAGGTTAGGCTTATGTCATTAAAAATATTTATTTGAAAAAATAATAAGTTAAAAATAATTGCAGCATAGAATTGATATTATAAACATTTATATAAAAATTAATGAATTCTAGATCTCTTATTTTTTAAAAAATAAAATTTAGAACTAAATTTTTAGAAGTTATTGATTAAAAATAAATGGTAATAATTTCGATAATCTATAAGATTTTGATTAGATAATGATGAATTTGTAAAATATGAATGTATTGATAAAATCTATTGATTTTGAAGATAATTAAATTTAACATTGTATTTTGTATTAAATATTTAAATAATTTAAATTCATAATGTTTACAGGTGGTATATTTGGGAACCAAAATCCAAGTTAATCAACAGGAGGAATAGGAGGAATACTAGGTAATATAATTTAAGACAATTAAGGTCAAACATAGTAATCTACATTTGGTGCACCATAAGGAGGATTATTTGGGAATACAGCTCCATAATAAGGTTTATTTGGATAAGGTTAAGGTTAATAAGGATAACCTGGATTTGGTGGTATGATGGGTGGTTAAATGACATAAGGAGGATTAGGTGGAAATCTTGGAGGAGGACTAGGTGGAGGACTTGGTGGAGGACTAGGAGGAGGATTAGGACTTTAATAATAAACTTCAAGTACATTTGGAACAACAGGAGGAGGATTAGGTTAACCTCCAGTATTAGGATAATAGGCTCCAACTTTTGGAGGATTAGGAACAGGATTAAGTGGAGGTGGTCTTGGAAATGGATTTGGATAATAACCAGGATTGATGGGTTAATAACCATAATAAACAGGAAGTTTATTTGGATAAGCACCTTAAAGCGGAGGATTATTTGGATAATAATAATAATAGCCATCTTTATTTGGATAATAATAATAATAATAATAACAAACTTAATAACCAGCAACAGGATTATTTGGAGCTTCAGCTCCTGCTTCTTAACCATATGGATAATAAGGAGGTTTATTTGGATAAACACCTTAATAGCCATAATAAACTGGATTTGGATTTGGACAATAATAAACAGCAACTCCAGGATTTGGAGGAACAGCTCTTTTTGGTTAATAATAACCTTAATAATAAGTATAAAGTGGTCTAGGATTTGGAGGAGGAGGATTAGGATAGTAAACTTAAACAGGAAATTAAATTGTTATACCTGGAGGTGTTGATGATTCAGTAAATGATGCTACTTTAGAATAAAGAATTAGATTAGAAGATTCTGTATCAGCTATATGTTGGGGAACAACAACATTACCAAATTTTTTAGTAATCTCTTCATGGGATGGAAAAGTCAGAATTTTAGAAATTCAACAGAGCTCATATAAAAGAGAACTTTTTGAAAGAAGATCTTTCTAAGTTGATGGTGCTGTAGGATAAGTTCAAAATCCAATAATTTGTATGGATGCTAAAGGAGATTTATCATAAATATTTATTGGTTGTGGATTTGATCATACAGTTAGAGTTATTGATGTAAATTCTGGTTAAATTGTTCCCATAGGATAACATCAAGCTTTAATAATATCTGTTTATTGGATAGAATCAGCATAAATGATATTATCTATTTCTGCTGATTAATCTTTAAAAATGTGGGATGTTAGAGCTCCTGGTTAGCCAAGATTTTAATGTCAATTTTAACATAAACCACTTGTTTCTGATTGTAATTTCCCATTATTAGTAATTGGATTTGCAACTGAAAAATTAACAATCATTAATTTAAATGAAATTTAATAATTACCAGGAAGATTTTAATATATTGATTCACCTCTTGGTACATATTCATAATTAACCTCTATTGCAATATTTCCAGCAAGAGATGGATTTACATTAGGTTCTATTGATGGAAGAGGACATTAAACTAATATCATAACCAAATCTACATAAGGTATGCCTACAGAATTTTCATTAAAGTCTATTATGACCTTTAAAGCTCACAAAGTAATTATTTATTTTTATATTTTATAGGTTGAAGATAATCAAAAAGGAAAAATTTAAAACTATTTCTTTCCTGTTAATTGTATATAAATGAATGTCAAGAATAACTTCTTTCTCATGACTGCTGGAGGAGAAGGTTAAATGATCTTTTGGGATATTAATGTAAGAAATAAAATAAGAACATTTTAATTCAATTGTAATCCTATTGTTTGTGCAAAAATGAGTCCTGATGGTTCCATGCTTGCATATGCTTTAGGTAATGATTTTTCTAAAGGACCTGAATACTTTAATGAATTCTAACCTAAAATTTTTGTTCATTTCATTCCAGACAACGAATTAAGATACCCTAAAAATTGATTTCGTTTTTAATATCTATATTTTCATACCTATACAAAAACTAATTATATAAGATTTTAATAAATATCTAATTCAAAAAGAAAATACTCCTAATTAAGTACAAAATAAATAAATCACTAATATTTCTATTTATAACTAAAAATAGTTTTAATGTATATAAATGGAATATAAATGTATTATTAAGATGGATATTAAAATATTATTAATTTAGAATAAAAGAATGAGTTGAAAATTGATGATTCTTATTTTTATAGATAATATTTTAAATTAAATACTTGATATTAAATAATCATGGGTGCTACTTAAGCATAAAAGTTGCTTTAAAAAGCAATAGAAACAGATAATATTGAAAATACAAAATAAGTTTTGAAAGAATTTCCAGAGTTATTGAATACTATTTTGTATCCTGCAGGAAATATAACTCCATTAGCAAGAACATCGTGGAGAGGATGTTTAGATATGGTTATGTTATTATGTGAAGGAGGAGCAAATCCAGATATACCAGATAAAGATGGTTTGACTCCTTTAATGTGGGCTGCTAAAAGAGATCATGCAAATATTTGTTGTACCTTATTGAGATTTCATGCAGATATCTCAAAAAGATCAAGAGAAGGATTTACAGCATTAGATTATGCTATATTATTAGGAAACTATGATTCTGCATATATTATTTATGAATTTGATAAATTGATTTAAGAATCATCTAGCTATGAATTAATTAGAACAATTAAACAATGGAGATATGTAAATTATGAAGTATTTCTATAATCATTATAACAATCTATCATGCCTTAAAATGTTGGTGATTTCACAACTAAGCCTATAGGTAAGCAATTTTATAATACTAATTTAGGTAGAATTTATAATGATCCAGTTGTTGATCCAAGGGAATCATGGAAGGATATGTTGAAAAGAATTATGAAATTTGATCCTCCTCCAATTTGTGAAAGAAGTGAGTTACCTCAACATCTCTAACCATAAAATAGATTATTGGGAAGACTTAATAGTTATATTTATGGGATGAATCCTATGCCGATCGAAGGTAATTCTATGGAAATGTAAATACCAGAAACTAATAATGAATTTGTGTGAAATATAATATATAACATAGTTCTGAATTTGTTAAATTTTATAAATTCTAAAATACTATCATATATTCAAATTTATAGAATTTTTATAATGTCTGTTGATTAAATTTATGTAGTCAATAAATTTTAATAATTTATAGTGAGATAGATAATTCTTTAAATATATGCTCATTTTTATAATGGTTCTAAATATTAAACATAAAATTGTTAATATATTAAAAATAAATTAAATAAATTCTAAAACAAAGTAGGTTTGAAGATAATATAATTTATCATATTATTCATTATCTTAATACTATCTTTATTATAATAATAAAATGCTAAAATTTGATTGTTATTATTATAATTTAATTTTTTATATTTATCTATTTATATCATTCAAACTTTGGTTTGATGACACCAACATTATTGTAATATTCATCATGAATTTATGATCTATCTGTATAAGTATGAGCAAATATGAATGCTGATCCAACAACAAGGAAAGAATATAATTTAAATCTTTTCCAATTTTGATTTTGCAAATATCCTTATTTAAAGACAGCTTTATTCTTTGGTCTAAAAATGAAATTTATATAAATACTGATAGTATGTAGGTACACCAGTTGTTGTTTATCTGTAAAAATATGAAACAGGGATAAACTGATTTAATATTATATTATATTACATATAACAAGCTGAACACAAGTCCAGAAGCAGCAAAGTTAAGAATCCATTCATATTTGTATGTATTTAATTTATCAGCATAATCCATTTTTCTTTCTCTCAAGGCTTCATTCATATAAAATTTATAGAGTGGTTGATCATAAAAGGACTTTTCAACTGTAGCAATATATCTCTTTTCTTGATCTCTATTAGGAACGGGTGGAATCTAATCTTCGAATCCCATTTTTAATAATTTTTATTATTAATAAATCAATAAACTAATCTGAAGATATCATTATGCACGTATAAACCTCCTTAGCCATTTGGAAGAATTTAAAAACTTTATGAGAATTTGTATGTCTCAGCATCATCCATCTACAATTATCCAGTGACAAAAATGAATAAAGAATTCTCCAATGCTCCTGGTTAAACATCCATATCATCAATTTTATAAACTATTTTTTAGAAGGCCAATGATTCTAATTTCTCATTTATTTATTTTAAGCCATCATGTTATTATCCACCTTTAAAATAATAAATCCAAAACAAATACCATAAGTCATATGAGAAGCATCAGTATAAAATTAGATTAATCCCATTTTATTAGTCATTAAAGTCTAATAGTATTGTTAAAGGAATTGTTAAGCAATTGTTTAGGCGGGATTCATAATTAAAAAAAAATAAAAATATTTTTAATGTTTTGAATTATTTAAATTTTTGTATTTATTCTCTGAAAATTATATATAAATTTTAATCAAAAAGTATAAAGAAAAATACATTATACAACTAAATTGCTATTCTTAATGATCATTCCATCCACTTAAGTTAAAGTTCTTTTATTAAACTTACATATTTTTGTTCTTAATTTATTTATATAACACTTTAAAAAACTATATTAATAATGCAAATTGATAATCTACTAGAATTAATTATTTTACTATTATCATTCTTGATTTGAAATTATAATTGATTCAAAAACAATCAAAAGTTTTATATGCTTTTTTATTATAAAAAACAGAAGAAGATAAATAAAAACTTAACATAATTTATTAAACTATAATTAATATGATATTAATAATAATACTTTTTCATATGAGCAATTTAAATTTTCTACATAGAAAATATACTATTATTATTGTAATTAATAGGTTTTGGTTCTTATTATTGTAATGTATATTGCAATCTTCATGAACTAAAGTTTCTCATATTTAATTTAAATTAATCTTTTTTATCTAATTTGGATTTTCATATTTTTCTATTTAAAGTTTTGGATCAATTTATTCATTAATTACAATTATAATAAAAGATCCCTAATTTTTTGTAGCTTTTTAGATTTTTATTTTATTTTTGAAAGGCTTTCTCTATAAGTATAATTTTTATTTGGAGAATCTTACTGATTGAAAGATTTTTGGGTTGTAAAAGTTAGAATGCACCAAAATTTTTAATGATTAAAATTACCATATTATATTAATATATATATATTGTAGATACAAATTACAGATTATAATTTTAGGATTTCAAGAATTGACTAAATTAGATTAAATCTATACTTATTATTCATGATTATTCAATATAATTAATATTATAAATAATTGAGTAAAATATTTATGAAAGGAGCAATGGATGATACTTAAGAAAAATAGTAAGGAGACCCAGAATTAAATAATGAAGAAAAACACATTTTAGAATAAAAATGTATAATGCATTTAAAATATTGATAAGAGCAAATATTGAATAACAGTGGTGTATTAGCTGCTTATGAATATTTTTTGAGAAGACTTTGTAAAGATGGATTTCCAAGTGGAAATGTTTATGAATATGCAGCTTAAGCTGTTTTAAAATATGAAAAAAAGAAATAAGCAGAACAGTTTCGACAACAGACAATGGCAAAATCTTTAGCAGAACTCTAATTAAGTAGGATATTATATAATAAATTAAGATGAAAAACTTAAGGCTTAGATTCAAGCTAGTAAAAATGATGGTAAAGCTGATCAAAAAAACGATAAAAATGATAAAAATAAATCACCTCAAAAGGGTAATAAAGATTAAAAGGAAAAAAATCCAAAAGATCAAAATTAAGGGAAAAACGATAAGAAAGACACAAAAGCATAAGGTATTTTATTATTATTAACTTTATAAAGAGAAAACAGATCCTAAATAAAAAAAGAAATGAGTTACATATTTTAAATTTATTTCTTAAAAATATGTTAATATTATATTTTACTGAAAATTATGATCTCATTCAAAAGATTAAATAAAGAAGAGCTTATTTATATAGTTATAATATGAAGTAATCTCAAAAACTTTTATTTAAAGTATTTAAAAATTATTGTTTGTTAATCAACAATTGGACACCTTTCTATAATCTCAAAACAGTTGCAATATCTAATTATTTGACAGCATAACTTCGTTATTTTTTATCAGCATAAGTTCTCAATAAGAAATATTGTTTAGCATAATCTCCTGAATTTACATATAGATGATATTCAATTAATTTTAAAAACACTTTCTCCATCTCATTAATTTGAACAGTCGAAAATTAAGGAAGAACTTTAGCAAAATTATTATTTTCAAATGATTCATCATCCCATATTTTAGAAGCCATAACTAAAGATGTAAATAATATTTTCTGCCAATTCAAACAATTTATTTATAAAGTTTCATTATATTCCAATAATCTATTTATATAGATCATTGATATAATTGCCACTTCTCTTTCCATTTTAGTTGTTATCATAATATTTTTACAATAATTTTGTATAATATCTACATTGGGTATATAATTTTGCATTTCCATATCAATAAAAACTTTATTATATAATATAGATTCTTGTAAATTTAAAGTTGTATCAACTGAAAATTATGATTAAGGTAATTAATGACTTAAAATAGTTTTAAATAATAACTTATTTTGATCATCAGGCTAGAATTATTCTTTCTAATAATTTAATTCAGTATTGCAGATTAATTCATCATTATTTTCTAAATTTTCAAGAAAATTTTCTTCAAAGTCTTCATCTTAATATTAATCTAAATTTTGATCTTAAGGAGACTATTTTTCATTATTATGATTTTTTTGAAAGGTCTAATTTTAAATGAATTCATCATAATTATCATCTTTTATAATATTCTCATCTAATATTATTTTTGTTTAATACTATCTGATTAAATAGATTGTTTATCATCAGTCTCTAAAATTACATTTGAATTTAAGTTTTTTATCAAATCTATATCAGCTATAACCATCATTTTTTTAATTGAAATCCCAACACAATAACTTATTTCTTCAATATCAATATTAATTAATGTTGATGCTAATCTTCCATTGTCAAAAGATTGATACATTAAATTTATTTGTTCTCTTTCTAAATTAATCTCATTGCAATTTTTTCCATTTATCAATAATAATTTATTAATAAATTTAAAAGATTTTTCTTAATGTTAATTTAAGTCAGATAACTATTTCTTTGTCTAATTTAATTTTTTACTATAATTTTAAATATTTTTAGTTGATTGTTTTAAAACAACCTCTTTTTTTTAAGGTATTTATTCACTTTTAAAATTTGTTATTTATAAATCTACTTATTTAGAATTAAGTTCTTCAATTGAACTTTCTTTTTTACCCTTATTTGAAACTTATTCTAATTTTGGTAGTATTCTTGGTTTAATTTATGCCATTTCTTAAGAAGGTGAAAAATGTCTCATTGATGCTTTTCTATTTATTGGCTTTAGAATTTGCATGTATACATCTTTTGTTTATTCAAATTTTCCATGTGAATTAAATTATCCAGGTAAAGTATTTCGATTTTAAACATATTTATTATGATTTATTGGCTAAGAAGTATTGTCGTTGTAAGTTCCTATATGTTCATTTAATTGTTTAAATAAATCTAAAAATTTATGTTTATGTCCAGGTAATAACTTTATTTCTTATAACAATAAGTTTTATTATTCTTGAGATTGTTATGCTAATTATTGCAAACCACTCTTATATCCTCTTAATAATAGCTTATTTGCATATTATTATAAATTGTACTCGACTAATTATCTATTATCATTATATTCAAATTACTTATAAAGAATGCTATCTTTAATGCCTGTTAAATCTGAACTATTCGTTACATTGCTACTATATTCAGTATCTCTATTAATTTTTTCTAATTCAAAATAATAGAGATTGATTACTTTTTGATGTAGTTTTTTAGTTATTTGTTAATGTTGATTTAACATTTAAAATTTAATTCACATAACTCTTTAATCTTGCATCAGCATCCCATTTTCTCATTCTTTTTTTGATTATTTATAATAAATAATTATAATCATAAAAATATATATAAATATAACATTCTCTCTCAAAAGTTTCTATATTATCTATCACTATTTGATTGAGTTTATCTATATGCCAATCTTGCCCTAATTTTATAAAATATTATTATACCAATAATTTTAATTTAAATTACTCATATCATTTTTCTTAATTGTAAAAGAATCATCTAAACATTCCAATTTTATTTAAAGAGTATTTTTTCTACTATGGAAACTAAATTTTGTTTCATTTTTATGATCTAACATTAAACTATTATTGCTAGTATTTCCAAATTCTTTTTAGTTTAAAGATAACAAACGTTCTACTCTAAGAATGTTTCTTTATTATAATTTTTCTCTATTTTTGTTTATCAAATTTATGTTGAAAAACTACATAATTCATTTATAAATTATTATTTTTTATAATATGNTTTCTTAAGAAGGTGAAAAATGTCTCATTGATGCTTTTCTATTTATTGGCTTTAGAATTTGCATGTATACATCTTTTGTTTATTCAAATTTTCCATGTGAATTAAATTATCCAGGTAAAGTATTTCGATTTTAAACATATTTATTATGATTTATTGGCTAAGAAGTATTGTCGTTGTAAGTTCCTATATGTTCATTTAATTGTTTAAATAAATCTAAAAATTTATGTTTATGTCCAGGTAATAACTTTATTTCTTATAACAATAAGTTTTATTATTCTTGAGATTGTTATGCTAATTATTGCAAACCACTCTTATATCCTCTTAATAATAGCTTATTTGCATATTATTATAAATTGTACTCGACTAATTATCTATTATCATTATATTCAAATTACTTATAAAGAATGCTATCTTTAATGCCTGTTAAATCTGAACTATTCGTTACATTGCTACTATATTCAGTATCTCTATTAATTTTTTCTAATTCAAAATAATAGAGATTGATTACTTTTTGATGTAGTTTTTTAGTTATTTGTTAATGTTGATTTAACATTTAAAATTTAATTCACATAACTCTTTAATCTTGCATCAGCATCCCATTTTCTCATTCTTTTTTTGATTATTTATAATAAATAATTATAATCATAAAAATATATATAAATATAACATTCTCTCTCAAAAGTTTCTATATTATCTATCACTATTTGATTGAGTTTATCTATATGCCAATCTTGCCCTAATTTTATAAAATATTATTATACCAATAATTTTAATTTAAATTACTCATATCATTTTTCTTAATTGTAAAAGAATCATCTAAACATTCCAATTTTATTTAAAGAGTATTTTTTCTACTATGGAAACTAAATTTTGTTTCATTTTTATGATCTAACATTAAACTATTATTGCTAGTATTTCCAAATTCTTTTTAGTTTAAAGATAACAAACGTTCTACTCTAAGAATGTTTCTTTATTATAATTTTTCTCTATTTTTGTTTATCAAATTTATGTTGAAAAACTACATAATTCATTTATAAATTATTATTTTTTATAATATGTATTGTAAGAAAAAAGAATTTAGTTCCAAATTTCTTATTATTTTTATTTTTTTTTTCAATTACATTATTATAAAACTATTCTAGATTATAGTTTGAATCTTATTTGATTATATATCTTGTATCAAGAATCTTACTTTATGTAATGAATATCTATTAATAAAAAATTTTGATTAACTGTTTAAAGAATTTTAAATTTAAATATAATGTATGACACTAGATAGATACATTTTGATAAAGATTCTTCTCTTCATAATATAAGTAATCTTAGTGATAAAAAGGATTATCATTTTTATCAAAGAGATTTATTAGCAGAGTTAAATCATAGTTAATAAAGATTAACTGTTTAAGAATTGGAGAATAAAGTTGTGATGTTAGCAACAGAAAATGAAAGATTATTATCATAGTTAAGTGAAAAAAATAGAGAAATAGATTTATTATTAGAAGAATAAAGAATGTTGTAGAATGCTTATTAATCATAAAAGGATGATAGATATCGAGCAATAGAAAATAGAACTACTAAAATGATTTATGAAAATGAAAAGGTTGTTTTAATGAATTAGAGTTTATAAATATAATTGGAAGAACTCTCTTATTAATATGAATCATTGTAAAAAAAGTTTTAAGTTGAAACAGAAATAATTGAATAAAAATGGAAAGCTCATTATGGAGAATTGTATGAATAATAAAATAAGAATCTTACTGCAAATGTTGAAAAGGTTTTGAATGAATTAAAATAAAATTAAGAGCTTATATAATCTTATGAAGAAAAATTAAAAAATTGTTCAAAAGAATTGCAAATGGCTAAAGAATAATTGGATTTTAAAGAGAAAAAAGGAAATGAGTTATTAAATAATAATCAATAAATTAGTAATATCATAGAATAATAGGATACACTTATAAAAAAGAATACAGAAAAGATCTAATAATAATAAATATCATTAGAATAATAACTTAATGAAAATAGATAATAAAAATAGAAATTAATTAATTATGAAAAAGATATAGAAAGTAGAAGAATTAAGTATGAAGAATTAATAATACAATTTGAAGAATTAAAATTATTGGAAAAAGAAGATAGATAGTAATTAGAAAGAAATGATTAAGAATTTTAATAATACAAACTTGAAATTAATTAGATGAAAAATAATTTAAATGAACTGAATAGAAATCATAAATTATAACAATAAGAAAATTAACATAATTATAACAAGGAAATCAATCATCTTAAAAAATAAATTTAATAAGTGATTATGGAAAATGAAGATTTATAGAAATTATTAAATTAAACAAGATTAAATTTAAATAATGAAATTAGCAAAACAAATAGTTTAGAGAAATAATTAGCAGATAATGCTTAAGAAATATAAATTAAGGAATAATAATTGCTTATGTAATATAAAGAATTGGAAGCTTAAAAATTGAAATTTGATAAATTATTTTAAGAGAATACATCGTATTTAAAATAATAACAAAATCAATTTGATATAAAATTGTTATAAAATTAACAATAAAATAAATTAGTAATTATTATATCTATAAAGTTTAGTAAACAGAACAAATTGTTTAATAAAAAAATAAAGAAATTAATAATCTGAATGAAAAAATAAATGTTTTATTACAGAAAATAGATGAATAAGCTTCTTATATATAGCAATTATCTTATCAAAGTAATATAAAAGGAGAAGAAATTGAAGAAACAAGACCATAAATATAAAGTCTTAGAAATGAATTACATAGACTTTAATAACTTGCAGTAGAATAGAGTAATGAGATAGATAATTGGAAACTTAAGACAATTCGTATGGAAGAAAATTATGAAATGTAAAATAAAGATTAACTTGAGAAATTGTAAAGATTTTAAGATGAAATACAATAGCTGTAAACTAAATTACATAAAGTGTAAGAAGAGAATATCAAAATAAGCAATAAGTTATAAGAAACTCTTTCTAATTTAAATTAATTACAACAGTTGTTATCAGAAACTCATTAATAATTAAAATTTGCTGAAAACAAAATAGAAATATAAACTTAAGAATTAATAGAAACCATTTAATTAAGAGATTAAATAAATTTACTAAAAGAAAAACATTAGAAAGAGATAGAGGCTTTAAAAAAAGCTGTAGATTCAAGTTTAAAAGTTAAAATAGAAAAAGAGATTGCTTAAGAAAGAGAAAAACTAGAAAATTATTCTTAATAAATTACATTAGAAAAAAGAGGATTAGAAAATGTTATATAAAATTTAAATACAGAAAATTAGTTGTTAAAAACAGAAATAATGTAATAATAGGAATATTTTAAATTGTAAGTTTAAGATCTCATTGTAGATTAGTAAAAGCATTTGATTAATATAGATCATGTTTATAAGTATAATCTATTTATTATAATTTTAGATTGGAATTAAAAGGTTTAACAGAAGCATAATAAATTCAATATAATTAATTTGTAGTTTAGTTACATTCTTAAATTGCATTATTAATAGAAGAAAATAAAAGCCTAAAAGATTAATGTTAATAATGGTAATAGTAACTAAAAAAATATGAGAAGTAAAGTTGTAAATTAATAAATGAAATGGGTATTAAATTTATATTGATATTTTTTAAGAATGTCGTGTTTAATCATTAAAATAAGATAACAGTAGATTAATAGATGAAAAATGTTATCAAAAATCTAAAAATACATTTCTTGAAACTTAAATAAAACGTTCAACTCCAGTTCGAGAAGTTCGATCATCTTCAACATATGTTGTTGGAACTCCGTAAAGAAATAGATATGGAAGATAGTCAGTTTTAAGAGAAATAGATTTAATAAATCATTACTATTGATTTTTATTTAATTAAAATATATAATAATAATGATTGTTATGCGATTCATAATAAATTAATCATTAATTTAAATATAATTAAATAAATATTTAGACACTTATTTAAAATAATGACTAAGAATCATTCTTTTTATCAAATGTATTTTTATAAGTAAAATATTGATCAAGACTTCTTCGTTAATGTACTTATTGTAAGAGCATTTCCAGAATTTTATGTTCTAGGAGAGTCTTAAGGTTTACTATAATGTAAAATTCTTTTGACACTAAAATTGGGATCCTTTTTTATATTTGCTAAGGAAGTTTTCTTATATCGTTGTGAACTAAATGATTTATAATGGAATTTACAAAATTTGTTAATCTGGTATTTTTTCTAAGATTATATTCTTAGTTGATTTGCTTTTTAATTGTTCTAGCATTTAATCATACATTTCTTTAGATATTCCTATGTGTCCATGACTTGGGCTTTAAGATGGAAGATCAGACAAAGTTTTTCTGATTAATAAAAAAATAATTACTCTAACTTATGACTTATTTATATTATTTTAGAAGCTTACTATTCTAATGCTTTCGAAGCTTAGTTTGATACTCCCATTTAAATTGCTTAATCTTAGATAGAAGACTTTTCTTTTTATAACGATATAATTTTATCCTCATATATAGTTTTTAAGTCTTATATTTGTTTTTTATGTCGTTTTTACATTTCCTCTAATTGTGAATGGAATTTATTTTCAAGAACTAATTATTGTTCTAATTCTTGTGTTTGAATTTATTCTTATAAATTCATAATGTCTTTTTTAAGAGTGATGTTTTCATCCTTTAAATTTTAGTAATGTGTTGCTTTTTCTTATAATTATTCAATTTATTTTAAAAGTATTTAAACTTGTTATGATAAGACTTCAACTTAGAGAGACAATTTATTATTTTAGATATTCAACTAGTTATTTAAAATTTCCAAATTTCCTGGCTTATTCATTTTTAATTTGATATTAAAATAAAAATAAATCAGAGTCATTTCATATTTAAAACTATCATATATAATTATATAATAAAATGTATATTTCTATATAGTAAAATAAATACTAAATTATTTATGATTTATGAATCATTATAATCTATAATCATTTTTTTTAAGTTTAGTCCATAGACAGGAATAAAATTTTTGGATTTCTATTTTTGGCAATAAGTTAAATGGTTTCAAAATATCTAATTTACATAGCAGCTTTAGAATCTAACATATCAGCAGCTTCTCTCATTAATTTAGCAGCTTCAACATCACTCTAGTGTAAATTAAATATTACTTTTGCAGATATGATTTTAGATTAAGCCAATCTTTAAGCTTTAGGAGCATTAGAAAGTGATGATTATAAATCTTCTCCCATTTGCATATCCTTAATAAAAACATGTTCTAAAAAGATTCCTAATAAAATAAATAATTTAGAAATACCCCATTCTGAAACTACATCAAAGACAAATCCTTCAATTTCATCAGCAATTTTTTATCTATTTTCAATAATATCTTATAATGAATGTTCACCAGCAACAGTTCTAAGAGTCTGAAAATTAATAAATTAATACAGCGTATGTTATTTCTTTAACAGCTTCAACAATTTTTTTAACTCTATAAGCTGATTTACATACATCTACAACTCTATAATAGACAATAGTATCAATATTAACAGTTATATTGTCTTTAGTTAAGATAAGTTATCTATCTAAATCAATAATACTATAATATAATTTTATCTATTTACAATGTCTTTGTACTAACAGGAATGATTCTATCTGTAAAACTATTAATATAACAATAATATCAATACGGATTAAATTCATGAAGTCCAGGTTCTAAAGTTCTTTAATATTTTCCAAATTTTTATAACAATCCCTTTTATCCTTATGTTATTTCATAATAAGGATATGGACAACAACAAAAACAACATGGTAACCATGCTCTTAAAGTTCCAAAAAATGATCCAAAACAATTTAAAACACTTTCATAACATGTCATTTTTTCATTCATTCCTTCTTCCCTAATATCAATTAAAATATACTATTACGTTTAATCTTCAAAATTAGTTCTTGCTCTCCTCATTTATCTCTTTTCAGCAATGTTAGCTTCACCCTGTTACATTTTATATTTTAGTAATTTAATTTATTGTATTTAATATTACCATATAGATATTCTTACTTTTAAATAAATATTCATTACTTTTTCATAAATAGATACTTTATTTTTTATTAAATATATATTCATAATAATGATACTTCCATCAAAAATATATTTTAGATCAAAATCTCATTTTTCAAATGTTTAATTAACCACCATTGAATGTGCAAGCTAATTCACTATTTTTTCATTCTCTACATAAATCTTATTTGCATCCTTAACCTATATACACATGTAAGATATTTGCTATTTTAATCATTATATTATATTACTTTTCCATCTATTTCACAATTTATTTGTTTAACCTCTGGTTCTATAATAAATACATCTGTTAATTCCCTTATTTTCTCATAAATTTCTTATGAAGTATTATATATTGATAAACTAGCAAAATTTAATTTACTATCAACTATAACAAAACCAGCAGGAACTGTATTTTACTCTGTATAACTTACCAAACTTTTACTAGCTAAAATTAATCCTAAATTTATTCCATCTTTCAAATCTATAATAGTACACATTTAAAGTGGTTTATCAAATCCTTTTGGTTATTCTTTCAAACCTATAGGAATTTGTTTCACAATATTTGACAACTTTTTTTATGTTATTCTACATTTATTAGTTACCAAATCATATACTTTTAGTACTTTCTATTAAACTTATTTTAATGTATCATTTGTTAATGATTAATCAATCTTATTAGCTTTTAAATAATAATTAAATGCTAATTAATAATCTTCAAAATAACAATGAATCTATAATTTATAAATTAAATATACATTTCCTCTATTAAAATATAAATCAGGATTTTCTCTATTCTAATTCTTTTCTGATTAATTATATGCAGATAAAGCCAAATTTAATTCATTATTATTTTTTTTAGGATTCATAAAATAATCAGAAAGATATGCATTTCCAACCAAATACCATGATTATGCATTCTTAAAATCAAAAGTCAATGCTTTCTTTGCTACTTCTAATGATTTTGTAACATTTGCACTCTTATCCTTTTGATCTCCAACTTATCTTAATACTATTGATAAGTATTATAATGATTTGATATTATTTGGATCTTTTTCAATTGCAGTTTCAAAACATTGTTTTGCAGCAACATAATCTTTTTTCTTCCATAATATATGTCCTAATGTATTTAAGCTATCTATATGAAAAGGATTAAGTTTCATCTAAAAATTCATTTTGAATTAATATTTACTGCTTTTGTCAAGGCTTCTTCAGCAAATTTAGAATATTCTGGTAGAATATCCGATGCCTTTCCTTTCAAAAAATAAAGCTCTATCTTATGCTTTTTTGAAACTAAAAATATTAAATATTCAAATTACTTTCTAAATCTTCATTTTCTATTAAAGAATCAATTTATTTAATTATAGATGTAACTTAAGGTTTATAATGTTCTCCTTTTTAAAAATCATATTCTGCCTCTTCAGTTAATTAATCTACTTAAACTTTTAATTCCTATATTTTTTCCTCCATTTAAATTAAATTCCGAAAATAAAAAAATTAATAAACACATTAGAAACCTTATAATTCTTATGAATGTTTTTGTTTATATTAAAATAAATAAAATAAAAAGTATGTAAAAAAGTATATCAATGTATTACAAAATGTTAGCCAATTATAATTGATAATTAATTAATTAAATGTAATAAAATTATGCAGAATCATTGTTTTCATAATTTTCATAAGTGGCAAATTAATCATAAACAGGAAGAAAAATTATTGAAGAAGTTATAGATTTATATGAAGAAAGAGCAAATCTTGAAGAAAAATATGCAAAATCTCTAGAAAAACTAATAGCAAATATAACTAAATTAGATGAGAAATAGTAGTAATAATATTCTGTGATTAATAGAATGTATAAGGTTCCTATATTTTGTTTAAAAAGTCTAACAATTAGTAGATAATATTAGGCTTAGAGTTTATGTACTTAAATAAGAGAGGATCTAATTACGTAGATTAAATAATTGATTTAAAAATAAAATACAGTTTCAAAAAAACTAATAGAAGAAGCTAAGAAAATGGAAAAGGAGAATTAATACTTAAATCAAGAATTTAAGAAAGTATTAATACATTCTAAGTTTATAGAATTTTTAAGAATATAAATAAAAAAAAAGAGAATATGAATAGTATGCAACAATATTGGTTGTATATAATTTATTATCTGAATATTCAGAGAAGAAAAGAATTAATTAATATTATAAGGTAAATTAAATAAAAAAGGAATATTTTGATCTTGAATAAAGATATAAATAAACTTTAAATGATTTCAATTAGAATTGTGAAACTTCTAAAACTAAAATGCAAGAAATTTTGAATACTATGTAAGAGTAAGAAGAAAAAAGAATTGGAATATTTTAGGATACTTTAATTAGACAAATTGTAAATTATAAATAAAATTCTTTTAGATTTTTGAAGTATCACATTCTAAAAATGTGTAATATGATTTAGAGAAAATTACAGAAGTAATAAATGAAATCATTCCAAAAGATGAAGTTGCTAAATTTATTTAGAGTATTAAATAAGAAGGTTCAAATCTATTTGAAAAATCAGATGTTATCTAACTTAATTCTTTTATTAGCAATAGTTTATAAAAGTTCTTTTAAAAAGAATTTGATGAATTATTGACTTTAAATAATGATGAAAAGGTAATGAATATTATTGCAGATATTGAATCTGGAATTGATTCAAAACCTGAAGATTAAAAACAATAAGAAACATATTATGCAGCTAAATTGATTAATGATTGTTGGAAAGAAGAAGAAATATAATCATAACTATTTTAAGAAGTTAAAAATAAAACTAAAGATAATTATCAATAAAGAATGTTAATAATTGTTGCTATTTAAAACAAAAGACTTAATACATAATTCAAACTAGGACCAATTGCTTTTAAAAATGTTCTTAAATTATTTAATTCTTTATTAGAAATAGTATTTAAATTCTATAATTTTAGTGCTTAGATACATTTGATGCAGGAACTTCTAGATAATTAATGCATCTTTCATTTACTTTTTATTAAGAAAGAATTGAAAAAAATAAAATATAATGTTATTTTTTATCAAATGAATTTGCTAAACATTAAGTATGGGAAAATAGAGATTTATGGGAAACAAGTATTATTTAATAAATCTATGAAAAAATTAAAGAATAATAATAGAAATCAAGATTGTCTAAGTATTATCAAAATATTAATTTTAGTTAATATGAACAAATCTAAGTAGAAAAAAATATGATTTTAACTATTTTAACTTAGATGGCTTAAAATATGTTATTATTTAATTTTAAAATTGGAGCATTGAAAGATATTATGTATAAATTTTTGGCCTTTTTTGAATTAAATGAAGAAATAACATCTGATTTATTTGTAATAGATTTAATATGATTTTATTAGAATGCAATTGAAGGATTTGAAAAATAATAAAAAATAAATAATGCATTGGAGAAAGAAGCATAGTAATAAAAAATATAGGAATCATAATAAGAGAAAAATGATTGATTGCATATATAAATCTATTTGTATTCATAAATATAAAAATAAACAATTTATAGAATAGAATATTAAATTATATTTTCAAAACACTTTGTGTTCTTAAAATGTTGATAAAACTGCTTTAATTGTTTTTGCTGAGAGCAATTCAGTTAATTTATTAATATCCTTTGCTAATTTATGATTTTCTATATCACTTTCTCTTAATGTTTTGTCTAAAGCCTCTTCTCTATTTCTAGTATCCTATTTATTATATAATTAAAACTAATTACTTCCTTAAATTTAGAATGATAAACAGTATCATTTTTAAAGTTATTATTAATTTTATTCATTTATTCAAATTCATGATTATTTATTTTAAATTCTTTTTCTTTAATCTTTGTTAATTAATCAAGTACTTTTTTTTCTAGATCTTTTCTATAACTTAAATCTTAAGTAACAGTTGATGAAAATTATTCTAATTAATAATTGTCAACAGATAGATTTCTATTTTCTAATTCCAATCTAACTTTATCTTTCAACATATCAGTATATTATTCTGTTATTTATCTTAGATCTTTTTGAGCTTCTAATATAGATTATTAACTATCTCTAACTATTTTAAGTCTATCTTAATCTATTTTTTCTATTTGTTTTTCCATTTAATTTAATTTTTCTTTAAATTCTTCTAAAACTAATTTCTTTACTTTTTCAATAACTTCCATTGTTTAAATTTATGTTGTTGAATTAAATTTAGCAATATCATCTTTAACTTTATTACATTATTATGATTAAATTTAAATATGATCATCTAATTATCTATTTTCATCCATCATTTAATCACATTTTTTACCCCATTCATTATCAATTTCCCTCAAATTAAAGAAATGTCCTCTTTATTATTCAGCCAATTCATCTTATTATTTTTTTTCAAGATCTCTAATATTTTTTTCAGTTTCTTAATATCTTTCTTCTAATGATTTTGTAGTAAATGATCTTTATTATTACAATTATTTAATATTATTATCCCATTTTTAAATTTCATTTTTTAATATATTTTTATGATTTTAAAGTTCTCCTGCATTTTTTTCTAATTAATCTTATTTTGCTTAATTTCCTAATAATTTTTATCTCCATTATAAAGTTTTTTCTTCATATTCTTCTTTTAATTATAATCCTAATGCTCTTTCTCTTTCTATTAATTTTTCTAAATGTTTAGCAACTGCTCTTCTTTCTTCTTCTAAATGTTATGCCATTTCTTTAAGTGGCTATCTTTATCCAGGTTAATATCTACCTTAATTTCTACCTGGATCTTGCATACCTGCCAAATTCACATTATCTTTATTCTATTTAAGTATTGAATTTAATTCTCTAATTGAATCTTCTGTTGCACCATTACCTTATATTTCTATTGATAAAATATAACCATTAGCAGCAGCTGCTGGAATTAAAAGTCTTACACCTTAATTTCCTAATTCATTCCATCTAAGATCTAAAGTTCTTAATTAAGGATTATTTCTAATTATATTAGCTATCAATCCTGCACATGTTGTATTCAATCTATTATTTTATATATCTATATGTGTAATTGATTTATTTATTGACATTACTTAATATAATAATTCAAGAGCCTTTAAATTATTATTTGCACAAAGTTAATTCCATTATAGAGTTAAATTTCTTAAGGACTCTTATTAAATATAAATAAATTACAATATTAGTTTTTAATGCTTAAAATATTTCAATGAATCCATTAGGACCAATATTATTTCCTTTAAGATCTAAAATTCCAATATTTGGATAATTCTTTATAGTATCTGCTACTAATTTAGCTCCCATATCTCCAATATACATATCATTTAATGTAACTCTACCTGTTGGACATTATCTTTATAGTATAGGAACAAGAGTTGATATTGATGATCCTTAATTGTTTCTACTCATTTGAATTTTAAATCGTTATAATTATTAAAATAATTCTTATTCTTTTCTTTCCTTTTATTATTTAATATTATAATCATGGATGATGATATTCCTGGTTTACAAGATTTTAGTGAATAACTCTAAAAAAATAAAGAGCCTTCTATTGATATTGGGAATTATACAAAACCTATTTAAGATCAATCTATTCACATTCAACAACCAAAATAATAAAATAATAATTTTACAGGAAAGGATTTTTTAATGATCAAAAAAACAATAAAGACATTATTAAGCCTAAAGAAAAAAAAAAAATCCTTTAGAAATTGATGAAGTCTAATAAAATATGAACTAAAATAATCAATCTTAATTTGGATAATTTTTAACATAAAATAAAGAAGAATGGTTATATTAAGATTTATTATAAAAAGAAAATTATGATTTAATAATTTTTAGATTGTAAATAATTATAAAAATTATTGGCTCATCCAGAATATTTATCAGCAGTATAATAAATGTAGAATAGTCCAACAGCTATTATGTAAAAATATAAAAATAACCCTGAATTTGTACATTTGATGTTAGAATATATGAAAACTATGGGTGAACATATTTTATATATAAAACCTTTAAAATCAGAATAATAATAATAATAACCTAAAATTTTTCCTATAAGTTAGACATCTCAAATTAACTATATATAAACTTAAGAAGAGAAGGCTCAATATATCATAGAAAATGATAAAGAAGTAATAGCTATTTTGCAAGATACAAGAGTGCAAGCATTTATTGAATTTTTACAAAGAACAGGGAAAGTAGATTTCAAAGAAATTGCTTATAAAGATCTACAATTAATGTAGAAATTATAAGTACTTATCCAAAAAGGTGTTTTGAATGTATAAATATTTATCTTGGAGATATACAACGAATGTGATATAGAGATGTTTAAAATATAAAACAATAATAATAGAGACATAGTAAAATTATGTTTTGTATATATTTTAATATTAATGTTTAATTATTTTATCAAAAAAGAGTTTTTTCTTTATTTATGGTTTCCAAGTCTCTTAGGTTTAGTAAGATCAAGTTTATCTGCTTTTTTCTCCTGTTTAAAACTCGTTTCAAAGCTTTTGATTTCTTTCTTAGAATCTTTTAGAATATATATGAATAGTATTGAGACTTTCATCAAATGATACTTTTCTTAAGTCATCGTTGGAATAAAATCTCGTCTGATCTTAAGATTAATTGTCTATATTGATAGATGTATGATTAATTTTTAGAATGGATTCTATATTTTAGTCTTCCTTATTCAATAATTGTATCTGTTTTAACTAAATATTATAGTTTATTAATAAGTTTTTTCTATTTGATTATCAATGTTAATGATATAATTTTAAGTATTTTGATTATTTATTATAAGAATGATGGTCTTACAAATTTTAGATGATGTTATATATATATAAAGAAATATGGTTTTAATAAATGTATAAATGTATGAATATACTAAAAAAACTGAGAATTTAAGATCATGATTTAATTGTAATAGAATCCATAAATTCTTCAAGGATTGATTTGCAAAAGGTATAATAATGATGTAAGGATTCCATAATTAATTGTTCAGAAATATTATGATGAAGTGGTGATTGGTCAATAATCTTCCATCCCTCTATTTATAATAGTTTCTTAACTTTTTTATTTTAAAAATATTCTTCTATTTTAAGTTTTTATTTGATGGATTATTTCGATTATATTTCATCCATTACTTTTTTTAATTTCAAATGTTTATCTTTTTTTTTTAATTTTTTATTATATAAACTACAAGAGTCTTATTCAGTACTAGGAGTATTAATATGAATGATAGGCATTTTTTAATGATTTTTACGAAAGCTCTTTTTTTCATCTGTTTTTCTTTATAGTTCAAATTACAATAGTTGTATGTGAAACTAATCATTTAATTATTTATCACTTTCATTAATTTCTGATTTTGCTTAACCTAAACACTTTCCTGTCATTTCACATAGTCTAATATAAGTATCAATATTTCTAAGTCTATTAAGTACCATAAATTCAGCTATTTCTTAATGACTTTATGGTACAAGAGATTTGGTTATTTGATGTTATTACAATTATTGAATGAGTGAATTGATTTATTTAACAATGATCTCTTTTTTCTTTAATTCATCTAAATATGAATTCATTTAATTTAATTAATGATAACTCTCATAAGTGGAATATTTTTGATGATCATCTAAGTGATGTCTAAAAAATAGAAGGATTAATTACTTGATTTAAAGGAGGGTAAGTCAATGTAAGTAGACCTCTCTACTAAATAAGATAAAGATTATTTGATTTTATATGTACGTCCTTAAGAAGATGATAAGAATAGTGATTTGGGGGAAATATAATTTAAGAGTGTAGATGAGACATATAAAGTTGAAGAATTTTGGAAGAGTACGATATTTAAATCTTAATCAAATGATATTACTTTAAAATGTTTAACATCACCATGTAAAGGCAGAATTACATTTGTATATAGTGATGTAATTGAATTAACAACATCAATTCAAGAATTAAGTTTGACTCGAAAATAACCAGCTTAAATTATTTAAATAGCACTTCCAAGTTAATGTGATAGATTAGTGGCAGAATTCAAATTATTAGATGATGAATCAGATAAAATCAAAATACAAGTCTTTGATGATAAAGTAAAATTATATCAAGATAAAGTTTAATCATCAGTCGCTTTAAATAATTAGGATTGTAAAAAGTGCAAAGTTTTAATTGTTTTAATTGGAGATTTAAATTTTTAAGAAGAAACAACCATTAGTGGATAATTGTATTTATATTAAGATTTTCATACTATTGAAATAAATCAAGAAATTTAAGATTTCCTATTTGAAAGAAGTGACAATTTATATAAAATTAAATTGCCATCATCTTATAATATTATTTAAATTGGTATTCTTGCTGATTTGTTACCTATTATTAAAATTAATAATAAAGATAATGAAATTTTCAATTCATTAGAAACAATTTAAATTTAATAAAAAGGATAAGCATATTATATTCATTTAAGAAAACCAGAAATTAATAATAATAATGAATTAACAATTAAATTGAGTTAGGGTGGACCATTAAAATATTAATTAATTGTAACAATTTTAGATTAACCTTTACTTTATAATAATTAAATCATTTTAGCAGCTATTTCTGAAAAAGGATCTCATATTTACTCTTTTAAGACTAGTTATAGTGATTAAGAAATTAGTGTAAATATAAAATATTTTGATAAAGGAATGAATTCATTAAAAGTAGGAGAATGTGATGGTGTATGTACTACAAATACTGAAGATACTCATAATTTAAGATTTCGTTAACATGAATAATATCCAAAAGTTTATTTAACTCCTGAATGTGCTAGTAAAGATTAAGAAGGATTTTGTAGATTTTAAGTATAAATTGTTAGTGAATTAAAAAATATTTATCTTCTGACTACAGTTTCTTAAATAAATAATAAAATCATTAAATCAGATATGCCTTATACAAATTTCTTAGAAAAAAATCAATAAGAAAATTTAATAGTTAAATATTAACATTAACCTGAAGATGTAGAACTCATTTTTACAGTAAATACACATAATATTGTATATATGATTAGTAAAGATGGTAGTTGTTTCCCTGTAAGATAAGAATGTGCTAAATATGTTGGTGGTTCAGATCATTTAGTAGTTTTGAGAGGACATCAATTAAAACATACTTAATTCTATGTGACTTTAATATCTAGGGAAACAACAATTTATTAATTCTAAATAAGAGTATCCAAATAATAAGATAAAGAAGTTAAAATTATTAAGGAAAATGAAACTTATCGTGGAGTTATATCATTTATCAATGGAAAATAGAATATTAATTATTTTAGAATTTAAATATCCAACTAATTAGACAATAATATTGAAATTATTTAAGATCAAGAAATATAACCAACTATTGAATTAGCTATTCATTCGTCAAGAATGTAAATTGCACTTGTCTTAAATAAAGGTAATGAACTACCTTCTCTTTAATAATATGATTTGATTACTAGAAATAATTATCTATTTATTTCACCTTAAGATTAATATTATATTGATTAGGGAAATTATACTATAGGAATTATTAATCTTTTTGAAACAGCATCAGATAGGGAAATCATGTATACTTTGACTTATTCTACAAGCAGAACAGTTAAAACTTTGCATGTGGGTTAATAATTTGTAGATATGGCATATGCAAGAAAGAATAAATACTTTAGTTTTTATTATAGTAAAAATGTATCATCTTTTTATGTTAATTTATAAGGTAAGAACGCAGAAAAATTAATGTTGAAAGTATCTAATGAACTTAAAACAAATTAATCAGGAGCAGTCTATTAAAAAGAAGAACATTCTAGTACATTATTTTTGGAAGAACTTCATTTATAAAAATTATGTTTAGATGGTTTGCCATAATAGAAGGAGAACGATGATATAGATGATAAAGATGATGATGATTCAATATTCTGCTAAGCATATATAGTTGTGGAGAACAAAGGCAAAGAGGATATATTATATTAATTAAACATTTGGAATCCTGATGCTTATATAGAAATGAAAGATGGTTAGTAATATTAATTTAATTTGGAGTATTTATCAAAATAAACACTTTTGTATTATAAAATAATTGCTAACAATACAGATGTATAATTACATATAAGTTCACATTATGGTTTTACTAAATATGAAATTGAAATAATTGATGTATTAAATTAAGCAACTTCTTTGTTTGCGAAAGAGGAATACAAAACCCAACATTCTAAAAGTATTTATAAGAGTGCATTTGAATTTTGTGGATAAAATTGTTTATTAAAAATATCATTAGAAGCTTAATAACAAGTTTACAATTTTTCAAAAATAGGAAGAAATCTAGATTTTGATGATTTAGTGTATGTAACAGTAACTTAAGAATTTATGGATATATAGAATGGTATTCCAATATAAATTCAAGTTAATAAGGATTCTCCAAGGCAATTCATTTATAGTTAATTAAATGAGATATCTGGGGAATCAAAAATGAAAATAGTTTTACATGAAATTTATGGGAAAGGAACAATTTGTTTATCATTTAATGATGAGGATAAATAAGATTTGGAGATGTGTGAATTTTAGGTTATCGGAAATGTTTTAGAATTAACATAATCATAAATAAAATAGAAACTGGATGAATTTAAATTAAAGCAAAATCCTTATATAATAATAAAAGTATATTCATTAGTGAGTACAAGTAAATTGTAATTATCAATAGAAATATTTAATGATAAAAATAATCATAAATTGATTTTAGGAGTTCCTACAAGAATATAAATGAACGCGTAAGATGAATAAATATATTAATATTTCAACATATAAAGCAACGATGATTTATATTTCAAATTTATAAAAATGTAAGGCTCTACTTCTATTTAAGTGAGTTAATGTTTAGATAATGCTAGTAAGGCATGTGAATAAGAGATAATAATAAATGAATAATTATTGACAGGTTAATCATATAGTTAACATATAATACATAAATCAGATGAGAAAAGATACTGTGAATTATGTACTTATGTAATAACATTAAAAACAACGGATACACCTGTGGATTTATTAGTAGTAATTACATCATAATTAAACTTTGTATAATTACCATAGAATATTGCATTTACAGATTTCTTAGATGGATCTGATGATTACAATATTTATCATTATTCTTATGATACAGATCATTAAATAGAAGTTTAAATTAATTAATATAATGGAGATACTTAGATGTGGATAGGGTATCATGCTGATTTGAATATTAGCAATTATCTTTATGGACCATATAATATTAATAAGTAAATGAAGTTAATGAATGTGACATCTACAATATCATATTATTAAGCTATTATTCCTCCAAGATAACATCTAGAAGAGAACGATAAAGATTATAATATGACTTAGTAATAAATTAATGGTAATCAGACATTAGTTGGACATTATAATGATGATGATATCTATATTATTGTTAAGAATAATCAATAAAAGCAAACTAATTATTCTATTATTGTTACTTAATCAACTACTGGTAATGGCTAATTATTATAAGATGGAATAATTACATCTGCATATTTAAGTAAGTAAACACCTTCAATAACATTCTATCATTAATAGAAGAATGAAAAATAACTATAATTATTTGTTAAAGTAGTTCCATATGGAAATTTAAATATATAATCATATGAAGACTATTTTAAAATAGAAGTGTCAAATGAAACATAACCAACTAATTTTACACTAGTTCATGCTTTTTCAATTAGAAATAATCAATTAACTTATGTACTTCCTGTTCTTGAAGGAATCTTAACAATTAAAATGCACAGTCTATTAGAAATTACTTCAAATGATGTTAATCATATTGAATATTCTTTTAATCCCAGAGGAGATATTATTCCAATTCCTAAATAACCATAACCTAAAATTTATTAATTTTCAAATAATTATTTAAACAGAATAGATTTATAAATTAGTATAGTAGGATAGGAAGTTTTCATGATTAATTAAAATTCCAATTAGATTGATATGATTGTTGATTCAAGACCAAAATATTATGAATCTTATATGTAGAGTGAGGGAAAATTGGCTATTTAAGTTTATAATTGTCTTGGTGATTTAAATGTTTCTATTACTTAAGATTATGATTAATTTTTAAAGAATACATTTAATGGAACAAAAACTACATTGGAAGGGTAATTGACTGATATTTTATTAAGTGTAAGACCTGGTCCTATTTATTATTAATTTTAATCAAACAAAAGTGTTTATAAGTTTACAACTAAATTATATAATTAATATGATAAAATTCCATATGGATCATTAATATTAGGAGGAGATGGATAAATTAATTATTATTTTGGTACAACTGATCCAGACATAATTACAATTAAATTTAAACCTATTAAATGTGCAGGATGTGATATGCAATAAGAACATAATAGTATTATCAAATATTATGTAAGTTGGGGTAGTACTGTTGAATATTCTCATATTATAGGACTTTGTTAATATTATTCATATAACAATTTTAATAAAATGTAAGTAGATCATTTTGAATAAAAAGATGCTGGTAATTATTATTTGAATTAAAGTGATGAAATTAGTGTAAATATTACAGTTGATAAATAATCATTTCATAATTAATTATACATATCTGTTCGAGCTTAAGTAGTGTAATTTAACAATTTTACAATAGGAGATTATGAATTATATTATCATATAGGAGAGGTAGCTTTGCCTAAGAATGCATTTTATATGTATAAACATCGTTTTTATGAATTTATTATTGCTTTAAGCATTTTAGGAGTATTCACAATAAGCATGTAAATTTAGATTAAATAATTAGGCTATGTTGTTTATTAACTTTTTATAGGAAAGCACGTAAATTAAAAAAATAAAATCTAAATTTGCATTTGGAATAGAGGATGGAGAATGCAAAATAGAAAGAATAAACAGAAGTGTAAGTGGTATATGATTAGTTTCAGGATGAGAACAATGAATAATCAAATTAATGAGTTTAATGAATAGGAAAATTAATAATCATAAATATATAAATATATATATATATCTTTATCATACACCAATACTAGGCGATAAATCATAATAGTAATTATAATCTTCGCTTAAATGAAATTGTAAACGTGGAATTTACAATTATTCGAGTAATTATTCATCAATGTAATCATATTGATTTGAATCAGCTATAAATAATGAATAAATAAATACTGAATTGTTGATCAATCATTTTACAATTTTCTTGGTATCTAAGTGCATAATCTTTTTATCCAGAACTTAAGGCATTTAATATTTTTTTAATTAATATGCGTTTAATAAAAATCATGACTTTTGGAAACCATTTCAAATGATCCTACTCCAAATAATTAAGAATTTAATAAGGATTCATTAAAAACCTTTCAACATATTCTAACATATACAATCCACAGTCTACTAGATTTGTCTATCTTGGAACTATGGGTTAATGTACAGGTACATTTGATCTCATTACAATGTCATAGATTTGATCGTCATTAAATTTCTTATGTTCATGATTATAGACATGCATTAAATAAAATTTAATTTGAATTCCAATTCTTTAATCCTATATTAGAAGTGAATCAAAATAAATTAAATACCCATTCTTATTTACATCATTACTCAATTAAGAGTTATTATTATTACACAATTATTCGCAAACTTATAATGGATTTACTACAAATATCACTGCCCAATGTTCTCGTAAATGAAGTGGAAATAACAAATACTATTTTTTAAATATATTGTCTTTAGTCCATTTCTATAACATTGAATTATTTTGTAAATACTATTAATAAATTTGTTTATATTCCACATGAAATGATAATAATCTAGTACAAAAATAAGTATTGTATATTAAAAGAGATTTATTTTTGAAGATGTCATTCTCAATGAATCTTAAAAAAAAGTTTATTATAGTATCGTTAACATAATTCTATGGATTTAATTTAGAGAAATCATAATATTTTATGTCAATACTTACTTATCTTCCCTGACTCAAATATTAATATGTACATTTGAAATCTTCTTTCACTTTTTCATCATATGTATGATGTTTCTATTATAAATCTAATTCATTTATCAATTCTAAATATGCTTATTATTACATTTCCTATTTACTTAAATATATAACTTACTTTCTATTTCTAAATCTTCTCTTTTAATTAATGCTTAACAATCTAATCTAATTCACTTTCCTCTTAAGTTACTACATCACTTTCATATGTCATTGTTGGTTTCAAATTCATTAACCATTTTGGAGATACTAATTGAGGTGTTGCTATAATCTCAATATCTTGCTCTCTTTTTTATTATTATGTAATCGTCTGAATTATTTGCATCTCTTTTATCTATTAGGATATCTCCAATTTCTCTAATTAATTTAATAGCTCCATATTTTCTTGTCTTTTATTTTGAATAAGCTATTCCATCTTGTTTTAATATTATTTCTTTTTTTGTTTTATCATTTTATTTATATTATAAAAATGGTGGATTTAATTAACCAAACAAATTTCATTATAAATATATATTATAGTATCCATCAATATTCACATATCATTAATCTAACACAATTTTGTTAGTAACTCAATTTTTTATTATTTTATATTTTAGATAAAATATAAAAGGAAATTTTTAGTATTACTTTTTTCTCTCTTATTCTTTTATTCTCTTTTATCTTTTTATTCATCCCCTTCTTTCATATAAAAATACATTAGACATAATCTAATTTATATTTGTTAATTATTTTATTGTCTTATTTCATAATCCTTTTTATTATGTGAATAGNTCTTATTTACATCATTACTCAATTAAGAGTTATTATTATTACACAATTATTCGCAAACTTATAATGGATTTACTACAAATATCACTGCCCAATGTTCTCGTAAATGAAGTGGAAATAACAAATACTATTTTTTAAATATATTGTCTTTAGTCCATTTCTATAACATTGAATTATTTTGTAAATACTATTAATAAATTTGTTTATATTCCACATGAAATGATAATAATCTAGTACAAAAATAAGTATTGTATATTAAAAGAGATTTATTTTTGAAGATGTCATTCTCAATGAATCTTAAAAAAAAGTTTATTATAGTATCGTTAACATAATTCTATGGATTTAATTTAGAGAAATCATAATATTTTATGTCAATACTTACTTATCTTCCCTGACTCAAATATTAATATGTACATTTGAAATCTTCTTTCACTTTTTCATCATATGTATGATGTTTCTATTATAAATCTAATTCATTTATCAATTCTAAATATGCTTATTATTACATTTCCTATTTACTTAAATATATAACTTACTTTCTATTTCTAAATCTTCTCTTTTAATTAATGCTTAACAATCTAATCTAATTCACTTTCCTCTTAAGTTACTACATCACTTTCATATGTCATTGTTGGTTTCAAATTCATTAACCATTTTGGAGATACTAATTGAGGTGTTGCTATAATCTCAATATCTTGCTCTCTTTTTTATTATTATGTAATCGTCTGAATTATTTGCATCTCTTTTATCTATTAGGATATCTCCAATTTCTCTAATTAATTTAATAGCTCCATATTTTCTTGTCTTTTATTTTGAATAAGCTATTCCATCTTGTTTTAATATTATTTCTTTTTTTGTTTTATCATTTTATTTATATTATAAAAATGGTGGATTTAATTAACCAAACAAATTTCATTATAAATATATATTATAGTATCCATCAATATTCACATATCATTAATCTAACACAATTTTGTTAGTAACTCAATTTTTTATTATTTTATATTTTAGATAAAATATAAAAGGAAATTTTTAGTATTACTTTTTTCTCTCTTATTCTTTTATTCTCTTTTATCTTTTTATTCATCCCCTTCTTTCATATAAAAATACATTAGACATAATCTAATTTATATTTGTTAATTATTTTATTGTCTTATTTCATAATCCTTTTTATTATGTGAATAGATATATATTATTGATTATTCTTATTTAATAAAATTCCCTTTAATCATTATAAAATATAATTAACTGTTGATACTTGTCAATTATTAATAACCATATAAAGGCTATTAAGTTTTAATTGATTACAATAAAAATGCGACTATATTATTAACGATATAAATATACATTTTAAATAATATTACACTCTAATTTAACATTGATTTAATAATTAAATAATTAATAAATTAAAATCATTATATTTTTAGATTATCGATATTTTGTTGAAGATACTATTCAATTTCTTAAACTTCTAACCATCTATTTTTAATTCCATCTTTCCATTCTCCATTTGGCATAAAATAAATTCCAATTCCTTATTATTTACCTAAAAATAATAAAATGAATCTTACCGTTTATCCAATTACCTTCATATTTTCTTCCATCTCCCCATTCAAATGATCCTCTACCATGTTTTTTATCTTCATAATATTCCTAAAATATAGTAATAATATTACTCCAATATATTTTCTTCCATCTGACCAACTAACTTATCCATGTCCATGCATTTTATTTTTCTTCCATTAACCTGTATAAATTCTACTATCAGGCCAATAATATGTTCCTTCTCCATCTATTTAATTATCTAAGAATGTTCCTTCATATTTAGATCCATCCACTAATAATAGAATTCCTTTTCCATTTTTTTTACCTGCTTTATATTCACCTTCATATACAGAACCATCTGGCCATCTTTCAATTCCAATACCATCTTATTTATCATCAACCCACTATATAATATTATATTAAATAATTACATTCCCTTCATATTTTACACCATTTATATTTATATAATCACCTTTACCATTTGCTTTATCATTTATCCATTATCCTTCATAAACATCACCATCAGCATGACATAATTTTCCCCAACCATTACTCTAATCATCTTTCCATTAACCTTCATAATATGAACCATCTGGCCATTATTATTTCCCTATCCCATCTCTTTTACCTAACAACCATTCTCCTTCATAAATTGCACCCTTATCTAATTTTATTGCATCAAATTTCTATCTTTACATACAATTTATATATGTAATACTCACCTCTTTTAATTATTATCGCTATAAATTCTTTCTCATAGACTAATTATCATTATCTTCTTAGAATTTCTCTCTTTCTTTATTATTTTATATTCCATTCTCATTTATTTACTATTATTAGGACATTGATGCAATACTATTTTCATTATTCTCTTATTCCGAAAGATCAAATTCATCTATATCTACTTCATTTTTTCTACAATCTTTTTAAACTAATTCACCATTTTTCATTGCACAACAATTTATTTGACAAGAACCCATATTCACTTTAATATTTTATATCAAAAATTAATGTTCTAATTAATTTTCAATCTTTTTTTCATTTTAAACCACATGTCTTTTTTATTTTATAACTATTATATATATATAAAGATCAAAGGAATTATTAATTTATTATGAAATAATAAAGATAAAAAAAATTAAGTAAACAATTAATTTGTTTGTATTTTTATATAAATAAGTGTTCGACTCACCTTATCATTTTACAAGAAATATTTAAAATTTATTTATTTTATTCAATTAAGGAATAAAACATTTAAAAAATCAGTAAAAATCTTAAGAAATGTCTAACTTTTTTTCTTAAAATTATAGTATAATTTGTAATAAAAGAAATTTGAAGTAAATGTATATTTATAATGCAATATCACAATATAATATATAAATATATATAAATAAATAAAATGTTTAAAAATTGCATTTATCCTTGTATTGGATTTTTTAGTATTGTTGGAAGAATATTCATATTTTTTTGTTTTTGGTGGGCATTTGATGGAGTTGAAGAAGCTTTTAGTGATAAACGTTTAGGATATTAAAATGAATTCTATGCATGGCAATCACCTCCTATTTTTAAAATATAGTAATTATTTTCAAATCCTGAATGTCCTATAGGAGTATGATAAAGTGATTAATATTAGACTTCACTGCTATATAACTATATATGGGCAGGGAGAAAATCGTTTACATAAGATGAAATTTAATATAAAAGTATTAGACCACACTAATTCAAATATTGGGTATATGAAGCATTTCCAACTAAAAAATTTATACTTTGTGCAACAGTAGGATTGAAAAATGAAACTTATGCTGAGTTTGGAAGAGTAAAAAAAACATGTGAAGAGAGATAAATGAGATCTTGTAGTTAAGGGAGGTTTTGTGTTCCAGCTACATATTAATATTGTCCAATTACAAAAATTGAATTTGATGAATAAGGTCTTTTAAAGACTGAAATAGATCCAGAAGAAATGCCTATCGCTTATTTTAAGATTGATACTTATTTTGTTAGTGGTTTAAATAATAAAGATTAAAATTTATATCCAGGTTAACCATAAGATGATCAACTTGAACAGAAATTTAAATCTGTAGATATTGAAAATAAGGATGATACATTTATACCTTTAAATACTATTAATGATAAATTATTTTATTCAATCAACTCCGCTTCTGATTTTGATAGAACTATCAGTGAAAATTATAATAAGACACTATTTTATAGAAGATATAAAGAATGGTAATATGATGCATTGGGAGATTTATTTGATTATGCTTATCATATTTTTGATTCTTTAGATGATATAATTATCTTATCAAGTTCTGGTACAATAACTTCATTAATTTATTTATTACTGGTTTGCTACATTTATCCAGCAATTCCTGTAGTTTTAAGGTTTATTAGTGCATTGAAAGCAGAAAATTTATTAATTTGGGACATACTTACTAGAATGATTTTGCTTTTTTCAATGCTTGCTTAATCATTATATGTTATTAAATAATGTGAAGATGTTTTAAAATATTCAAATCTATTATTAAAAAACGATTAAATTGTTGGATTTAAAGTAAGCTTCTTATTATAACAAAAAGGACTAATATGATGGTGTATTAGAATTAATAGATAGTCAAGAACCTTATCACATTATTTCGATTGTTGTATCATTAGGATTTTTAGGAGTTGAGGTTACCTTATGGTTAATAATCGGTTTAAAAGCTTGCTTTATTTGGATAATGAAAATTTATAAATAATTATAATTTAAAAAATAGATTAAGGATGAGATTAAATAGGAAGAAGATCTTGAGAATTTAAATTAATTAAATTCAAAATAAGTTAATGTAGAATAACAAAAATTAAATTGATTACTAATACCAAAGATATTGTAATTATAATTTAATATAATTTCACTTAAATCAGTATTATATTTTATTACTAAGATCAGTAGTTTTGGTAAAATCTGTTTCTATAAATTAGAACATTCTTGCTGCTATTATATGAATTCGTTATCTTTTTAAAATATCTATTAATTTTAACTATTTTTTTAAAGCTTAAAGTGATTCAGTTATTTATTATTCAATTCTTTAATTGTCTTTTTTGAATTAGTCAATATTCAATGATAAATCACTTTATTTATCATTATTGGATAATTTATTTTTTTATTATTCTAATTTTAATTTTTAAATTTATTCAATTGTTCTATTGATTCCAATATCTTTTTTATTAGCTTCAGCATCTATTTTTCTATATTCCTTTTTAATAGATTCAATTTCTTTTGTAATTGCTAAATTCTCTTTTTCAATAGCTTTTGTCTTTTATTAAGATTCTTATAATTTTTATCTAAATTATTCATATTTTTCATTCAAATTTACTATTTGTGAAGTATATTTTTTAGTTTAATCAATAAAATTCTTACCTTTCTATTCAATTTCTGAAATCAAATTTTCTTTCATTTTATTTTATTAAAGTAGATTATCTAATTCTTATTTCAAAGCTTCTGCTTTTAAACTTTGCATTCTTAATATTTTTTCTATATATTTATAATGTAATAATATTACTTTACTCATCTACAATTAATTCTTATTCTAAGATTTCTTATTTTTTATCGTCATATTTAATAGGTTATTAATTTTCTCTATTTTATTAAGCACTTTTAATATTTCTAACTTAATTAACCATTTATTAGATAGCAACTTCATTATTAAAGTCTCCATCTTCAGAGGAATCATTATTTTATTATTATAATTCCTCATCACTATCTTCTCTGTATACCTAAATGATATAATATATAAAATCATACATCATTAAATTCATTATCATCATAATTTTCTGCATAATCTAAATTTTCATCATAATTATCATCTTAGTAATTTGAATCTTTATTTTTGAATTTCATCTAATAATGTTACAATTAAAATCATACATAATCTTCCTTTAAAGCTTATCTTTATTATTCTAATTCTTAATTCATTCTCATAAGTTCTTCTTCTTTGTACTTTAGATCATCATAATTACTCATATTAATATAAATAAATATTAAATTTCATTTCTCAATGAATACATACTATTTTTTCATTTTATCCATGTCTTTTTCAATTTAAATCAATTCTTTTTCAAATTACTCTTTTCTTCTTTTCAATCCAACAGTGTCAAACTTCTTTAAATGCGTATATTATTAATATTGTTTATTAACTTCATCATATCTTTATTTTAAACCTTCTCTAATTTATTATAATTCTTGTTCAGGCAATAATTATCTATTTTAATATATAATAAATGATTACAATTTATCATTTTCAGCTTCTTATTATCTTTTAGCATAATCCTATTATTCTAGATAAGATTATTAGAGTTAATCTTTGATTTGACTTAAATAGAGTGGAATTGATCCATAATCTTTTTTAGTAAGCCAATTAGGTTATTCTTGTATTTATTTAGGAGCTATAAATAAAGATTGTAATAACATTTGAGAATAACATCAATTTTATTTGTAGCAATGAAATTTCTATTAGATTATAATCCCATAGTTGGTTTTTCATTAGATTTTGGAACTAAAGGTTTTAATTTATTTCTATGAGAATTAGTGAATTCTCTACTTCTTACGATTGATCCCTTTTCAATCCATTCATCTAAATTATTTGTACCCATAATTCTTGGTTTTATAGGTGAGAGTTATTCTAAATATTAATGAGATAAATAAACATGTTTTTGTTTTTCCAATAGTTCCACTTTCAGATGCATATCTACGAGATGATAATTAATAATCTCCACTAATATTTTTAACCTTACATATATATATGTAATAATGATACTTAAATAACATTTGATTGATTTCCAAATGTACTATAAGATGGTTGAATAGTACCAGGGAATTGAGATTTATATTTTTTTTATCGTTTATGTGGAATTGGATCTTCAATTATTATGTTATAGATGCTTTCTTCCATTAAATAATTAATTAAATTATCATAAATCATATTTTTCTTCTCGTTTTCTCCTAGATTCATTAATTTCATAATTTTTAATCATATCATCCAATTATGGATCAGTCTTACCACTATGAAAGATATTACTACATGGTTTATTATCAGGCCATGAAACAATATCATAATGTACATGATTATCACCTTTGTTTTCCAACCAACTATGTGTATATACATAAATAAATATACTCTTGGAATTTATCTGAGAGTTTTCCTCCTTCTATCATAGGAACTTAAAATTTAGGATGATTCCATGCTTCAGTCCATATAATTAATTCATTAAATACACAACTAATAGCCCATAATCCCCAATCTTATTTAATTTTCATTAAATCTTTTAATTGTTATAAAATATTTAATCTGATCTTTTCAATTTATTTTTTTTCTTTTGGAGTACATTTATCTAAATGAATTTTACCAATACATTCAAATCCATCATTAATTTCTAATTGCCACCAATCATATTAAGCATGTACAATAAAAGTAGGTACATCTACTTTTAAAAGTGCATCAAAAGAGAAAATATCATTTATAGATATACCTATTCTATTAGTAACTTCAGTATAAGCATTAATAATATCTTAATTTCGAGATATATCAAATATAACACTATCTAGAAGTATTCTTAACTCTATATCATTATCTTAATATAATTCTTGAATAGCAGATTTTAATTCATTATATTTATTAATAATGTACCATCCTCCAACACCAGATCCTGCTAAAATGATTCTTTTAGGTATTAATTTCATTTAAGATAATGCTCCTTTAAATACTTAAGAATTCATTTAGGAATGCCACATATTACCATCACAATACATAAGAAACATTTTATGAGCTTTTCTAAGGTGAAAGTTTTAATATTTATTATTTCCCATCAACCCTTGATTTGCATTAAATTCTTCTGGATATCCATTAGAAGTACCATAAAAAGTTGTATTTCTATGAGTACAATTATCAATATAAGCATAATCTCCATATTTAAGAAATTTAGTATTATCTGAAATACATATACCTCCAGAATAGAAATACATAATTAAATCATCAGTACTACCTTCATAAACATAAGCAGCTGCTTAAGTACCATCCATACAATATGAATCTTCTAAATATGTTCTATGTAAAGGATGTGCAAATGAACCTTCATCATCAGGAGGAGGTTTCAAAAATTCATCATCATCATCAACATTCTCATCTTATGCAGCTAATAAGTATAAAAATGAAGCAAAATAAACAAAGAACATTATTTATTTATATATATAATATATATAATATATATATATATTAATAAATATATAAAAACAATGATTAAGGATGACGCATCAGTAATAGTTTCGACATTAAAAGAACTTAAAGCAAATTATTTGACTAAAAAGTCTAGACCAATCCCTTATAGAATCTAATAACTAAATAATTTACTTAGAGGACTTAAAGAATTAAGAAACGAGTTTTATGAAGCTTTTCAGAAAGTATTTATTTCTAAAATATCTTATAGGATCTTGGTTACTAAGATTAATTCTTTTGTGAATTAGTACAATATTAGTCAGTTTTAACTCATATTGAATGTGATATTAAAAACATTTATAAATACACAGCTAAAAGATCTATTAGTACATCAATAATGGCAGCTCCAGGAACTAGTTATTTGATGCCAGAACCATTTGGAGTTGTATTAGTTATAGGAGCTTGGAATTATCCAATATTTACTTGTATTCCATAAGTGTCTTAAGCAATTGGAGCAGGAAATGCAGTTGTATTAAAACCTTCAGAATTGGTTCCTCATCTTTCTAATGTTTTAGCAAAATTAATTACTAATTATTTAGATTAATCACTTTATAGAGTTATAGAAGGAGGAGTTAATGTAGCAATTAATATTACTAAATAACCATTTGATCTTATTATATTTACTGGAGGAACTGAAAAAGGAAAATTAGTAGCTAAAGCTGCTGCTGAAAATTTAGTCCCTTGTATTTTAGAATTAGGTGGTAAAGGACCATGTATTATTGATTCTTCAAGTGATTTAGCTTTAGCTGGAAGAAGAGTTATTTCTACCAAATTATATAATTGTGGTTAGACTTGTGTTGCTCCAGATTATGTTCTTGTTGAAGAATCTATTTTAGAAAATGTTGTTAATACATTTAAATAATAAATCAAAGATTTCTATGGATCTGAAACTAAAACATCTGGATGTCTTAATAGAATAGTCAATGAATTCCATACTAATAGAATTATTGAATATCTAAATAATCATGGAGGTAAAGTTGTTCATGGAGGTTAATATAATTTATAAGAAAAATGGATAGAACCAACATTTATTATTAATCCTGATCCCAATAGTGAACTTATGAAAAATGAAATCTTTGGACCAATACTTCCTATTATTACATATAAAAAAATAGAAGATGCAATTAATTATATTAATTCTAAACCTAAACCACTGGCTCTCTATTATTTTGGTACCAATAAACATCATAAAAATTCTATCCTTGAATCTACATCTTCTGGAGGTGTTTGTATTAATGATTGTATCTTTCATTTAATTAATAATGAATTACCTTTTGGAGGTGTAGGTGATAGTGGCTATGGAGTTTGTGGTAGTAAATATGGATTTGATTAATGTTAACATTTAAAACCTGTTCTTGAAAAATCTACTATTGATCCATCAGCTAGGTATGATATTTTCTTTATTTCTAAGATATCCACCATATACAAACAGTAAAAAATCTTAAATGAATTTCCTTTCTAATCTAGGTATCTATACCTAATCAGAAGTTTTGTTTAAACTATTTATGGTTCTCTTCCTTTTAGGAATATTTATTTATTTAACATGTTGTTGCAACTGTTCCAAAAATAAGCTTTAAGCAGATTTATGATATCATTAGTATTAAAAGAACAATTAATTAGATATATGTATATTATTTAATATATTCATCTCCATGAATTTCTGATGAATTTCTCAAATGCTACATCACTTTCTATTAGAGCACTAATATCAGTCAAATAATCAATAAATTATTATTAAGTAACAGCTTATACATCTTTCCACAAATCATTGAAGTCTTTAGTAGCATCAGCAACAGTTTTTATACCAGTAGTCACATCTTAACTCTTAGAAGCATCATAAATTTCTAAATATTTAATATTTATAATTACATTTAAATTATTGTATTGTTAATGAAGGTTATCCATTTGATATTCTATTCCATAATTAATTTACAAGATCAGTTCTTAATTAATTTAGTGGCTCTATAAATAAATAATAAATATATACTTCTTAAAAAACTAATGAATTCAACAAATGAAACTTCATCATCGCAATTCTTATCAAAATATCTAAACAGATTATCATATTCAGTTTTGGTAAGTAAAAACCCAGATTCTTTCATAGCCCATTAAAATTCTTGTCTATTTAATGTTCCATTCTTATTTTTATCTGAATTAGAAAAGATAGTAGCCATTCTGATTACTGAATGTTAACCTTTCTTTATTAAATCAATTCTTATTCTATTTAATGTATCTTAAGGTGGAGCTCTTGCTATTTGAAATACTGGATTGACATTAGCATTGTTTCCAGATCCCATTAATGCAATTAATCCACATATTTCATCATAACATAATCTCCCACTTTTATCAGAATCATATTTATTAAATAATGCTTGAATCTCTTTATCACTAAAAACACAGCCGAATTTTTGAAGAGCCTATGCAAATTAATAAATATCAATTGTTCCTTTATTTTCTAAATCAAAATACATAAAGGCCTTCTTTGCTGTCTTACCTTCATCATCCTTTGTTACTGTTTTCTATCTAATCTTTTCAAACAATATAATCTCTAATTACGCCAATCTTTCTGGAGAAACATAATCTGCTCCTGAAGTGACTCCCCAAGTAGAAGTTAATAACTAATCTTTAATACAATAAAAAATACATCTGTAAAATATTCTTCTTTTTCACTAGGAAGAGTTGCATTGCAATCAGCATAATAATTTAAGAATTCTTCTTCACATATACTTTGTCCATCCTTGCTTCTTTTTGAGATGGCATTGACAAATTCTTTAGTTATTTAATCCGCAGTCTTTTATCTAGTTCTTACTCTTGGATGATTTTTTGCTTGATATAACCTATACAAGGTTTCTAATAAAAGTCTTCCTTGTCTTTGTTGATCAAGAAATGCAAAAGTGCTTCTAACAACACTAATTCTTCTTTCACTCATATTTTCTCTAATCAGATTTACAAATTCAGCATAAGCTATATTTCCATCTTTATTTGAATCATATTTATCATAGACTGCTCTTAATTCTTGAGTTGTTAGAAAGACTCCAATTTTAGATAGAAACTTTTAGAATTCATCTTTATCCAAATAACCTATTTTACAATTAATCATACCAGAATTGTCTTTATCAAATTCTGCCATAAGTTAGTATACACCTTCTAAGTCATCTATTTTGCGAGCATGCAATTAGCCTCTTATTTTATTTTAAATAAGTTCTAATTTGTTTCTCCAATCCATCAGTTATTTTTTATATTATAAATATCAGATTTTGATAAACTACTTTAAATTTTATATAATTCAATAATAATCTAAAAAATACTTTAAAATCTAGAATTTATTAAAAATATGAAAAGTTTTTATAGTTCAAGAAATTTAATTACATGAAATATTATTGAATCACAAAAGAATACATGGTTTTTCTATTTCATAATGAGAAATAGTCATCTAGTTGAATATCAGCTGTTTGATTATCTAATGAGAAAGATTCGAGTTGAACATTTGAAACAATTTTCTAAGACTTTTTTTATGTCTCAAAATATTGTTATCTAACTTGAGTCATCCATTATCTCACTTGAGGATCTAATTGAGCTACAAAACATCACTAATAATTAATACCTTTCCAATCTGAATTAAATGTACTATAGATTTTTGCTTCTTATGCTGTAGCTAAATTTTTCAATTATTATATAAGTATTTCATGATTGGAGTTCTCATAATAGATTTCATTCTGATTTGAATTATCATAGTGTACATCATCAAAAATCATAACTTTTAATTCTTCTAATTTGTTTATCATAACAATCCCTAAAATCTAATTACTTCTGTTAGTTCACAAATTATACATTTATATTAATTTAAGTAGTTTAAAAATATTTAATTAATAATATTTTTTTAAGTACTGTTCATACATTATTTAATTTATCGTTCCAAACTTAAAGACTGACATATAAGAGATATTTCTTTTTTATCTAAGACATTTCTATATACATTAACAATCATTCTTAGATCATTTTTAATGTTAAATTTCAAAATTTATTTTTTAATTATATGATTTAATGCTCTATATTACATAGTTTTAACTTAAATAGTTTAAAATATTTTTATGCATTAGAATAGACATTTCCCCAGCAATTACAATTGCATAAATTAAATAATTAATTATAAAATCTAAATTTTGTAAATCCTTTATTTGTATATTATTTATTATTGGTAAATGAAGGCAATTAAGAGATGGTTTAAGGAATTCTTTCTATAGAATTAAATTTAAGAACTATATTAAAATGAGTCGTCTTTAAATAGTCTGACACTTTAGTTTATTTCATCAGAATTGGAATAATGTTATTAAAATCGATAAATGACTAAGGTTATTGTATAATTTAGGATTTCTCTAATTCTTCAAATACTAATAAATGTAGTTTACATTGTTAATACTCATTTGATATATCAATAACTTGAGATAGTGAAGTATAGATCGATATATATAATTTCGATTCTAATTTCTCTTATTTTATAAAAGATCTCAAAGAAATATTAGAATGTATTAATCAACTTATTGATTTTCATTAATAGTGTTTTTGATGTACTGCTTTATGCATATTTCATGAAATTAGTTAACAAGAATTAAGATAAGATTGGAGATGTATTAAGTATTACATTAATTTCTGGTTTATAATAAGGATTATATGCAATAAATTTCTTTTATGTGTAGACTAATTATTTAATATAGAGTTTAGCCATCACTAGTTACTTTCTTATATTGATGGGAATATTTGAATAATTTTAAAATAATAGGTTATGGTCTTAATATTTATTATTATTGTTTACATGTTATTTGCTTAGACAAAATGAAAAAATAAACAGACTTAATTATCTTTTGATTCACAAGACATAAAGAAACTTAGAAGCATATAAAAAATTATTGGATAATATTATTCCAACATCAATTATTATTTTAGAAGAAATTTAAAATTAAGATAGTCCAAGTCATCATCTATTAAGATCAGCATCAAGTTAAAGAGAGAAATTACAAACTTAAGAATATAAATAAATGAATGTGAATTACTTTAATAAAAGTGCATCTATTCATTTCGAAACAGAAAATGAAGAATTATTAACAGAAAGACTATAATAAATAGAGATTATTAGTATGGACAATTTGATTTTAGATAAAGAAAATAAGAAATTTTGGGAGAAAGTATTATAATTATAATCATTAATTTAAAAAGAAATTAAATTAAATACTTATCATTCTTTTGATTTTTAAATTATTTCCTTACATCATTAAATGTAGTGTTCAAGAGTAAAAATCTATAATATAATTATTAGTTAACTAAATATGATAAATTATAATTTTACGATGTACTTGTATAAGGTTGTATATGGGATGGAAAATAATGTATAATGTTAATCTTAAATGATGCTACTGATCGTGAATTAAGATTATAACATTTAAAAGAATTAGATAATTATAAAGATAATCTTCTAGCAGCAGTATCACATGATTTAAAAACACCTTTACATGTTTAAATACTAATTACTAATTATATTAAAAATAATTTAGAAAATAAAGTAGTAATCAATAAATTAGAAATTTTAGGTATTAATTTCATTGATAATAATTAGAAATTATAAAGCATTTAGATGATATGTTAGCAAATTAATCAATTTTATCAACAATGATAAATGATCTTATTGATTATTCATAAATGAAGACATAAGGACTAAGATTAAATTTAACTCATTTTGATCTATCTTTATGCATTAAATAAATTAAATAAATGTTTAAGACCCAAATAGAATTAAAAAAATTAGAATTTTTTATTACTGAACTTCATGAGAAGATTATAATATTTTCAGATTAAATAAGATTACAATAAATACTTTTTAATTTAATCTCAAATGCTATAAAATTTACTTTCTCTGGTAAAATTTCTCTAACAATTCAAATCATATTAGTATAAGATACAAAATTAATCCAATTTTGTGTATAAGACACTGGTCTGGGTATACCTACTTAGATACAAAATAAATTATTTAAGGCTTATTCCACTTTTAATTTAGGAAATCATAATAAATAAGGTGTTGGTTTAGGTTTATTAATTTCAAGAAATCTTGTTGGATTATTAGGACCAAAACCATAAATAGAATTAATTTCTAAAGAAAATTAAGGGTCTTCTTTTAGTTTTACTATTTATGTAAATATGTAAGATAAAGATGAACATGATCCATTTAATATTAGCTATGGGCTTGTAACTCCAGAAAATGATCCATCTCCTATAAAATAAATGCCAAGTTTTACAATTTTTTAATCATAAAAGTCTCATTAGAAAGCTAAAACACTAATTGATTTATCTAAAAATGCTAAAAAACTTTTACATATTTTGATTGTAGATGATTCAGCTTTCAATTTGCATGCTCTGAAACTAATCTTAAAAAAAAGATTGGTAAAATGTTATATAGATGAAGCATTAAATGGTAAAGAAGCTGTTGAAAAAGCCTAAAAATAATAATTTGATTTAATTTTTATGGATATTAATATGCCTATTATGAATGGTATAGAAGCTATTTAATAAATTCGAAAAATGGATGATATAAATTCTAATTTTTTAAAAAGATCAATAATATGTATTTTATCAGGTGGTAAAGATGATTTTGACTAAAAATTAACAAAAAAAATTGGAGCAGATATGCATTTAGAAAAACCATTATAAATAGATGATTTAACATTTCTCTTAGAGAAATATTAATTATTATGATTAAATTTTAACAATTATTTAATGGTATTATATAAGTTTTCATTTATTTTGGTCTGCAACAGTTATTAAAATCAAAATAAAATAATCTAGTGAGTTTATGAATATAAATCATCTTTTAACTTTCCTAACTTAGAGTAGATTACTCATCCAATCAAATGATTTTTCACTTCTATCATAAAAACCTTGAAAATATTTAATTTATTCTTTTTAAGAAAACTATTTTGTTTTAAAGGCTGGCATAGGATAATTGAAACACTATTTTGGACATATTTCTAATAAAATTTTTGTTTCTTTCATATGAGATTGAGTTCGTTAAGATCTACGCTAATTAGGAGTAGCAGTTCTTATTTAACTTCTAACTCTAAAAGATGAATCTAAAGTAGATTTTTATGATTAAGCTGGTTGATGATAGTTTTTATAAGGTTTATCTTCTTTTTAATTCCAGCCATCATATATATCGAAAGTGTTTGATAGGAGAAATTGAGAACTGATTTATTCTAAACATTATTAAGCTCTTCTTTCTTAACATAGTCTTTATGGGGATTCATTAAATTTGCATTCAAAATTTTAAGAGGGGTTTTAATTCTCATTATTAATAATCTTTTGCCTTAGTCTTCTCGACATACAAAGTGACCGTTAAACAAATAATATATAATAATAATAGATATTTTTTTAGAATATTTAGGATTGCCTTATTTAAGTTAAAATTATTACATAAATATATATGTCCATCTTAAAAATGTAAAATTTGATCCATTTTCTAAAGTTTTAATTGATGAAGAGGATAAATTTTAATTATTTTAATTAATAAGACGGTTTTTATTGATCTTACTTCAATAAAAAATGGGTTGTTGTTTAAGTAATCATAATTAACATGATGCTATTATATAAAATATTATAGAATAAACAGTTTTAGAATAGCAATAAATATAAATAGAAGAAGGGTAATAAGAAAGAATTAGAACAACTTTAAATTCAGATTAAGAACTTATTAATAGTGATGATTCAAAAAAACAATAAAATGTAACAATAGAACATCATGTAAAGAAATCTAGTCATCATAAAAGAGAATTTGAGATGAAAGACGAAAGAGATTATATGTTAAGAATAGAGTACAATGTTAAAATAAAATAATTTATAGTAGAATTGATAAAATTGGATACATAATCATATTACAAAATATAAATATCAGCATCATATTTAGATTTTGAAATAATGGTAGATTTAAAAGGAATATAAGTGAATGATAATCATTAACACTTATAAATATATCCATTTAATTATTAAGAAGCAGCCAGACATGCCAGATATAGTTGTTTTTTTTCAAATGATAAATATTTTAACATAGAAGAAAATGATTTCAAAAAATAACATTATTTTCAAAAATTATTGTTAGTATAAAGATAAGTACTTAGAAGTCATTAAAAGTCAACATCATCTTAAGAAAGAAGAGTTGTTAATAGAAGATGGGCAATGGTCGCCGATTTAGCAACACTTTTAATTAAACAACCAAACTTACCTACAAAAACTAAACCAGAAATGAATTATGATGTTGTTAATGAACTTATGGAAGTTATTCAAGTTTTTGATATAGAAGCTAATCCTAGATTTCTAAATATTATATTTCATTTAATGCTTTAAACTTACTTTCCTCAAATGAGAGAATATTTAGTATTTATTGAAGAAATTTATTTTCTATTTCATGATCTTCCACATTTGGATTGTCCTCAATATTATAAAATCTTATTATTCTACTAAGGAATGAATTATTCTTTAAAAGATCTTCATACACATTTAGATTTTGAATAACTACAATTATCTGAACTTTGTTTATTAAAATTGTTACATTGTCTTATTAATATACTATATGCCTGTTATTCTAAATATCTTTACAGATTGAATTTTACATTAAGTAATATATACTATTTTAGAAGATTAAAATTATTTAAATTATAATCATTTTAAAGAATAAATTCACTTATTCCATTTTAAACTGATGTAGAATCATCAATTAATTGTATTACTGAAACCAAAATATAAAAATTTAAGAAATGTTATCTTAAAGATTATTTAGCCATTTGTGATATTATTATATTATTTAAAAATCCTAGAGGATACAATTAACGAATTATAAGTAAATTAAGAAAGAAAAAACCTCAATCAGAGACAGAAGTTAAATATAAAGATTATCTATTATATGCAGATTCAATATTTGATGAAGTTTAAGATAGAATAATACTGGATTTTATTAAAATGGGATTAAATCGAACATTTTAAGGAGAAGAATTTGATTTAAAATAGTAAAATTTATATTTATTTTATAATTAGAGCTTTAGAAGAATTAAAAAGTAATATTACTTAGATTTAATATCTTATTTAAAGTACTGAATAATTGTAAAAGTAAAAAAAGAGGGAAGAATATTTATATAAAAAATAAACAAATCATAAAGAATATTTCGATATTGTAGTATCTTCAGAAAGTGATGAAGAAGATCATGATAATATTTTAAAAAATTTTGATTTTGAATTAGACATTGAAAATTTAACTATTAAATAATTTGATAAAAAAGAGAATAGTGATGCTATAGTTAGAGAATAATTAAAAAATGAAATGAAATATTCTTCTTTATTAATGAATAGGAATTTCTTAAAAAATTGTTAAGCCTTTTTATAAAAAGAAGATAAATATTCAATTGATAAAGTTTAAGCTCTAATTTATCTGGCATAAGCTAAAGCATAAGAAGTATTAGATGAAAAAGAAAGGAAATAATAATTTTAAAATGATTTAGAAATTCCAATTCAATTAGTGTAAAAAAATGAAGATAAATCAATTATAACATTTCATTTTTTAGTTTTAATTTAGTTGATATAATATAGTTCTAGAAAACCATAATTAGTGTTGTTGAGATTATTGTAAATAAGTTAATTATAATCATAAAAGAAATTTGATTTAAGACGTAAGATTAAAAAAGCCATTCATTCATAAACTGGATTGATTGAAATGAGAAAACATGTGATCATTCAATTAGCAAATGTAGAACATTGTTTAGCTAATTCAAGATTAAATGAAGCCAATTCTATGATTTTCTCAATTATAGATATTTAAATGAAAAGAAAGCTACTTACTTCTTTACTTTTTGGGTATTCATTATATCTTTATGGAATTATATGTTAAGAAACAATTTAAATTTAATCAGCCATGATAACATTTTAAATGAGTAAAACTATTTATGATAATTATTTCCCTATGGAAAAATTAATAGAAAATAATTATGATGAGATTTTAAATAAAAGAAATATTCAGAATGCTAATTAAAAAGTAGAATCCAAAAAAATTTTGATAAATTTTCATAATATGGCTACATATAATCTATCAAAATTAGCATATAATTTAGGTGTTGTATTTTGTTAATTAAATGATCCAGAAAACGCTTTAAGAGCACTATAAAAGGCAATTGAATATAGAAAATTGTTGCATGATGAATTTTCCGATGAAGTTATTGAGATAATTTTAATGATTTTTAAAATTTATATTGAAAATGAGGAATCATCTTAAGTTTTGAAATTAGGTTGGTTTTATGCAAGAAAAATTAATTAACGTTATAGAGATAATAATTTATAATGCTAACATAATAAAAATTTTGCTTAATTAGAATTTTTATTGGCTGGTGTATTTTAAAGTTGCAATTCTTATTTTAGTGCTTTAAGGTTTTATTCAAGAGCTAGTAAAGCATATACAATATCAAAGACATAAACATTTAATAGAATGTACTTTGTTTAATAATAAAGAAAATTAATAATGTCATAAATAAAAGATTATCATTTAAATAATGATAGATTATAATCATAAGAATTTTATTATTAAACTAAAGTAAAAAGTATTTATGATAAAATGAAACCATTTTTTTAATAAGTTTACTTTGTGGCTTCAATTTTATATATGGATAATTCATTAAATTAAAATACTGGAACTATATTATTGCATTCTAATGGTTTTATGAAAAATCATGATCATTAATTAGCATGGTAAAGATATTAAGAGATACATAAACAATATTAAAAAATTTAAAAAGATGAATGTTATGGTCATAATATTGAAAAAATGGGTGAAATATATTTAGAATAAGGTCATTTAGATAAGGCTAAAATGTAATTTTAATTTGCAATTGGTATATATGAGAAATATTTGTTTTTCCCTTATAAGGAATATTGTCAAATACGTTGTCATTTATATATAATTTGTATCCTGGCAATCTAAAAGAAAACAGAAGATCTTATTTAATAATTTAATTTTGTTGAATCTTTTATATTAGATTGTTAATAATTTATGAAATGGAGTATAATATCTGAGGAAAGAAAATATAATAAATTTTAGTTATTATCCAAAAAAGCAGGAGTTAAGATACTTTATTAATTACTAGAACTTATGGATCTAATTGATAAATTTAGAAATATAAGGAAAAGATGGTTTAAAAAAATTTTAGATTTAGATTACATAAATTAAAGAGGATTGAAAATGAAAAAAAGAATGAAAATACATCGATCAGAAAATAAATTATTGGCTGAATTCCGTAAATCATGTTTACTTGGTAATCATGTATCAATTTGCATTAGAAAATATGAGGATTAGACAAAAGTATAAAAGGAAGATTTACAAAAGGAATAAGAAAAGAGATTGTAAGATATTTTAAAAGTATAATAAAAAATAAAAAATGAAGATTAGAGTATGCTAGATTAAATTAAATTTGAATAAGAATAATAATTAATATCTTAGAAAAGTATGAAAATAATAAAATCAAAATTCTTTATTTTAGATATTGATGAGAATACAATAAAGTAAAAGAAAAAGAAATAATAAATAAATGAAGAAGTGGAAAGAATAGAAATATCTTAACAAACTTCTTATAAAATAATAGATTAGGTATCAAGTACTTTAGAATCTTAAAGAACCTAACCTACAAGTGAGAGAGTTGTAAAAGTGTAGAAATCAAAAAGCTAATAAAAAGCAACAGTAGTTAAGAATGCATAAAATAAAAATAGCATAAATTAAAGAGGTACGTCATAATAATAAAATCAGAGATTAAATCCATTTTAGAAAGTGAGTAAAAAATAAATTTGATTAATGTATAATTATTCAAAAGTTGGTTTAGTTAATTTCATCTTAAAATAATCCAAAAGAGCCAATTCCATTAACCTATTCAGTATTCAATTATTCTTATGATGATTTATCAAATCTTAAATTAGTTTACATAACAAGAGTGCAATTTCTTTATCTAATGATTAAAGATATAGATTTATCTCTGTTTGTATTTTAATTTTTACAATTCTGCATAAATGGATTTTTGAGAAATGTAGGCATCATAGATTTCTAAAGACTAATATTTTATGATAATAATACATAGCAATATTATTTAGTTTATAGAAATCTACTTCACTTTCTATTTGATCTTCTGAAGCAAAGAATTTATGTTTTAATAAACTATTAGCAGACCATCTAAATTCAGGATTTTTGGATAGCATTTTGATTAATAGATCTTTTTCAATATCATTTAATTAATCATTAGTAAATTTAGTAAGATTAATATCACATTTTCTATTTAATTCTAATTATTCTTTTCTATCTTTTTTTTCGAATAATGGTTCTCCAATTAATCTATAATATATATAAATAATAATTACAAAACATAAAGAATAACTCCAACACTAAAAATATCACAAAGTACAGAATATTTAGCATAATCTGAATCTTATTCTAAAATTTCAGGAGCAACAAATCCTGGTGTACCACATTTTGGATATGTGTATGGATGAGATTCTACTGATTATGCTAATCCAAAATCAGCTATTACTAATGACTCTAAATCCTTATTCATAAATAAAATATTCTCTGGTTTTAAATCTCTATGCATTATATTATGACTGTGAATAAACGCTAAACCTTCTAATAATTATTTCATTATTATTCTTATATCTGATCTACTAAATAATGTTTGACGCTTCTTCATTAAAGATAAAAGTGATCCTCCTTTTGCTAATTCCATTACTAAATAGTAATTTTAATTCCCTATATACAGTTCATGTAATTAAAGAATATTTTAATGTTTTATTTCTGAAAGAATACGCATTGTCTCAATTTCTTATAACAATTATTTATATCCATTTTTTCTTTCATTTATCCTTTGTTAATCTATACATTTTGCTGCATACTATTTTTATGTCTATAAATTAGACAATTCAAGAACTGTAGCATATGATCCTTTTCCTAAAATTGATTCTGCTTAATATTCATCTTATATTTTCACCTAAAATACATAAAGAGCACATTTTTATTTTAGTTCTCTAAGTTATTCATTTGTACCAAAATATTCAAATTACTCTCCACCTACTTAAAATATTACTGATTTTAATTTGTTTTTCTTGTAAGACCACTATATTCTCATATCTTAATTTATTTGGAATTGACGCTCAGGAATCTAAACAAAAGGAGACTCAAAATCCTATTATAAACTAATACCTTTCCTATACAAATTTGATTCTTAAACAGATAAATGTACCTTGGACCCCTGCCAATAAATTTTTGTTTTATCAATAAACAATTATATATGCATCTTTCATAATCTACTGCTTATAATTTTTTCAATCCACCTTCATGAACAGTTTGAGATTTTTGTCTCATTTTTTTTAATAAATTATTTTTATTCTTATCTAAATCAAATCCTTCTCTTAATTTTAATCCCTAATATAATCCCTCTATTCCTCATTCATATAATATTTTCATTTAATACTATCATTTTACTTTTTACAAAATATTTTTTTAAATGAAAAACAAAAATAAATTATCTGAAGAGAGTTATTTATATAGAAATTTACCAACTTCTAATCAAGAATAATAAAACACAAAGAATAATTATTCTTTTTCTTCCAATTAATCTATAATCTAACAAATTTTCCAATTTTACACTAAATAATCATACGCCTTAGGTGTAAATGCAACTTTTGATAGATAATAATAAGAGTGTAATTAATTAAACTTAGCTAAATTCTTTCATTTTTGCAGAGATTTTAACATTAATTTCCTCAATAAATAAGAACTCTAAGATCTATTTAAGAAATGCTCAAATCATGGTTAAAATATCAATTTCTAATAGTTTGAATAATTATTTAGTTTATTAGCATTTAAGAGAGGAATTGATTTATGCAAATTTTATAAAGAACTAGGATTTGATGTTTGGTTAAAAAATAATAAGAAAATGAAATTACTTGGTAAACCTTTTTATATGAAAGATGACAGATAAAGATTCTAAAAAGAAGAACTTCATTATAAATTTGAACTCTTCCATCCAGATATCAAAGATTAAAATCTAATTAAAGAAATCTTAAAATAAAGAAAAGTTAAATCAGAATAAAATATGAATTTTTAAAAAGAGAGAAAAATATAACAAAAGATGTAATAAGAACTGAAGTTTAAAAATGGAACAGAATTGATTGAAAAATATCCTGATAAAATAGAATTAATATAACAAATTTAAAGAAGAAGAGTAACATAGCACATTTGTAACTTTAAACCTCTTACTAAACTTTCTTATAGTCTTGATATATCAAAATAAGAAAATAAATAAGAAAAAACCTCTATAATTACATGGAAAGATTTGGATGCTATCATACCTGATACGGATCTAATATTAAGTTTGATTGAACCTAAAACTGAATTAGATAAATATTTAAACTAATATCAAATCTATAATAACTTACCAAAAAATTTAGATCATACTTTTCTTTAAAATTCTAGTAAACTATCTTAAAACACAAGATTTAGGTCTGATTCTAATCCAAATTATTATAAAGATAAAAATTCAATTTTAACAGAAAGATTAATAAAACCAAAATATAATTATTAAGAATTGCCTCCTAAAAAATCAATTTAATTTTATCATCTATAAGAACAACCTTCAAATTTACCATATTTATCAAATGTAAAAAGTTAAATTGATAAATCTCCTTAACAAGAAAGATGGAATATCTAAATGTTTAAAAGAGCAAACGAAATTTAATAATTAGAAGGATTGAAATAATAGTATCTAATATAGTAAAATATCAACAATTAATTAAAGTGAGAGCAACTTAAAAAATCAAATGTAATTAATATATGATATTAATATTTATGTTATTAAATTTTTGAATTTTTTAGTTCAATAAACCTACTAGTCAAGGAACAAAAAGAAAAATTAAATTTATTTTATCCTAACTTGATTAAATAACAGTACAGATTCTTAAATGAAAAATGACAAAACAAAAAATAATTTAAACTTTTTTTTTAAAAGTTGCAATAATTAGAAAAACATAAAATGAACTAAAAAGATTATTTTAAAGAGTTCTTAATTTAAGTGAACCATCAGAAAATAAATATTAATATAGTAACAAAAGTAGGTTAAAGGAATAAATATAGAGGAGAGTATTAAATCATCTTCAAAAAATAATTAAATTTAATTAAATTTAGTTTAATGGTTCATAAATTACATTAATATTTAATATAAATTCAAAAAAAATAATATCTTTTTTTTGTTTTTTTTGCATAGTTCAAATAATTGTTAGAAAAGAAGTTCAATATTGAATAAATACAATTAGAAATTATATTAGAAGATTAGATTTAAAGAAAAATAAGAGAAGAATAATTATATATTAATTTACTATAAAACAAATTCATTTTATAGAAATAATCAATTTTTGATTTTTGTATTCATAGTCAGAAAATACTGCTATAATTTTTAAAGTCTCTGAAATGTTAATCATTGTGATCTCTAGACTATCAACAGCCACAATTTTAATTTCTAATAAAAAATATAAAATGTATTATTACCTGTAACTTTAGCAACAAGTCTCATCATTTCTGATATTTCCATAGCTTCAGTTACTCCACTAATAATAATAGTTTTAGATAAAGGAACAATTAATTTTGGTGTATTAGGATTGTAATATATCATATATTCATCTGAAATGGTAGTTGGTTATAATTATTGTAAAGGATGATAAGATATTCGCCACTATATTAAGTTAATATATTTTGATTACTTATTGATCAAAAAATTAAATATTATTTAAATATTCTTTTGCAATTTGAGCAAATTCTTAAGTTTAATATCTAACAAAAAGTCTTTGCATTTATTTTTCATAGAGAAGTTCTTCTACATTCCCAAATTTGTTAAAAATATTATAAAGCATTTTTGCAGTAACTCTTTCGTCGATTGTTGTTACTTTAATAATTTTGGATGGTTTTTGAGTGATCATATTTTAAACATCTTATGAGATTTATGGTCCTTACTATTTCTATTATTTCCAGATATTGATATCATCATCAGAATCTGAATTTAATAAGTTATTAATTTCATCATTTCTTTATGGAGTGAGATTTCTTTAAGAAGTTTGTGTGAAAGTACGATTAAATGATTCTATTTATTATCTAAGAATGTTTGGATCATCAGTATTGGAGTGTTTCATAGAATCTGAATTTGTACTGCTTGCTTAAGTGTAATCTGTTCCTCTAGATTTATCAACTACTTCTAAATCTAAATTTTTGAGGCGAGAGAAATGAATTGTAAGTCTAAACTTTATTAAAATATATATACTTTCCTTCTCCTTCAGCTAAGTATTTGCCTAATTTATCTTTTCTAGCTTCTATAGCATGTTGTACATCATAATATTCAACAAATGCTTTGTTTGCCTTTCCTCTTTCGAAAATTAGAATTTTTTTAATGTCACCATATTTAGTGAATTGTTCAAAGAGAAGATCATTACTAAGTGGAAAGGTTGGAGATAATTATGTTATAACAAGAAGCAAAATTTTGCTAGGTGGATCTCTTGTAAAATTATTCATAAAATAAATATTTTATCATCTAACCTATATATTAAGTACTCAAGACTCACAATTTTACTTTAATAAACAATAAACCTAATAAATTATTATAATGTTTTATAAAATAGAAAATGTTGCAAAACAGGGTTTAATTTATATTATTATTTGAATGTTAATAAATTACTATGTTTTATATAACTAAATAACAATAAAGAAATATGTTGAAAGGAAATAAGAATAACTAATAATTATAAAGAATAGAATTATAATTAATAAAGTTGTAGAATATTTTAAATTAAAAATAAAAAAATAAAGTATTGTATCAATATATCATATATAAATGTAAAAATTAAAGATAAATTTTCTTAAGTCTTTCTTTAAGTGAGATCACATAAGAAACTAAAAGGATTAGAAATAGCTGAATTAAATAATCTTTAAAAAAAGAATGAATAATTAAAATTATTATTAATAAAGATTGGAAAGTCTATAAATGAATTGAGAGAATCAAAAGTTATCAGTTGAATGATATTTTGATAATTAATAAATTGAGACATTTAAAAGAAAGGATTAGATTAACTATTTTGAGACTGAAATAGTTTTAAAGAATGTAAGTGATGAATAAATTTAATTAATTGTCTAATTCAGTTTATCCATTAATATGAATAATAGAAAGATATTCATTGGCATCAGATATAATAATAGTAAGTAGATAATCTATATTGAGGATAACTTTTGGCAGTATTGGTAATAATACAAGGATTGAAAAGGTGGAATTTACTAAAAACTTGAAATAATATGAGTAATTTAAGACTAGAGTTTTAATATTTAATGGAAGTGTCTAAAAAATAGGATTAATTAATTTTTAATAAGATAATATATACTAAATATGTCATAATTTAGAAAGATTAGAAGGATTTAATGAATTAATAGAAAAAAGAATAGCGAAATATAAAGGAGAATGAGTTAATTAATAATATCTTTATTATGATTATTTATATTTAAAATTTGAAAAATATATATTAAGAAATTTAGTAAATAAATTAATAAAGACATGAGTACTAATATGAGAGGGTTGAATACATTCATTACTGACATTCGTCACTGCTCTAATAAAGAATAAGAAGAAAAAAGAGTAGAAAAAGAATTGTAAAAGATTAGAGGAAAATTTACATCCTAAAAAGGATTAGCTGGATATCAAAAGAAAAAGTATGTTTGGAAATTGTTATATATCTATATTCTAGGTAATAATACTATATATATTATTAGGTTATGAAGTTGATTTTGGATAATAAGAATGTGCCTTCTTAATTAATTCATCTAAATTTAGTGAAAAATATACAGGATACGTAGCTACATCAATATTAGTAAGTGAAAAAACACATGATTTATTTACATAAGTAGCATCATCTATAAGAAATGATTTATAATCTGTAAATGAGATTAATCAATCTTTGGCACTCACTATGGTTGGAACATAAGCACCTTAAGAATTAGTTAATGCTTTACATTAAGATGTCTAAAAATTAGCATTGACAGAATCAAGATCAACATTTCATGTTAGAAAAAAGGCTTGCGCTTGTTTACTTAGAATGTATAGAAAATATTAAGATAAATTTTAACCATCTTAATGGGCATAAGGAATATCATAAATGTTTGAATCTAGGTATATATTATTAATATATTATAATAGACATCCTTCATTAGGATTCATGACAGCAGCCACTTCATTATTAGTTGGAACATGTTAATTAGATAATCCCTCAATTTTTGAGGACTGTACCCCTAAGTTAATTAAATTACTTCATAAGATTGCTATCTAAAAAGATAGTCCTGGAGATTATAATTATTATGCAACTCCTGCTCCATGGTTATAAGTTAAGATTTTGAAAGCTCTTTCATTTTTTTCACCACCTCCTCCATCAACTGATTCTCATCGTTAATTAACTGAATGTTTAACCAAAATTATTAAAAAAACTGAAGTTACCAAAAGTATTAATAAAAATAATGTTGATCATGGTATACTATTTGAAGCAGCTAATCTTGTTATCACTTACAATGGGGCTGTTGGAATGGAATTAAAAAATGATATTCTCAAATTATTAGGAATCTTTATATCTGTTAAAGAACCAAATCTTAGATATCTAGGATTAGAAACTATGTGTAAATTTGTTAAACTTGCTGGAGATTCTTTAGAAGATCATTTAAATACTATTTTCAAATCTTTAAGAGATAATGATATTTCTATTAGAAAAAGAGCATTAGATTTACTTTATCTTATTAGTAGTCCTAATACTAGTTAGAGAATTGTAGAGGAGTTATTGAGTTATGCTGAAAATGGAGCTGATTTGCAAATTAAAGATGATTTAGTTCTCAAAATCGCTATTCTTTCTGAAAAATTTGCAGATAATTTATATTGGTACATTGATGTTGTTGTAAGAATGATAAATTCATCTGGAGATTTTGTGACTGAAGATATCTGGTTTAGAATCATTCAAATCATTGTTGGTTTTTAAAAAGAAGGCAATCCAGAATTATAAAAATATGCTGCCACTAAATTGTATTCCTAATTATCTATGCCACATGTACACGAAACATTAATTTGTATTGGAGCATTCATAATAAGCGAATATTCATAGATGTTAGTGGAATAAAATAAAGAACCCTAAAAATTATTTGATATTCTGAATAAACATTATACATTCAGTACTGAAAGAAGCAGATAAATGTTGTTAAATGCCTTTATAAAATTGGCAAGTAAATATCCAGAACTAAAAGACTAAGCAATAATGATATGTCAAATAGCTGGTGAACACTTTGATCCAGATATTTAATAAAGAGGAATAGAATATTTTTCATTGTTAATGGAAGATGACAAACTCTTAAATCAAATAGTAGTTAAAATGCCTCCATATTCAGAACAAGTCTAATTGAATAATCCTCTAACAAAAAGAATATATGGTATGGTTTTAAATCCAAAGGAATAAAAGGATCCTACATTATTAAATTAAGCAAGAATTTAAGCTAATCAAGAAATAGCTATGGCTGAATAAAGATTATAAAGCAAGCCTGAATAACTTTAAAAGCATTTGAGTTGGTTAAAAGCATGTCCGTACTTGAATTAATTCTAAGGATAGATTGCTCTTGAGGGTGTTAATATAATGGTTCCACCATCTCCTGATGATAATAATCTAAAATCCCCTTCAATAAGCAATATAAATGAAATTAAATTATTATTAACTAGCTAAATAGGAAAGATAGTTGACAAACCTGATGATCTTGTTGTATAATATAAATCAGAAATAAATGGACATTTAGGAAAGGTATAAAATTTACTAAATTATCATTAGATCTCTTTCTAATTTGAAGCAAAATCTCCAATTCAAAACTTATCTATTCTTGTTTCCTAAACTAATGGTATGCTATTCAACATTTTACCTGTAAAATAAGGAGATTTTCCATAAGTCATGATGTAAGTTTTAAGTTATGATGGAAATATGACGTTGCCAATTGCATCAGTATTTTATGAAGAAAATGGACAACAAAAAAAACGTGAATTTCATCTTCCCATTTATACAAATAAATTTGTATAACCTGTTGATATGCCTTATGATAAATTCACTAAATTCTTTGATGATTTTACGTATTTATTATTTGATAATCTATAGAAACAATCTAGTCAATCCAAACTATTTTAAATTAGATACTTTTATTAGAAATACTGCTCCATCAAATATTCCAATGTCTGAAGTACTCAAAAAAGCTGGAGGATTGCTATCTGTTGGATTGAATTTAAAAGCGTAATCAACAATTTATAATTTAGTCAACCATTCCCATCTCTTGAAAATTTGCAAATGATTTGGGCTTGTGGATAATTGATTATTAAACCTCCAGAACAAAATAATATTTTAAATCTACCAATAATGGTTGTTATATCATCATTAGATCAAACTACAGAATTTTTAAGAGTAGGAATAAGATGCGGTGGAAATGGAGAAATCGCTAAGAATTATTTGAAATTAATAATGCTCTATCTGGGATGATCAATATTACACAATATAAAAATATTTATATCTGTCTCACTTTTTATATTAGAATCATACAAAATTAAACACATGATTCTTAAAAATGTGATTTTGCAATAAGTATACTCAGTTGCAATACTTCACTTTTTTGGTTGATGTTTTTCAACTATTATTACTTTCAGCCTTTAAACCTATGAACTAAACTTAACTATGAATCCAAACTTATCAATCAATTGAAACCTCCATTTCTTCTTCCTTTAGATTTTACAATATCATCTATATAAAATTTATATAATTTAATCCAAAATAAACTAATCTCTAATTTCTTATTTTTTATTAAGGTTCATTATGTAACATAAGATATTTTAAAAATCAATTTAAATTGCTCATTGAAAATTTAAAGACTAAATTTATTCAATTTATTTTATTCAATTTATCTTATTTAGCCATTTTTAAACGATTCGTCAGAATTAAATCCTCAAAAGGCATTTAACTTTATCTATATAATATTATTTTTCAATTAATTTTTACAACAAAAGCTAAATTTACCTTTGAATAATCACTAATATTCAACTAATGATGTATTTTTATTTCATTTAAGTAATTACCCTCTTTAATAAGAATACCAAAATTTCTTTTTTTTAAAAATATACACATTTAGTTATATTTAATAGATTAGAAGGACTAAACAAATTTTAATCTAAAAAACCTTTTTATTTTTATTTAATCATTAATACCAATAATATATAGGGATGATAATATAAGAAATTAAAATTAGGATAAATAAAAGTTTAAAAAAATAAAATTGTTTCTTTCTAATTAATTTTCAACCTCTAGGATTTGATGAAACAAAATAAAAAATAATTTTTATTTGTTCTAAAGAAAAAATTAAACTTTTAATCTCAGGAATAGTAACAATTGAATCTAAAAATAAAATAATATTGNTTTTTTTTGATATGTTCATCAATTAGTTTATATAGATCTTATTCTATTTTATTTTAGATATTCTCATTTAAATTTTCTCTGATTGATGTGTAAAATTCTTCTTCGCTCTAGAAATTCAAATGTTCAAGTATTACATGTTTTGCTGTTAATCTTGAATTATTATGAGATTTGCAGAATGTCCAAGCCAATTTATACACATATTAGAGATTTTTTGGAATTAGATATATTTTTCTTATATCTTATATATCTCTCTATAATTAATTGGTTTTTTCATATAAATGAATCAAAGTTTATTAGGATACATCTATCAACCTTTCTTACAGCTTCCTTATTGTTTTATTGATATTTGATGATTATTTAATATTATAGACACTTAAAATACTATCCATTAAGAAATTATTTGTATTTTATGGTAATCTTAATAAATTTTTAAAAGCTCTCTTCCTCAACATTAGAAATCGTTTTCTGATCGATTTGTTTTAAAACTATTCAATTATTTAACAGTAGTTGAAGTATGGTTGAATATAAATTAAAAATAAAAGAAGTCTTTAACGAAAATCCATCTTAAAAGAAACATATTTCAGTTTACTCATTTTAAATTGAACAATTTTTTCAATATCATCAATATGCTATTTTATTTAACCTTTATTGTCTATCTTTATTCCTAAGTACTTATAGTTATTGACAACCGGAAAATTATCATAGCTATCTTCTACCATTTTCCATTTTATAGGTAAGATTCCAGATTTCTTTTCATTCAAAATAAATGCCCATTCTTTTGCTTAAATTCTTAGTTAAAAAATGAATTATTATAATTTCGATTGTTTAACAATAAAGACTAAATCATCTGCATAACCAAGAAATTAGTAAGAAAATTTAATTGCAGATTTCAATTGTCTTAAAAAACCATCCATATAAATGTCAAAAAGTTACGGGGATATAGGAGAACCTTGAATAACTCCATTTTCATAATAATATTGTTCTTTTTTATTATATGGGTTAATGTATATTATTCTACTGTGTATTGCTTTCAGAAATTTCACTTCATTCTATTCCAATACATTATTATTTTCAAGTAGTTAATATAATTTTTCCCGATTAACAGTATTATATGCACTCGAGAAATCGATAAATAACATTATTAATTTTTGGGCTGCCTTAGTTTTTTTAAAAATATCACATATTGCTAATATATTAACTTAAGTCCCAAACCCTTTCACAAAACCTGTCTGTTCTTTTAATATTTTTTCCTACAAATAATTCATTAGCTTATCATAAAACCTAAATATATTAAAATATTTCAATTTTTTAATTTACCATCTATTTTTAAGAAAAAAAGAAATTTATATCATTCCAAATTAAAAAAAATCTTTTATCCATGAGTTCTTTCATTTTTTGTGAGTCTTCCAATTGTATACAGATTCCTAGTAGTTCTCTTCATTTTTTGAACAATGGAAATATGTGGGTAATTCTGTAAACTACACCCTCAAGAAAGGTTAACAACTGCACATATTAATTTACAAGTTAAAAGAAGATACAAGTTTGCTTAGGAGTACAAAAGATTTAATAGATTTGTTTAAGATCCACACATTGAAATCACTAAGGACATCACCAAGTAAATGTGGGGTATGTCCAAAGAGCTTGGAAAACTATTATTAATGGTTGCCAAAAAATATGGGTTTGTTAGAAATATAAAAGGTTAATAATCTTTTTCTTTAGATTCAATCAAAAAAAGAAACTTTCCAGATTAATAGTTCAGGAACGAAGAACAAAATGCATAATGACTATCCATTTAAAATTTTATTTATAATGAAAGGCATTTAATAATAAAAATGAAATTACTTTTTAAAAATCCAATCTTGAATTCAAAAACTTATTTGTTTAAATAAAATTCTTAGGATTAGATCGAGGATATTTAAATCTCAATTTTTTTGCATAATACTCAGATTTATTTTATTACTTTCTATCCAATAGAATAATTTTAAAATAAAACTATCAGAAATACTTTATAAGAACTCAAAAAGAAAATTTATTAAAATATTTTTAGACTACCAAAAACTACCAATTATAAATTAATTAATAGTGAGATTATTAGAATTCAATGAAAAGATAATTTAGACATTATAAAGATAAATAGATTTGTCTGATTTAACTAAGTAATATAAAAAGGAGAATTGATAATATCAAATAATGGAAATAGATAATTTAATTCCATTCAATTTGTTATATATATACAAATTTGCTCGGACCTATTGTAAAACTCAAAATAATAAAAGATTCAATTCGAAGCATATAATAATTGAACAATTAATTGAACAATTAATCTTAAGGATGAAGCTGATATATTTTAATTTGTGTTTTTCCATGAATAAGGGTTATATTTTTTTTTGATTTTTTTAAATACAAACTTCATTTTTATTAATAAAACATTTTTTAATAAAATATATTTATTGATTTTTTTTTGTTAATTACTTATTATTCTTAAATATACTTAATTGCTCTCATAAATAATATTTTTTTTGAAATTGTATTAATTATCTTTTTATTTTTAAGAATTATTATAAAGTTTATTAAATTTCTTACAAAATTTATACAAAATTTTTTACACAATAAATAAATAAGATAAATATTAAATTCATAGTTTATTTATGTTTTTATCTTATTTCTTATATTTATTAATGAGATTGAGATCGTTCAGGTGTATTTATATTTTATTACTTTTTTATAAATTCTAAACTCAAATATTTTTTAATTTTAATTGTACATGCCCAATGAAAAGAAGTTTTAAATCCCCATTTAATTGAACTTTTATTTTATTTATAATTTCTTATATCAGGGCTTTACTTATTACTATAAATTGTTTAAATATATTATCCAAATATGAATAAAACATCTTACACAATAAAATATAATAAATAGAATTTATGTATTTTTAAATTTTTTAATGGTCTAATGAGCATTTCGAAAGTCAATTGTTTATATTCAACATTTTTCATTAAAGACGCTTAAAAAAAATTTCAATTTATTGAATTTCTCAAAACTCTTATTTTTATAATCTAATGCATGTATTTGCTTTTCATCAAAAAAAACCTTTTGTTGAAATTAATTTTCTAAATCATTTAATCTAAGAAAAATTAATTAAGTATTTACAATTTTAAAATCTCATTTATTTTTTTATCTTAATTGCTCTAATTCTATTTGGAGACACAATTTTTAAGAAAGTTATATTTGGAATTTGTAGAAAAAGACAGAGAATATGTCATAAATGATAAACATATAGTTCCAAAAAACTTATATTTGATTGGTTTCATCTTGATAATTAAAAGATAGTAATTTTCAGAGTATATATATAATCTTTAATTATTGGATACATAATTAAAAGATCTAAATTTATAAATATAATTATGTTATCACAAAAAAAAAATAGAAGATTTGTGCCAAATCAGCAAGCTGATAATTTTTAGATCATAGATGGAAGAATGGAAGTTGAATCTACCCTTTATAATGATTATATAAAAAGTAAGTAAAGTTTAAAAGCTAATAGAAAAGAAGTCAGATAATTTTGAGAACTTTGACAAACTATGCACTATAGAAAATTTGAATTATACCTAGATTTGTAACAAAGAAGGCATGGTATTAGAAGAGAACTTATAATCACCATAAAGAAAGTCTTTATAAAATACGAGAACAACCTGTAATAGAGTTTTGAGAATGAAGCAATAATACAATAAATAGCACAAAAGTAAAAGTTTGATTGATGCTGTCAATTTCATTTAAGGAATTGCAAAAATTCGTCGAAGAAGTGAGTATGACAGAGGTAGTGAGAAATAAGTAAAAAAATAATATATATTTAGGTCAGACTTTCAACTCTCTATCCAACTACAAATGTAGCTTAGCATTTACAAAAAAAAGCTTTTAGGTAGAATGAAATGAGAAAGAAATCAATTTTTAAAAGAATGTCAAGTATTTTAATAAAACATTCAAACAATATCAAAACTCAAAGTATTTTAGGAGTATCATAATTACAAAAATTAGATGAATCTCCTACAAAGTAAGAAGAGAGATCTCCGACATACATTATAAAATAATTTGAGTTATAATTGGGTTAAATGAAAGAATCTTAAGAACTTTTTGTAAATATCTAGAATTCAGAAAAGTATATCCAATTTTAAGAAGAATTAAAAAGATATTCTTAATCTCTAAATAATTCTCCATTTTCAAAAAGAATTTTAAAGAAGCCATAAAATGAATATAATTCAGAGTAACCAAAAGTTGTTTTGAATTTGAGTAAAAAGCAGAGAAAAACTTTTACTTCCATTCAAAATTATGTTAATGAAAGATAGCAAAGTATTTAAGCCAATTCAATAGCTAAGATGATAAATTAAGTTTAATTTTAATTTTAGTAACTATAAAGCCTCACAGAAACTGATAGTTCATCTCCAATTAAATTAAAAAATGCAATCACTAATAAAAAATTAAATCATATCAAATCATTATCTAATCTTCCAGATATTAAAGAGACACTGACTTAAAGATCAATAAATAATAGGAATTTAAAAACATCAGAGAAAGTCAAGAATGTGTACATTTTTAGTCCATTAAAGAAAAAAGCTCTATTTGAAAAATTAAAATTGTGAAAATATTTGTACTAATCAATTATTGATAAATCATGTTTAAATTATTTATATTTATTACTATGCGAAAAGCTTAAATAGCTTTAAATTATAATTATTGTGATTAAATACAGTGTGTCTTGATTTATCTTGCAAAAAAGATAGATTATTGTGTTGTTTATGTTTAGAGTTTCATGAGGGATACAGGATTACTTTTTAAAAAAATTTTAATAGAATACAACTAACAATATAAACAAAATAAGAACGAGATGAAAATATGAATATTCAATATTGTTTTGTTGTAAATTTATTAGTTAAATTATAAAAAATTTCAGAAAGTTTTGAAAAAGAGGTAAAATAAATTTAGTAAATTATCATTGAGAATTTTAACTTGCTTCTGGGTTAAATCAAAGAGTAAAAATTTTTAGAAATTGTAAAAGTGTCTATCTAATAAAAAATATTACTACATCAGAATAAGTATAGTCAAATTTAAAACAATTTTTTTCCTAAATAGAAAGTATAACTTCTTGGGATGGTTTTCAATGTTAACTTATAAAAACCCAGTCCAAAACTAAATAATTTGAAAAAGGGGTATTTTTCATCATAATAAATTTTCGATGATTTTATTGAATTTAATATATGAATTTATAATAGGATTAAAAATAAATTTTTTAATTTATGCAACTAAATAAAAAACTTATTTAATGAAATTTAAAAATGAAGATAAAGAAAGTTATGGATAGCTCTCCACATAAACTAAGGGAAGTAAGATCATAAACTTTGATAAAAAATTGTTAAAGTGGAAATATAATATTAATTAAGAAAGACTGATTCAAAGTTTGATTTATATTGATATAACATCGTATAGATTAGAAATTCGGAATTGATAATAAGATTTGATTATAAATATTAATGTTTATTTAACTTTTTTCAATCGCTTCATAAAATATAGTAATATTAAATATTATAATTCAAAACTTTTATAAATTATGAATATGATGATATTCTATAAAATTGACTTTTAGAATTTAAAAGATATGGCTTCGAAAAATAATAAATAAATTCTTGAAGGTTTAGCCAAGAATAAATATTTTCGATTTGATTTATTTTATTATTATGAATATGGTCTGTTCTAAAGGGCTGATAAAAAATTTGATGTGAATAATATATTTATTAAAAAGAAAATATTGGAATGGGATTGTATGATATTTATATATATACTATAGGGATATAAAAATAAGATTAGTGCTGAGTAACACATTTATGTCTTTGGTTGTAATTTGCAATTTAGCATTTGTTTCATACTTAAAAGAAAATGATGATAATAATGTTCCATTAACATAATAAATAACAAACATACCAACATCAGATCCCGATAAATACAAAAGTTATTTGAATCTCTCGATAGCTGCATTTTGTTTGATGATGGTAGGATTTTTGGTAGGAATGGTTTAGCCATTTTTAAAATAAGCATAACTTACTTATGTTTAAGCTTTATTAATATTGACAGGATATGTGTGTTTATTTGCAGGAATGTTTATCTTAGACTCGTTTAGTTATGGGTTTAACGATGATAAAACATTCAATTACTAAGTTGCAAGTTTTTTTGGAATGGGAGGAGTTTTCATTTAAGGAATGGTTAATTCATGGAGATAGAGATCATTCAGTTGATGATAATCATATAAATAATACAATAATATTTGCATTCAATTAATTAAAGTTATGAATTCTCTTGATCGACTAAAATAGCAATTCTAGAAAACTACAAGTTCTTTATCAAATTTCCATAAAACAGCTGCTAATTTAGAAAGATAGGCATATTTTTAAGGACAATTTGATATTCTTGCATAAATAATATCATTTCCATCGATGGATGGACTGATTGAATGGGTAAGAAAAAAAAGTGATGAAGTATTACAAATATTAGAGAAGAATAGTGTTCGATATTAAATATCAAAGCATCCTTTATTGGCATCTGAACCTGCTGCTTTTAAGATGAAGACTACATTTTTAGAAGAACCTCAACCTTAATATTTTTAATAACAACCATAAATGTAAATGAACTAAAGTTAATTTGAGGAAGAGATTTGCAATTCATATTATACATAAAATAATAGCTAATATGATTATAGAAAGAGAAGGAAGGATCAATAATACAAAAACTTTTGAAATATGTTTTTAATAAACTTGAATGTATAAAATGAATATAAAAAATTTGATTTGATGAATGGATAATCATTTTTAATTTCTAGAATTACTTTCTGGTTCATCACTATCTTCACTTTCACTTCCATCTTCATCATCTTCTGCAGCATGAAAATCATCATCATCATCATCAGAATCCATATTATTTGGATCAATATTGGTCTTCTAAAATAAATAAAAATATTTATGTATATATACATTCTTCTTTTTTTATCTGCTATCATCATCATCTTCATCATCATCACTATCATCCAAAGGAATATGAGGAACTTCATCTTATAATTTTCTCACAGCTATTTTCTTTTGTTAGAAATATTAAGTTAAATTATCTAATTCATCTCTCTCTATTCCTGAAAATAATTGATTTTAATTTTTGTATACAATTTTCACATCAAAAAATTTATTTAAATTTGTAGAACCAATCTAATATATATATATGTATAAATATATACTCTTTAGAATATAACCTCCTTTATTTCCTCATGTTTTATATGTAATACAGGTTTTTATAAATATATTAATGATTTTTCTAATGGAAATAGAAATCCTGAATGAGGACCAACTGAACATCTCAGACAAAATAAACCATTTTTACTTTTGAAATTTTTAGGAGATACTACTTTGATTCCTGTAATTTCAGCCAATACTTCACAAACAATATCATAAAGTGGACCAGAATATTCCTCTTTAATTCCCTTCCATCCAATTTCATCTAATTTTTATCTACTATATTTTAGTTTGATTTCATTTTCAACATCTTTTTTAAATTACATAACCAGAAAATTGTATGTTGTTTAACCTTATTTGAAAGGATGTTCTAAACCTATCACAAAAGATAGATTAATTTCATCTGGCATAGGTAACAAAAAGAATCTTGAGATTCCTTTATAATCAGTTGTAAATTAATATGTATTTCCATGAAATCTGATATCCTTTTTAAAGAAATCCATTGTATATTTACCTCTAATTAATATAATAAATAAGCAAATTACCTTGGTACAATTAATGGAACATCATGAATAGTTAGGATTGAATCTGCACTACTTTAACCTATTTTAGCTTTAGTTAATATTTCATTTTGTAATTTCTATTAAAATGTTGGTTCAGCATCGTCATCAGCTCCATCATCTTCTTCTTCCATACTATTTTAATTATCTTCATTTTCTTATTTCTTCTTTTCTTTCTCTTATTTCAATTTCTACATTATTTTAATTATATATACCTACTCTTAAGGAGGAATGTAAAATCTGACTTCGCATAACATATCATCGCTAATAAATTATCATTTATATATTCTTACTTATCTCCATAATCATCTGTACTTAATTGAAGTACAATATCATTTTTCTAAGTGTTTGAATTCACTACTTTCTTTAGTGGCAATTTTATTATATTGCTCTGATTATATTTCATGCATAAACTTTTATCATCAATAGATACTACACCCCAATTGGTGCCCTTTGTACATTGATCTGACATAATTTAAATTATAATTATTATTAATTGGCGCATTAAAATTCAATTCAATAAATAGTTCTAATTACATATTTATCTTTCTTTTGATTAATGTACTATTTTAATTCACATTCCTCTTTATCCTATTGATGTTTCATTTCTATACAATTTTCATTCCCCAATATCCCTTAAAATCTTAAATTATAATCATATATACGCAACTCTTCTATAAATCTTATTTTACATCATTTTCATAATATAACCACTCTCAAACCATTGTAAATAAGAAATCTATGTCAATTTATTTACATTTTCCATTAATCATAAATTATCCAGTAATTCTTTTGTTTAACTCTCTATCTCAAAATATATAAAAATGCTGTTTCTTATCTATTCTCCATGCAGAATTTAATTCTATGGTTAGAAGAGAAAGCTAATAAAAAATGATAAATTAATGTTTTACAAATAGTTTTTCTTATTGGAATATTTACTTAATGCCAAATATACAATCTGAAACCTATATTAATTTCATCTAAAATTCATTTATAAAATCTCCAAAATGAATCAATCAAGCAGTGTTAATAGAGATAATACAACATCTAAAAATATGGTCTAAATCCTTGAATCTTAACTTCTATGTATTACTTAGTAGATTTGATTACTAATCTATTATTGTCTTACATAATTATTTTTAATCAAAATATAAGAATCTAATGAATCTTTCAGTTCAAAACCAATTCACTATGAATCAATCTTAAATTATGCACAATCGAATTTCTAAATTTAGTTTCGCCTTTTTTGGGCCAATCCATAAATAATACTACTATTCTTATCAAATAGAGAACTATTGCATTTGTTTGTTAATTTTTTTAGGATTTTTATTATTCGTTTATTTTATTATAATTATATTTTTCTTAAATAAATTAAATTAAGAGAACTCTAAATTGGATATATCAAAATTATAGATTGAAATCGATAGATGCTATTGGAAAATTGTATTAAATTTAAATAGATAATGATTTGCGATTTTTTATTCAGAGTCAATGACTTTTATAATATTAATAAGAAGTGTTATACTTGGATATTTATATTGATTAATAATTGAATAGTCATAATAACTCAGGTTTAGGAGCAAAAGATGCTTTACAACTACAAGATTTCTCTGCGTTTGGATTTTCTTAGACCTTGAAAATCAAATTTAAGAATTACATAAAAGGCAGCTCTAATCATTTTATTTTCATAATCAATAATGCAACCATTAACAAATTTGAGTGTGATTTCATCAACCACAAAAATGATTTCATTTTATATTTTGAGAACATAATCATCTTCTAAAACTTAATCATCAAAGTTAAATGAGTATTTAAATCCTGAACATCCTTCTAATAGATATATAATAAGATGTTACATGCTCCATCTACTCCTAATCTCAAGAATTTATTTGTAAATTTGGTTGTTTATTTTCTTTTAATTTCCTTCATTATTGATCTAATGTACCTAAATACAGAAGTCTGTGAGTTTAATTTAATCATTGATTGTATGATAAGTGAATCGATTAAAATTTGTAAGAGTTGAGAATAAAGTCTTAGAAATTCTTAACATGGCAGAGTTGTATTATTATAAATTAATAAATAAAAAAAGTTAGGAAATAAAGAAAGTTCACATGTTATTCTACATTTGCATCCTTGTATTGATATCTTTAGTAGTCTATGAAATATATTAATACAAAAGGCCTGCAATAAGATTGATACATAAAGAAAGCGAGGAAATAATATAAATATTATAGAGATGTCCATCAATATTTACATACTTTCCTACTCCTTATTTGAATGGATTTCTACATACAGTGCTTTCTACATTTAAGCATCCTAATGAGAAGCATTCATCAAATAAGGAGACTATTGAGAATACTGGAATGTCAATAGATTGGATAGATAGAGGTCATGGAATAGACAAGAATAAACCTTTATTATTTATAATGCCAGGATTAACAGGAACTGTTGAGGATGGTTACATAAATACAATAGTAAGTGAAGCTCATAAATAACATTTCCATAATATTTGTGTCTATAATTATAGAATCTTATAGAAAGGAGGAGATTTCACATTTAAACCAAAATATTATAATTATGGATTAAATATGAATCCATTTAATTAAGATGATACTTATCGTGATTATGAACATTTTGAAGATGATGTTATTTCAAATAAGAGAATAAGAGTTGATTTACCTGCAGATTTACATCATTGTCTAAGTTATTTAAAATAGAAATACCACTTTAATAAAATATTAGCAATAGGTTGTTCTTATGGAGGAGCATAATTAGGGAATTATTTAGGAAGATTTCATAATATAACATTAATTGATGCAGCTGTATTAGTTGGTGCTCCAAATTAAATGTTAATTAATTAAAAATATTTATCATATTTCATGGATTTAGCATTGACTAAGATTTTAAAAAGGAAATTAAAAGAATGTAATCCCAAGGTTGAATGTCATCTAAGATATCCTCTAGAATGTTAGAAAGTCATTAATAGAGCATATTCATCAACTTGGATAAGTGAATTTGATGCCAATTTTGTAATACAGTTATATGGATATAAAAGTGTTAAAGATTATTATTAACATTTTTCATTAGCAAATAGATATCCATTAATAAATGTAAGATTAGGTTAATTTTAATATTAGATTCCAACTCTATGTATATGCAGTGAAGATGATGATGTGTGCCATATTAAAGCTTTGTCAGAGAATCTATTGTAATAGAGTTCTAAAAACTTGATATGTATAGCAAAAGCAGGAGGACATATAGGATTTTTAGAAGGATGGAAGACTGAATCAATATGGTTTCCTAAACCAGCTATGGAATATTTAAGATTATTTGCTGAGATTCATTATAAACATCATTGATATTTTATAGTTTTTAAAAAAGTTAGAATTCTTACCAGATTATATTCATATGATTCTTTGATTTTTAAATAAACTGTGATCATTATAATTCTGATTAACATTTATTATTGATTATCTTCAATTTGACTGAAAAATCTAAAATGATACAAGAGTATACAAGATGCTTTCAAAGAAGATGAATTTCCTTTCTTTTGTCCCTTCTAATTAACTTATTATAAGATTGACTAATATTTTCAACATAATTTTATTAAAGAACGAATTAATAGAATAGATTTTAGTTGTTCAACATCTGAAAGAAGTGATTTATCAAATTATTCTTATCACAAATGTCTATTATCATTTATTCATTTTATGAAGTATTAAATATTTTTTAAAACTTAAAATATAGATACGTAATCATTGAATAAAAATTTAATTATTTAATTGAGTACTAAATTATTTGTGAAATTTCAAAGTATATAGATAAGAAAGTTATGACACTTAAGTTAATATTTGATTGAAGCAGCTTAGAAAACATAGAGAATCATCAATCTTATGTAAGCATAAAAAATAAAATTGAATTAATAAATAAAAAATAGTGAAGTATAATTTAGATAAATAGATGAAAAAGCAAATAATAATTTGTTTTGATAAAAATAGAATTAAATAGAAATAGTATTTAGAATTTATAAGAATAGAATAAGAAATGTAATAATATAAAGGTTAATGATGTATTATATATTAAAATAATTCAAAAGTCTTCAGTTATTTCATCAACTTCTTTAATTCCCAAATCTCCAAAGAATTAAGTAAGTATAGAACTCCTTTTAGGACCTCCTAAATTATCTAATTAATTGGTAGTTTTATTTTAATCTTCATTAATGAGATTGATACTAGATTCAATTTGAGATCCTAATTATTGAAATAATTTCTAATTATTAAATTGAGAATTAGATTCTTATTATTCTTTTAATTCTTAACTCTATTATATAGCAAAATCACCAAAAGGATCTGAGGAACCTTTCATTTCACATACTTTTCCTAAAAAGATATAATTATTTATATTTATATACTTAAAGCATCAGATTAAGTTTAATAAGATATTTCTTATCTACTACCAAACCTACTCATTATAGCATTACTACTACCAATTGAATTCATTAATTAAATAGGTCCTCTTATTTCATTTTATTTCTGTACAATATGAATATTTCCAAAGTTCTTAGTTAGATCTTCTACATCTACTCTTTCTTAATTATTCTATCCTTACAACTTCTAGAGTACATTACCCAAATTATTATTATGATAACCAAAATAATTGTTATTGATGGCTAGACTAGTTTATAATTACTTCATGTGTTTATTACTATTATAAATCAAATTTTCTAAATTAGTACTTATTATTAAAGGAGTACTTTCTCTTTATTATTATTCAAAGAAAGAATTCCTTAATGCATCATCTATTGAAATTCTTTTTTAACTATTATATTCTAACATCCCAATAATTAAATTCTATAACGGAATTTCTAATTCTTTCAATTATTCTTTAAACTTCCATTTATCTGGATTTCTTAATAGTTCAACAAAATCCTGATATTCATCACTATGTAATGGAAGTTTTTGAAATAAACATTAATAAGTTATTACTCCTATGGCCCATATATCGACTTCTTTAGAATAACAAGATTTATGATATATTTCAGGAGCACAATAAAATATATTTCCTGTTTTTGTTAACATTTCTATTTCTTATCCTTTTGATTAAAATCTTCTTGATACTCCAAAATCTACTACTTTTAGTCTAATTTCATTTTAATCCATATTATCATTCAAATCAACTAGAACATTATCAGGTTTCAAATCTCTATGACAAATACCTTTCTAATGAGCATGTTAAATTGCTAAAAGTAATTATTTAATAACTATTCTTAGTTCCATTACAGTAAGTTTTCGCTTCTTTATTATTGATTCTAATGAATTGAATGCGCAATACTCCATTATTAAATATGAAGTTTCCATCTTTTCATTTATAAATAATTCAATATCCTATGCAATATTTGGATGTCTTAAACATCTAGTATTATTAAAAGTTCTCTTAACATTGTTTTATATTTCTTAATCTCCAGATCTCACTATTTTCACAGCGAAAATCTCCTCTGTATCTTTCTTTCTTGCTACTTTTACTACTGCATGAGCACCCTAACCTAATCCAAATTTTTATAAGTTTATACCCAACGTTTATAATGCTTCATATCTATCTTCAAATTTTAATGCATCATCAAACTAATTAAGCGTGATAATCTCAGGTTTTATTTCATCTTCACTAAATGATATTTAAAACTTAAGACGATGACCTCCATTCATTTTATATATAATATTTAATACATGCGTTTAATTCATAACTATATCAAATCAAATATTTAATGTCTTTATCATTTCTCTCACTTCTTTATATAAATTACTAAAATATCCCTCTACTTTAAATCCTTATTTTGTTTTACTCACTATCACTTAACCATTATTCAAACTTATCTAACAAAATCCTAATTCCAAATTTATATCTCCTCTCCTCTTTAATTCTTCATATAATGTCAACAATTATATATTCTAATGACAAATCGGTTTTTTGTTTTATGTCGCTACAAGCTTTAAAATTTATGACATTGTCTATGTATTTCTAAAAATCTTTATCTCTAATTTCCCTTTTACCTATATTGCTGATCTTATCTCTATCTATTTCTCAGACATTTCTACAAATGGTAAATTTTGTCCATCATTTAATTAAATAAGCGATTATGCTTAACTTTATTTTGCTATTGCTAATTATATTCCACTTTATCTAGGTTTCGTAGATTGATTTAAAATTAAAAGATTTTAAGGATTTAAATATTCTAAAAGCATTTAAGCATTTCTTATATTTTATGACATCTATTTTACAGATACCATTGCCTAAACTGTCAATATTTTTGAATTCTAAATTTTATTAATATTAGGTAATGCAAAAGTCGCTTCTTGCAACTTCTGTTTTTCATTTTCTGCATCTTATTCTTCCTCCATTTATTATGTTTATGTTTCAATTTATTATCTCCTTTTTGTCTTCATTAACTTAATATGTTTTGGTATTTCTGAACCATAATCATCTCTTTAATGAAGTTATTACATTTATCTCAGTGGTTTATCTAATTGTGTTGTTGTAAATTAAATTTATTCTTTAATATATTTAAAATTATATTACCTTTTATTTCAGTATCAATAAAATACAATTAATTATGTTACTTATACAAATTTTTATCATATAAAGGTTCAAGATTGGGTCTCTATTCACTTAATACTGAAAATTAATCATCTGTCTTTTAGTTGCCAATATCAACGCTTTAAGTTTCTAATAAATCTGTTGAACTACCAGGAATTTATGTTGTACTAGGTGCATTTGATATTAATTTATTCTCTTTTTCAGTTGTCTTTAATAATAATCTAAATATTATCATCATTAAACTTACTTTCTAATATAATTCAAATTTATTGAATATGATTCTTTAACTTATAAATTTAATTCAAAATTCTTTCTTATTTTACCCATATTTTCATTAATTAAACAAGGAGGCTTATCAAAAATAATAATTGTATTATTTGGATCAGTTAATAAATTCTCTTAATAGAAAGGACCAGAAAAAAGATTATTATAGGAAGTAAGTATAATTTATGATTTTATTTTTGATTAATTATCATAATTAAGTGATTAAATATTATCCCAACATAGAAATTCCCCAAATGCTCTTGCCTTTTCAACTAAATCTAGATATAAAACATTTATATCCCACTTCATTCCCACATATTTCTCATTTTCTTTAAAAATTTGATGCAACGACTTTATGCCCTCTAATATTCTTTCATTTGGATAAAATGCAAATATTAATTACCCCTATTATTTCTTATGATATACACTCAATTCTTCTTCCATTTTAGTCTTAATAAAATATTAAGAAGATGTTATCTATTAATTACTTGTTGATTAAATTATTTCTTTTGGATAATTTTCTAAAATTAGTAAATCAATAATTTCTCTATGAAGGAATGATTATTTTTAATTCTTAATTAACAATCGTTCTATATTCAAAGAATCTATATGTAATTCTTTCATCATATTATAATCTGTAATGTAAATAATATTTAATGTATTAACTTAAATTTTCCATGCACATGCTCCAATAACCTTTCCTGCTCTTATTGGACAAACATTCACTTAAAATAATCCATTTTCAAACATCATTGTTTCATTCTATCCAAATTTTATAGGTCTTATTTAACGATATGCATCATCTGCAGAATCCAATAGTCTTTTCCATTCTTATTTAAAATCATCCTCAATTACTTCTTTATTTAAAAAAGCTTATTATAAATGAATCATTTGATCTATCAAATTTCTGACTCCAAATTCAATTATTGGACTTGTAGATAATGTTTTTATTTAGAATTCTGATATTAAAGGAATACCACCAGCATATTCAATTGATGGTTATGATAGCAACACTAATTTTGACTAATTTTAAATTTATCATTACTTTCTATATTTTATTCATATAATGCTTTAGATGATTACATTCCAATCTTTAATTTAATCCACAATCTAACATTATCTATATTTTATGGTTTTTCTATTCTATAATTAACAATAAACATAAAGCTCCATTCTCAGATATTGTTTATACACTAAACACTTCCACTTTCATTTACTTTTTATTAAAATATAGTAATTTATTAAAATAAATTCATTCTTTCAAATTATAATAAACATCAAAGTTCTATTCAACGTATACCTTTTTGAAAATTTTAATATTTGAATTTTCTTTTTATAAATAAATTATCCCTGAAGTATAGTTATTAAAGAATGTCACTTAAAAAAGTTAATTCAGATTCGAATTCAGAATTTTCACATGAAATTTACAATTTATCAATTTAGACACAGTCTTATGTAAAAATAAACAAAAAATTTAAATTAAAATAACAAATCATTTATATCAAATATCTAATTACATTTTTACTTTAAAATATTGATATATTTCAGATATATTTTTATATAAGAATTAAATCCATTTTTGTTTTAAGTAAAATTTATATTTTTAGAATTTATTTATAAAATATATTAATTCTAACTCCTGGTTAATTTCTTAGTTAAATTTTAGAAAAATTTTCTACAACATTAAAATTTTTTAAGTTGTTAATTCAGAACTTATAAAACTTTGTATATATAATAATTCCACAGTCATTGTTGTATTTTGATCATTAAGTATATTATTATTAGATAATATTAATAAATTAATAAATAAATTTTTAATCAATCAAAATAATTATCGAAAATTATTTAAAAGCTTCTAATTAATATATATATAGGAATAAAAGATAAGTCAGTTTAATAAATGCATAATTTTTTATTAAAAAATACATTAAGTTTTAATAAGCATTGATTATTCATTTTGTAAGAATTAATTTAAAAGAGTAATCCAAAAATTACAATAAAGAATATTTACAAATCATATCTGTATATATGTTATCAAATAAAATAAAAAGACTTGAATTCTAAATTTTGGAAATAATTTTATTATTAAAATAATTTGATTAATTTATTTTATAAATGATATATTTAAATTTTTGCATGGAATAGTATTTATTCTTTTGTTCCCTTATCAATATTCTTATTTTTGAATATGAATCATGATTAATTTGCAGAATATGATCTTTTTCTAGAAATTATTGTAAAATTTATTAATTTATCATGAATAAAAAAATGTTGTAAATTCTTAAGGAATAATTAAATAATGTATATATCATTCAAATTCCATCTCATCGTTTGAGCTGACTTCGCTATCTGAGTTTTCTTAATAAACAATTTGATATGGGTTCTAAACTCCAAGATGAACTCTTCTAATATAACAATAGAATCTATTTTTGACCATATTTTCCTATTAGGTTTAAAAATAAATTTTTTACAGGTCTACCCTTAAGATGAGAGGAAATAAGACTCCATTTGCCTCCATAATCCTAATACAATCTAATAATGGTGGCATCTTCGGCTTCAGTCCATGGGCCTGTATTAATATCAGGATCAATTTTATTAATATATCGTTCTCTTATCTATTTGCTCAAAATACCCGGAAAGTCTAGAGCACTATAGTTGAATTAATTTTTACGTAAAGAGATTAATTTCCAATTTTTGCCATGTTGTTAGACTAATTGTAGAATCTTTTCATCTTCAGTTTATGTCCATTGCTTTCTTTTAATCTATTATAATATATATAATTATATATACAATCTTAACAGGCTATAATCTTCTCCATCTTTAACAACATTATGAAACATTTCTTCCTGGCATATGTTTAGCAATTTCATTCCATTTTCCATTGTGTTTTTCGTAATTGATACGTAATTAAGCGTCTTCATTGGCATCCCAGAGCTTCAATATTCTTTTCTAAATGATATTAGAATAATTATAATACTTTTTTTGTACTAGTTTGTTCCTTTTTGATATTACTATCATTTTCCTCTTACATAGGTTGATTACTAATAACTTCATCTTAAAGAATGAAACCAGAAGGTAATTAAGTAGAAGGAGGATCACTTGAAGATTGAAAACTTAAATTAAAAAATAAGAGCTTACTCCATCTATTCCATGTAGTAATCATCATCTAATTGTAGGTATTAATCCGTTTCTATAATGTTGTTTTATTAAACTTAGTCTGTAATAGTTTCTTATATAACAGGTTGAATGGACAAAGTTTATACTGGTTTTTGTATTGGTCTATTGGCTTTTTCTGGTTTTTCTCTATTAGAAAAGCAGCAGATTGATTAAAAAAAATTGAACATGATAATTAAAATAATTTTCAAATTTCAGCAAATATTATGTTAAATGTTCTTTTATTCCAATTCGGATACATTCCATCAGCATAATCCATAGGACCTGGTAAATTATTTTTAGGAACACTTTTTGAAAATCTTTCTTACTATAATTATTATATTATAATAACTGGTCCTACTTATTCAGTTTTAGGTATGTAAGTGCATCTATTTTCACTTCTATATACAAAAGCCATTTGAATATATAAAATAGTTAATTAAATAATCTATTTCAATCTTTTTAAGTAATCCACTCCAATAATGTACCATTATCCCATCTACCTCTATGTTCTTCTCCTTTTTCATCAACCACTGATCCTAATCCATGTTATTTTCCTTCATGCCATTCTCCTACATATTTTGATCCATCAGCTAAATTAATTATAAATAAATATTAACGCCAATCAAATGTTCCAAAACCTTATTTTTTGTCATTCTAATAAGATCCTTTATATCTTCTTCCGTCTTTCCATTTAAATTCTCCAGATCCATGCATTTTATTACATCTCCATTATCCAATATAAGTTCTACCATCTCCCCAAACATAAGTACCCATCCCATGAATTGCATTATCTAAAAATTCACCCTCATAATATGATCCATCTGGCCATTTAAATAACCCATGTCCTTCTTTCTTACTTTATATATAAGCTCCTTTATAACTTGTACTATCTGGCCATATTTCATGACCCAATCCATCTTGCTTATCATCTTTCCAACTTCCTTCATAACTTGCACCATCTGCATGTACATACTTTCCTTATCCATGGGCTAAAATTATTTTTATTTATTTACCTTTATCATTATCCCATTCTCCTTCATAATAATCTCCATCTGCATGTATCAATCTACCATGTCCATGAGCACAACTGTTTTTCCAATATCCTTCATAATAACTTCCTTCTTTCCATACTTATCTTCCTTTATTTAAAATCTATGATATACCTCTGCCTTATCTTAATCCATATTTCCATTAACCATCATAGACCATCCCTTATTCAAATATTTAAGGTTCTAAATACACTGCATCTGGATCATCTCCTCTAGTATATTAGTATTCTTTCAATTTACTAAGGACCATTTTCACTTTTGCACCAATCAAACTTTATAATTCGCTTGATGGTCTACCCCAAGGTTATGCTAATTTTGGTACTGGACAATGCACTGATATTAATTATTCAGAATTAGTCTTCTATTTTTAAATTTCCACACCATCTCCTACCATTGATAATGATGCTTCCTTTTGTATATGTATTGAAGGTTTTTGACTTGTTCTTAATTAATGTTATGAAGTATTTATTATCTCAGCTAATGATGCCTTTGAAAATGGTTAAGATCTTCTAACTATTGAATGCAAAGATGCTTATTTAGTATTCTAATGACCACCATATTCATTTATATTTTATGGATCATACATACATGCTTAACAATTACCCATTATTTCTAATTTAAAATTATATTAATTATTCTTTTTATTTATTTTACTAATATAATTATTCTCATTTCTCTACAAGTATCNTTTTTAAGTAATCCACTCCAATAATGTACCATTATCCCATCTACCTCTATGTTCTTCTCCTTTTTCATCAACCACTGATCCTAATCCATGTTATTTTCCTTCATGCCATTCTCCTACATATTTTGATCCATCAGCTAAATTAATTATAAATAAATATTAACGCCAATCAAATGTTCCAAAACCTTATTTTTTGTCATTCTAATAAGATCCTTTATATCTTCTTCCGTCTTTCCATTTAAATTCTCCAGATCCATGCATTTTATTACATCTCCATTATCCAATATAAGTTCTACCATCTCCCCAAACATAAGTACCCATCCCATGAATTGCATTATCTAAAAATTCACCCTCATAATATGATCCATCTGGCCATTTAAATAACCCATGTCCTTCTTTCTTACTTTATATATAAGCTCCTTTATAACTTGTACTATCTGGCCATATTTCATGACCCAATCCATCTTGCTTATCATCTTTCCAACTTCCTTCATAACTTGCACCATCTGCATGTACATACTTTCCTTATCCATGGGCTAAAATTATTTTTATTTATTTACCTTTATCATTATCCCATTCTCCTTCATAATAATCTCCATCTGCATGTATCAATCTACCATGTCCATGAGCACAACTGTTTTTCCAATATCCTTCATAATAACTTCCTTCTTTCCATACTTATCTTCCTTTATTTAAAATCTATGATATACCTCTGCCTTATCTTAATCCATATTTCCATTAACCATCATAGACCATCCCTTATTCAAATATTTAAGGTTCTAAATACACTGCATCTGGATCATCTCCTCTAGTATATTAGTATTCTTTCAATTTACTAAGGACCATTTTCACTTTTGCACCAATCAAACTTTATAATTCGCTTGATGGTCTACCCCAAGGTTATGCTAATTTTGGTACTGGACAATGCACTGATATTAATTATTCAGAATTAGTCTTCTATTTTTAAATTTCCACACCATCTCCTACCATTGATAATGATGCTTCCTTTTGTATATGTATTGAAGGTTTTTGACTTGTTCTTAATTAATGTTATGAAGTATTTATTATCTCAGCTAATGATGCCTTTGAAAATGGTTAAGATCTTCTAACTATTGAATGCAAAGATGCTTATTTAGTATTCTAATGACCACCATATTCATTTATATTTTATGGATCATACATACATGCTTAACAATTACCCATTATTTCTAATTTAAAATTATATTAATTATTCTTTTTATTTATTTTACTAATATAATTATTCTCATTTCTCTACAAGTATCATCTTTGTTCATTATTTGATCTACTTAAATTATTACAATTATTATATAATTTTTAATTTCATTTTAACTATTAATTCTATATTACAAATGATATAACTAACTCTGATTATTAATATTATTTAATTAAAATAGTATTCCTTTTCAATATTATTATAGATTTGATTACAAAAGAACATTAATAATATTACGTTAATATATTTATTATAATTTTGCAATTTCTTTGAAAATGGAATGTCAAATTATAATATCCTTAATAAATAATTAGAAAGATGAGATTGTATATATAGAATTGTTAAAGTGTCAGTGATACATAATCTTGTATGTAATTTGAGTTATCAATAAATTAAGTTAATAAATAATATACTAATTACATCAATAGTACGTAATATCTTTTTTTCATTTATTTAATTATATTGGGTTCAAAACTATTTTACATATCCAAAAATTTGATTAATAAAATAATCCAGAAACTCAAAAATGACACTCTTTGAATAATTAGGAGGTGAAGCCGCAGTCACAGCAGTCACAACATAATTCTATGCTAACATCCAAGCTGATGCTACAGTTTCAAATTTCTTCAATGGAATTAACATGGCTGATTAAACAACTAAGACAGCATCATTTTTATGTGCTGCTCTTGGAGGACCAAAGGCATGGGGAGGCAGAGTATAATCATTTATTTATAATCTATTAGAACTTGAAAGAAGTTCATGCCAATATGGGAGTCACTAATGATCAATTCACAACAGTCATTGGACACTTAAGAAGTGCTTTAACCTCAGCTGGTGTTGCTGCTGATTTGGTTGAATAAACTGTTGCTGTTGCTGAAACAGTAAGAGGAGACGTCGTCACAGCTTGATTCATATTATAAATCATGCACAAATATTCAATAGCACCTCAAATATCCATCCTTTTATTTTTATTCTTTTCCAGATATTCTTTCGATTAATCTAGAAAAATATTCCCGCTCTTACATATATCACAAAAATATCACTTTTTTATACACATGTTCTTCTATTAACAAATCTTAACCCTTCTAGAAAATTATATAATAGTACTAATTTAATTTAATATCAAAACATATATCTTATTGTAATAAATTAACAGAAACTTTCACTATCTTAAACATAAAGTGATTCCAATTGCATTTTTAACATTTATTGTTTCAAGCAATTGTTTCACTTTAAAAATGTTCAATTTAAAACAAAATATTAAAATTTCTAATTATTTAAAGTACTTTATAAAAAATTATCTGTTTTTTTGCAAATTATTATTAGATAATTATTTTTAAAGATCAATATATAATATGAATGTTATTGCTCATTGATTATTATGTAATTGCAACGCATTTGATATTTTTATATCATATTATTTAGATACTCCTTGATTGATATTATTCTGTAATTGAATGATATCAGATTTTAAATCATGTTTAATTTAAACACAAGGAAAAATAAATCAAAAGATTATGTAATCATATCTTAGTATCATTAGTTGCAAGTACCAAAATATTAAAATATAAGTTCAGTGAAATATCAGATTACGCTAATTTCATATACATTTTATTCAATTATTGTATTAAAATATCATTGAACTATTTAAAAAAAATACACATATCAATAGAAACAAAAGAAGTGTTAAATTATTTTACATAAATATTTAGAAGTTTTATTTAAATACTAATTTAAATTCTTTATTTTTTTATTTTTCAAAGTTTTTAAAGTACAAAATTCTTTTAAACTTAATAAATTATTAATTTTTGTTCATTGAAATTAAATCTAAATTATTCATGAATTTAAAATTCTGATATTTCTTAGTTTTAATTAAATAGTAAATACACAATTTAATAAATAATAAAATTATTGTAGCCTACATCCAGTTTTGTATTTGAATTATCATATGTTAATAAAGAATAATTGACTTATCATGAATAAAGACAATAAAATTTATAATGATGTATGCCAGTAATTTAATAAGTGCTAATATTTAGAAAATAACTGAAATTTAAAAATATTATTGGGAGTAATTAATTAATGAATGGTTGATAAGAAAGTTTAATAAAATCTTGAAATATTGATAAAATTAATGATATATGTGGAAAATTAATAATAATAAATAATTAGATTATATGCGTAAGGCAACACAGGAAGAACTAAATAAGAGAGCCAAAAATAATGAAATATCTTCAGGGGAAGAAGAGATCCTTTCTGATTCAGAGGAGGAGTGTGATCCAGAAAATTATAATTTTTAAATTTCTGAAGTTGATTTGGCAGCATTAACTTGTGGAATAGTGCAAGATGATCAGAAAGGATAGGAAATAAATTTAAGAGAGAGAGTGAGCACTTAACAATTAAAATAAGAAGTTAATTAGGTAAATTAACATATTAGTGGAAATCATTAAAATATAACTAGTGTACCTAATCCAATAAAATTGCTTGTTTCAAAATAAAAGAGAAGATATAACTATAATGGATTTAATTTAGATTTAACTTGTATTTTTTACGTATGGATCCATAGACATTACTGAAAAGATAATCGCAATGGGTTTTCCAGCAGAAAATATTGAATCTATTTATCGGAATTCAATGTAAGATGTGAGAAGATTTTTTGATTCTGTACATCCTGGACATTATAAAGTTTACAATCTTTGTGAGGAAAGAAAATATGATCATTCAAATTTTAATTAAGTAGCAGAGTTTCCTTTTCAGGATCATTAAGCTCCTACATTTAGTTTGATATATGAATTTTGTTTAGATCTGGTATTATTATCAATTATAATATAGGATTATTGGCTTAAATAAAATGAGAAGAATGTTGCTGGAATACATTGTAAAGCTGGAAAAGTAATTGTATATTTTATAAAAAAAGGGAAGAACTGGTGTTATGATTTGTTGTTATATGTTATATGCTCGTTAATTTACAAATGCATATGATTCTATGAGATATTATGGTATGATAAGAACAAAAAATAAGAAAGTATAATTGATAGAGTAATTATTTTTAAGGGTGTAACAATACCTTCCTAAATTCGATACATTTTTTATTTTGAAAAAGCACTCAATAATAAATGGGTACCTAATGATATGCCAAATAAATAAGTAGAACTTGTTAAAATTCGAGTAATACCAGTTCCTAATGTCAATTTCTTTGGAGGTTGTGGTCCTTGGTTTCGTATTTAAAATAAAGATAAAGAATATTCATCAAAACATTAATTCCCAATAAAATAATACAGATTAGAACCATATATAGAATTTAAATTAAAAGATATTATTTTATAAGGGGATGTGATGTTATAATTTTTAAATTAAGGATTTTTATCAAGGTAAATATATATATTAGAAATTATTAAGCAATGAAAAATTATTTTAAGCATGGTTCAATTGTGATTTCTTTGATTACACAGGAATTCTGATGATTGATAAATTTATGCTTGACAAAGCTTGCAAGGTATTTCAAGTAATAATAAAAAAAGGATAAATCCGGTAAAACATTTTAGAAAGATTTTCGTATTGAATTACATGTAGTAGAAGTCAATCAAGAAAACAAATCTTATCATTCTGTACATAATAATAGTAATTTTTAATGCAGTCATAAAAATTTCGGATTTTGATCTAAATTTTATATTTATTTTATTTTAGTACAAATAAACTAATGAATTAATCTCAATCTACTTATACTAACACTTCAAGATTTGTTTCTTTAAAAAAAGACCCCTTAGAAAAATACAAACAAGGACTTAAATTAAAGTTTATGGAAATGTATGATTAAATTGAAGAATAAAGATTTCATTAACCTATTATTCCATAAGAAGGAACAATATTTTTAACTGAATAATAATCTCTTAGATCTCTTTTAAACTCATCTAAACAACCATCAGAAGTAGAATCTTTTCATGAAGAATGCATTGAATTAAGAAAAGATGATTAGTAAATGTTTGATCTCAATTAAACACCTAAAGAACTATCAATGTCAAATACACAAAAGAAAAACAAAAATAGAATTTTTGATCCTTTACCTAATGTTTATCCTATTTTTAAAAGTCTTCATGGTAGAACAATGTTATAACAATCTAATATCAAACCTATTCAATAAGAATAAATATGTTAAACAAGTTTTACTATTCAAAAAGAAAATAAAATCTAAGTTCAATCTACAAGTTTATTAAAACCATAATCATCTATAGGAATATAAACTGCAAAACTTCCTATTGATAAAGAAACCATTTCAGTTTAATGTAGTTTACGAAATAGCAGATGTTCATCAGAAATCCTTAATGTTCAATCATATTTAGATAAACATTATGATTACCTTTAATAAGAATAACAACTTAATTGGAATCCTAATGTTTCTGAATTAAAATTACCAAATATGTTAGATGATTATTAATACAATTTTTGTAATGTATGTCGATAATTTGTTAAGTAATATACAAATTAAAATAATGATCATAAAAATTTTTGTAATAGACAGTTTTATGAAAATACACTATCTGAGTTGATTGGAAAATTTTAATACCTTTTAAACTTTGAAACTAATCTACTAAGAGACTTTGATGAAATGTGTAAATTTACTCGAAGGTATTGTTAAGCAGGTTTAGAGATCTGTAAATTGTTGATGTAAAGTCAATCCTAAAGAAGAATAGAATAATTAAAATTAGATCTAATTAAAGTAAACTCCGAAATTCAAAAATACAAAAATAAACATTCATTAAAAATAGCATAATTATTCTAATATGTTATTTTGTAATTATAGAAATGATATATTTATATAATATTCTGTTTATGAGTATTTTTAATATAATAATAAAATAAATGGATATAATTAAAATAGGTTCAATAGTGAGTATTTCTCATTTATAAGATGATGATGCTCTAATTGGTGGTGATGGATTTATAAAAAAGTATTATAAAATTCTTAATTTAGTGCTGTCATTCTGAAAGGTATGTCACCTTAAAATAAATTGGACACAAAAGATTTTAATATAAGCTATTTTAGTCAAATGAAGTAATGAATTAGTGTATAATAGCATGCCAAATTGTTTATTTGTAATTTGTCCAAGAACTTCAAATGGAAAGAAAGTTGAAGTTGCAAAACTTTTTCCATAGAAAAAGAAGAAACCTTTTGGATCAACAAGTGATGATGTAACTGATCAAAAAAGTGAAGTTACACCTGTAAGATCATAAGTATTATATTGTTATATTGGGTAAATAGATAAAGTCTGCCACACATTCAATACAACCATTATTGAGTGAAAAGTAAGTAAGAGATAATCAAATGAATATATTTAATGAATTTAAATTTAATGTAGATGGTTTTGAAAAAGAAAGAGGCAATTATGTTAAATATGAAGAGCCAATCTAACTATTACATTTAGCTTCCTCGAAATGGCTTTGTTCTTTATTAGATGAAGCAAAATTTGAAAATTAAAATTTTAAACTTGCTTTCAGTGATTATACTAGTGATGAGACATTATTCAAAATAGTAGCTACATACAAATATTAGAAAGAAGGAGATTAGATAGTATATTCTTAAGAAATAGTCAGAATTATGCGTATGATTCCTTTTTTAGGAAAACCTACTTATTTACATTGTTCTGGTGAAATTCCATAGAAAGCAATTAAAGAATATAGAGAAAGTAGTGAAGTAAAAATTTAAAAGAGAGAAATAAATGCATCATTGGAAGAATCAACATCTTGGAAAATTAATTTATTTTCTGAAGAATTACCTATAGATGGAGATTTGGTTTGGATTCATCATTCAGAAACATGTTCATAATTAGCAGTTGATTATGAGAGAGATCTTAATAGAGCTAAAATATCTGTATTTTAAACAGATTTAAGTGAATTGTCATTTGATAATTATAGTGGTAATGCATATTCATTATGGATTATTGAAGATGAAAATTATAAAAAAGGAGGACCTTATTTATATTCTTAAAAATACAGATTAAAGCATTTTCATACTGGATTATATTTAGCTTGTGTTAGAGTTATTCCTAAAGATTAAGAAGAAGTTAAAATAGATCCATATGGTAAAAAAAAAGTTGTTATTCCTAAGAGTAAAAAAGTGCCTGCCACTTTTGCTTTATAGGTTTAACCAAATAAAGATGCTCTATTTACATTTGAACCATTAAAATCAGTTGAAAAAGTTGAAATATAATCTGATTTTATTTAAATTAGAAGTTTTGCTTAAGGAAAATATTTAGATGTAATTAGTAAATTTCATTAAGATGGAAACACTTTAAGACCAATAATACTAAATTATAAAAATGAACATGCTGTTTTTAAAATCTTTAGAGCAAATAGATAAGAAACATAAGAAGTTTTATTTTTAGATTCATGTACAAAATAATTGAGAAAATACTAATTTTATATCAATTTGCCTTTTAAGTTTGAATAAAATTAATTATTTTAATAATTATCTGATGATGTTGAACTATTAAAAATTAAGACTAAAAAATTAGCTACTGCTTAAAGATGTATTTAAAATCTAGATGATTTTCTAAGATAAAAAATATATAATTCAAGTCCATCTTAAAAATATGGATTTATATCGCCAAAAAGATAAAAATTATTAAAAGATCAACATTTCTTTGATGTATTATTACAAATTCTAACAACAACAGTCTCAAAATAAGAATTAGAGATTTGGTCAAATAAAAAAGGAACATTGAAAGCAATGGAATAACCATCAATAACAGAGAAAAATTAAAGAAAATAATTATAATCTATAAGTGAAAAAGATAAATTAGAATTATCTAATTCAAAAGTTGAAGTTTGTAATATGATATTTGTTTTACTATAAACAAGTGTAATAAATAATACAAATAATTAAATCTACCTTTTTGATCGTCTACCCGATTATTAACATTATTGTAAATATCTTCCATAAACAATAAATTTTTTAATTGAAATGGTTAAAAGTAATGAAAAAATATTAATAAATTTATGTAATAACTTAAAAATTGAATTTGATTACATAACTAAACAAGAGATTGAAGATGATCTCAAAAGCAAAGTTAAAGTTTTAATAAATTTCTATGAAAAAGATGTTGGAATATAAAAGGATGTTTCAATACCTGTAAAAGTTCATGATCGTATCATTACTAGACCAGTTAATATAATCTAATATTTTTTCAATTTATTTGTTGATGACTCTGCAAAAAATAAAGAGCATTATTTAAGATTTTTAAGACACGTATGTAGATATAAAAATAATGCTATAAGTATTAATTAAGAGAATTTGTTTAAATTGTATAAGAAATTTAGCAAACAAACTAGATTGTTATAAATTGAAACTAATAATGGATGTATAATAGATAAGGAAATATCTTTTTAGTATGAACTATTATAATTTTTTTCTGAAGTTTCATATGGAAGAAACTACCTTTGGCAGGCAGAATTAAGTCCATTATTTGAGAAAGAGACTTTAATAAATTAGATTTGGAATCCTATATAAAGTGAGGGCAATCAAATAGATGATAAATTAAGATCATATTGGTGTAGATTAAGTAGAACATTATATATAGATTAATAACCATTCTAATATTTGATTGTTCCAAATTTTTGTAGATTGTATTCAGCTAATTAGGACTTATTGAAAAATAGAAATGATGAAGATATTGAGAAATAATTTAAATTAAAAAAGATGTTTAAATACATAAAAACAAAAAGAAGTGAAGTCTATAATGCAATAGCTAGTCTTGCATCTAGTGATTTATTAAATGATGAATTAATATTTAATGCAGCTGATTAAATATTGACAATGTTATAATTAGACATAATGCCGAGTAAGTACTATAAGAAAATTATTAAATATATGGCAGAAATGTTTATTTATGATAGAAAGAATCTTGAATATTTGAATGCAGCAGTTAAAAGTTATTAATAAACTGTTGTTGAAAGAAAAAATAAAAAAAGTATTGTAATGAATTAATTTGGAAATGTTTTTAGTGGAATGAAAGATTTAATTTAACTTAAATAAGAAGACAAAGAAGAAATTGTAGAGGAAGAAGAGGAAGAAGAAATTAATTTATATGATTAACCAAAATTATTTTTAAATCCTATAATGAGAGGATTTATGGCATTAAGTAATTAATTAGAAGGAATGATTACTTTACCAAAATCATAATAGGAAATTGAATTCAAATTAAAAGTTTGTTCAATTTTAGATCATTTCTTAGATAGAAGATAAAACTTCTTAATTTCTAATATATTGCTATTCTTTTTAAAATATTAATATACCAATGATGATTTATCTGATGAAGAGGATGATTAAACATTAAAAGCTGCTCCTAAGATATTTAATAATAATTATAAAACATTGATTCCAACTATTGCTAGAACTGGTATTGATGAAATTGATGAACCTGAAGAAACAACTTAAGATTTTCTATAAATGGCAGTCAAAAAACCACCAACATTTATTAATTATTTTTAATAATATAATATTATATCTGAAGATTAATTCTAAGAGTTAGATTATTATTTAAGTTAAGCTTAAAAGTTTGATAATCGAGAAAGACTGAATGAAGATTAATTAAAGGAAAAATAAGTAGCAAGTTTATTACCTTATTTAATGTCTACCTACTTTTTAGTTAAAGATTAAGTATTAGAAGAAAGATGTCTTAATGTTATTATGAGAGTTTTCAATTAAAGAGAAGAACTAAGAGAAAATATGAAAAAATTATAGATCTTATTTGATAATGATAACATTGAAATTTATGAATATGTAGAAAAACACTAAAAAGATTTAAGAGTAATGGTTGAAAAAACAGAAATTTGGTTAACTCAATTTAAAGCTGGAAATGATGTTGAAGAACTTGATAAATGTTCACATATTATAAGATAATTAAGTTTATGTATGAGATAAGGTGTATAAGCTAATGATTAAGAATTAATTGTAGAAGTTGTCAATTAAGAAATTTATGATTCTGAAAAATAATCAATAATGACCTTTTTAAAAATACATGAAATAATTGTTAATCTAATTTAAAATGGAATGGCTCATTTTATTTCTGTTTTAAATGATGAATTTATTAATAAATTAAGAAAAGAATAGCTGTTATAGTTATTTTCAAATTCTTTTAAATTTTTAATTTGTTATTGCACAAATAATAAAGGAAATCAATTGATACTCTATCAATATTTAGAAATTTATTTACAATATATTCAATATGATGTTGGACAATCCAAACTTTTAATTGAAATATTCAAAGATAATCCAAGATTACTTAATACAGGAGTTAAACCTTTAGTATAAAGATTGACTGAAATAATAGAAAGAGAAGGAAGATAGGTTAAATTTATAGACATGTAAATATTATTTATATATAATTTAGATTAATAAATTTAATTAGCATTGGTGGAAATTATTTATTAGAAAATCAAATATTAATTTTAAATACTTTCTTACCTATGAGATAATTAAAAGAGACTGAATAAAGATTATTGTATGCAGAAGGAAGTTAATAAAAAGATCTCCGTTTTTATTTCGATGATTAATTTTTAGAACCAGAAGAGAATTTAATAAATTAATTGGAAGCTATTGATTGGAAAGATTGTTATAGAGATGAGCCCTTTTTATATCATTCTAAAATCTTAGATTTATTATTGTAAACCTCTTTTGTTGATAATACTGCAAGGGAATATAATCCATCAGTCATGCCTACAGAAAGTTTTAATATTAGTGTCTTTAAATTAAAAAAAATGATAAAACCAAGTTATCTTTTAGAAATTTTAAGATTAGATGATGATATGGTATCAATGAAACATAGATTAACTAGAATGCCAACCTAATTTATTAAAAATTAAGCTAGCCAATAATAAGATGAGTAATTTAATAAAAAGAAAGGATATACTGCTTTAAAACCTATTGTTTGTGAGTTCTTAAGATTAGTACATATTGTTAGTGAAAAGAACAATGCTTAAGAAGGATTATTTTCTTAATAGAGTAGATAATTTATACATTTTGTTGAATATGAAACTAAAAAACTAGAAGTTGTTGTAGGTGGAACAGATTATTAAAATTGTTATATAGATTATCTAATTGGTTAAGTTATTCCACTTATATTATGTTATCATTAAAGAGTGTTAAGTGTTTAATAAGAGGATGTAAAAACTGCATTGATAGAATTCTCTAATTAATTTGCTTAAGCTCTTTGTTCAAGTTTTTATTAAAAGTTAACAAAATACGAACAATTTGAAATAATATCAAAATTGAGAGAATATTATTAAAATGAATATTATGAGCCTGCATATATGTAGGAAGGTGAATAGTCAATATTACATTTATAACATGTTTAATATTAATTGGAAGATGGAGATAATTTAATGTAACCAGTTTAAGAATAACATGTATAATCAATATAAAAGAAATCTTAAACAAAATCTAAGAATTTTATGAGTTAACTAGCATCAATGAATTTATCATTAATTAATAAAACAAGTAAACATAAGAGAGGAGATTTGACTCCAATAAAATTACAGGAATAATGGAAAAGATTTGCAGAAGAGATGTTCAAATCTCCAAAATTAGAGGAGGAGATAGATATTGAGAAAGAAGCATTAGCAGATGCATTAATAGGAATAGATAAGTTAATAAAAGAGCCTTGTGATATAAAACCATCGTTGGAATCAATTTTAAAGAAATTTATCACATTTCTTTAGACAGCTGTTTTACAACAGGATAATAAAGGGACAATAGTAATATTATTAAAGATAATGTCAAAGATAATAGAGAAATAAGATTCAGATGATAAGAAAGAACATTATTAGAAATTATTTGATAATTTGGGAGCAACAAGAATGGTATTAAATGTAATAACAGATTATTCAAAATTATTAAGTAATGAGATGCTGTTTTATTTAATAACATTTATAAATGTACTATTAAGAAATGGTAATACATAAGTGTAAAATACAATATATACATTTTGTCAGACTCAATAGAAGAGTGAAGTGATGTTTTAAACATTTGCAAAGTATTTAGAGATAGCTGCAACATCTGGGAGAGATATGAATGAAGATTAAGAAGAAGTAGAAATATAAAAGAAGATAGTAAATTGTATATTGAAATTCTTTCAGAATTGTACCGAAGGTCATTATTAAAATATGTAGAATTACATAAGATATTAATATAATTCAAGAGCATCAAAGGATCTTATAAATTTAGTCGCAGATTTATTCAAGAATTATGAGAGAACTAAATAGAATTTTAGTAATTTAATGTGTTGTTTAGATACATTAAATGAATTAGTTTAAGGTCCTTGTCCAGAGAATTAGATAGCAGTAGCAGATTCTAAATTCTTTGATGTAGTTTAAGAGATGTTTCCTTTAAGAAAGAATGCTGCAATGTAATAGAAAACGATAAAGATTGCAGCAACAAAAAGAATTAGTGTATTACCTTCTTAATCTACTTCTAATATGTTAACAAGGGGAATGAAAGCATAACTGTAAAACAAAATATTGGTTTTGGTTTTATCCTTATTAGAGAATAGAGAGATTAGAGGAAAGAATTCAATTATAAAAAGAATTATGAGAGTATTGCCTATAAATGTTTTAGAAAGACATTTAAGTAAAGTATATAAGAAATGGGTTAATAAATATTCTGGAGATTATAATTTAACAGCATTTGATTTATTAAAAATTGATCCAATGGAAATAGATGATGATAGCTAAGAGTTTAAAGATTGTGAAATTATCATATAGAATGGTTTCTATATTATGTTTTTGATTTGCTATTATATGGAAAGTGATGAAGAGATTGATTCTGTATTCATTGGATTTAATAAGTAATATCTAAAAAGTTCGATTTCATAAAATTCATTATTTGATCCAAATTCTACATTAGGTTAATTATTCGCTTTAGGCATGGAATTATTTGAATTATATGAAATATCTTTGTTAAAGACATAATAAATGTTAAATGAATTAAATAAAGGAAAATAAGATGATCCAGAATTCTTGATGGAATAAATGAAACGTAAATAAGAAGAAAAAAAGAAGAGATTAAAAAAAGCATTTATGTTTTTTAGAGCCAGAACAGCTCATATTGAAGTTGTTAGAGAAAATTAAATAGAATTGGTGTTCTTTCCATTACTACCATTTAGTAAATTAAATAAAGATGAAAAATAGTCATTTTAATAAACAGTAGATCGTTCTTCAGCAAAATCAAAGGTTTAAGATTTAATGGAAAAGAGTGCAGAATTAATTTAAATAATGAGACATGAAGAAGAGATGAATAGATTCTATAAATAATATAAGATTATCGGATTTTTTGCAAATTATATTTAATTATGGAAGGATTTAGCATTTTATTTGACATTAATCATCAATATAATGATTATAGGTTCATTTGCACATGAATCAGATCCAGAAAGACCAAAAGAAGAAGTAAGTAATGAAGCATTAGATGAATATGTATTCTTTAGAAAAGATGAATGGACACAAACATAAACAAAAGAATTAATAAGTGCTTTAGGATATGCTATGATGATATGTTCATTATTTGTTGTATTATTTGTTTTAGCCAGAATAGCTCCACTTATTATTAAAAAAGCTTTATAAAGAAAACCTCTTTTAGAAGGATAAGGAATAATAAAACTTTTATTAAATTGGTTAGCTAAGTTTTTCTTTGTACTTTTTTATTGTTTACAAGATTTTTAACTTGTTTATTATTTAGGATATGGAGCATTATCTGTAATTGGAACATTTGTTCATCCTTTTTTCTTTTGTTTTCATTTAACTGTCATTCTTATTAGATATCCAACTTTAAGTAATGTAGTTAGAGCAGTAACTATGCCATGGTAATAACTTGTACTTACTTTGTTACTTATTATTATTATTACTTATATATTTACTTTAATTGCTTTCTATGCATTACAAGATCCTTTTGGATTAGATTGTAAAGAAGTAAGTATTTGTTTCCTTTAAATATTTGATAAGAATTTTAAAGTTCCTGGTGGTATTGGAGGTGATATTACTAATAATAATCCATCTCATATTTATGAAATCTTCAGATATATTTATGATTAAATTAATAATCTTTTATTAGTTATCATTATGGTAAGTATTGCATCAGGTATTATTATTGATACTTTTGGATAATTAAGAGAAGATGAAAATAAAATGAATAGTGATATTAAAGATAAATGTTTTATTTGTGGATAAGAAAAGTAATTTAATTATTTATATTTTATTAGTATTATTTTTGAAAGGAGTTCCGATGGTTCATCAGGTGGATTCAAAAATCATATTAGATAAAATCATTATATGTGGAATTACTTATATTGTATTTTTATTATATAATTTATAGATATTGCTTATTTACAATGGAAAGATTCGTAAGATTACTCTGGTATTGAATCATATGTTGATAAAAAAATTAAAGATACTGATTTAAGTTGGATTCCTTTTGGAAGAGCTAGAGAATTAGATAAAGGAGAAGATGAATCAGAAAAATAAGCTAAATAAATGGAACAATCTTCATAAAATATCACTTCCTTATTGACTCATTCCACTGATATATTTTAAGCACTCAAAGAAAAGAAAGATAAAAAAAGACAATAAAACACTCAATAACAAACTTAACCAACACAATATAAGGAGTAAATTGTATCACAATAATCAATGGCTATATGATGAATATCATTTTCTAACTCCATAAACTTATTGAATTGTTAATAAATTTGTTTTTATTTTTGGCTTCTTTCTCTTTAATTCTTAATGAATTGTAGGTAATGGCTATTCTTTACTAAATTTATCAGAATTATAATCACTTAAACATATAGATTTACTCCCCTTACTTGATTAACATTCATATTTTTTAATTTCTATGTTTTTTTATTATTATTCAGATTCTGATCTCACATTTGATGGTTTTTTTTCTATCTATCTCATTAATCTATCAAAAATTGGATATCTCTCTGTTTTATTAGATCTCCTACTAGATGGATTTATTGAGTTCATCTAAATTTATTATTGTATTTATTAACTATTCAAACTATTTGTATTATTTGCTGTTATAGTATCTTATTTTTCATCTTCAATTGTCATATTTATTTTTATATCACTTTTAGCAGTTTAAGTATTCATTTCAATCAATTGTACTTAAAATTAATCAGAAGCAATATCAGCACAAGTCAATCCTCCTGATTAAATTAATTAATCCAACAATAAATAATATGCAGTGGTGGCATCATTATGTTGATTTGAAATTAAACATTGATAGATGTATTTTTTTGAATATCCAAATTTCTCTACTTAATTTACAATATTGTTATCAATTGGAATTTTATGTTATCCTATTAAAATTCCTTGCTTAATTTAAAAATTTGTTTTATATAAATTAAACCAAGGATGTTTTCTAATTTAATCAATATTAGGTCTATTTTCTGGATCTGGATTCAAAATAAATTTAAGAACATCAATTGCATCATTACTTAAAAAGTTTGGAACCTTATAATTAGCTGATAGAATTTTTTTATATAATTAATTTGTATTCGCATCTTCAAAAGGAAGGTAACCACATAACATGACAAATAAAACAACTCCACTACTCCAAATATCAGCTTTTAAACCTCTATACAATTTTCCTGATATCATTTCAGGTGCTGCATAACAAGGTGATCCGCATGCTGTCTTTAATAGATCATCATAAGTATTTGAGAGACCAAAATCTACAATTTTAATTCGGCCTTTAATTAAAAGATTTTCTGGTTTTATGTCTCTATGAACTATTTTTTATTTATGCAAATATTCTATTCCTGATAAGAGTTGTTAAAATAAAGCACATGCATTTATTTCTGGTATTTTCTTATTTTTAACAATGTAATTAAAAAGCTCTTTTTGACAATATTCCATAACAATGAAAATATATTTATTTGTCTCAAAGACCTCATGTAACATGATAATATTTGGATGTCTAACAATTTTCAAAATGTGCAATTCGCGTTATACTCTCTCGATATCAACAATATCAACCATTCGTGATTTATTCATAATCTTAATAGCTACAGTTTGTTTTGTAGGAATGTGAACTGCCAATTTTACCTTTCCAAAAGTACCAGAACCTATAGTTTTGCCCAATTGATAGTTGCCAATACATTTCATAATATAATTTATAATAATCACATAATAGTACAATAACCTCTCTTACCAACTCTCATTTACGTAATTGTGATCTTTCTAAATTTGATGTTTTAAACAAACTTCACTATGACACTTTTTAGATATTTAATTTATCTATCTATTTTAATCTTATTATATATTCATTACATTTTAATACCTCTTTTTTCATTTATTCACATAAATTTAAATTGAATTGATCATATTATTATTTAATCTAATATATTAATAAATCAATAAATAAAATCATCTCTTTATTTTCTTTAAAATATTATTTTCAGACTAGATTAATAATAACAAAATTTTGATTTAAAGCATTCCAAGACAATTGTAAATTACAATCGACACTTATGCTCTAAAACTAAAGGCAAATATTTTAATAAAGTAAAAAATCTATGTTTCAAAATTTCAACTTTAAATTAGATCATTTAAATTCATGTAAATTTATGTTTTCAATATTTTATTGTTTTTTTATTATTTTACAAACTTATATTTATATAATATTAAAATAACTTTTTTGAACTTAAACTTATATATATATTTCAGTGTTAAATTCAATTTTTTTTTTGAGGGAACTTTTATTAATTACTAAATGAATCCTTATTTTTAAAATTTCCATTTTAAGCATGAGGTTGGAAAGGTAATTTTTCAGAATTTTGTCCTCTATTTGACTAATTTTAATCTTTGCAATTTTATTTCCAATCAGCTCTTATAGTTTATTAACATCCAGGATATAAACAAAAAAAGGAATTTTAGTTAACTTAGTTAGAATTTTCAGAAAATTAAATAGAAAACATTGTTGATTTACATTTATTGCATTATCTATCAATAGTTTTTATAGTTTTGACAGAATCAGGAAGAAAAATGGTTTAATTACATTTTGGATATGAGGAACATCCTAGAAAATTAGTTTATTTAATTTTTGAATATCTTATTTTCATAAAATTTTAACATATATTACATAGAAAGCAGTTATCTTTATTTTTTTTAGATTAATTAAGTGCATTTTATGAAATATCATCTTAAATTTGACAAAGTTTAGGACAAATTTTGATTGAATTTCCAGTAAGTTATTTAAAGGTAAGACATTAAGAATTACAAAATTAACATAAAGATGGTAAATCATCGGATTTTTTATCTTTTAACATTTTATTATTTTTAATAGTTTTTTATTGATTCTAATTGATTTGATCTTCTTAATTAGTATGTAATTTAGATTGATTATTATTTTAATTATCATCATTATCATCATTATTATCTTGATCATAATTTTTAAGAGCTTCTAAATACTATCCAAATGTTTTAATAATTAAATTTTATTTCTCTTAAAGTTATTTTAAAATAATAGTCATTTCATTAATAGTTGTTTAAACAATTTAAGATTTTTCCATTTTACCTTATGCTACTTCATTCATTCTTTATTCCATGACAGCTCTAAGAAATGGTTAATGTAAAGTAAATCCTAAAATTTCATAAGATTCAACAAGAGCAAGTCCAATTTTAGTAGGTTTAATAATTTATCCTTTTTTAATTGCATATTCTCTCTCTTATATTGTATTAATATGTTCATGAATAGTAGCATCAGTACCAATGCCATTTTTATCCATTAATCCAATAAGTTCAGCTTCTGTCATAGGTTTAGGAGGAGAAGTTGATCCTTTTTAAAGTGTTAATTTGATTTTTATAATTTCTCCACATTAATAATTTGGAACTTAAATTTAAGACCATTCATCATAAATATAAATTTCTAAGAAATTTTTTTCTTTTATTACTAAACCTGTTTTGGAGAAAAATTCATCATTAATTTGAAGAGTAATAGTTGTTTCAGAACCTTTTGCATTTTTAGAACAGCAAGCTAAAAAATGTCTAGTGATTAATTAATAGATATCCCATTCTTATTTATTTTATGCTTCATTTTCAATCATCATTTTAACAGGATGAATAGGAGGATGTGCTTTATCATCTTTATTACCAGCTTTAGGATATTCAAAAGCAGAGTTTATTAATTTATTAGCATAATCCCCCCATATTGGATGATTTTATTAATCTCTAATGATATTTTATAAATTTATAGTTGGTGGAAATTTATTAGTTTCAGTTCTTGGATAACTAATATAACCTTTATTATATAATTTCTCTGCTAATTCCATAGCTTTATGTGCTGATATTTTTAATTTTTTAGATGCCAGTTTTTCAAATTCAATTGTACATAATGGATAAGGTTTCCATTTCTAAACATCTTTTTATTATACATTTATAACTTTAGCATTATCTTAATAGCATCTCTCAAATAATAAAGCAACAATAAATTCATCAAACAAATGTTCACGTTCCCAATTATATATACATTTATTATCATCTTCACTTTATAAAAACCAAAATTATTCCTTAATAAAAGAATCTATCTCTTTTTGTCTTCCTACTACAAAACCAAGTGTTGGAATTTAACATGGACCATAACTTATAATTGAAGATAAATTAAATTGTTTTTAAAGTAACAAAGTTTAAAATCTAGTAAATGATGCACCAATCCTTAAATCTATCTCTTATCTTGCCAATACAGAATTTGATAGATTTTCATCAGGTTATTTAAGTGTGTCTAAAGCCTATATTTATAGATTATTATTTTATTTACTCTTCGAACATCTACTTATGTGACAGCTGAAAAATGAGCTCGATAAACTTAAATACTTGGATTTGATTCTCTACATACTTCTAACACCTCAAATGCTATATTCTCACCTTCCCTATCACAATCTAACCAAAGGATTAATCTACTACACATCGCAGCAAAGTTCTTTAGATTCTATTCTAAATTTTCTATTTCCTATGTCATACTAATTTACACTTATCAGTAGAAATATTATTTTCTATTTCTGCTTCTTTTAAAATAATGATTGGATCCCACTTCTCCCAATTCTAGTATTTCGTTGGATACTTCAAATTCTTCAAGTGTCCTGATACAGATGTAATCCACATTTCAACATCTAAATCTCTTAATTTGTAATCCAATTTGAATAATTTATTAAATGGGGATTTTGTTTCCTCAGTACGATGATCTCTACTAAGCACATTTGCTATGGATCTAGCCACAGAAGGTTTCTCTGCAACATTGAGAACCTTCATTTTATCAATCTTTATAAAATGAGTTGAACTAAAATACCTTATTAGTTGTTTTAAAATTAATCATTTATTTAATGATTGACCAAGAGTTTCCACCAAGCTTAGAAAGTATTGGTAAAAAAAAAAACTTATCTTGGAAGTGTTTTAATGATTTTCCACTATTTGTTGAATAAAGTTCTTAGTTTCCAAAACAAGGAAAATTAGGAAATTGTTATTGGATTGCACCACTAGTTTCAGTGTATGCAGCAAAGTATTATATATAAATATAGTAGGCCTTAACAAATAAAATCTCTTTTTGAATCTCATAACAATGAGTTTACATCAGTAAGATTTTGCATTGATGGAGAATGGCAATTAATCACAGTTGATCATCACTTTCCATTCAATGAAGATAAATAAAAAGTAGCCTACAGTAAATTAGTTGATGGAGCAATATGGGCAATGATATTAGAAAAGGCATGGGCAAAGTTATATGGTTCTTATTAGCAAATAAACGCTGGGTTCAATAGGTATTATTTGTGAAATATCTTAAACTTAGAACTACATTCAAAGTGTTAACTGGAGCTCCTACCAATAAGTTTAGAGTAAAAGATCCTAATTTTAAGGAAATCTTTTATGAAATAGGAGATTTGCGTTTTCCAGTTGGTGCTAACAGTAAAAAATAATAAGAAGATAATATATTTGCGACAAATCATGCTTATTCAGTTCTTAAAATACAAGAAGATTAGATAGTTGTTCGAAATCCTTGGGGCTTAAAGAATAGAGATCAACATATACTGACATTGGAAGAATTTAAGAAAAGATTTGCAAGCATAGAGTGTTGTTATCATTTTGATGGATATTAATATTAAGGTGAAAAAGTCACATCAGTTATTTTGGAACCAGTTTATTTTGAGATAGAAATAAAAGCTCCAGGAAATTATTTTTTTACAATAAATTAAAAAAATAAAAGATGGTTTCGTAATAAACCACATTTAAAATATGTTATATCTCCTTGTTAAATTGAAATGATTTATGGTGATACCATAATGAATTAGTAACACCATAAATCAAATAAAGAATTATGGATCAATTGGAACTTTAGTAAACCTTGTAAAATTTATATTATTTGTAAAGTTGAGTGGTAGAATATAGAAGTGAATGAATTTATTTTTAATACTTATGGACCAGAATTTAGTCAAAAAAGAGTAATGGAAATTATAAAAAACAATGAAGATTTTAATAATTTAGGATCAATACAATTTGTATAAAGAGACTCAGAGAAAGAGTAGGAAGAAGAGGAAAAGCAAATTTAAAATACAAATGTGAATTTTGAATAGGTAGATTAAATATAAAGAGTTCCATCTCCACCCCATTAGAAGGAACGTAAAAGTTGTGGGCAATGTTCAATATATTGATAAATATAATTTTATTATTAAAATGTCAGTTATGAGTTAGAATAATGATACTTCAATGAAATAGAGAGACAATAATCGTCAATAAATCACATCCCTAAGTAAGAATAGTTATTTATATCCTTTAGATCAATTGTCTAATTTGTATGGTAAGTCTAAACCTGGTGAATTAGCATAATCACTAGTTTATGGTGATAAACCAAAAAAGGAAAACAATCGTCCTTCTAAATTAATGTAAACTACAGTATCTGAAAAACCTAATCAATGGTAAACTAGAACAGTAACTGTGTCTCCTTCTAAATTTACAGTACTTTCTTAATAACTTTATAATCATATCCCAGACAAATTGGAATTATAGAAATCATAAAGAGCCTTTCATGTTAAAGATTAGAAATTATTGTTATCTCCTGAAAGATTACATTCATTACCTAATTAAAATGGAGATAAAACTCCAGAAGTCTGCAATAGACTCATTGAATATAAGACCTTTGTTAGTGATAAAAAATAAACACTCAAAGAATAAATAGATGCTGAATATTTAAGTCAATGCAGCTTTTAACCATAAATAGATGAAAAAAGTAGAAAAATGGCCATAAAAGCTACGAATCAAGAAGTCCGTTCTGCTGATGAATTTCATGAACAATAAATGAGACATCTCTAAAAAGTCAATGAAAAAAGAGAAGTTCTTTAAAAACAATAAGAAGAGGATGAAAAGGCTGAATTATCTAGTCCTAAATTAACAGTTAAAACTTAGAAATTAACACTTAAATATTGTGAATAACCTCTAGTTGACAGATTACATGAAACTAAATCTAAAACATAAACCTTACCTGATTCTACTCTCAATCATTCATTCAAACCTTAGATTTCAAAAAAATCAAAAGAAATCAAAAGAGAAGAATCTGTCTAAGATTTCTTATATAATGATGCTAAAAATAGATTAGAATAAAAAAAATAAACTGAAACGATGATTCCATAATCAGTGATATCTCCAACAGACAAAAGCTAATCTTGGTTCGTCTAGAGATTTATCAAGGAATTCTATTATTAATTAAGTGGATTAGATAGAGTTTAAGAGACAAAGGATTATTCCAAGATCTATTAAGAAGATTTCTAAAAAATATTAGAAGGTTTGGGATTTGGATAATGTGATATGTTATGGAATGAATTGAATAATGGATTCTATGTATTATCAAGAAATTTGTTGGTGATTTTATTGGCAATTCAAGCAGTGCCATAACATTTAATAGAGATTCCATTATATAAACCTAAGGTTGAAGAAAACATATAAGTGAAATCTAAATATTAATGTGATGAGAATGGAAACTTAATATTAAGTGTAAATGATTGTTAAGAATTGCATAAGATGTTTTATAAATTGTATTTGAATACGAAATAATAAAATGGGAATGGAGTAAGAAGAAGAATGGCTCGTTCTCCATAACCTGAGATAAGATGTGGATCACCAAAGATAAGTGATAGAACAAAATAATTAGCTGAAGTTAAACGATAAGATTCATCTTTATTTGATTGGTTTAACTAATAGGAAGAGAAGAAGAAATAGAGTTTAGAAGAGTTAAAGAAATAGGTAGAGGAAGAGAGAATGAAAGAGTGTAAATCTATTTAGAGAGAAATTACAATAGATTTGAATTAATTAGCAAAACCTCTTCAAAAATAAGAGGATAGAACAACTGTAGATGTGGAATTTGATAATTAATAATAACATTGCACATTCTAACCACATATTAGTAAACCTGCTTAAAAGACTTAAGCAAGTAATTATGCTGTATAAGAGATGGAGAAATAGGCAGCAAGAATGAAGGAAGCTAGATTAAGATAGAAAACTCTAGCAAACTTGAAAAACAAAGGAGTTACTACTAATAATAGTAGTAGAAGGAAGGAAAAGGGTGTAACTGAGAATGAACTTAATAATGAACCAAAATAGAAGAAGAATAAAAGCAGACCTATAAGTGATAAAAGTTCACCAATGTTGTATGTCGATGTTAAGATAGAGGATGGTAAAAGTGCTAGGATTGTAGTGTTTGAAGGAGATACTTCTGTCAGTTTGGCAAATAAGTTCGCAAAAGAACATAGTAATTATAATATTTATATTTATTAGAGTTGGATGAAAATATGAAAGAGAAACTTAAGGATTTACTTGATCAATAGATAAATTCTTATTTGATGAAGATTGAGGAAGAATAAGAGTAGGAAGATGATTGATTCATATATATATACTAGACATATAAATTATATTTATTAAAATGTATGTCAAATTTTTGACATAGTGACAAGTTCACAATTAAATAACATCGGAATTAAATAATTTTACAGTAATGTTTAATGAAGAACTAGGTGTCATTGATTATGAAGTTGAAAGTGATGATTCAATATAGTTGATTGAAAATCCATAGGATATTGTTATACCTACAACAACAATATAAGAATAGAAATAAACAACTGAGTAAATTGTACAACAACCATTATAATAAGAAGTAGATTAAACTAATATTAATCATAATAATGAAAATATTGAAAGATAATAGCTAGAAGAAGAATAAATGTTGCGTAGACCCTATGCATTAAGATGGAAAAAGAAATCAATTAAGAAATTAGAAAAAATCACTTAAAAAATGACAGATTAAGATTTAGAAGATATCAAAGATGTTTAAATAAAAAAAATAGCAATCTCTGAGTCTAAAATAAATAATAACAATAATCATATTAATAATAATAATAATAATGATGTAATTATTTCAGGTTCAATTTTAAAGAATCCACATAATACACTAAATTAAGTTTAGAAATAAAAATAATTTTAAGTTTTAGTAGAACATTTTGCAAATAAACCTGACTTTTTGGAAGCTATAATAGCTTAAGATTTGGAATAAGATAATGAAAATTAGGACGGAGGAATATTAAAAAAACCAATGATAGTACCTCCAAAAGCAGGATTAAAGAAATAGCCAGGTAGAAAGAAAGCAAATGTTACATTTGAAGATTAATCATAACCACCAAATGGAGGAATATAATTTATAAAAACTAGTGTTCTTCCATAAAAATAACCTCCACCTCCACCATAACCTTAATAATAGATTTCAAATATCCTTTCAAAATTCTAAGAATATAGAGAGAAATCAGTAGCTCCTACTTAATCTTAATAGACAACAGCAATTTAAGAATCTTCTGATGTCCCTTTAGGAACAGGTGCATGGTATCCGAATAAATAGGATAAAAAAAGTTAACCTTTTATTCCACCTCATGCTGGATCAAATCCAAAAATGTTACCTACTGTTAGTTCAGTTTAGATGATTTCACCATCATAAGCTGCTTAATAATCATTAAATCATAAATTTCTAGGAATGAATTAAAATTAATCGAGATTTAGTAATAGTCCTCCAAGAGTAAGAGATATGATTACATAATAATATACATCTTCTTATTAAGTTGATAGACCTCCAATTATGCCAAGTAGATAATAACCTGTATTTTAATAATAAATATTGGAAAAGAATATCAATTATGAATTAAATTAAGTTAAAAAAAATAAAGAACAATTGAGCAGTCATTAATAATCTTAACTTAGAGAATCTTAAGTTAAATTATAAGCAAAGTTATAAGAAAGTGTTAAAAGACAGAGTGTTGCTTAACCTACTATTGAAGAAAATGATTCTGATTTTATGGATGATGTAATGGAAAGTTAAGCTTTTATTGATTTTAAAAGAGCTGGTAATTTAATCTGTGGATCTTAACAATAATAATACACCCAATAATAATATTGGTAAGAAATCAATTTTAATACTGATATCCCTAAAGATTATTATATGAATGAAAAGTTTAGAGTAGATGTTGGAGAAGATATTGAAATCAATGATCCTTATGAATTATTTAAATTGTATTTTGATTAAAGCATTTTCAAATACATATGCTAAATATCTAATAAACGACAATGCATAAGAATCGATGAAGATATTTTAGAATCCTTTATTTCAGCACTCATTTACATTTTCTATATACAATTATTAGGAATGAGAGAAATCAAAAGAGTCAGATTTGATCATATATTGGATTATGTCACCTTTGGTCATATCTGTAAAGAAATTAGAATTGATGAGTTAGAAGATTATTCTTTTATTTTTGAGAAGATAAGCAAGAACTTTAAAAATCATTATTAACCTGAAGAATTCTTAACTTTGGATACTCCAATCTTTTATCAAAATCACAGTATAGAAGGTCTAATCTCACTTTCTGATGGAATGAAAGGATATGTATTAGACTTGATCTATGGCATAAAGGATCAAAAGATTATCTAAAGTTTATAGAAATATTAAGGCAAACATCATAAACTTTATTTAGGACCTGAGGTTTCATCTTTGAATTTAATAACTCAATTGAAAAAGAAACAATTTGGTTCATTAGCTAAAATAGTAGATAAATAAGTAATTAATTTAATATATATTTAGACATAACTTACATAAGATTAAATTCAAGAAGTGAAATAAAATGCATAGAAAGGTAAAAGCACATAGTTTTTATCCTCTGATAATCAAACTATCATGCTTATTTATGCAGAAAGACAATAACATTTACAATATGTTGAAGGATTTGTATCTTCATTTGCTGATTTCACAAGACTAAAACCTTAAGATACTAAAATTAAAGGAGATGTTAATAAACCAATAATCTTATATTTATATGATAAAATTAAGACTCAATATGATAAAAGAGGTAAGACTTATTAATATTCATAAATACCTCATTAAGATTCAAATTAGCATTTAGAAATATTAGTATAATTAGTTTATTCTAGTATATATAATGCTAATATTTTAAATAAAACAAAAAATTAGTCATAATCTATGGCACCAGATAAAGCTAAATAAATGTATCTTGATTTTGTTAAATAATTATTACACTCATTTTATGTAAGAAGTTTTAAAAGAAGAGGAATCAATTAATTTCCTTAGAATCATACTTTGGAATCAGGTGATACTGGAACATTTAGTTGTATTGAATGTGGAGAATCTAGTTAAACTATTTGTAGAGAATGTTCAAATCATTTTTAAATGTTGATTCCTGTCTGTAGAAACAAAAATGAGTAATGTTTGAAATCACATATAGAAATGTTAGTAAATCAACCAAAAATAACTAATTCTAATAGAAGACTTACAAATAAATAAGCTATTGTAAAATTTGAGTTCTATCGTTCACAAATATAATCTTCTAAAGATTCTAATGCCAAATCTGCTTTACCTGTTATCGAAGATACTTTATAACAATTAGATAGTTTAGATCCTGATGAAGAATTATCTATTGGAATTCAAACATTATTAGTTTCATTATCAGATTTGATACAAAAAATGTTCTAATAACCAAATATATTAGTTCCACAAAAGATTTAACAAAAAGGATAAGAAATCTATTCATTAAGTTAAATAGATCCACCTATTAAATCAGCTTAACAATTATCAAAATCAATCTCTTAAGTTTATAATCATTAGTAGGAAGTGATGTAATGTTCTTAAGTTGTGCCTTAAATTATTAAAACTAAAATTAGCGAATAAACAAACTTAGAGCCTTCAATCCAAAAATTGTAAGCTAGAGTGGCCAGAATAAATAAATGATATATATATATATAATATTATAATTTTTATTTAATTATTTATTAAAAGTATACAAAAATAAAATTGAATTGCTAAACCAAATACCAATATATATATATATATATCAAATTTCTTAACCACTTGAAGCAACATTAAGTATTTAAAATAATGCTGAACCTACAACAACAAATAAAAAGACTCCAAGAAGGATTGGACCAACTGGAAGGTTATCCTCTTTTTTCTATACAAATATTAGTTTGATCAAATACAATCAATGATTTTGGCACTTTTCCTTATTTGTCAATATTTTTTTAATAGTTTTAACTTCTCAATTTCATTGTTTAAGCTGATGGCTATATTGTCTTAACATATAATCATACCATATTTATGAATGATCTTTCTGTGAAGTATTTTAATTAATGAAATCACACGTATTATTATTATATGCTATAAAAAGTATTAACTGATTGTCTCTAAGATAATGATCCAGTCTAAATTTCTCAATTAATTGGTGTTCTAGAATATCAAAAATAACCAAAACTTCATCAAACTACCTTTATGACCTCTTCTGATTTAAAACAAATGAAACTAAATAAGCCAAAGAACATTCTTCAAACTTATTGCAAAATATAATATTAACATACTTACTTTAAACTAATTAATCAAACAGTTCATTGTAGATTGTTAATCAATTTAAATACATGTAGAAAATACATGAATTTCAAATCAATTCAACTATCTACTAAATCTAAACTGTACTTTGGAATAAAGCATTATTAATTTAAAGTATAAATTTTCATTTTACTAACATAGATTAAAATCAAAATGCAAAACAAACTATCAGAGAGAACTTTTTCTGAATATATAATAACTTTGACTAATTAATTTATTAATTTTTTATTTGCTCATGAATTTTAACAGATAAGAATTACTTAATTTGTAAAATAGAATATTTAATCGTCCAAAGAGGTTGAATTCTGTCTATGTAGCACCCACTTTAGATGATATAGGAATTTTAGCTGAATTACCTAACAATAAGGTACCTAGTTTAGGATTTAAATAATAAAGTGCATTAAGAACTTAACTCAAAAAACATAGAAATTTATTTCTATATGACAAGAAATTATTTAGAAACAAGAAAGAATCCAGAGAACTAAGAGAAAATGTTGAAAACAAGGGATCTATACATTATATCAATAGTTCTAAGTAATCTTCATAACCTCTTTGGGAAGATGAAATGAAAATCACCAAATTAAGCATAATGAAATCTGAAATCTTAAGAAACAAAGTACCAGAACTATCTAAACATATTAATAATTCCTTATCTAATGTTCCTAGAAAATTATCCAATATTCATCCAGAACCAATCTAATTCAAAAATTTAATCGTATTACCTTCTATTAGAGGTTGGGACAATAACAACCAAAACTCTTAAAGATCGAACTGATATATTTCTATTTATAAATTATTTAATAATATTTTATTATCTGTAGACTTTAAAATTTCAATATTAATTATTCATGAAAAATAACATTTAGTGACTACCTTATTAGCAAATTAAGTTTTAATTATTCAATTTTATTATTTAAATGAGAAAGATAAAATTTAATTCTTAATTTAATATTAATAATCTCACAATAAGGGTTATTTAATAGTATTTGTATCCATCTATTTATTTTACACTAATTATTTGTTTTTTTCTTAAATTTCTTCTTTTTTTTTAACTTTCTTTTAATTTATTACATTTCTGAATCATATAACATAAGATTTTACTATTAAATTATAAATTGAAAGTTTTTATGATGAAGTTTTTCAAATCAATATTATTCATTAACAATATTTATCATTTTTAGCAGATGAAAAACGTCATTTGATGTTTATCAATTATAAATACAAAGGTTTTATTTGTTCCTTAAGTAGATTGATAAATTAAATAATATTAAGATTTATATTTACTAAAGTTTCTTCTTATTGTTTCAATAAACTTCTCTTATTGCATTCTTATGTGATTATCGATTAACTAATATAGATTTAAGTTATTCAATTCAAATTACAAAGAAGGTAAGAAAATTAAATTTTTCATTTTGTATTGGTTAAAAAATACTTAAATCAATCAACGAAAATAAAAGTTTGGTAAAATATTCTACAAAATAGATTCTATATTAAAAATATATTATTTTGAATAGATTATATTTATATTGAAATAAAAAAATTTCGTTACCTCAAATACTTTTTTTTTATATAAAAGTGCATAGAAATAACTTTAAAAATTGATAATAAAATATTTGCATTCATACTAGATGTAAGACGATGCTATTAGGTAAGCATTTTAATTGAATTGAAGTAGTTATTTACAATGAATAGTTTTTTTAAAATGTTGATTTTACAGAGTATTTTTTTAGTAATTCATAATTAAAGATTATGTTCGATATCCAAAAATTTCTATTGCTAATATAAATGTTAATGATTGGAATTGAACCTAAAGCTTCAGAGATTAAAAAATATAGAAAAATTACCTAGAGTTTTATTTAATATTTTATCGATAAAAAAATGAGATAAAATACAATTATGTTGGGAACATAGTATATTATAATAGATTTTCAAATATTATATGCTATGACTACCATTTTATTCAAAAAAAATGGATTATTTGCATACAAAAATATAATAATAGCTTTTTTATAATAGAGTAGAAGGAGATGATAAAGAAAATGTAATCATAAAAAATAATGAATAAAGTTTAAATAGAATGATGTAAAATTTATGAATATGGGAAGAATGATAATAATTAATAAATTTATATTTGGTCTCAATAGTCTTCTTGTAAAAATCCAGCATCTCTTTTGGGGAAAGAATTACATGAATCAACATGAATTTCACTAATTAAAGCTTAAATAGATACAATCCATTTCTGCAATTCCATACATCATGCAATTTTTCATCTTTAATGCACCAGTGTTTCTAGCAGCATTATGATTTATGTAATCCAGCACAAACATGACCATCTGATTTTTTGCAATCTTTATGACATGAATCATTCTCAGCAGTTGATCTAACCCATTTCTTATCATTGCTTGTAATAGGAGGAGCCATTGTTGCTGATATTATACCAATCATTAGAAGAACCAATAATAATCTCATTTCCGTTTTTATATATATATAATATTAATTAAATTTAATATATATAAAACAAAAAACTTATTCATTTTGTGACTTTGTTTTTCATTTTTTTTCAAAATACAATAAATTCTTTGTCTTCTCAATTCAATTATAGTTTCTTAGAAAAATTTTCATAATTAAAATTGGATCATGAGAAATTTATAAAAAAATTCATTAAAATTGATAATTTAATAAAAATTCTTTTTCTATATGTTTATTTCCTGAAATTATGTACAGGGTTTTACATTTTAAGTGATTAGGATTAAGAAAAAATTAATAAATAAACAAAAAAAATGGATTTTAGACTTGTAGATTGGTTTAAATTATCAGATTTAGTTCATTTAATAAGTAATAAAGCATTTCTAATGGCTCGAAGAAAAAATTTGATAAGTGATTTGCTTAAGAAAAATTCTTATGAATCACTTGATGAATATGAGGAGAAAGTTTTTCCTTTGTTTTAGAATGAACATTATTAGAGTTTAGCAAAGGAAATGAATTTCCACTAAAAATTATTTGAAAAATTTTAACATTATGCTCTAAGACTAATGGTCACTATAGATGAAGAATATGAAGCATCCCCTCGAACAGGTATTAAGTTATTAGTGACAAAGCAAATGGATGAAATAGAGAATTAATCATTTTCTTGGAAATATTAAAATTTTTCACAATATTTAAGTTTTAAAAAATCAACCGAATTTATTTGTGCAATATTTATAAAAAACTAAGAAAATAAAAATAAGATTGATTCAACCTTAAGCATATTTAATAATTAAAATGGTTAATAGTTTTTCATCATACCATATTCCGATAAAACAATACTGAACTTTATTTATAAAAAAGAGGGTAAATATTATTTTAACAGAAAATAATTGATTCTAAATTTAATTCCTATAAGTTCCCCTAGAGTTTACTAAAAGGAAGTATAAACAATATTTTAGCTTAAATCTTGCAATTTTTATGAATTAATACTCTAACCTTCAGAATTATAAAATTAAAGTAGAATTGACAAATTTACTGAAAAAATTAAAATTGCTTAAGAAAATTATTTTTAAAATCATCTCTACACATAACATTTCGATGATTCCTAATTATCTGCTATAAAAAATGCTACAGATTTTAGTTAAAAGGTATATATAAAATTAATTTTCATAATAGTTTACTTTAATAGAAGGTCCTCCGGGAACAGGGAAAACATAAACTATTTTTGGAATATTATCTATTTTATAGAGTAGTTTAAAGGAATCAAGAAAAAATAATAAAAAGGACATAATTTTAATATTGGGGAAATCTAATAGTGTAGTCAACGATTTAGTGAGAAAAATAAATCAAAAATTAGATGATCAAAATTCTATAATAAATTGTTCAGATGAACAACCTGATCATCTTAAAGTTGTTCGTTTTGGAAGACCTGAATTATGTGAAAATGATATAGCCAGATATAGTTTAGAAATTAGATCCTAAGAATAATTTTTTGAAAAATATAAATCAGAAATAAATTCAATATTCTCTTAATATATTACTTAAGAAATAAAATAATTATTGATAAAAGAAGAAATTTAAGATTATTTAGCATATTTAATTGATTTAAAACAATAGATAACATTAGTTTCCTTAATGAAATACATAGAGTATGTCAATTTTAAAACAAAAAATTAGAAAATTTTGAATGCTTTTGGATAAGTTTATGATAAGATGTATAATTAATTAAAAGCTGAAGAATAATCTTATTAAATAATAGAATAGGAATTTTTAAAATATGTAAATAATAACAATTTAATATTAGCGTCATATTATAGTTTCTACATTAAATAGTTGTTGTAAGAAACGATTAATAAGAGCTTTAAGGAATGTTAATTTAAGAATGTGCATAGTAGATGAAGCACCTACAGCCTTAGAGCCATCTCAACTAATTCCATTTATTGAATATTCTGAAATTTCTAAGATAGTACTTTTGGGAGACACGAAATAATTGAGTCCAATTGTAGTAGCAAATTAATCTGAAAAATATTTTCTTAATCGTTCGCTATTTGAAAGAATGTTACAATAAATAGATTCTAAAAAGTTGAAATATTAATACAGATAAATGCCTAATTTGGCATAAATTACATCAAAAATTTTTTATTCAGGGACTTTAAAAACAAGTTTAATGTCTATGTAGTTTCCTGAATACATTAGAAAAATAGTCAGGAATAATAGAAATAGTTTATTTTTCAACACTCCATATGGAACAGAATAAATTTAGGAGACAAGTTATAAAAATAGCCTAGAATGTAAGGCTATAATTTAATTGGTTAAATATCTTTTAAGTGATGAAATAAAATTAAAAAAGAATAAAATAATTTCAATAATTAGCGGATATTCAATGTAAAAAGAGTTACTAAGAATGTAACTAAAAGAAAATGAATTACTAAATTACGTAGAAGTGGATACATTTGATTCTTTTTAAGGGAAAGAGAATGAAATAGTAATTTTATCTTTAGTACGATCAAATGATAAGGTTGGTTTTTTAACTGATAAGAGAAGAGTAAATGTAGCATTATCTCGAGCAAAATATTGTTAATTTGTGTTTGGATCATAGTTTACTTTGGAAAAGGATAATAGGATATGGTAAAAGATAATAAAGATCTATAAATAAAATAAATAAATTATAGATTATGATGATGAGAGTTTTAAGCAAGAAAGCTTCTTCAAATAATAATTGAATTTGATATAATGATATTTATTTATATATTAGATAGTAAATATTTAGAAACATAAATAGAGTATTAAATATATAATTAATTAAAATATTAATAAGAGAATAAAGATGGGTACTTGTGGTGGAATATGTGGTTAGAGTAATCCTGAGAATACAATAGTAAAGATATAATAAGTAAATATGGGTGATGTTGAAAATTAAATAGAGATGGGATTAGAAGATGTTGCAATAACACATTAATAGAGAGTTGAGGAGATCTTGAATTAGCCAAACTAAAGCAATGATAATTAATTATATGAGACATAAAAAAGAAATGCTTTAAGTTTTGATGAAATTAAAACTTAGATTATATAAGATCTTGAGAAATGTGAGCCAGTTATATTAGAATCAGGAGCTATTTACACAGGATAATGGATGAATCAGTAGAGACATGGTTGGGGGAAACAAGTATGGGCTGATTAATCAGTATATGAAGGAGAATGGGTAAATGATAAAGCTTGTGGAAAAGGGAAATTGATTCATGCAGATGGAGATGTATATGAAGGAGAATGGGTTAATGATAAAGCTAATGGATATGGTAGATATTATCATAGTAATGGAGCAATATATGAAGGAGAATGGAAAGATGATAAACAATATGGTTATGGAGAGGAACAATGGCCAGATGGTTCAAAATACAAAGGTAAGTATGAAGATGGAAAGAAACATGGTTAAGGTTTATTATAATTTGTTGATGGATCATTTTATAATGGAGAATTCTATTATAATGATATACATGGAAAAGGTAAATGTATTTTATATATATTTCAGGAACATATGTTTGGGTTGATCAAAGAAAATATCAAGGTTAATGGAATAATAATAAAATGCATGGTCTCGGTATTACAAAATGGCCAGATGGAAAAATATATGATGGAGAGTAAATAATTGGAGATAATTCTTTCTAGATATTAAAATGATAAAAAAGATGGGTTTGGTACATTTATTTGGCCTGATGGAAGAAAATATGTTGGATTATGGTTGAATGGTAAATAACATGGAAGAGGAACTTTTACTAAAGTAAGTGGAGAAAGTCGTTAAGGAGAATGGGTTGATGGAAAAAGAATTAGATGGTTGGAATTAGAAGAATAACAAACAAATTGAAAATTCTCTCTAATATATTATCAAATTTAATGCATTTCACAAATATTTATTCTATCCTAAACAAAATTTAAACCATCAAATTTAACATGAATAAATTCTTTATTATTCAAAACTAACCCACTTTTAAGTTCCATCATAATCATTAGTATTTCTTATTTTTATTAAAAACATCCTTTTTTAGAAATAAATTAAAGAATGTTATAACAAATAAGAAAGAACCCATATTTTTATAAAGACTCTAAAAGGGGACAACTAAACTGTTTACTAAATCTAATTATAGTCATGGAATATTTTTATTTATAGTAACTGCCATCAAACTACTAGGCTTAAGCAAATTTACTGTTAGTGTTCTTACTATAGCTATCTTCATAGTTATCTCGTAAGATATAAATATTTTATTATTAATTCTTTACTTTGGATTTTAAGTGTTGTCATCGGAACTATTTGAATCCTAAGAAATAAATAAAACACTCACATTTTCTATATTTTTAGGATTATTTTCTCATTTATTTTTGAATTTAAACTAAAATAGTTATTTTAGCAACGAATCACATTGCTAATCATAAACTAAGGATATATATAACAAAAATTTAGTAGTTAGGTTTAAATTGATTTCAAATATTATATATGATGATTATTTTTATGATGCTTAAGCTTATAGTCATTCTCCTTTATATCATGATATTGTTACAGTCAGCTGAATCTGACAATTATTTATTTAAATCAAAATATTAGAAATAAAAAATTAAAGTCACCATTAAATTGAAATAAGCTAAATGATATCTTTTAATTGCAATCTAATTTAAACAATATTCATTTTATTTCTCTTTTTTCTTCTTTTTAAAATTAATTTATAGTTTTAATTTATGGGTAAAAAAATTAAAAAGGGAAAGGAAGGACCAGTCAAAGAATATGTCTCCAGAACTAAAGCTCTCAAAAAACTATAAGTCAATCTAAAGGATTTCAGAAGACTTTGCATTTTAAAAGGAATTTACCCAAGAGAACCACCTTAAAAATTGAGAAAATAACATAAAACATATTACCATAACAAGGATGTCGCTTTCCTTAAAAATGAGTCTATACTTGATACATTTAGACAAAGATAGGCTCATTTAAAAAAAATAAGAAAAGCATTAACTAGAGGTGATAAATTAAAGGCTGGAAGATTACGAAGAAATCAACCAAAAGATAAATTAGATCATTTGGTTAAAGAAAGATATCCAACATTTATTGATGCATTAAATGATCTTGATGATCCATTATGCTTAATTAGTCTTTTTGCATCATTTCCAACACATAAAGAACTTCATATACCTAACACATTAATTAGAAACTGTTAAAAATTGATCAATCAATTTTAATTATATGTAGCAGCTCATCATTGCTTAAGAAAAGTAATAATAAAATTAATTTCTAGGTTTTCCTCTCTATAAAGGGTATTTATTATCAAGCTGTTATCTAAGGAGCCACAATTACATGGATTATGCCATATCCTATTTAAGCTTCTTTACCTTTAGATGTAGATTATAAAATTATGATGACATTCCTTGAATTTTATTAAGTTTTGATTAAATTTGTTAATTTTAAACTTCTAGGTTAAGAAATTGAAATTACTGACTTTAGCGAAGAAGTTATTAAAATTAAATCTGCTACTTCAAATTATTAGTAATTTTATTCATTAGATTTAGAATCGATATTGATGAAGCTTTTAAAGAAGATCCAACAATATAGTAATTGGATTAGCAATAATAAGAAACTAAAAAGTATTCTGAATTATTCAAAGGATTAAAGTTTTTCTTATATCCAGAAGTACCTAAAGCATCTCTTGAATTCATTATTTTGAGTTTTGGAGGAGAAGTTATGTGGGAAAACGATAACAAAAATTCATTATTAACTGATCCAAAAATAACTCATGTTATAACTGAAAGACAGGTTTAAAAGAACAAAAAAAAAGAATATATCTAACCACAATGGGTTTATGATTCAATTAATTAATTAAAATTATTAAGTGTTGCTGACTATGCTCCAGAATCAGTAATTATATTTTATAAATATTTAGACTCTTCCTCCACATTTAAGTCCATTTGAATAATTAAACTTAGAAGAAGTTCAATCAGAAAGCGAAGATGAAGATCAATAATAGAAAGAACATAAACCTTATCAAAATAATAAAAAGCAAAAAGAAAGATAGGCTAAATAATAAGAAAAAGAGACTAAAAAACTGGCAGAAACTATGTTAAGCAGAAAGAATAAGAGATTATATGATATGATTAAGAAAAAAGAAGATGAAGAAAAATAAAAGAAAACTAAACTACAAGAAAAAAAGAAAATCATACAAAGCAAGTAACAATGAAATATAAATATTTAATGTTTATAAATTTCCAATTTTATTTTTGCTCAGATTTAAGATTAACATATATTTAATGTATATATATTGTAGCAAGAACTTAAATACCAATAAAATTATCACATCTTTAAAAAAATTTAATTATATGACGATAAAAAATTTTAGATATAGATTTTATTTCTTCTTCATCAAATGATTAGATATTTATCTTAATTAATAATTTTAAATGAATCATCAACTACAATTTTAAGGAAAATATTATATTCCGAAAACTTTTGAACAGACTTCAATCATACTTAAATCTCAGGATCCAGCATCCTTTTGAACTGATAGTAAGATATAAAGAGATTGATAAAATTAGTAAATCTATATTAAAATAAACTATATAATATTAAACTATCTTTTTTAATAATGAAAGAAATTATAAGTTCAAATTAGAACTTCTTTAATAATTTTGAAATATTGAAATCTAAATTTTTATACTTTTAATAGAATTTACTTGTAAAAGAATATTTAATATAATTATGTTAAGGTATTTAAATTTCTGTAAAGAGTAGGATATAAAATCATAAAGACGGTATTTAGGATAGTAGTTGCAGTGCCTTTAGGATAAAAAAGATTTAAGGCTTGAAAATAATTAATTTTATTCAACCTATTATAAATTGAATAGAATATTGTTTCAAAATATTGTCGTTTAGCAATATGGACTTAACAGTGCCTAATTCAATTAGATCTTTTCTCTCAAAATATTTTCCAATTTAAATATATTTTTAAAAATATGATATAACTTGATAATTGACAAGAGATTGTTCCTTTTTTTTCTTATGTAATAGTGATTTCATTCTATGATCTTTTCATTTAAATAATCTAAATGAAAAATTTATTTTAATTTTATTTAAGAAAATTTCTTAAGGATTTCAAAATAAAAAAATGGACTTTGAATGATAATTAGGAAGAAAATTGTTATATTAAATGAAATTAATTGTATTGTTAAAATTACAAGAAGAAATTGAGATTGATTAAGATTAATTGCTATTCTTAAATTTAAAATATATCTAGACCATGGAGATTTAATAAAGAGAGCGAATTATATAAAATTTTTTGAGACCTTATTACAATCTTATAGTCGTATAATATTAGAAATCTTTAAAAGAAAATAAAATACTTATTTTAACAATAATTTTCACTATAAAAATTTTCAATAACAAAAAAACATTTTTACAGAGCAAATTTCTGCCTTACTAAATTTTAAAAGATATTTAAATAACAAGAAAAACTTAGTAAGAGAAAGATATTTATAAAAAATTAATGATAGGTAGGCAAATTTGATAGGACTCATATGATTTATATTTATTTGAAAACCATGCGATATGGTTCAAGTTTATATCCTGACCCTAATATGAACTTTTGTTTTACTAATAATTAATACTAATATGACCAAATAGAACATCGGATTCATTCTTTTTCAAGTTTAATATTTAAGTGGATTTTAACAAAAAGTATTATCGTTGAGAACTGGGCCTATATAATTAGGAAGTAATCAGCCTTAGTTTTAATCTCTAATAAATCTATGAATCTAAGTGTTAATGTTTTAATATTTGAACTATTTGATGATTTTATTTAATTAATATATTATAAAAGTATATATTTTTAGTGCTATTTATTAATTTTCAGTTTAAAAATTTTTGGAACAAAGAATTCTTAGTATTAATTAATTTAAGAAAACTAGAAAAAGAATAGTTAAAATGCCAAATACTTCAATAAATGGTTTAAACCAATAAAAAAAATCTGTTTAATTCAGTGAATAACATATTGTTCACATTGTTGAAAATTGGAAGGAGTTCAATTATTCTCCAAAAGAAATCAAAGTCAAGGATCGATAATTAAAAGTTGAAAAAATCGTTATAAGAACTGATTTCGAAAATTACTTGTTGTAAAAATACAACAAAGTAAAATCTGCCTTAAAAGAATTAACAAATTCATGCTCTTTTATATGAAAATTTTTTGACTTTTTATTTGTGTATTGTAGTACTATTTTTATAATAATATGAACAAAAATAATTCTTCAGTTCTGAAAACTTTTTGAAAATTTTTAAGAATTTACACGAAGTTATTGGTAAGATTACCTAGTCATAAAGTCTTGAATCGCTTAACTTATAGATCCAGTGACTTTTGGAGGCACAAATAGTAAAGGTTCTGGCTGATTAAATATTTTAGTGTTGCTATCCAAGACTTCAGAGCAATCTAATTTGAGTGGAGGATTATCGCATATAAACGATGGAGAGTTTTTATAATTAGTTGTATTATTTTAGAAATCTGTATTTTTCTTTTTTATATTACTCTGAATAAATTAAATTTCCTTAAGTAATTCGGTATGATGAAATATTCTGGCTTGAGGTTAGCTTTGATCATTTAAGATAACTTATTGTCTGCTACAAAGGAGAAGGTGTTATTAATTATAAACAAAGTAAAAAATTGCGTTTTGATTAGTAAATTACTTTGAGGGTTTTATATAAATTGAACAGTCTATTTTATACTTTTTACTAAAATTAAATATAGGATTGAATGTTTTTGAATAAATTGATTATGTTTTCATTTCACCATATAATTTTTCAATAAAGATTTAATCATAATGGGTGAGTGAAGGAGCTTGAATTTCAACTAATTCTGAGTTAAATGAAATTGGATTAAATTGAATAAAATCTTTACTAAAAAGCATTTAAATTGAATGAGATTTCATTTATTAAAGAATGGTTTTGCAACTTAAATAATTGAAACTAATCAAATGATTTTATAGGAGTGGCAATTCAAAAATTCTAGGAGTTAATTATGAAATTGGTTTGATGATCGTAAAATAACCATCTTCTGAATAGGTTCCTAGCATAAATTGTAACTAAATTTTTTTTTCATCTTAATAAGAATCTTAAATCATATAAGCAAATGATAGCTTGATTTATTTGATTTGAGATTTGATCAATGGTTTAATAGATTTGTAAATTATATCAGTAGGTACATAGGAACATATATACTTTAATTATGAATTAAGAATAGTGACTTCAGACTATAATTCAAAGTTAGAAAAGTGGGATTGAGTGAATAAAAGATGGTTTTCTCTAATTTAGGTTTGGAACTGAGTAAAGAAATCGCTGTCTAATTAGGCAAAAAAAGCAGGGGAATCAGTATTATTGAACTCATTGAAGTCCTGATTCTCTGGTATTTCTGAGAATTACATTTCTAAGATGATAAAAGAACATTACTTTGATAATCACAGATGATAAGAGGATGTGAGAAAATCTTGAGTAATCCAAGAAATTAGTTCACTTTTTATTTACCATCTATAGTTAAATTCATTACTAATTAATATGAGTTGAAATATAAAATACATAGTATTAAATTTTAAATTTCAAAATGAATTACATTATAGGAATGTCAGTCACATAAAAACATTAAATATCAATTTAAGAAAATCTAGCTTATGCAGCAGGTTCAATAGTAGTATACTACTCATACAAAGAAAATTAACAAGAGAAATATTTAATTGGGAAAGCCTAAGTACATGCCATTTTAATATCAAGAGATGGTACACATGTGTTCACAGGAGAGCAAGCAACTAAGAATCCTGCAGTTAATATATTTAAGTTGACAGATGAACGCGAGATTAATATTAGTTAATAATTGAAGGGACATAAATTTGGAATAACTTAAATAGTGGAATCTCCTGTTAAACCTTACTTGGTGTCTTTAGGTTCTGAACCAGATAAAGGGTTATTTGTCTGGGATTGGAGCTAGGGTGTTAAATTAACAGTAAACAAACTATCAAAACCTGTTAATACAATCCGATTTAATGATAATGGAAGACTGCTTATTAGTGCAGGATAAGGACATTTGAAATATTGGTAATTTAAAAATGATGGAAGTATTATTGCATATGACAATATGATGGATCCGAAACCATTTATATTAAATGAGCAATTCATGCATAAAAACTTTATTGATATTCATGTTACTCAATATTCAGTCTTTGCATTAACATTTGATTCTTTAATAACTGTATTTTCTTTGCAAACTAAATAATTCGAAAAATGGATGGATCTTAAAGCTGCTAATTCTTATTCATTAACAAGTCATTCCAATTATCTAATTACCGGTTGTTCCGATGCAATAATAAGAATTTTTAATTTGAATATGTAACATATTGTGACACTTTCTAAACCTCCTAATCTTGGAAATTACAATATTGAGAAAGGAGTCACCAAACTGAAAGTATAAGGTGATCAATTTGCAGATTGTTTGGCTGTTCAAATCTATTAAAACTATTTAGTCGCTGCTTATAGTGATCGAACAATGTTTCTATGGGATATTGGTAATTTTGAAAAAATTGTAGTAAAACGCTCTTTTCTAAATCATAGTGCTAGTATAAATGATTTATAGATAATGACTTAATAATCATCAATCGAAGCCACATTTTTTGTCACAGCATCATCTGACCAAACTTTAAGAGTGTGGCATATTTATGATTCTTAACCTTTGGGATTAAGGAGAAATGCTTATTGTAAGTTTCTCTCGAAGATTATATATATTGGGGATCAATATCAGCATTTTAAAGCGAATCAATAAGCATAGTTATAAGTTAGATGTGTCAGAGTTTCTAAGGATGGAAACTATCTAGCATGTGGAGATTCTGCTGGGATTTTGAGAATATTCTCTACTTAAACTTTTACATTATTAAAGTAGATTTAAGCACATGATTAAGATATTATAACTCTGGATTTCTCAGAATATATTGATTTACTTGCTACTGGTTCAAGAGATCGTATCATTAATGTTTATGATGATCAATTCTAAAAAATTGGATCCCTTGAAGAGCATACTAGTTCAGTTACTTGTGTTAAATTTAGTAAAGATAAACTTATCAGTTGCGGATTAGATAAAGCCATCATTTTTAGAGAATTTAATGGATAAAAATTTAAGATATATCATCAAGAATAAATTTCTAAAATCTATTCAATGGAAGTTAGTTTCAATAATTTGTATATATGTTTAGAAAAAAAAATATCTATCTACGACATCCCCACAGGAAAATTGAAATAATCTTTTGAAACTGATGCAAATTCAAAAATTCTTCTCTACAGTAAGGATGATTAGAATTGTCTTCAAATTGCAACCTATTCTGATAAGAATATAAAAATTTATAACAATAAGTTTGAATTAATCTAAAAATTTTAGCATGATCAACTAACATCCATGGGATTTGCTATGGATAACAAACATTTCATTACTGCTGGTCATGAAGGTTGTATCATTATTTGGAAATTAAATAAAGTATTTAAAAAAAAATAATTGGGTTTGATAGGAAAAAAATTAAAGTAGGTCTTTGCTTAATAAGATCTAAAGAGTTCAAAAGAGTGGACTATCAATAGTTTATGGATTGAAGATGAATTGAGGGGCTTCTTAAACAATAATAAATAATAGTAATAATAATAATAATAACAACAAAGTTAAAAATAAGAAGAAGAATAAGTAGAATTATTTAAATTTGAATCAGATAATGAAACGGATCCAAAATCTACAAAATAAGTAGAAAATGCACTTTCTCCTTTAGGAAATTCATAATTCAATTATAAAGATTAAAAATTTGATAAGGAGGACATTAAAGCAATACAAAATCAATTATAAATAGTCCAGAATAACCTTAACAAAGTTAATGAAAAAAAATAAATAAAATATTAGGTTCACAAAAACCAAGAAACAATTTAAGAAGTTAATCAAGTTGAAGAATAAAGCCAATTAAATTTTTTTTATGAAAAATCACAATATTAGGAAACCGCAAGAAGTCAAAGTGTAGATAGCTAAGTATAAAAGAAAAGAACAAGAGATGAAATTAAATAAGATAAGCTAAAATAATTAAATAAAGCGCATGAAATTTAATAATAATAACAATAAACTTTAGTAACTCAAGAAAGTTAAATAAATATAACTCAAAGAGATACGATTTAATTGGAAACAAAGAGGATTGAATAAGAGACACAGATAATTAATAGTTAATTTAATTCTAATCTTAATTCTTATGCTGATTATCAAGCAATGTAAAATAAGTAATTTATTCCAACAGAAGCAAGTTTGTATCTTAATAATGTTACTTAATCAAAAGATCAGATAAAATAAATTTTAGGTCCCACATCAAAGGATTCTATAAACTTGAATAACTCTTATGCTTACGATTAACGCTATTAACAATAACCAATTGATCCTACATAATAATATGTAAAAATCTAAAATAAATCTAGATCTTTTAATAAACTAATTTGGCAAGATGTCATATTAGATAGATTCAAGTAGAATTATTAGATCTAACAAATTTATTAAATTAAATAAAAGATCAATAAGTTAAAGATAATGTATTGAGAGAAATAGATGATGACTTAAATAATTTATAAAAGTCAATATAATTAATCAGAAGATAAGAATAACAAGAACAATAGACCAATCGAATCATGGATCAATCCTAAGTCTAACTAAGTGAAGAGGATATAAGTATAAATTATTTGTGTAAATAATAGAAAAGATAGTGATTAATTGCAGCAAAGAAATATTTGAAAATTACTCAAAAGTATTGTTAGAATAAATCAAGGGAAAAAATATATGAGTTTTAATTAACAAAAATTTTCTTCAATAACAAAATACTTTCAAAATTTTATTTAATACTGTAGCTTTAACAGGTTGTGGAGGGTATCTTTCTCCATCTATACTTAAAGGACAATTTGTGATAGGTTCAAAAGTGTATTCTTTTACTTTTTCATATTTCCAATTACCTTTAGGTCTTACATTTCCTTATTCATCAATTTCAACATGACTACCATCATATTGCTTTAACGACAACTTGACTAATTGTGACCAATCTCCAGCTTCAAGATATTATACATCAATAAATCCATCATCAATTTTAGCAGCAGGTGCTGATAAATAATTATCACTTATATAAGGTATCTTTTAAGCTAAAAAATATCTAAACATCATTTATTGATTATTGTATTTTGCTGAATATTTCTTTTAAAATAAAGCCCTCCAAGTACCATAAATATCAAATCGAGCTCCTCCTAAGAATCTAAGTGATTCGGATCCTAAATCAACTTCAGAAATGAATGCATATGCCAAAGAAAGAAATGAAACTACTTTCTTTTAAGGCATTTCTAATAAAATTAGATCCATTTATCTTGTGATTCCTTTTGCAATTAAAAGTGCACAACTCTCAGAATTGCATTCTAATTATGATTATTTTGTTAATGTTTTGGCAAATGCATTTCCACTCCCACCTGGTAGTACTCCTATGGTAATGGATTAGAATATTTTTTCCCAATCTTATCTAGCATATAAAGCATTTATAGCTTCATGAGGTAATCCATCACCTGATACAAGTACAATTCCATATATATTTGAGAGGTCTTCTTTCAATAAATAATCAAAACAATGATTTTGATATTATGTCATAATAACTTGATATTTTACGTTGAATTTATCAAGAATTGGTTTTGCTTTATTCCATTCTTTTACAGCATGTCCTTTCCCACTCGCTGGATTGACAAAAACCAATAATTATTTTGGGATATCCATATTTTAAGTTTATAATATAATTTTATCAATATTTCTCTACTAATTAATCATTTTCCCACATGCCTTATATTTTTTCCTTTATTCTATAAAGAGTTCCAATCCCATTTTTTTTATTATTTTAAAAATTTCCCACAAAATATGAATCGGCATCATAATATTCAATACCTGCACCATGTTTTAACCCGTCTTTAAATTATCCTTAATATGATAATTTGCCATCTAAATAATATTTTCCAAATCCATTATAAACATTTTGAAGCCATTCTCCTTCATATTCAAGTTCATTTGTAAAATATGAACCAACTCCCTCCCTCTGATTGCCATTCATTTAACCTACATAACGATAATTTGATCCACGAATAGTAATGGGAGTATCGGATCGAAGTCTTGATTAAGCTTGCGAAGAGGAATTTAGATTTTAAGTTTTGGATTAGATAAGTCTGTAATCAAATTCTCTAGACAATAATAGAGAAATGATAAAACCTTTTGGGATGCTTTTAAGGGGATTGTTAGGAAATATTTCTATTAACATTTTTAACAGGGAAAGTGGTTGAGGGTATTGATCGATCTTTGGAGATATATATTAGCTTTTACAATCAATATTATTAGCGTAAGGGATAGTATTCATGGGAGATCAATAAAATTTATATGTAATTATATACTATGAAATCAATTTTATTGATGAGTTTACATGCCAGCAATGTCTTTGATTTTTTTCATGATTTGAGGATCGGTATCATTATCCCATTAAGCCAACTATATTCTTTCTTACATTTTATCAAGTGTATCCTTAGAATTTGAATTAAAATTATACTTTAAGCATTCTGGCAAATTCAGCTGACATTTCTTCAATTTTACGTTTCAATTCACTGATTTCATCATCCTTTTTTTTTAACCTATACTCATAATCCTTAACCATATCTTAGATATATTGTTCTTTATTCTCTAAATAAATGAGTTTAATGATTTACTTATAATTTCTTCTTTTTCAACATCTGTAGATCTTAAATCTGTAATTTATTTTAGTAATTCTTCCTACATTTATTTATATTACCTTGTCATATCAGATCTAAAAATAATCAGAGAACAATAATACACAATGCAAAATAGTTTATCTTTTTCTTTCTTAAGATCATTTTCCATTTCCATCACTCTAGCTCTTATTTCATTTTCAGCTGCTTTAGCTTTGTCTCCTCTTTCTTGTTCCTCAACTAAATTTAAATTTATAAGTTCTACCAAATCTAGTTTAGAGAGCTCTACATTTATGTTCCAAAACCATAACTTTTTCCTCTTCTTCTCTCTCTCCATCATCACCTCCCTTCTTTTTGTTTCCCTTTTTTGACATATTATTATTATTTATTAATAAATCTCATATAATTTTTATTATAACTGTTTCATGATCAATTGAATAATACTCGTTTTATTATTTATTATGCATTGTCAACCTAAATCTGCTCAAATCATAAACTCCTTTCTCAGTAAACACTCCTTCCAAATTCAAAATTTTCATTTCCTAAGGTTTCAATGTAATTTGATGTTGCAAAATACCTTCCCATAAGAAGAATGGCTATTAAATGTCATTAATTGACCTTATTAATAATATTATTGTACTTCAAAGGTTCATCCCCATTAAACAATGTCACTGTAAAACTTATTGGCTCAACATATTTTGTATTTTTAAAGCTTATCTTAATAGGAACCATTGTTATCATATTCTACTATTAAACTTCAAATGGAGCAGATATTTAAAAAGACATTGGAAATTCCTTAACATCCCTGTGTAAATAATTTTATTGTAGAACTGGTAATTCATGTAATCCATAAATTATTTCATCCTCATATCTATAAGTCCATCTAGCTATTATAAAAAGAGGGAATTCTTCCATTCTCTAATTAGACAATTTCTGATAGAAAACATTGAAATAATGCTGTATATCCAAATTCACAAAGTCTAATGCAACATCTCCAGGAATTCCTTAATCATCCAAAACAATCTCATTAAAATTATCACCTTCCCTATAAAACCGTTCTTTCAATCTATTTTGATATTCCTCATATCTATAATCCTTTGTCTATATTTTCTTTAACTTAAATGTTGTCAATAAAAATGGATCTCCACTTGATTGATAAGGAATATCAAAGTATTTCCAATTCTCATTCAAGCAAAGAATCCTATCGAATCTAAGATTCCCCTTCCCTCCAAAATAATCTTAAACTTATAAAGTAAATTTCCAATAATCCACTATTAGATCTGACTACAATGATATTTTGAAACTTGGATCCACTTTCATTGGAATCTCTAATTTTTATATTCTTATTCCACCACTCTAACCTTATTAATACTTAAATAATAATTATCCTACAAACTCCTCCTAAAAGCTGCATCTCAAATAAAATTGATATTCCAAAACTTAAAAAGCACTTAAAATTATCTTCTTATTTTCAAAACCAAAATGATATGGAATAATTGGAGTTATGTGAATTACAATCTCCTCAGGATTCTTGTTTGTAAATTTAAATAGAATTGGTCTTATTTCACCATAAGCTATCACCGGTTTTGTATAATACTCTATATCTATTGGAATAAATTTAGGAAACACTTTAAACTTGTTGTAGAAATTTACACTCTTCTTTTTTGACTAATCTTTTGCATCATAATTAATTAACAATTATGCAGGAATATTTATGAAATTCCATTACAAACCTGTTATTATTAAATATCCTGCTTATGGAGGTGTTATAGAAACCTCTATGTATTCTTGAACTGCTCTCTAAAAAGGAATATCTTTCACTTCTAAACTTGTTATATTCGTTAGTACATATTCTTTCTCATTATTTATATCCAAATCCAAAAGATTCTCTTTTAATGTGTAAAATTGATACATAACTTATAAACCATTAATATAACTAGGTACTTTCAAAGGTAAATTTATGAAAAACCTTAAAGTTATTGTATCTTCAGCAAAACACTGTCTTCCAAACTTATTAATCTTTTCGATTATGTCTGATATTTTTTCAAGATTCATTATACAAGGAGTTTTATTGAAACATGCAATTCTTTCTTCCAAATAGAGAGAGTCAAAACTTCTGATAGAAGCATCTTCAAAAAATGATTCATTTTTTGAAACTGTATTCCATAAATTCTTAAATTTTTGTTTGATATTAGTAAGAACTATAGAATCAAGTACATCTTATCCATGGCTTAACATATCTACAGGTCCTTTTATATATGGAATTTTTAAATTAGTATTGGATTAGGTAAAATATTTTTTTCTGTGATCTTACAATTATTCGATAGATGTATATGCTTTTTTCCAATCAACAACTAATTGATTATGTAATTCTATTGGCTATCTTTCATTTAATTGATTGAATGCCAATTTAAATGAATCAATAGCTTCTTGAATTTTCTTATTCTCCAAACAATTAGCTCCGATATGTCCTTCCAACCAAAATAATAATGGAACCCATTTAGATTGCTAATACAATTGTTCAACTATTTTAAAACATCTTAATGCATGTTTTTTAAAATTTTCAGATTCATATTTATTAGCAACTAAAGTTAAGTTATGAGCAAACTTTCTAAATTCTGGAGGATCTAATCTTAAATGAATAAATGCAATTTATTCGTAAACTAAAATTTAATAGACTACGAAATAATCCTTTTTTGTATTACTTCCTAAATCTTTAAAATAACGGTGAAATCTCTAAAGAAAAAGGATCTATTCTCTATTATATTTTCCAAACATATGAATTGTTATGATATAAAAAAACATTACTCTTAACATATATGGGAAATGAACTATTTTATGATATCCAACCTAGATTTCATCAAAAATATTCTTAATATTATCTATTTTCTATTAAGCTAATAAGCGAGAATACAAATAATATTCAGTTGCATTCAAAGTAGCAATAGTGGTGTTTGTTTTATTATTTTTAAGTTCCGATATTAATCCTTTATAATAAGTAGCAGCACTTTCATAATCATTCATTAAATAATGATTATCCCCCAAAAACCTTAATAGTTACTCTCTTTGAGTCATCTTATATTCAGTTTCAGTAGGTTATCCAGTTCTTGTAGTAAAAATGTTTGTAAAAAAAGTATCAAATGTTTTCTACTTCATTTCTAAATATTGTTATGTCTATAAATTAATTTATCTCTCTAACATCACAACTGCTGATTATAACACGACTTCTTCAATTATTTATCTATATATTTTAGTCCATTATTCATCTAATATTCCTAAAGGATTCTTAGGAACTTCTCCATCATAATTATATCTCTGATATGCAAATCTGGACCAATGAGTTTACTCTATTGGATTTGGTAGATTATACTTCAAAGCATAAGCTCTGAATTTACCAAATTCTCTGTTAATCAAATCTAACGATTCATATTGTACTACCTCCTAAGCATCATTCAATATTATTATGACTTTACTCACCATATCTAAATCGCTTTGATTATTTTTAAAAATTATCTTTATCAAATTATTTGAATCATTTCTTATTTTGTGGATCTCATTTATTAAATTTTTCTCTTATCCACTTACTACATAAAATAATATAATTGGATGATCTAAAAAATTATAATGATATTAGTATCCTAAGCAATCTCCTATTACTTATTACAATTACTAAAATCCAGCCATTTTATTTTATTCACAAATTTGATCTAATACTTGTTTACTACAATTTCTTGAAATTTAAACTTGATCCACAAATTAAGCATCTTCCAACAATAAACGTGAATATTTATCTAACTTCACATTACCAATCTAATCATATTCTTTTAAATCTAATAATTTTATATTAAGCTCTTTTTCTTTCTCTCTTAATCCCAATTTCAATTTTTACAATTTTCTAGGTAAAAATGGTCTCAAAAATTCAGCAGGAGTTATTTGATATCTACTTAGAAGAACGGCCTGAATGAAATCAGAAGAAATGACCATACCCTTATATTAATGACATGCTTGATTAAAGAGTTCTAGTTATGTAATATTCATTTTTAATTAATTATGTTTTGTGTATCATTAGCTCTCTTTGGAACTGCTTTTTTGGGTTTTCTTGGATACTTGATTCAAATTTAAATGCCATTTCTTAAGTTCAAAATGATTGATCGAGAAACTACCCAAAATGCTTTATATACATCAAGCATTGTAAAATTAACTGCTTAATTTAGATCTATTTTGTACTATTTCTTATTATTCTATTGTACGATTGCTGCAAAACAAAACAATATCCACAATATAAAGTTTATCAATAATGGAAATACGAGATACATGAATGATTATTAAAAATAATTATTTATTATGAGTGATTAATAACAACTTAAATAAGAAGTGCTAAGCAATGAAGTCTATAAAACATGCTTCAAAATTCTTCCAGTCAATGCATCTTAGGAAGAGTTTAAGAAATGTATGGGAAATTATATTCAATCTTACGAAATCATTTAATAAGCCTTTGAATAGTTTTTTAAGAAACCCAAGTTTCCCTAATAATAATAATGAGTTTAAATTATATCTATAAAAACATTAAATATATTATAATTTTAATTATCATGCTGACTTATATTCTTTAAACAAATCGATCAAAGAACCAAAGTTATATCTCACAACTTGATGCAATATTTATTCATCATTTTGGCTATGCTTTTATTTCAATTTCATTATGCATTCCTATGAAAATTACATTTATTTCTTAATCTTATTTAGTAATAAAGTCTTCTTCATTGACTACATTTATATCAATAAAATACCTATTATTATTTCTTTTTTTTTGGATCCAACTGTTAAAACTTAACTTAAAACATTTCTCTAATAATGTTCTTCTTCTTTTAATATTACTTCTTTATTTTCTTTGTATTCTCAATGATATGAGCATATTTATTGCAACTTTCTACAGAGTCATTAGAAATAAATTAATCAGAATCCATGTGATTTAAATTAGTGCATCTGCTGCAAATGCATTATTTACACTTAATAGGGCAATTCCAATCTGGTCTGAGCAATATTTTAATTGGATTAATCTATTATATTGATATATTTGCTTATTACCTTAAATTTGAACATCAAACAATCAAAACAAAATCCATGTCTACAATCTGTAGATTTGTAATTGCTAAAACAATAATAACATGTTTTGCCATTCTTATTACAATAATGACAAAACCCTTATTTTGTAATAGATCCTATTTAATCTTTAATTTATTGTTCTGTTAAAATCTTCATGCTTGTTTTCTGTGTTTCCATTTATTATTACATGATTTAATTAGGTTACTATTTAACTACTTATGGTTTCTATTGTTTGACTTCCTATTCTTTTGTTTTAGGCTAATTGCATTTAATTCTTTGTTATTATTATTGTTATTATCCAATATTATATTAATACATAGCAGGATTTTAGGGATTCATATAATAAAATTAAGGAGGAGCTTGTATTTGTTATGGAAATACATAATTTGGGGGTGGGTGAGGATACATATATTATTAAGGATACATATAACCTTATGAATTGTACATAAAGTTGTTTTAAGTATGCATTTATATATTCTTATTAAATTATTTATATTTTATTGAATATAATTAATTATTATTTAAATTTTTTATCTACACAAAAATCAACATAAAAATTAATAAACTTCATTCTTTTAATCTTTAATAAACTTTTCATGTTATTTAATAAAAATCGTGAAAATTTCGCTTTAATTTTCTTACTTTACATCATCCTTATCATCTATTTCTATATCATCTTAATTAAAAGGAATCTAATTTTAGTAAATTCTCTTATAATCTATCGAATCATCGTTATCTCCATCTGAATAATATTCTTCCTCATATTCCTCTTATAATGAAGTATCTTCATCTAAACTATCATAATCATCATAATCAGTTCTTTAAGAATTCTCACTATCAAAACTCTTCTCAGTTTCATTCTCAAATTATTATTCTTCAATCTACCTTTCAATTTATTTAGTATCAATTTTCATAGTTATTTATGACTTCACATTCTCCTTTTCTAATTTTTGTATTATATAATAGTCCTCTTCATATTCATAATATGTTTTCTCATCTACACTTATTAACTAATTCTTATTCTATTCTAATTATATTATTATCTAAAATAACTAGCTATAAATTATTACTTTTTTTCTATTTTCTGATAATAATTTATTTCTAAAGTCTGTTCTGAATTTTGTAACAAAGCTGTCTCTTTTAAACTCTATTAAACTTTTTTCAACTGTCTCTTTAAAATCAAAATTTATGTTTTGATTTATATCTTACAATGATATTCTTTGTAACCCCACACTAATTTAAGAGTTAACATTTTTTTACATTTTTTCTTTCTTTTCATTTAATGAAAGATTTTCAACTAGTTCATCTAAATTCAACCTTTTTTACTTACGAGAATACAAAAATTTTATCATTTCTTCTTCATTAGAAAAAACTATTAATCATCATTTTATTAAATATACATATATTATCAAAAGCTTATTCATTAAGTCTTCTTTTTATGTTGAAGATTAATTAAGGTTTATTTTAAATCTAGACCTTTTTTTTATTCTTTGCAATAATCTCCTTTCTCTTAATCATACCAAAATTTGACTTTATTTTATTAAACAAAATTCATTTAACAAATCTGTTATATAAATTTTACACTAAAAATTGTCACAATTTATTTTTCCTATTTCTTAATTTTACAATTTTCATAGATTCTACAATTTTATAAAATGATTAATATTGTGTATCTTCTGAAATTTTAATTTAATATAATTTATTCCTTCTAATAATTATATCATTACTTTTCTAGAATTATTTTTAGTATTTAATTACATTTTAAATTCCATTTAATTCATTAAATTAAATTTTATGTATAGGCATAAAGAGTTTGTGGATGATTAAATATCGTCATACAATAGTATATGCCTTAGAGGAAATTTTAGAGTATAATTAGCTGATGCTCAATTTTATTGAGTATTTGTTGACAACTCTTGAATAAATATTATCGAAATTATTTATAGCTAATAAACTCTTTAAATTTCATCATTTAATGCACTTTAGCTAAAAGTATAAAAGAGATAAAAGAAGATGTTTTCATTTTTGAAATTTGCAACACTCTTTTACATAAATTGAATAACATTAATTTTTTTTTGATAGCCATTTCTAATTGATTAAAAGTATTAAATTATCTTTGAAATTTAAATGCTATCCTAAAGAAATACCCAGAATCATTCGACATTAGTTATGTTTATATATGATAACCAAATGTAATTAAATTCTGGAATAAATTTATAAATATCTGAATTTATGCGTAGAATACAAATACAAAAATGTTTGAATTTCTCAAGTATTCAGATTAAATAAAATTTAAAATTCATAGAGCAAGCAATGAAATGATAATCTAAATTGCTGCAAATTTTATAACAATTATTTAAATAACATATTTTCTTATTTATAAAAACCTGTAATAAATATGCCATCAATATACTTGGAGGTTGAATCTTTAATTGATCAACTTAATGCAGATGGCAAAAGTAAATTAAGAAATATTAGCAGATTTGATTTAATATCAATTTCTGTCAGTCATTCTTATACAAATTATATAATATAAATATTTTTATTTAAAATTAATTTGATGAAAGCATCTGAACCATTAAAATGCCCAATTCATAACAAACCTCTAGCTTAAATCTGTATAGATGAAAAATGTGAGCAATAACCTTATTTATGCGTGGATTGTCTTTAAACTCATTAATGTCCTCGTTATGATATATAAAATGGAATTGAAGAATTTGCTAAAAAATTGAATGTTAATTTAAGTTAATTTGAAAAGATGTCATGTCAATTCAAAACCTTAGATACTGAATAATTTGTATCATTTATAAAAATTTAAAAGTAAAGTGTTGGTGAAAAAATGTAATAAATAAAATAATAATTAATGCAAAAATGTGATTTTTTAGAAAAAAAACTTTAAGAATAATTGGATGAATAAGTAATAATTTATAATAAAAATATACAACAATTTAAATAACAATTAAAAGAAACAGAAAAATTTTCATAACTTTAAAAATAATCAGATTTATCAAAACTCAATTTAATTTTAGGTGTAAAATTACTTAATCATAATGATCCAATAAATGCAATGAAAAAATTTAAAATTCAATTGTAGAATTATACAACATTTTTTAGTAGTGGTAAAATTAGATAATTATAAGAGTAATTGATTGTTTTGTAAAGTTAAACAACTCATCCACCAACATTCAAAAGTTAAGAATTCTAAAAATATGAATACAATCAATTAATTAATTGTTTTGATTAATATTTATAGAATATTGAGTTAAATATCAAAACATTCATAAGATCATTTCCAATTACAGATTTTGATTAAAAAAATGTTTAAATAAAACAAAGTAAAAAAGAATAGAAATTAATTGAAGAGGAATAATGTATTACTAGTTTTGTAATTGTATAAAATAATTTGATTTATGCATTAAATGATATGACAATAAAATTAAGAGGTTAATAATTTAATTAAGTTGAAACAATTCAATGTGAAACTTAGATAAATTGTATAATTGAGATTAATTGTGAAATAAAAGTGGAGGCATAATAAAGTTTAGTGAATAAATCATAATATTTAGATTTTAATAAACCTACTTAATTAGCTTTGGGAGGAGATGATTTTACTTTGATATGGAATTGTTCATAATCAAATATTCACTAAATAAGAAAACTTAAACATTAAAGAATGAGTAAGGTTTTTTGTTTATTAAGTTTTGATAATTTATTATTAGTTGGGGATCTGGATGGTCAAATATTAGGTTATGATTTAAATATATAGAATCCACTTTATATTGTTGATACATCATCTACTATTCTGTTTTCACTTGTTAAATCATCTAAATTTGTAGTATCAGCTTCAAAATGCGATTATGAATAAGGTGGAGTAATATTTTGGAATTATAGTAAAACTGATTTGTATCAAAATAAAAGAATAAAGATTTATTCAGTATAGAAAATGACTTAATCAAATGACCTCTTATATGTGGTTGATATAAAATATAAGATGCATATTTATGATTGCAAAACTATAGAACTTATAAAAACATTTATTTGCAGTGAAAGTTTTGTAAATGAGATAGCAATAGACAATTAGTAAATTTTGTATGTTTTGAATCAAACAGGCTTAAAATCAATATCAGATAATAATTAATGGAATCATCAAAGTTTTGAAGACTTTCCTTGTCTCTAATGTAGATAATATTACTAAAGTAATCGTTTATTTATTAGTTAAAATTTAACTGCTTTTGTGAGACATCTACATTAATGTAAACATGAATAAGGTGAAAATGATTAATGTTCAATGAAAACAATATTGTATTTATTGTTTTGAATTTCATATCAAATATATTATTTTAATAATATGCACCATTTAGTATTAATATTAAATGTTTTCATATCTTAAATTATGTTTTAATATAATAATAAATAATATTAATAATACTTAATGTCTCATGTATTAGAAGATTTAAGAAGAGTTTTCCCTAAAAAGTCTTTATTACTTTAGACCTATATGTTAGGATGTTTCTACTTGATACATTAACAATTGAATGTTGATGAAAAGAAAAAAGAAAAGCAATATATGCCAATATGGAGATCAAAACTGATTGAAAATCAACATCAAAGACATTTGAAATAATTTTAACTGAAAATCTTGATTGATTAACAAATACCACTCAAACCTCAATAAACAAAGTTATCTGGTTTGATGGAATTCAGTAATAGATGGTCATTTATATTTTAGGAACACCATAGTTTGTTGGATTTCAAAATATGAATCAATCAAACTAAACCTTATAAGTGGTATTAATTAACTGATCCCTTAGCACTCTCTATAAATTGACTCAAAGCATATTTAGAATTTCAGTTTGGATGACTTATCAACTATACAAAGTGAATTTATCCCTGATTTGTAAGTTGATCTTCAAGTAAAAAAATCTGTCGATATGACATAAAGTTGCATCTTTTGAATTTCATTTTTTTTTACTTCTCCTTTTTTTAATTTAATCTTATATATATATAAAGAAATATATATATTTTAAATTGTCTCTATAATCAGTTATTTATTTAAAAATGTCTTAAAAATCAAAAACATTATTGCAATTACTTCAGCAACAATAACATTTTCATGATGATATTAACACATCCTTAGAGTCTAATTACAGACATAGTTCAGAACATACTGAAAAGAAGTTTGATCTTAAATTACAAAAATCAATACTTGATCTCTATTCTCAAATTAAAAGTAATATTCTCAAAACTGAAGATCATGTACAAAATCTAATCCAAAATAGTTACTACTCTGTTAAATCAGAAAATTGGTTCCTTTAGATAAACCAGAAGATCTTTATACAGATCCAAATAGTTTAATTTGTTATATTGGATGTATATTCACAGTTCTTATGCAAGATAAAGTATTTTTTAAATCTGAATAGTTAAATTTAGAATAATAAGTAGAAGAACAAAAAAATAGAGATTAAAGTGATTATGAAGAACAATTAATTAAATTAGAAGCTGAAATTCGATAACACATAAGAGTATTTTTATAAATTAAATTAGATTGAATAATAATTGAAATTATTTGCAGAAAATACTCAATCAAAATTAGAAGATGCATTAAAAATTAAAGAAGAATTAGAGGAAGAATTATAAGCAATTAAAAGTGATTTTCAAGTATTATATGATAAAAATAATACTTTAAATTAAAAGTTAAGAACTCAAGAGAAAGAAATTTAGATTATCAAAAATAGTAGTACAATTGAGATTAATAATCAACCGCTTAAATCAAACTAAAATATTCTAAAAGTATTTTCTAAAAAGGAGAATATCGAAAATGAACCTCCAAAATAATAATCAATAACTTTCAATTTATAAGTAGATAAGTAAAAACCACCTCTTTAAGACTTTGTATTATTTATTATTTATTTTTCATTTAGCAGTAGTAAGACAGACTATAAACTGATCCATAGGATGATTATTTTAAACCTAAAAATGATTCTCATAAAAGAATGATTTCAACTCATATAGCAAATAATTAAAATAACAAATCAAATTATTTGGCTACTAGAACATAAACAGAATCATGTGAATATTAAGAGAGAAAAAGAAAACATAATGTATCTCATTATGAAACATCAAATGTTACAAAACATTAAAGAAATAAGACTGCTTAAAATGTATTAAATTTGATAAGTATTAAACATTTTCATATTAGAAGATCAAGAACTTAAGCGTCAATAATCAGTAAAAGCATGTTAAGACAAAAATCAAATTAATTAAAATAAAGCAACAAAAAAATCATCAACTTCTCAACATGCAGAACCTAATAGGTCAAACAATTCTGTTCATAGTTTTCGTAAATAACCACCTGAAGTTAGTTAGATTCCTCGACCTTTTTCTTGTGCTGAATAAATTGAAGAATCACATAATTCTGTAACTTAAATTCATAAAATATATTTTTAGTTTCACAAAGATTTAAGCATGGATATGGGTAATTATTAAAAACAAAGTGGAGATTACTCAGATAATTAATAATAAATAAAAAAACTATTATAATAATATCAATAAAAACATTCTCTTAATGACACTTTAACTAAAAAATTACTTTAAGAATATAAAAAAAGATAAGGTTTCAATTGCAAGACAATTTATTGATAATTAATTAATTTTTATTCATTTATTTATTGCATTAAAATTTTATAAATTTTACTAATATTATTATATAAATTTTAGTTTATAGTAATTATTTTCTATTTTTTATAACAATCTCTAAAAAAAATGCAGGAAAATATTTTTGATGAAATAAAAAAGGAACTAAATTATTGTAAATATATGAATTATGCTCATATAATAATGTCTTTTTTTGGATTTTTGGGTTACATGGCTAGAAAGGTAATTTGTATTAAATTTAGCTTGATTTAAGATTTTCTTTATCTTATTGATTAATGTCATCTCCATTTTATTATCTATTTTAGGTTATTATGCAATTGAAGAAATAAATAAATAGAAAATAATTATTTATGCAGTTTGTACAAGTTCACTTTTTGGGATGGTTTTATTATATGAAATAATTGCAGATTTATTTTCAGACTCATATGTATCGAATAAAATAAATTTAGGAAACTGAAGCGCCTCCATAAGCATTTGTATTTCTAGTTATAACTTTGCCTTTTCTAATAGATCTAACAAGTGGATTGATGTCTTTAAAATTATGTTATACATTCTCAAAATATGACGACTTAGAATTTAAAAGAAAATACAATGTACTTATTAATTAATCTAGTAAATCCTAATTGTGTAAAAAGGACCAGAAATAAATTATAAAGAATCTTATTTAGTTGATGAGATGTGTGCTATTTGTTTGAATGAAAAAAGGAGCATTATTTTCTATCGTTGTGGACATAAAGTTTGTTGTAAGAAATGTTCAGAAGCTTTAAAACATAAAAATTGTCCAATATGCAGAGCAGAAATTTAAGATTGTATTTAAGAATATGATGCTTGATGATATTTCTAATGAAAAAAATCATAATGACTCTAATCTTATAACTGTATTTCCTTTTAAAATTCTTTAAGATGTTTTGCCTTGTCAAATTTATCGAATTCTAGAAATTAAGAAGCTACCAGCAGATTAACTTACATTTCCATTATTTTTTTGTAATTCATTTTTGCTTAAATCTCTAAAATAATAATTATAATCAATCTTACTAGGTAGATTATATTCAGAGTCTATGTCAATTTGTATATTCCAACTAATTTTTTAATTCTAAATTCTTGAAATAAATATTCTTAATGCGGAAGTTTGATGAAAATGTTACTTCAAGTATTTATTGATATACTATTATTAAGATATATGATCCACTAAATAATAAACATGTATCTTTATGAGAAATCTATGTTTTTCTTTGCTTAGATGAATAATGTTCAAAACATAATCATAGTATCAAAAGTTTTCAGAATGCAATCAACATATAAGCCTTAGCTTTTGTAATATAAAAACAAAGACTAATTAACTTTCACCATAGAGTAAATCTTTTATGATTGACACTGATTTTATTGATGCCAAGAAAAACAACAATGAACTTTAGGTAGCAGAAGAACTATTACCTACTAATTTAGAAGATGAAGACAAAGATGTTGATTTAAAGAATGTAAAATTTGATAATTAGGATAAAATCTATGAGAGCTATTTAAAGAACACTGAAGAAAAAGAGGATATTGAAGACATAGACGAATTAGAAAAAAGAGATTGACAAAATAATATTGATAGTTGGTTTCTCATTTATTAACAGTATTAACAAAAACAATGATTAGCTTTTTGACCTAATATCAGAATCATGTTGTTAGATATTGCTTTGATTCACTGAGTAAACCATCATGATTTTGAGATAACAATAGCCATAAGTTGATTTGAAATGTCAATATTGCAAAAAGAACAAGATTTTCGAATTTCAAATTAATAACTCAATTCTCACATACTTTCCAGAATTGTATAACTTAGAATGGGGGGCATTGTATATTTACAGTTGTCCTTCAACTTGTTCTGTAGGAGTTTAAATTTTAATAGAAGAAATTGTATATGCTAATTCAGATGAATAAGAATTTATTAGTCCTAACTTTAGGGTAGATTCAAATACAAAATTAGTCACAATTAAATAAGACTCAAACAAATAAAATAAATAGAAGTAATAAATTTAGTAACAGTAGTAAATCCAATAAAAAATTGATGAAAAAGATGAGAAAGATGATTGGTGACTAAATTCTTTATATACAATCTATTTAATTATTTATTTAATAAATTATATCAATTTTGATAAATATTGTACATAAACTATAATTATAATTATTTAATCAAAGTTTAAAGAGATAAACTAATAATTCAGAATCCAAAAATGAATGATTAAATTCTTTAAAGAATTATAAATTTAATTAGTAAATTATAACATTCATCTATTGCTTTCCTGCTTTGTTTATATATTAATGGGATTTATAATTTAAGATTTTTAAATAAATGAAAATTGAATTAATGAAAACTACAATAGTTTATATATAATTGAATGTAAAAAGATGAATTCTGAGATGAGAGGGATATAAAGAGTTTAATAGTAAAAAAAAGGTTGATGAATACAAAATATAATTTAATAATTTTTATATTGATTAATAATATGCAGATTAGGAAATCGAATAAAGTTGTAGTAAATAGAATTGAGAAAGTAAATTCTGAATTATTGACATTGACTTATGGTGCGATAGTTTCACAAATAATAAAAGATAGTGATACTGTTATTGAGGCAAATGAGCAATTAGAAAAGATGGGTTTTAATATTGGATAAAGAATAATAGATGAATATCTTTCAAAAGCAGAAATAAAGTAATGTAGAGATAAGAATGATGTTGCAGAGAATATTGGAAAGGTTTTTAGTTATTATTAAGATAGGGAGCTATGTAAATGTTTCTTGGAGTAACAGCAGAAGTGGAAGTCTTACCTGAGACTGATAAAATATTCACTTTTAATTTGCATTTCACAGAGAATCCTTTAAATGATTTTGTAGAATTGCCAGAACATTTATAAGGATTGAATTATTCGAATATGATTGCAGGAGCAATAAGAGGAGCTCTTTCAACAGTAATTGATAAATTTGATTTAGATACATTGGATAGCAACTTGTAGGTTTTTGAAAGATCAATTGAAAAATGATGATAAAACTATATTATAGGTTGAAATGATTAGAGAAAAGTTCAAAGATGATGAATGATTAATATATATTTTAATTTATGTCAACATATAGGGGAACATTTGAACACGATTCCTTTTTAGGATGGTTGAACCTATTCAAGATTAGAAGATTACAGGTACTCTATAATGTTGGTGAAAGACCACCATATCCAGTAATAATTAGTAAACCTACAGTTGGTGAAGTAAATTTATATCTAATATTAAAAAGGTATTAAAGAATTTGAATAAGGCAGATTTTGGTCTGTTCGCAACAGTGACAGTTTTAGGTTTCTTTGCAAGTAGAAGAGCAACTTTGGGATTAACAACTACTGAATATATGAGATAAAGAGGATTTTCAATAGCTTGGAATTCATTTATGATGGCAGGAGTTCTATTTGCTTGCATGAATAGTAATAATAGATTGACTGTATATTTATATTAATTATTTAGGGCTTTGTGGACAATGGATTGTAATGGAGAAGAAAAGAATAAAGATTAGTCAAATATGATTTCACATCAGAATTCGAAGAAGGGACTATCTGGAAATTCTTCAGATTAAGATGAAATAAAATCATATATCAAATGCATATATTTTCATTATTATTTTATAGATATCAATATTATAATTCAATATAAAGATGTAATTCATTAAAAATTTTAATTATTGATTTAATGCAATAACAATAATAACAAGAGATGTTGAAGAATTTGACTAATTAACAAGTTGTGCAATACAACAAATTGAGACAAGATTATGCTGAAATATTTAGAGTTTATCTAGATATTGAGGATGAAAGGAAAGAACATACATTAGTTTTGGATGCAGTAAAAAATATAGATCCAAAGAGAAGGTGAAATATTCAACATATTTTAGATGTTGGAGATTGATTGGAGGAGTTCTTGTTGAAAGATAGTTGGAAGATGTATTGAAATCATTAAAAGAAAGTTTAGAATTACTTGAAAAGACTGGATAAAATTACAACACTGCTATGAAATAGAAGTATGCAAATAATATTTGAGATTATTTTAGAGAAAAGGAATTGCTTGAGTTCGAATTAACTCATAATTTGAGACCCTAATAAAATTAACAATAACAATAATAATCTGTGGGATCATCCAAAACTTAAGGAGTTTTAACTTGAACCATTAAAATATTTTATATTCACCATAACCAAAAGTAATATTTATATCAATTAATAAATAATCATTAATTATATTCAGCTCTTTTCTTAATTATTTAATCAGCCATCTTACCTATTCAAAAGCTTCCATTGCTATTTATAATCCTTTATTACATTTGAATTCCTAACTAATAGAGTATTTGAAATTAGATTATTAAAAATAAGCTTCTTTTATTTAAATCAAAACTTTACCTTTTTGAATTTACATCAATTCTTAATAAAAACTTTATTTTACACTTTAAAAACATCTTTAATCTTTTTTTTTTATTTGATATTAACCAATTTGCAATATCTTTTTCTTTTGAAATCTTATCAATTGACTCATCACCTCTTGTTTGTATAAAAAGGAAAAATACTTTGCAAACTAATAATAATAATAAAATTAAAATCCTACTTTTTCTGCAATAAAAGGTATTAACCATGTAAATAAATCCATAAATTTTGGTAACAAATAAGTATGTGAACATTAAATGTATTTTTATATCTTCAAATAGTTATTATGTATCTTACTAAGCATAAAATGGTTCAAGAAAAATCAATTTGAAGCAAATACAGTAAAATGCCAAATTCATTTGAAAAATGCTCATAATCACTCACAAAAACTTATTTTAGGATTAGAACCTACATCTAAAATTTTGAGAAAATCAGAAATTTTATAATCGGTCAATTCAAAAAAATTGAATACATCTCTTCAACTACTGTCAAAAAATCTTTAAGATGTAATAAACTGCCTTCATTCTCTCAAATAATAATAACAATATTTACTAAATATTTTTGTTGTTCATGCTTTCAATTTTTAAAATTTCTTTTTTTGCAATTCTACCTTATTTTTCTAAATTTCTTTTAAAATATCAAATCAGGTTTGTCTTTGATTCTATATTATTTATACATTTATTTTTGTAGTGAATATAAAATCATCATCTTAAGGAAGATGGGGGAGTTATAGAGCTTATTTTGTCATTCCATCCAAAATTGAATCGCATAATAGTTTCATAATAATTTTTATTATCGTTTTTTTTTAATAATGAATTAACTTCTATTTTCCTTATTGATTGTCATAACTCTCTGTGGCTAATAGTAAGGTAGTTTTCTATAAGAGAAACAAAATAATAAGATATTTACGATTAAACTAAGAGAGACTCAAAAGATTGTATTATATGCAATAAAATCATAGGTGACAGCGAAAGAAATGTATGATTTTCTATCAACTAAACAAACTTATTTTCGATAACAAATTCCAATAGACATATCGGAAATAGAATTTGGTGGATATGTACCTAAGCTATAATAAAATGAGTAAAAAAAAGGAACATCTTTAAAATTACACAATTTTAAGAATACCTAATTTACTGGACCTATAACAGTTGGTGATTAGGAATTCTAAGTGATTTTTGACACTGGTTCTGCAAACTTTTGGATAGATTCTGTTAAATGTAAGAATGAAGGATGTTAACAACATATTCAATACAAACCAAGTTTAAGAGCAAAACATTTAGGATATGCTTTAAATGTTCAATTTGGAACAGGCGATTTAAATGGAGAAGTTAATTCAGATGTAGTAAAATTAGGAGAAATTGAGATTGAAGATCAAAATATAGCTGAAATAATAGAAGAAAATGGATCTGTTTTTTAAAATGTATGAAAATTAAGTAATTTAAAAGACAGGATTTGATGGTATCGTAGGATTGGCTTATCCAAGCATGGCAGCCTATAATTTTAGTCCATTATTTGATAATATGATTAATGAGAAGAAATTGAAATCAAACTAATTTTCATTTTATATGAGTAACTAAGTCAATAGCTATGAATCGTAAATAACATTTGGTGGTTATGATGTCACCAAACTTGATGGTCCAATTAATTATCATCCAGTTATTGATTAATATTATTGGATGATAAAAGCAGATAATATATTAGTCAACGGTAAAGATGAAGGATTCTGTCCTAAAGGTTGTAAAATAGTGGCAGATACAGGTACTTCACTAATCACAGGTCCTTTTGAAGATTTAATGAAATTATTAGGTATCTCTATTAATACATATTAGATTTAACTAATATAAACGATGATTGTTCAAATTTAAATCAATTACCAAAATTAACATTTAGAATTGATGGAGTTGATTATGATTTAGATTCCAAAGATTATATAATGGAAATGAGAGATGATGGCACAGAGATTCCATTAAACAATGATGTTTCAGCTTCAGCATTTATTTAAGGAACTTCAAGTTAATGTATAGGGGCATTCATGCCTTTGGATATTCCAGAACCTTAAGGACCTGCTTGGATTTTGGGAGATATATTCTTAACTAAATATTTAAGTGTTTATGATAGGGACACAAATATGGTTGGATTTGGAAAGGCTAAACATTGATTTAAAAATTTATTTTATCAAAATATATACATTTTTAAAAATGTACTTTTTGATTTGGTAATTCAAAATATAGAACTACTTTCTATTAACAAAATTTAACTAAAATTAATTTGAACTTATCCAGCTGTATTCAAAAAACCTAACAAAACTTATTAAATTATTATGAACTTACTTCTATGCTTTCTTTCTATATATTTCAAATATCAATCCAATACCCATCCAATGATAGTATTAAATAGCTATTTTATACTTTTTTATATTACTAAAATTAGCAGAAATAATGAAGTCAATTAATTTTTTGTATAAATTTGAAAAAAATCAATTGAAAGCATCTTCTCAGTTTTGTTAATGATCCAAAAAGAATTATCCATGATTATCATTCAATTATACTGGATTTTCTTGATGCTAATCATTTAAAATGGCATAAGGAGAAAGGATTATTCAGCCTTTTCAACAATTTGGGTTTCAAACATTCTATCAAAATATGGAGAAATCAATAAAGCAGAGTTATAATTGGTTTTTATATATAAGTTCAACTTGTTTGAATTCATAATTCAATACATTCATAATAAATTTAGGGTTCATTTAATATAATTATATTGAGATTAATATTTTTGTAAAGATTATTTTGCATATTCTCTATCATATTTTTCTTTGAGTCTTTTTTGTATTTTAAATTATCATTTTATAATATTGGTTTCAATATTAAGAGAATTTTAATCTGATATATATAGAAGATGTGAAATTAGATTGATAATAAATCAAAATGACCATGAGCTTTGAGAATTTCAGAAATAAGTGATGAGGTAATAAGAAAGTATGATTATTCATTTGATTTTATGGATGTTTAAATTAATACATAGAGTGGAAGTTTATGAGAGGGTCTTTTGAAATATATAATATTAATAAAGTATAAGAATTAAGAATGATTTTTTGTGTTTTTCGACAATTTTATAGTTTATTATTTAAAAAGTGTATTTTTAGTGCGTATTATTTTCTGATATAAAAATTGGAAGCAGAATCTTGTAAAGTGCATTAAATATATAATCTTTAATGAAAGCCGCTCCACGCATATATGAAAATCAAGAAGGAGAGAAAGTTGAGAATGCAAATTTCTTTATCCAACAATATTATATTGAATGCTTGTCTACCTTTTCTTATTACATTGAATCAAAAGGAGAAGCTGCAGTAATAGATCCATTAAGAGATATTGAATAATATGTGTAATAGTAAATATTAATAATAAGTGAATTGGCCAAAGATAGAAATGCTTAAATAAAATGGGTACTTGAAACTCATTTTCATGCAGATTTTGTGAGTGGTCATCGTGAATTAGCAGCAGTAACAGGAGCAACAATAGTGTATGGTCCAACAGCAATAGCAAATTTCCCAATGAAATAAGCGAAGGATGGGGAATTATTACCACTTGGATCTGTATAGATAAGAGTAGATCACACTCCAGGACATACAATGGAATCCAGTTGTTTTGTTTTAGTAAATAATGGAAAAGACCATTCAGTATATACAGGAGATACCTTGTTTTTGGGTGAAGTGGGTAGACCAGATTTGGCTGTAAAGAGTGGAGAATTGACAGTTGAAATGTTGGCTGCATATCTATATGATTCATTAAGAAATAAGGTTATGAAATTAAATGATGATGTAATTGTATATCCTGGACATGGTGCTGGCTCATCATGTGGAAAAGCTATTGGAGCAGGAAAATTTTGTACTATTGGAATTCAAAAATAGAAGAATTATGCATTGCAACCTATGTCAAAGGAAGATTTCTCTAAATCAGTTCTAGAAGGAATGCCTAAGCCACCTTAATATTTTTTCCATGATGCAAAACTTGTATTTATATTTATATCATCAAATCTAGAATAAAAGTGGACCAACAGATATCACTGTTTTATTAAATGAAGTTTAAAAAGCATTGACTTTTGAATAATTTATGGGTTATGTGAAATCAGGTGCTACTATCCTAGACACTAGACCAAATGTTGCTGAAGGAATTATTGATGGAGCTATTAATATTACATTTATGTCAGGATTAGTTAATTTTGTTGGAGCTGTCATCAAACCAGATACTAAATTAGTAATTATAGCCAACCAAGGTGAAGCTTAAGATACAATACTTAGATTATTAAGAATTGGATATGATAATATTTTAGGTTATTTGTAAGGTGGATTTGAAGTTTATAAAAATAATGGAGGAGGTTTAGCAACAACTGTTAAATTAGTCAGTCTCGTTGAATTTTGTGATGTCAAAGTTGATACAGGTATTATAATTTTATTTATAAATAGAAAAACACGTCTTCTTAGATGTACGAGGACCAGGAGAACATAAAGAAACTGGTTTTATTAAAGGAGCTATTAGAGTTCCTTTACCTGAAGTGGAAGCTAATCTTGCTAAAATTCCTAAAGATAAGATTGTTCATGTTTATTGTAAAACAGGAGGAAGAGCAAAAATTGCCATGAGTCTTCTTGTTAAAAATGGTTACAAGAATTTAGTAATTACATAAGAAGGTGGTTTCCCTTCAATGAAAGAAAAATAATTGGTGGAAGTTGAAAATATTTGATATTCATAAATTATTCATATGATAAATCATTTAATAAAATTTATATTGTATAATTCTTCTTTAAATTTGTTAATCATTTTAACAATAACACTTATAGCAATAGTATTAGATTTTAGAATTATAAAAAATCTAAACTGAGAATATTTTAAAAATTTAAAATTAAAATAATATTTTTTTTTTAAATAAATTATAATTTTTTGTACACAAACCAATACTCTCATTATTATTTGCATTCTGGCTTTTCTCCTTTTCCTTTTTTATCTTTATCAGACTTTTTACTATCACCACTCTTCTTTCTTTACTAATTGAGTATATAAAATAAAAACTTACACTCTTTTTCTTTTTATCATCACCCTCATCATCATCATCTTCTTCTTCATCATCATCTTCATCATCTTCATCTTCATCAACATCTTCAAAGTCTTCATCATCTGGATTAATTCCTAAGAAATATTCCAAACTATATGGAATTACTTCTTCAGCTATTGTCTTACCAATTTCATAATCTTCATCAATATTCTATATATTTAAATTAATTAATTTACTCCTGCTTTTCCTTCTTCTTCACCTTCATCCTTATCTTCAGAATTCTTGAAGAAATTGAAGAAACTTTATTGGGTTTCCTTTTTCTTGATAATTCTAGATGCTCCTGTCTTTTTATTTTTTTATTTCTATATTATATTAATTTCATTACCTTCTCAACAATTTTAACTGTAACATCTTTACCTTCATTCCATTCAATAACTGTTCCAACTGTACTTGTTGGAAAATCTTTACCTTCTTCTATAATAAATTTCTTTGTCAATTCTTTATTCTTGAAATATTCATTATCTTTAAAAGTAAATCTAAGGGTAAAAACTTCAGTATCAGCTGAAGTTTCCAATATTATTGAGGTTAAGAATTTAAGGATATCTTTATCTTTCTCTCCAAAGACATGAGATAAATTATCGCAATTTGTTAAGACGGTTCCCCAATAATTATCTATTGGCTCAGATTTTTAAGCTATTTAAAGAGCTTCCTATAATTCAGCTTCAGAAAAGAAATCCTTGAAAAGTTCTTGTTCTTCAGCACTTACAGCTCTTTAACCATTAATGAGGGATTGTTATTCTGCATAGATAGGGAGTGATTTGATATCATACTACTTTTAAAGAGCATGAATCTTATCATCACATTCTTTATCTAATTTCTCTTTTTATAGATAATGATGTTAAATGGCTATGGCCTTAAGTCTATCTTTAAGAGGAAGTTCTCTAATCTTGTTTTCTAAGGTTTAAACATGTAATTCATGTCCTTCTTTTGCTTCATTTGTAGTTGGTTAAGCTCCGCCTTCCATTAATTTATAAAAAAATGTGGATTTAAATATTTCATATATTTAGGGGGGGTATTTAATTTTTAGATTATTATTAATATCACTTAATATTCGAATCATTATTTTTTGTAATAGAAATGGAGTATGAATCTGTACCTTAAACAGAATTTGAAAAACAAGCCGTTGATTCTTCTTTACTTGGAGATGCCTAAAAGAATTTTGCTAAAAAAGTTTTCTCTATTGTTGGAACTTAATTAATGTTCACTGCTATAATTGTGTATTGTTCCATTTAGTTCAAATTTATCGAAACATTTTGTGAATAATTTTTTATACATGCAATCATTTGTTCCTTGATATTAGGATTATTGCTTACTTTTAGCAAATGTAATGTAAAAATTTTAAGAATTTTTATTTAGCATCTGCAAGAAAATTTCCATTAAATTTTATTTTACTAAGCGTCTTTACATTATGTGAAGCAATTATTTTAACTTTTTCATGTGCTTAAATAGGAGACCCTGAAATTGTTTTTTAAGCATTTATAATTACTACTATGATTGTTGTTGCTTTGGCTACCTACGCTATGACAACTAAAAATGATATCACATATTATGGAGCAGCATGTAAATATTCATTAACTATCCAAGTTTTCCTTCTTTTATTTGGTTCCGTCATGGCTAGTATTACTTATATTTTTTTTGGAAATTAATTTGCTTATCTAATCTATTTAATTGGAGGTGCTATAATATTAGGATTCTATTTGGTATTTATAAACAATCTAATTAGGTTTATGATATCTAATTAATCATTGGAAACTAGAAACTAAGATTAACTGTTGATGATTATATTTTGGGATCAATTTTATTATACACAGATATAATCAAAATTTTCCTGAGAATCCTGGAGATCTTAATGAAGTTTAAAAATGAAAAATGAATTTTATTCAATTTATATTAAAGTTAATTATGATATTTTTTTTTATATTCATTTTTCTTTCAAAAATAATAATTTTAGCTGCGTTTTAATTTTTATTTTAAATTTAATATTTTAGACTTTTCATTTTAACCCTTTATGGATAAATTTGAAAATTATTGATAAAATTTTTTCAAAAAATATACTACTTTTCTAGGTTTTCATAAGAGAAATTAGATTCAGCTCTTTTAAAATTTTAATTACTTCGAAACTTTTGGAGTATTTATCTAACTCAATGTTTTAATGATTTTTTTTTCTTAATACTTTAATCTAATCTTTTGAGACTTACAATTTAAAAATTAATTTTTCTCCATTTCTTAATCCGATTGAATAATCATATTTTATAATTCTATCATAGTTTAAATAAATTTAGTTTTATACTCAAATTTATACGTTGATATGGAGAGTAAAATTAAAAATGATAATGAGTTAAAGATTTTCAATGAGAAATTAGATAGAAATAATTCTGCTATGTAAATAATTATTTAAATTATATTAGTATTTATGATTGTAAATGTAATTTATTTACCCTTAACTTAATAATCATTTAAGATGAATAAACATAGATGTTGGATTTTCTAAATATGTTTTCCAGACATTATTAAACCTTGCAACAGTAGCACCATCTAAAACTCTATGATCACAACCAAAGCTTAGGTTCATCTATAATGAGTAATGAAAAATTACAATTTTTCTAGGGACAACATTCATTTTAGTATCGTATCTTGGCACAGTCATCAACCTACCTATACCAACAATGCAAACTTATGGGGCGAGAATAAGAGGACCAGTGTATGTACCACCAATAGTTCCAATATTACTCAAACATATTGTTCCTCCAGATAATTCATTATAGCTCAACTATCCCTTTTCTCCTAAAGTTCGTAATCTAGAAATAAATTAAGAGTAATTACCTATTCAATTCATCTTGAATTTAACTAATTGATAAATTCTATACATCTTTGATATTGGGAACCACTAAACCTTTAGGAGAGTCTAAGGCTACCGATACATTGTGTGATATATGTTATGTGTATTCGAATTGTCTAGTTGAATCATAAGTAGAATTCAATATAGGATATTTGGTCAAAGCTAAAGAAAAAGATTTGATGAGAAGTGTCATAAAAGTGATGTTCTTTTCTTTTTTCAATTATTCTCTCATTTATGCTAATTCAGTGAGGTCGACTTCTTCCTTAAGATATAAGTGAGGAATAGAATTAGCCTCAGTCATAGACTTTTACATTCCCTTTTAAAAATCTGACATTTTAATGACAGTTGAAGTTGATTCACTTTTGGTATTAATTTTAGTGGTTGATTATGGTTGTTCTTTTGGTGATTGTCCTTACTTTTCAAGATCTGACTTTAAAACTCTTCCATCTTAACCACTACCTTAAATCTTATTCAAATCTATTCCCTTTTACTTTGCCAAATGTCTTACAGCAGGAGTAGCTAATTTATGATTCTAAGTATAATTATCCAATTTTACTGAAGTTGCATTGTTAGTTTGAATTGTTTATTTGATTTCTTCTTGTTTTGTTTCTTCTTATTTCACAGAATGATCATGACTCTATGTAGATGCTGTTTATTGATTATCAGATTCTATTTCTATTTCTAAGAAATCTCCTCCAACTAAACAGGTTTCATCTTCTTAATGAAATAGTTTGTGAATCTTCCCTGTGTAATTACTTGGAATTTGAGTAAACATCTTATCAGTTGAAACATCCGCAACAGGATCGAACTATTATCAAAAAAATGACGTACTTCATTTACGTGATCTCCTATCTTTACATGCCATTTTTTTATTGTTGCTTCCTTAATCTCTAAAATCACAATAACTATTACTTTCCCCTAAATCAGGCAACTTGAAGATCTTCACTGTCCCAAAATAATATCTACTCAAAAATCTGGAATATATATTCATTATTTAATTATAAATCAATTCTTTTTATCTTTTACTTCAAACTTAAAAATTTATTGTACTATGATTCTTATTTACTATCAAAAACCCCTCTGATAATTTTTATTTAACTTTTCCTAAAAATAAGTTATAATATAATCATCCTTTAATTTTTTTAATTGATTCTCTTGTTTAAATACTACCCTTGCTTCTTTAATTACTATCAAAGTTTTTTAATTTTTATTTAAGATAAATAAGTATACTATACTATTCTTCTTTTTACAAATTATTTAATAAATATATAATCCTTCAATTAAATTATATCTTTTGATTAATTCTAAATAATAAAAAGTTGTTTTTTTCATAATCTTATTTCAAAATCTTTAGATATATCACAATATGTTCATAACAGTTATAATAAAAATTGATTAAAAACCAATATTTTGTTTTGTGCATTATATAAATAATAATAAATTTGAATTCAAATGCTTGATAATTGGTACTTCTTTTCAACTATTTTTAGTGATTCTATCAGAAAAGGACTTCTCTATACTCCTAATATAGGAGAATAGATTGATGAGGATGTTGCTGTATCATTTGAACATAAAAGAGGAATCAATTATTAACATGAATATATGAGACTATATATTGCTAATGTAGTCTTGACTTAATAATTAAAAGAATTGCTCTAAGAAAAGGGGGATTTAGTCTCTAAAATCAATCGACTCGAAGTATTTTTTACTTAAAAATTTAGGATACAGAGATATGTAAAACAAACTCCAGAAAATTAGATTACGAGGAACCTAAAAAATCAGAAGTACTTTCAAAAAAATAAATAGGTATTTAGTTTATAATTATCATTAGTGCAGAAGGTTCAACTAAATACAATGATGAAAATGCAGCTCCCAACCATCAATATCAAACTAGAAAATTAATTAAAAGGAATTGAGTTATTTCCATTCATTTTATTAAATTACTCATTTTTTCATTATTAAATAACTTTTATTCATTAAAATTTTATATTTTCTAATTAATTTTTGTTATCTAAATTTCTTCATCTAATTTTTACGATAAAATTAACAAAAAGGATGTTTACTACATTCTTTCATCCATGAGGCTTACATCAAAATTTAGAATAAATAATATTCTTTCAATAAATTATATTTAAATACCGAATTTTCAAAAATTTATATTATTACCAAAACTATATATATTTTATCATATAATTTATAATTAATCAAGCAAAAGGATTAGTTTTTTTATTATCTTGCCATTATTAGTTATAGGTATAAGGATTATCTTAAATAGCCCTTTTAGAAAGATCCCCATCAAAATCAAAAAATGGATTTTAGGACCCAGGTTGTTGTGTCCTATTCTTTTGAGTATCGAATGATTAGACCGGTTATTATAAACTAGATCTTTAATTTATGTATTGCTAGCTTGTAAAAGGATTGTTATTGACAAAATTAGTTGGGCTTAATATTGAACTTTGAGATAATTATTGATTATGTAATTAGCTTTATCTCATGTCTGTTATCATTTAAAATCCAACATCATCAAAGGGTTATTAGAAATTCTGTTAATTCATAAAATTGTTACTCATAGATTATCTTTGGGAAAGTGTTGTTGGATTCATAAATTATTATTAGGATACAAAACTATTTTGAAAGTTATTCATTTATGAACTAATATATTGTGGAGGTAAGGTTTAACCAAAAGGATTAAATTTATTTAAATCCCTTTATGAAATTTACTAAGGAGGTCCAAATTATTAAGATTATTAATACGATTTTATCTCATCTTATTCTTTCTCTTTCTCTTTCTCTTTCTCTTTTTCTTTCTCTTTCTCTTTCTCTTTTTCTTTCTCTTTCTCTTTCTCTTTCTCTTTTTCTTTTTCTTTTTATAATTCTATTACCAAAAGTGTTTGCATTTCTTGTTACTCTTTCAGTAAATCAATAAGAGGTTCCTATTCTGGATATTTAAATTTATTAAAAGCTTTTAAATTCTTTTTTACAATTGATTTAGCATTCATATACAAATCATAATTTATATTAATAAACTAAATAATAAGTATTTAATACTGTATCAAGACTTGAATTAATCATTTTATAATAGTTTCCTAATAATTTGTTCATATTATTTAGTATCTCTGAAAGTTTTTACTTATAATTAGATTCAGAACTCGAAAGTTTGCTTTAATTCTATAAGTATTATATTTTTAAATACTCTTCTAATTTTATCAGCTAATTTGAAATCTTCAGGTTACGCCTTTTGTAAGGCATTTGATCTATCCTTTTCTAATTCTTCTATTTTCATTTTGTAATGATCATATACTAAACGAATTTCTTGAAAGTTAGCTAATTGTACTTTTAAAGTTTCAATTGTTTAAAACCAATCCTAAAAATTTTTATTAATCTCTAAAACAGGTTCGTTCTAAATTTATTTTTTGAGATACTTTTGATCTAAATAATTCAGATAAATTTCCAAACATAGATGCTACTTCTATCCCAATTCTTTTGTTTGTGTCTGTCTCTCTTTCAAAAAGCTTAGATGAGATTGCACTAATCTTTCCCATATGTGCATTCATTTCTATGATGATTTTAAAATTAAATACGCTGAAACAATGCACTAATGTTACTAAAAGATTAATTTAATCCTTTAATATATTAGTCTATTTCATTTATCTTTTGTTTTTTGGCTTCCATCTAGGGGTCTACGGTTACTTTTGCTCCCCACCATTCTTTAATCTAAAATAATAAACAATTTTAACTTTTTAGCTTGTTCTTGTAGCAAAACTTGACATATAATGATTTATTTTGAATAATTATATAATATAAAAGAGATAGTAAATATTTGAACGAATTAATATTCAAAAAACAATGGCGGATAATAAGTTTTAGGAAATTTTCTATAAACCAAGTTTTTAATAGCTTTATTAATTATAATAATATTTGAGTTCTATGATTTTTTGATAAAATCATAAAAGGATGATTTTATAACTGTATTTTCGTTTATTTCTATTATGTTTTTAGAAATATTTGATTTTAATGGATATAAAATATTTTATATGGAAGGTTTATTGGCAAAATGAAGAGAAGTTTAATATAATAAATAAGGGGAGAATAAAAAAGATCGAAGAAGTTCAATGAATAGAGTAATGTAAAAATGTGAAAAGAGTAAATGATAAAAAATAGCGTCATCCCCCTATTTCTCTAAGAATGCAGCGAATAAGATATTTACTTAAGTGGCTGGTGTTGGCGCTCTTTTTAACAAATAGAAAAGATTTAATTTTTAAAATTCAGTAATTCTAGATATCTTATATAAGGAATTAGAGGAATGAGATAAGTTCTTATTTTCTTAGATTGCAAGTAGTTTGTTGTATTTTATTAAACTCATTTTGATTAATTTCATTCTTATTTAACTTTTTTTTTGAGCAAGTTAGCCAATGGATTTGCCTACAAGTTGGATTATGGGATCTATTATATTTACTCACCTTAGTGCTTTTTATACTATGGCCAGAAACCATATTTAATGATAAATTCTTTCTTTTGGTTTTCAAATTCCTAAACATATTTTATACTAATTAACTTGTCTCAACTTTTTATATTCCTCGGCTGCTTTCTCTTTCAAGACTGCATTTGAACCCCATTCAATTTTAATTGTACGATCAATCTAAATACCATTATACTCTGGGTGGGTAATCTCAAGATGCTACTTCATTTGTTTTTGGAAACTTTGAGACATTATAAATTATAAAACATGATCATAATTGGTGGAGGAGGTTAAGGTACAGGGACTTTTTCATTATTATCATTTATCTCGACAAACCCATTATGTTAGAAGTACTTCTATTAATTTAGTTTCTCTTTCTTTTTCCACTCTAGATTAACCAAATTGATAATTTCTTCTTTAGTTCTGTTTGCATATTTTTATTTATAAAGAACGAATTTTTCATCATAAAATTTACTATAGGCAGAGCTTTATTTTCTTGTGTTAGGTTGATCAAGCTGTAATTATCTGAGTCTCTTTTTTTACATTTTATTAATTAAATTACTAAACTAAACAACTATTTTTTTTAGTTCATTTAGAGAATCATTAATATATAATTGAATATGAATAATTTTTGAAATATATATAGAAAACTATTGATTGGATAAAAGCGGGAATTGATGAATAATTTATTTATTTTATTAAATTTATCTAAATGAGTGATTCAAGTAAATAAGTTGATACATATAGATTCTACTCTCTTTTATGCTGGTTTAACTTTGGCATCGGGATTGATCACAGATTTTTTAATAAATCAGTTTAACAAAAAGTAGTATAAAGGAGAAGAAATGAAGCCGATTAGAACTGTAACTCTAAGAAAAAGATCTTTTGGTAAGATTAGATATTAATATAGTAAACTCAAAATAGGCACCAGTTCCAGAAGCACTATTAAATTCTGACAATCCATTGTTAGATGAGATAAAATTCTTAAATAGTGCAACATGTGATATCGAAAGAGTGAATCATCTATCTCTTGGTTTGGATGATGAATTTCCAAATATAAAATCTCCTTTATTGGGAGAAGGTAATTTGAGATCGGTATTTGGAGGAGGGGGATTTTTACCAGATGATGCTTTTGTATATTGCGGATCATATGTAATAAATACAGCTGTATTCGGTACTGGTAAAAGAATAGAGAATACAAAGAAATGGTTAAGAGCAGGACCAAGAAAATCGTTATTTTTTGATCCTAAAACAGTGAAGGTATAAATATTATGAGATTTTTAAGGCAGCAATAGTGACATGTGGAGGATTATGTCCTGGATTGAATGTAGTAATAAGAGAATTATTTATGTCATTACATTATAACTATGGAGTACAAGATATCTATGGGATAAAGTATGGATATAAGGGATTTTATACCTATGATTGGATAAAGTTTGATGCAAACTATGTGAAGAATATTCACAATTTAGGTGGAACTATATTAGGTTCATCAAGAGGAGGATTTGATTTGAACAAGATTGTAGAGGCAATGATAAATCATGGTGTAAATTAAATATTTTGTTTGGGTGGAGATGGTACTCATGGAGGAGTATTGGAATTATTTAAAGAATTAAGAAGGAGAAAACTTAAGATATCAATGGTATTCCAAAGACTATTGATAATGATGTTGCAATAATAGATGAGTCATTTGGTTTTGAGACAGCAGTAGAAGTAAATAATAAAAAATATAATTAGGAAGCAATTAATGCAATAAGTTCAGCATATGTGGAAGCAAATTGTGCAGAATATGGAGTAGGATTAGTAAGGTTAATGGGAAGAAATGCTGGTTTTATTGCAATGTCTGCTTGTAATGCTTCTAGAGATGCTCATGTTTGTTTAATTCCAGAATTTAAATTTGAATTATATGGAGATAGAGGATTATTAGAGTACTGTTTTTAGAGACTTAAAAAGAAAGGCACTTTAGTTCTTGTTATTGCTGAAGGAGCAGGAGATGCTATGTTAGATTATAAAGTAAATGTTGTAGAAACAGATGCTTCAGGTAACAAAAAACCTCAAGATGTTGGAGTAATAGTAAAAGATGAACTTACTAAATATTGTAAAGCAAAAGAAATGAGCATCACTCTTAAACATATTGATCCTACTTACATGATTAGAACTGTTCCTGCTAATCCTCATGATAAAATTATGTGTACTTAATTAGCGTAAAATGCTGTACATGGAGCAATGGCTGGATTTTCAGGATTCACCGTTGGACATGTTAATAATAGGTTAGCATATATACCAATTGAAGAATTACTCTCTGGTAAATATTCAAATAGAGTTGTTGCTGATAGTCGAGAATGGCAAAGACTCCTTGCCAGTACTGGATAACCTTCATTCTTAAATAATGAAGAATAGATGATCTAAAAATAGTAATAAATTTGAGAATATTGATTAAGCATATCTATAAAAAACAAAATTTATAACATTCTTTATGAACAATATTCGCTAATCAAATGAACTATAATTATTTAAGAGAAAGTCACCCTATTTATTAAAAGAAAAACCATAAAAACTTGTCAAAGTATCAATCATGTCTCAAATTCAATTCAAAGAATTTCTTGAATCTTTATCACTCAATTTTACATAATTGAGTCACAATCTACAACTCATGATCACTCTTTATAATGTACAAATATTTCATGAAAATGACAATTATCAACTCCTTTCAGACTCTAATACAGATTTATTAACATAATATTAACAACAATGGCTCATTAAAACTATATGTAAACTTGGAGTCAATCATCAATTCTGGCAAGAAATTGCATATGTCCTAAACAAAACTCTTTCGCAAGTTTAGGCCTTTTGGATTGCTTTACAAGATAATTGGACTCATGAATAAGATAATATGTTGATTCAATTTCGAAATTAATAGCTAAACTGGTTTGAAATAGCTTTGAGACTCGACAAAAACAAAACTAATACAAAACATAGATGGAATAATGTACTTGACCCCAATTTATCCAAAACTCCTTTCACCATTCAAGACGATATCTTATTACTCCAAAAAGCTATTTAATTAAACTTCGATTGGAAGAATATTTAAAAGATTATATAACCCAAAAGAAGTCAAATAGATCTTATTTCTAGATTCATCCAATTATAATCTCAATATAAATATATTGACAATCTTATACAAAGAGTTCAATTTGCAATTACTTAATTACCAAAATATGATAAAAATTCTATGCGAATACTCCCTCACTAATCCACTATTATCGAAAAAACTGTTGTAGAATATGAAACACTTTCCATTCTAGATCTTAATTTACTTGATGCTATGTCACTATAATTCTGTTTAGTCAAACATCAATAGATATTTTTTGTTACTCTTGAATACATGCAATAGTTAGTTAATTTGAAGTTAAATTAAAGAAAACTATTACAATTTATGAAATAATGATTATCAAATCAAATTATTTAAATTTAACATATTTCTTTCTTAATATATAAAGATCATTCACCATATTTTTCACGAACATATTCATATATATCTAAAGCTTCTTTCTATTTTTTAAGAGCAATTAACGATTAAGCTATTAATTATAATAAAATCAATACCTTTATTTATTAAATACGATGCTTTTTCTCGACATTTTATTGCAGAATCAAAACAAGCTATGGCCAATAAATGTTTATTTAATGCTTGTAAACTCATACCTAAAATTAGAATTTAAATTACCTTTTTGATTGAATGAATCAGGTGAATTTGGTTCCAAATTTAGAGCAACATCAAAATAAATCAAAGATTCTTAGTATCTTTATAAAGAATATAGTGCGACACCTATATTAATAATAATTTTTTATACCAATATTATGATTTATACTTGATTAATTCTAATCAAATTCAAGTGCTTTTAAATAACAATTTAATTCTTCATTAGGATTTCCTAATTAATGTAGAATTGCTCCTAAAAATAAAATTCTAAACTTTACCTTTTATTTACCAGTAGGGTTATTTACTTTTCATATCTAATGCTTTATTTATAGTTTCAAGAGCTAGTTAATACTTTTGTTATTAATGTAAAGTTTATGCTACAAAAATATTAAATATGTTAAACCTTTTTTCAAATAAAAGTCAGGATCTTATTTTAGTTCTAATGCTTAATCATAACATTTAATAGCATCATCATAATGTTCAAGAACTGATAGGCAATATCCTAAAAAATTAATTAATATTGACTACCTTTGTGGTAATAAACTGTTTCTATTTTTAGATTTTATCTCAAGCATTCATCAAAGGAATCAATTGCTTCCTCATACTAATCTAAATGAAGTAAAGAAAGTCCTAAAATTTTTAATAGAATAATTTTATTACCCTTAATTAAATATGCTTACTCTATATTAGAATCTATTTTTAAAGCTTGATTAGCAAACTTTAAAGCTTCCTAAAATTATTCCTGTTTATATAATTCAGCAGCTAAAATATAATTATTAATAAACCTGATGATAAGCATTAAATTGCTAGATTTTCAGATTTAATTTATTTCGATTAATTTTAAATATTTGGATTTCTTTCATTAGTATTTTATTCGTTTTAATCATTTGATTAAATAATAATATCATCAACTTTAGAATATTGTGAATAAAACTAATCAAAAGATTTTTCAAATTTTTTGATTTCATCTACTTGAATGCCTAAAATTTATGATTAAATATACTGATATCACTATTCTTAACAAATTTGCTCAAACTAACATTTCTCCATTATTTTAGTTATTCTAACTGTTCAAAAATTTATTAATAGTCTTATTATTTTATTCTAGAGTTCAATTCAATTAATTTATCTTTCTCACTTGTAATAAACTTTATATTCTTTTTAAATAATTTAATTATGTTTTCCATTTTCTTTTACTCAGAGGTCTCCATTTGGACTAATAATTGAATACAATTTTAAATCATTGAATAAACTTAATTAAATCTTAAGCAATCTCCTTAATGTTTAGCATGGTTAGTTTAAAAACATTAAAAACAAACTTTTCTTGGTTTTTCACATTCTAAGTTAAAACAAAATGCAATTATAGGCTCTTCAGAGTGATTTGCAATAGTGCATAGATATTCAGGATCCATTTAAATAAAATAAAATTATTTTTCTATTACTTTAAAAAGTATAGGATTTAGAAAAATATATAAATATGATTATCATAATTAGAGACAGTGAATATCCTAAACTTAAAAAAATAAATTGGGCATTCCTGTTATTTCATTGAAATCATCATTTATAATACCTATATTGTAATAATTATGAGATACCAAATATAAATGGAGGTTTGATTATGTAACCTTGAGCACTTTATATGTCAACCATCTTAGGTCTATAAGCAGTGCTAAATCTCCCTAATCCAATTACATTATTTGACACTTTAACTTTACTATTCACTATGAATTATGGAACATAAAGGTTCTAATCAATTGGAACTTATACTCCACATTAATTTAAAATTAATTATACCTTTTACAATGTTATCTCCTCATTATCTAAAATATTATGTTTAAAATACATTCAAATACAAAAATGCTAGTACTACTTTAATCAGATGATATTAAATAAACTTTTAGATTTCCTGATTCAGACATCAATACTTTTGCATTATCTATATTGGATACAGTCTAAAATCCATTATAAATAAGTCTTTGGTGTTGTGCTAATTTACATTTAGACCATTTATAACATTCTTTACAAAAACTACTAATAACTTTATCAGAGGAAAGAGTAACCTCAGAATTAAAAGGATTGATTTATTCAAAACCTTCAAAGTATTGATTTATGTAAATATTAAAGTCATTTTAAGAATGCTCTTGTAATTTAATCCCTTTGAATCCAAATTACTAATTTATTCTGAATATTATACTGCTTATACTAAACTATCTTTGTACTGATTGATCATTTCATCATCCAAATCTATTTTAGTGTTTAGAGTTGTTAGACAATATAGTGAAGTAAAGGACTCTTTGTTTTAGATACAATTTTAATCACACGTAAGATAGAGATGTTATAAAAATATTGGATCAAACTGTTTAGGTTAATCAATATCAGAAGGTCGTCTAATAGCTTATAATAAACTTTTTTATTTTACCCATTACTGTAAATCTGGTTTCAGAATTTACACTCTATACTACTTTCCATTTGAACCCCAATTCTTTTAATTTTGCTGTTATTTCCTTATTTGCTTAAAATGAATCATTTTAATTATAATGATATAAAGACATTCTTATTTCTTAACAAGGATCAATTTCCCAAATAAATTTAAGTATTATTTTCAATAACTCTTAAAATTATTATGGATCCTTAGTTGAAAAATGACTTAACATCAATCTTCTCTCTTATAAAGACTAGTCTAAGTAACATTATCCTAAAGCTAACAATTAATCTTTTTAATATATTCCCAAACAAAAACTATCATCTTATTAATCATATTAATTTTGCATCAACTAAATCTCTCCTCTCCAACATTTTTAGAAGTCTTCATTAATATTATTTAAATGATCTATAACTTTTTGATCTATAAGTTGACATTTTTTTACTTTAAATGTGTCATCATCATCAACTATTATATTTTATTATTCAATAAAAGGAACAGCAGCATGAACTGAAATTTATTTCTTTTATTCTGATTGAGATAAGTTTTATTATTATGCTTATTGCTTATTATTTGAATCATTTGGTGTTACTTTTACCGAGTTTTATTTTTAAGGAGTAACACTTCCTTATTTATTTGGTTATCTTAATGGGATATTTTTTGGAACTAAATTTTATGCTTAATTAGATAATAACTCGTTATTGTGATCATTTTACTTATAAATTATTCTCTATTAATAAAATAAAGAAACTTTTACTTTTTAATTTTAGCTTTATTCCTATCGTTTAGGAGGTCTTATACGTCCTGGATGAATGGCTTTTTCTGGACTCATTTTAATTTAGTCTTTTGAATTAGCTTAATTATAAATTGATTTATCATCTTTTGATATTTATAAAGCTTCTTCTTATATTATGACTTCACAATTTTTAATTCTCTTTAATAGAGGCTTGGATATGAACTGAACAATTTTATTAGAATCTTCGGCTGGTTTAGTTATTGCAACAAAGAAAGGATCAGGCTTAATAGAGAATTGATAATAATTTGATAGAATTGAACTTGTTATGTACTAAATATCCTTTCTCATCTGAAAATAGATTATATTATATTTAACCTTAATCAAATAATTTTCTCTTAAATATATATATGGAAGAGAAATACTTTCTTCAGAATGAATATTAACCAAAAATTTCATTAGATATTGTCTCCATCCAATAATTTATTCTACGACATTAATTGATAGAATCCTTAAATGTGTTATTAATTCAGCACTTTTTTGTAATAGTTATTCATCTCCAGGATAATCTAATAATTATTGAATATGATTAATTAAAAAGGATAAACACTTTTCTCTTGCTTCTACTGCTTGCATACAAAGCTAAGTTTATACTATAATAATACTTATATATGAGATTTCTTTTGTTACATTTCTTCTATTTCAAATTGAATAGCTTAATTATTTTTTGGTACTGTTTGTAGACACATCAAAAATAACTATCTAAATAATAAGATGTTTCATTTTACCTATGAAACTCAGGTATATTGTAATAATCTTAAACTTCAAGTAATTTTGATGTATTATTGATTTACTTAGGTTTCTATTTATCAACAGATTCATTTTTATTTTAATTTAAAACATAAAATCTATTATTCCAATTATCTTCCTAATGGAGTCATAAAAACTATTAAATACTTTCTTCTTTAATTAATTCATAACGATTAAATGCCTAGATTTCGTATTTATTACTTGTTCTTATTTTGATTTACGATTTTCAATAAATTATTGTTCAAACATAAATATATAATAAAAATATATTAATATTTATATAACTGTTTAATAAATTGCTTTTATGATGTTATTGATTGAAAGTAGAAACCTTTTTTAGTTTTTCTGATTTATTTGGATTGATTTAATACTTATTATAATAAATGAAAAAAAAAATACTTTTAAATATATATATTTCATTGTAGCCATTTAAAATGATTTATGAATTAAGATTTTTGTGTTTATATTAATTTAAATATTAAAAATGAAGGGAATGTGTCCATTACTGAGACGAGATAGCTTTAGTGAAGAGGAGCAGCTATAATAACACAGTGAGTGTGATTAAGTTGAATTTTAGCTAACCAATAACTGGTGTTAAGCTGAGGCTGACACCGACCCCAATATTATCGACTAAAAAAGCCACTCAATAAAAAAGAAAAGACAAGGCCGATACAAGAATGTTCCATATACTTTTGGTCGACATTTCAGAAATTGGATTGTTGCTGAGATAGATTCCATTCGATGTCCAGTTGTTTAAAAATTCATCTCCAAACGTAAGACTAATCCTAGGTATCATGACAGTTTTAAAGATTTTAATGAACTATTCCAACACTCAGGTATTGGTAGATAACTAGGTTAAATCTTTTTTGGACAAAAGAAATGGGTACAATATTTACTCGAAAATGAAAGAGTAGATGGTTTCTAAATTTATTTTGAAGTCGAAAGATCTTATTATGAAGCAGCCATCAATGGTACTAAAATCACTGAACAAAAGGTGAGAAATATTTGATAAACTTTTTATATAAATTTTGGTCATCATTCTTTAATGTATTAAATTTATTATATATATTAATATATATTTTATTTAATATACATTATTAAATACCTTCTAAATTTATCATATTTCCAATTAAAAATAAATGAAAATATTTTTCAAATGATTAATTCAATCTAAAATTTATTTAAACTAAGAAAAACACAGGAACTATTAAATGATAAAATGAATAATTTTAAAATACTACATCAATTTAATTAATAAAAACAAGAAGATCATAATTTAATAATATAAAAAGTTAAGCAAATCATTGATTTACTTATTTTCTAGAGCTTAATACTTGTGAATATGGTTCTGATTTAGCACTTATTGTAATTACTCTAATAGATTTCTTAGTCTCTGAAATTTCATTACTCTAATTCTTTATTGTTTGTAATGGTATTCTCTTACAACTATGACCAGACTATTATTTAGAATCATTTATATGAAAATATTCTGTCTATTGTGAATGGGAAGATACAAATTTACTCTTCTGATTCTGTTCTTAAATATTTTCTATCTCCTTATCTAACATTGACGGATTGTTTCTAAATGTTTAAAGTTAATCAATTTATTATAAAAAGATCTAATTTTCATTTTCCTAATATTTATTTACAACATCATATAATATTTTTTTAGCCTCTATAGTTTTTTAATCACTTATAAATAATTAAAATTAATTACTTTTAGATTTTTTCAATTTCTTTTTATATATTAAGTTCTACTTCCAAAATGGTTTAATCTTTATCATCCCTCTCTTAAATTTGCTACGGAATCTAAGAAATACTATTTTACGTCAAAGTATTTAATATTTCAAATTAGCATTATTACAAATAAGGAATAGGGACTCTTTATTAAATTACATTGGATTAAATTGCTTAAAATGTTTATTCAGCCAATATTTTATATATTTCTATATCTCCTTATTATTTTTTTTTTATTTCAACACATTTTCCATTTTTAAATATCCCTTAAATCATCTTCATTTCACCCTATAAGATAATTATTAAATTTACACTAATAAAATAACAACCCAAACCCTCATATTTATTTTCCTTGAAACTTCCAGTATAAATATCACCATTCATCCAAATTTAACCGATATTTGTTAGATTTTAATCATTAAAAATTCCAATCCTCTTTTCTGTAGTAAACATATTCTCTATACCTAAACCTACCTATTTCCCTCTTTTCATTTTACCAAGATATGTTTCTGTAATTCCTATAGAATTACATTAATTCCTATCTAAAATTTCCTCTAAATCTAATAATCTATTTTAAAATTCATCTAATCTTCAATTCTTAAGTTACCTAACAATACATCAACTGATTCTAAATTTGTTTCAATTTATATCAAATCTCCTCTCCTATAATAAGAAACAGTTTATCCCTTCAAACATTTGCCATTTAATTACCCATACTCAAATCGATAAAATTCACTTTGACTAGAACTATAGAGTATCAATTTTATACGTGTAATTTACACATAGACCATGAAATTTATTATTTTTGAATTAACCTCTTATTATATTATCATTGATCATTATTATCCCTTCACCATGAATCATGTCTTTGTACCATTCACCAATATATATACATCCTGTAGGCCACCAGAATATACCTATTCCTTCTTTAATTCCATTTTGTAAAGTACCCTAGTAAATACCATTTCGATATGCAATCATTTAATTAATATTACTGTTAAATTTTTATTAGAAAATTTAAAATAAAAAACAATTCTAAAAATCAAACCTTTCTTTCTTAAGCATTGTCTTTCATAACAAAATCTGTCTAACCATATCTTCAAAGGTTACTAAATTAAGAAAATCATTCAACTAACTCTTTACATATAAAAATTAATATAATTGTTAAAATTAAATACTATAGAAACTCAATAGAAACAGTGAATGATATTTTTATTTAATAATATTTTCAATATATGAATATATAAATGTCTTAAAAAAGATAATTTATCTAATTTATTTTTCAATATAAACATATTATTTATTAATTAATTAATTTTAAAATTTACTTTTTTAGTTATATATATATTTTTTTCAAGAGTCGAATACATTCTAAATTAGTTATGGATCATCGACTTCAGTCACATCTGCTGATTGTTTTTCTTCCTTATCTTAAAACATAAATTATTTATTATCAATATGCTCAGGAGTACTTTAATTTTAATTGCCTCCTTTCCAATCGATTTCAAATCGAGTTATACGGGGTTTGTTATTAAAGATTTAACGTGAAATATCTTCTATAATAATTCCAGGAGGATCGTTCTCTATATTCTCTTAGGAAGTATAAGTAGTGTAAACATAGTAACCTACTCTAAAGAATTCCTTTTCTTTATAGGAACAAGTAAGAATAAAGGCTGTAATACCCAGTAATTCGTTTTGGGGAATTTTTTTCCAATCTGGAGGATTACATTCTAAAGTAAAATGTTTTGCTCCAATTTGAAGTGGTCCCATTGAGAACTAATCAAGTATTTGATCATGTGACTCATCTTTAGGAGAACCTATGAAGAGAAGCCTACAATAAAAATATTGAAATACATCCATTCAATTTCATCTTCAATATCAACTAAGACATCAAAGTAAATGTCAATATTTATAGGACTTTAGAATGGTTAAGGTTTATCATCTATAACAATATTTGTTATGTTAACTAAAGACATTAAACTTTTAAATTAATTATTTAATGAATTAATAGAGGAATAATTTTAATTTCAATTAGGTACATATGTTTTTGCTTTCTGTTTCATTTCTACTATATTAACTTTCTGTTTCTCAGATCCAAAAACTTTCGGTTACTTTTAAGTTTCAGATTTAATATTTGCTGAATCTCTTGAAATTGCCATTTCTGCTACTTTTGATGGAGTTCCTGAAATTCTTACATTATTTGTTAATTAAGTTTCAGTAAATGTTTAAGTTTAAGTTTGAGCATATGAATATTGATCACTCTCTTCAATATCAGATGCTGCAATCCCTAATAATTTAGACATCTTTAAAACTTGTATTTTTTGAATATAAGGATTCAAACCAAATAAATAGTTATATTGTAATATTTGTGTATTGATTAAAGCTAATAGAATATTGTAATAGATGTTTAAAGACTAAGTAAATTGGGCTGCAATAACAATCAATAAAAATGGTGTGTAACATATCAATTATATAAAAAGGGCCTTTTTAAGAGTCTTCTAAAAATTTTCACGAAATTTCAAAGTAAAATCTGGGGAGCTGTTACCTACTTAATAATTGATTAATACAGTTTGAGCATCTTTATTGATAAACCTGTAAAGATTGATATTAAAATTAGTATGAAAGTCAAGGGAGCAAATAAAACAATTACTTAAAATCTATTACTAGGAGGATAAAATATTCTGTAGTATGAATTATAAACAAATAAATTAAGCAAATTAAATATTATGGGGACTAAAATTGCAAAAAATATAAACTAATTTTAGGATTTCTTCATTTCATCTAAAAAATCTTTTGATTAGGTTTATAAGAGAAAAAAAGTTAAGAATTACAGTATAGCCATGAATGCTAGTGATTATTATAAGCTAAGTGAAAATGTAATCCATGTTCCTATACAAATAGGGAGTATTTCATTTTCTTACTTACACATAAACATATTTATGTATTCAACTGTAAGGGTAAGAATTGCAAAGGCATACATTAAAAATATAAGTGTATCAATAGGGTTTTTCTTTTTGCTTATTGTTAATCCTGCTCTTATTAATCCGGTGAAGATATTAATTGACATAATAATCAATTAGATAGCGTTCAAGTAATCGAACATATTATAAATAAAATAATTCTTTATAATTTTATTCAAATTTTCAGCAGTAACTTATAAGACAAATGTTTTTCCTAAAAATTGTGTTATAAAATAATAAAAAATATCATTAATAATAAAATAATTAAGAATAAGTAGAGTAAATGATAAGAGTTTCATAAATGTAATCATAAATATTTTTATTTTATTATTATTATTGTTATTATAAGGATCAGAAATCCTCTCTATCTAAAATTCTGTTACATTCAGCCAGAACTTTATTTCTTTCTTTTCCAAGATAGTAGGTGTCACCTAAATTGCACATATCAAAATATTTTTTATTGTGCTTCAAGAAGTTAATTGGTTAAAAATATAAATAAGCAATTGGCCAAACAACAAAATAAGGAGCCCATGAAAATCTCTTAGTCTAAAACATTCTGACCATAGAAACAACAGCAGCACAAGCCCAACCATCAACAATTGAAGAATAAGTCACATCATAACGATACCTAAGATATTAAGTCTAAATTAGTACTCTCTTCGAACAACATATCCCCAATCTCTTTCCTCTTATGTTTTGTAAAAATTAGTGTCAAAGTCAGCAATAAATTTCTAAACAAATGCCTTTCTCAATTTAGCAGCTTGCATTTCTTCTACTGAGTACCCTCGCTAATATTCCATCTCTTCTTTTGCATTCACATATCTACGAATTGCTCTAGACATTTTATTTAATTAATATATTATTATGAAGATATGGATGAACCAAAATAATTAACAAAAAGCAGCATGAAAGAGATTAATAAACCTAAGATATTTAGTAATACAATGAAGAAGAATTTCTATATGTCTTATTAATCTAGATAGTAATAGAAATTGAAATCTAGATTTCTCTAAACAAATACGATTGATTATACATCTATACTGCTATCATAAAAAGTTTCTATTTTGACATAAGCCATCAATTCAATTAAAAAAATGAGGATTTTAATTTAGCAACATTTCGTGTTTTAAGATTGAATGACTAAAGAATAAAATTTATAGCAGAGAGCAATTGTTTCCTTCAAAATTAAATCATTGATTTATATCCTGTTCAAATTAAAGGCATAGAAAATAGGGATGAATAATATATTGCTGCACGTTGAAGTCATTCGATTAAAATTCTTTATTTATCATTACAAATTCAGACAAATTTTTATTATTGTCCCGAATTTTAAGATCCTTATAATTGAAAAACAAGTATGGAAGTTAAATAATTGGAAAACTGAGATTGAATATTAAAAATAATGCTACTTCTTTGAAACCTTGCCTTATCGTTATGAATAAAGTAAATGGTTAAGTTGAAAAATTAATCAAATAGAACACCTCTAATCTGACTTCAAATAACATGATGATGATGTATAAATTTTATTCAATTATGTAAAATTAATGATTATAACTTGCTCAAAAAATTGGATTTATAACATTTAATTTAGATAAAAAAAAATTATTTTAAGCAATTATTCAAATATAGCTAAAATTAATATTATAAGTTCTTGATATCTAATTTAAAGAAACCTGGATGAAACTAACATCATACTAAACTTCATTATTTTTATTTTTACAGTAAAATTATAAAGTAATAAATACATACATATATAATAAATGAAATAAAATAGTTCTATTTACAAAAAATTAAAATTAATCATTTTTGTTTTCTATTTTTGTAAAAATATAAGAGCCTCTATTGTTCTAATCCAAAATAAGAATAGATTTAATTATATATATATACTTCTCACAAATTTTGTTGTTGAGCTAAGTTGACTCATATAAATCATAGGTATCTTAAAAAAGATATTGTAATTTAGTTTCTCTCCTATGAGCTTCTTTAAAGTAAGATTTTAGATATTATTTCCAACCACTAAAAATCAGAATATATATATTCAAAAAAGCCATCTTCTATGAAATCTCTAATATTGAGTGATTAAAAAAGAATAAGTTTTTCAATATTGTTTAAAAAATATCTTTTTGATTATTTTAAAGTAAGGAGAATATAAGATTGCTCCAATTATAATTATGTATTTTATAAATAATTTCATTTCTTTCTTATAGCTTCATCTTACTTTTATTGATTTTGAATTATTTATTCCTACATGTTGATTTTATTATCAAAAGCTCTATTATATTGATCAAGTAGTCTTAAACAATCCCCTAAAAATTTTTATAAAAATTCTACACTTAGTATTTAATGATTTAACATGATTTGGGTCAATCTATAAAGCTTTGTTGGCCCAAAAAATTGCTTCTTAAAATTTGAATTATAGTTTTAAACATTCAGCTAATACTTTTAAAACAATTAAACCTTTGATATAGATTAAATTGCAAAAATTAGGATAAATTTTTAAAGCATAATCTGCAAAAATGATGGCTTCATTGTATTTCGAAAGTAATCTTAAACAATCCGCTTTTAGTATTATTTTAAAGCATACCTTTAGTATATAATAAAAACAAATTATTTCTATCAATTTACAAAGCCTAATCTATCAAAATTATTGATTCAGTGTATTTACAAAGCATTTTTAAACTTTCCGCTATAATATTATTAACAATAAACCTTTAGTTTATAAGCAATTAATATTATAAGGCTAAATTTACAAGGCATTATCTGACCAAATTATTGCTTCAGTGTATTTGCCAAGCATTTTTAAACTTTCCGCTTTAACTTTTATACGATATATAACCTTTAATAAATAATGAATTAGTGTATTTAGGATTATTTTTTAGAGATTCATCCGAAACATGAATTGCTTCATTGTATTAACCAAGCATTCTTAAGCTTTCCGCTTTCATAATAAAGAAGATTGGTACCTTTGGTACATAATAATTTAAAATTATTAGGATCAATTTATAAGGCTTAATTTACACAAAAAATTGCTTCATTATATACACCTAGCATTTTTAAACTTTCCGCTAAAGAATAAATTTATATAATGCCTTTGATATATAATGAATGAACATAGTTTGGATCAATTAATAATACTTTATTTGAATATTAAATTGATGCATCGTATTTTCCAAGCTTAAATAAACATTTGGCTAAAAATTTAATTTCAAGCATACATTTTATATATAATGACTGGTGATGTTTTGGATTAATTTTTAAAGATTCATCTGCAAAATATATTGCATCATTATATAAGCCAAGCATCATTAAGCATTCAGCTTACAATTAAATAAATAATACCTTTAGTATAAAAGGAATTGCAAAATTTAGGATCTATTTTTAAAGCCTTATCTACCCAATTAATGCTTTCTTTATAATAACCTAGCATCCTTAAACATTCCCCTAAAATAACGATAGAAACTCAACCTTTGATATATAATGCATTATGATGCTTGGGATCTATTGTTAAGACTTTATCTATATAAATTAGTGCTTCAGTATATTATTAAAGCATCCTTAAGCTTTAAGCTAAAAATATAGATTTTAACTATTACCTTTAATGTAAATTGATTTACAATGCTTTGGATCAGTTTACAATATCTTATCAGCAAAAGCGATTGCTTCATAGAATTAATCAATCATACATAAACTTGCAGCTAATAAAATATAATTCAAAATGTACCTTTTGTATAAAGTGCACCATTATGCTTTGGATCAATTGTTAAGATTTCATCTGCTAAAACAATCGCCTCGTTGTATTAACCAAGAATCCTTAGGCATTCAGCTAAAAAAATTCAAAATTAATTTTACCTTTATTTTGCAAAGTAATTAAACAATTGGGTGAAAATTTCAAAGCTTCGTCTGCACAAATAATTGCTTCTTTAAATTTTTAAAGTAGCTTTAAACATTCCGCTATGAGCTAAAATTATAATTATACCTTTCATTTACAATACTTCAAGGTGCTTTGGATCAATTTATAAAGCTTTATCAATCATTATAATTGCTTCATCATATTTTAGAAGTCCTTTTAAGGTTTCCGCTATCAGATTTATATAATTAATTACCTTTAGTTTTTAAAGAATCAAGATCCTATGGTTCGATTTATAAGGCTTTATCTGCCCAAATTATTGCTTCATTGTATTTTAGAAGTGAATTTAAACTTTTGGCTAAATGTATAAAAATTTATTTATTACTTTTTGTTAATAAAGACTAGTGTTGCTAAGGATTGATTTGCAAAGAATTATCCGTCCAAATAATTGCCTCATTATATTAACCCATCATTCTTAAACATTCCGCTGATTAATAGAATAATTGAATTACCTTTATTTTGCATAGCAATTTCATTGTTCTTGTTAAAAGTTAATGCTTTATTGAAAAATGTTATTGCTTCTTCAAATTAATTATTATAACAATATAATTTATAGCCTAATCAAATAATTAAATACCTTCCTAGCATAATTCTTCTGATTTTTTAATATCATCATTAGATACTTAATAATAATTCAATTGATTTAGATTTAATTCTAAAAATAATTTCTATATTGTCTCTAAAAATTAATTTTTGGATGATTGAAATGTATTTTAAATCATTGATTAAAATGAATTGAATAAAATATTTTCTGAAAAACATTAGTGCATTTATTTATAATTTAAGTTCATGAATTATTATTCTGATATCTAATATTTTGCTTTAATTCCTCCAAGAAGTTTATAAAAATATTCATATATTTATTCCATTTGATTAACCAAATTATTTGTTAATTCATCACATTATTATTCAGTTTAAATAAGTTATTCAAATAAGTGAGGCAATTCAAATTGATATTAAGGGTGGGCTATATGACTACCCATCCTACTGCATAACATACAGTATAATCTATCAGATTTACAATTTGGATCGAAACATACTAGCTTAATGTTGAATTAGGAATGGTCTGGATATTGGCAAAAAATTTATTAGTTCTATTCATTCATTATTAATTTATTTAATAAAAAAATCGTCTTAATTTTCTTATAAGAAAAAATTAAGGATAGTAAAAGTGTTTTTGAGACAGATAATGAAAGTAGAATAATTTTTGTCATAAAAATAAACCTAGAAATATATCAGAAATATTTAATTATTATTATTTTATAACATATATTTATTGCAGGAACTATTTCGTTTTTAAAGAATTATACAGATTTTAAATAATAATTTTTATAGAGTAAAATCTAAATAATAAAAAATACATAATAATTATAAATTTTTATAATTTTAAATAATTATTAATTATTTTGGGAAATATTTATTGATATCATTGGTCTGATATCCAATTTAATTGCTGATTTCCTATCATCTAGAAAGAATATTATTACATTTATAAAATATTTGAAATAGTTCATAAACAGCAATTAAATTATTTTAAAGTTAAGATTTTAAAATTGATGCCTCGAGAATAAAAATTAATTTTTTATCTGGTTTGAATATTCAAAACTAAAGCTTACATTCTGATTTAAATAATTATGGTCTAAAAGTTTTATGTTTAAACCTTTATATATTATTTATTTATAAGATTTAAATAAAAAATAAATACTGTTATTTAATAATATTAATAAAATTTATTTATATAAGATAGAAATGTAGATATATTGTATTAAATATGAAAAGTAATTAACAAGAAATTTAAATTAAATTTAATTAATTACATAGATAAATTTATTAGGTGGCTTTTTCATAAATGAAATCTATTTAGCCTTGCATGTATCCTAAAAACATTGAAAATATATAAATTTATCCTTCTAGTTCTAATGATTTAAATCACCGATTCCATTTAAGATAAAACATGTAAGGAAAAAGAATGAAAGTATAACTCTACATGATCCTTTAATAAAAGAATCAAGAAAGCAAATTTTAATGGCTAAAACTTGAAGTTCATATTAAGAGACTTCTTTTAAATAAAAAACCTCAAGTTCCTTCTTTAGTAAAGTTCTTTGCAATTTTCATTCTTTCAGTTACAGATGTCAAGGTAAAGTAATTATCAAAGCAATTTCACAAAGAATTTGAAATGCCTTAGCTCCTTATCCAAACAAGAAAAAATTTATTTCAGAAGTTGTATTTCTTTGGCTTAAGGAACAAAGAGAGTAAATTTTATAGGTTCTTACATGTAATACTTATGGAATTAATAATGCACAAGGCAATAGATAAATAGCTGAATTAATTAGAAAAGATCAAATCTGAATAAATTTATATTTCGTATTATAGGTATACCATATAAATAAAATATGTGTAGAATATCCTAATTGATAATTTAGAATAATTTAATTTAGCATACGTAATGTAATTTTTTTTAATTGATTACATCTACAATTCTTATTAGCATCTACAAATTAAAGCATAAATATTAATTATGACTATATCATGAGGATACAGATCAAGATATAACAGAAAGCAATAAGTAATTATCCATCATCACATAAAGTAAAGGGAACTGTTAATATTCATTAGCCTATAAAAGATTTGTCTAAACTAAATGCTGCTTAGATTGTATTGGATTTAGTTATGTTTTCAATAAATTTTGTATTATAAGTGACATTTGTATCAAATTCTAGAGGTATATAGAAGTTTATTTTTGATTGGTTTATTCATTCATATATTTTATTAATATGCTTCACATATATTTTTAAATCTAATTTTTAAAAAAATCCAAAGATTTTAATGAAGGTAACTATTGAAACTATTTTATATAGTTTAACATATCATATCCCTTAACAGGAGCTTAAAAGACAGTCGAAATAGATGATGACAAGAAATGGTATGAACATTTTATATATAATATTTTAGCTCAATCTTTTTTGATAAAAGAATGGGTCAAGTAGTAGAAGCTGATAACCTTGGTGATGAATTTAAAGGATATATATTCAAAATCACAGGTGGTAATGATAAATAAGGATTTCCAATGAGATAAGGTGTTTTATTCAAGGGCAGAGTGAGAATTCTTATGAGAAAAGGACATAAAGGTTATAGACCAAGAAAAGATGGTGAAATGAAAAGAAAATCAATTAGAGGATGCATTGTTGGTTAAGACATTAGAGTCCTTGCCTTATAAGTTGTTAAAAAGGGAGCAAATGAAATTGCTGGACTTACAGATTAAAATGTTCCAAGAAGATTAGGTCCAAAGAGATTAACTAAATTAAGAAGATTATTTGGATTCAAGAAAACTGATGGTGTTGCCCTTGTTTAAAAGAATCTTATTAGAAGAACATGGACTACAAAAGATGGAAAGAAGAGATAAAAAGCTACAAAAATTTAAAGATTAGTAACTGAATCAAGATTGAGAAGAAAGACTATTTAAAAGAAGACTGAATAAGCAAGAAGAACTAAAGCAAAATAAGCTTTAGAAGCTTATAAAAAATTAGCTCATGATGTACATGAAGCACATAAGAAACACAGAAAAGCATCTTCTGAAATTAAAGAAAAGGCTTAGCCTGCTCCTGTAAATATTTATATCTATATTCATAGTAATCTAAGTAAACTAAATAAGCAGCACCAACAAAATAAGTAGCTCCAACTAAAGATGCTAAGAAAGCACCAACTTAAGCACCTGCTAAGACTGTTCCAGCTAAAACTGCTCCATAACCAACATAAAAAGCTCAACCTAAAGCCCAAACCAAGAAATGAGGTTATTATTAATATTATTTAAGTACATTATATATAAATAGAGATATTACTTATTAGATATTAAATATTTTTTTAAAATGAAGGCTCTTTTTTGTTTAGGAGTAGGAATGTTGATTACTCAAAAAGAAAACACAGTACATGCCTGGTTATATAGAGATGATATTGGTGCCTTTTGGGGTATCAAGGGTTATGAAGAACAAGTCACTGAAGTAGGTACTCATAGAGGACATATGTCATGGCCATAATATAGATTTTTGGGTACTTTTGATTCGGGAAGTGTAAGAAGAGGGTATTAAACATTCTGATTCTATAGATTTCTTGTTTTCTCTAGAAACTGTGCCAATTGTCATGGAATTGTGTATAAAAAATATGATGTTTTATTGGATAAAGTCTATAAACAATTAGAATTAGCAGCCTTAGTTAGCAATTTCACAATTCATCCTGCTCATCATCATTTCAAACAATTTTATTACTAAGAATGGGATGAGAGAGATAGATATATTCATGATAGTACTCATCCTATTAATAATTCATTATTTTAGGAATCTATCCACCTTACTTTTCTTAAGATTAAGCCAAAAATGCTAATGGTGGTGTTTGGCCAACAGATTTCTCAAAAATTAGACTTAGACCAGGAGGTATCAATTACATCTACAATATTTTGACTGGTTATCATTACAAACCTTATTAAGGATTGGATGTTCCGAAAGGAAAAGCATACAATCCCTATTTTGATCATATGATAATTGGTATGGTTAGATAATTGCATGATGGTATTAATATCAATATTCTAATTGAATAGGTCTCGTTGATTATGAAGATGGTACACCTGCATCTACTCCTTAAATGGCATTTGATGTTACAAATTTCATTTAATTTGTCTAAAGAAGAAGTGGTTTCTAAAGACCAGATAAGACTGTCAGATATTATATGTTCTTAACAGGAGTTGCTTTAATCTATCCTTTTGCTTATTTGAAGACTAGAGGATTTTATAGAAATAATCTCTCTCTTAGGTAAATTTATTTTATTTATTTAATTTAAGATGGGAAATGTATGCAGTTAGAGATGGTGTATATTATAATCACTTTAAAAAAGGATGGAAGAATTCTAGAGCTATTCAATTTAGAGGTCAAGTCTGGGCTTGATGTTATATGTCATATTAAAAATAATAAATATAATTTATTTATATATATTTCTGTATTTGTAGAAAATTCAAATAAAATTTAATACAATAACATAAATTCAAATATGCAATCTCTATTTGTAAAGTGTCAGAAATGTTAACAAAGACCAGCTACTATCAAATGTTCTTAATGTCGATATGGTTAAACTTATAGATTATGTTATTCCTGTGATTCGTAAATTCATAATCGCACAGGTCCTATCGATTAATAACATAAAACTGAAATCATTCCTTATTAGGGTACACTTATTCGCTTAAAATATAGAAATGTATCAAAAAACTTAGAATTTTGTTCCTGCTCCTGTTAAGCTAGAACAATCAAATTAAATTAAAAAGAATGAATTTAAAGCTTAACCGCCAACTAAAGAATATTTAGCAAGTGAAACAAGAAAACCTGATTATTCTAAAACTATTGATGTTAATAGAAAACCAGAATATCCTGATAGGAAATATGATTATTTAGAAAAAAAACTCGATAGCCATGATAAAAGATATGATTAGCAATACTCAGGTTTTGATAAAAAATAGTATACTTCTAATCAAAAGCCTTAGGAATTAGATAGAGGAAGCTAATCTATTATTAATTAATTAAAGGATGAATAGTAATAAACTGAAAGATTAAAAGCTGAATTGAATATGGCTAGAGATAAAGAAAAAGAGTTTTAAAAGCGATTGTAAATTAAAATTCTTATTTCAATAGATCTAAATTAGAATAGGATTATGAATCTAAACAGAGAGAAGATAAACAAAAAATCTAATAATTATAAGATGAAAATAAAAATTTAAATTAAAAACTCAACTAATCTAATAGGCATTTACAAGATGAAATCAATAAAGTTCGACAATAATATGAATCTTAACTTAATGAACTAGAATAAGCTTATAATGAAAAAGAGTAATAGTTGGAATAAATAACACAGGAATTTAATTTTGTAAATTATTTTAAAATTTATATCTTAGGAAGAAATATAAAAAAAAATCGAAGAATTATAATAAGAGTCAGATATGAAAGACTAAATTATTGAGTAATATCAATAGTAACTTTAAGATATGTAAGAAGCAATTCAATAAATTCAAGAAGAATAAGCAAACAATAGTCGTAATACAAAAAATCAATTCTCTTCAAATAAGAAATTATCAAAAAGTTAAGATAATGATAAAGATCAAATGATTTAGAATTTATAACAGTAACTTGAAGTTAAAGATGAGGATTGTAGAAGATTAGAAGGTATTTTACATGAATATATTTAATTGTAGAATTGATTGAGAATTTTAAGCCATTATATTAAAATTTAAGTGATGAGAAATAACAATTATAAGAGGAAGTTGATAAATTAGCTAATGAAAATAATCAATTCAGAGAAATCTTTAGTGTAATTTATTCCAAAAATTTAGTAAAACTTGCATTTATTCGGGATTGATCCAGAACAACTAAATGAAGATGGTGAGGACGGAGAAGGTGAATATCCTGAAGAAATAGCAGAGGAAAATGATGATCAAAATGATTGAACAATTTTACCTATATCATATTAAAAAAGATTTTATAATTTACTGAAAAAAATTTATGAAGACTATTTANTAGAAAAAAAACTCGATAGCCATGATAAAAGATATGATTAGCAATACTCAGGTTTTGATAAAAAATAGTATACTTCTAATCAAAAGCCTTAGGAATTAGATAGAGGAAGCTAATCTATTATTAATTAATTAAAGGATGAATAGTAATAAACTGAAAGATTAAAAGCTGAATTGAATATGGCTAGAGATAAAGAAAAAGAGTTTTAAAAGCGATTGTAAATTAAAATTCTTATTTCAATAGATCTAAATTAGAATAGGATTATGAATCTAAACAGAGAGAAGATAAACAAAAAATCTAATAATTATAAGATGAAAATAAAAATTTAAATTAAAAACTCAACTAATCTAATAGGCATTTACAAGATGAAATCAATAAAGTTCGACAATAATATGAATCTTAACTTAATGAACTAGAATAAGCTTATAATGAAAAAGAGTAATAGTTGGAATAAATAACACAGGAATTTAATTTTGTAAATTATTTTAAAATTTATATCTTAGGAAGAAATATAAAAAAAAATCGAAGAATTATAATAAGAGTCAGATATGAAAGACTAAATTATTGAGTAATATCAATAGTAACTTTAAGATATGTAAGAAGCAATTCAATAAATTCAAGAAGAATAAGCAAACAATAGTCGTAATACAAAAAATCAATTCTCTTCAAATAAGAAATTATCAAAAAGTTAAGATAATGATAAAGATCAAATGATTTAGAATTTATAACAGTAACTTGAAGTTAAAGATGAGGATTGTAGAAGATTAGAAGGTATTTTACATGAATATATTTAATTGTAGAATTGATTGAGAATTTTAAGCCATTATATTAAAATTTAAGTGATGAGAAATAACAATTATAAGAGGAAGTTGATAAATTAGCTAATGAAAATAATCAATTCAGAGAAATCTTTAGTGTAATTTATTCCAAAAATTTAGTAAAACTTGCATTTATTCGGGATTGATCCAGAACAACTAAATGAAGATGGTGAGGACGGAGAAGGTGAATATCCTGAAGAAATAGCAGAGGAAAATGATGATCAAAATGATTGAACAATTTTACCTATATCATATTAAAAAAGATTTTATAATTTACTGAAAAAAATTTATGAAGACTATTTATAATGATTTTTATTTTTAATCTAATACATTTTTAATAAAAATTAATAATTAATACATTCTGATCTTTTGTTTTTTTCTTAATATTTATTTACTTCAAAAATATTAGAAAATATTTGATGTAAATTGTGACGAATTTTGTATCAAATTTAAATACTTTCGTTGATTTTCTTTAAATTTAAAACTTTAGCATTTGGTCCATTCTTTAATACATCCAACCAAATCAACCGAATACTAATAATAAAAACTCAATAATGTCAAATATTAATTTAATTTAAAATAAGAGGATTATGAATTTGCTTATTGTATGATATATTAATTTTTTAGTATAACATTATCGTTATAAGTAAAAAATAAAAAACTTTTAAAAATTCTAGTATTGAGGGTTATATTTGCGAATCTTGGGATTTTCGTACATAATACTTGAAATTTTTTTTTAGAATGCAATAAAAATTATTGTCAAATTTTTCTTTAAAATATAATTATCTAGGAAATTTTGAAAATTATAGAATGGTTTAAATTAACAGATATTGATGGAATAGGTAATTTAGAAACCATAATAACCTTAATTGAAAGATTGGTAGATATAAAACCAGTTTTTATCTACTAAACCATATTTTAAAAACAAAAGAATTTAATTGTTGATACTCTAAAAATCAGCTAATTGTGTCTAAAAATAATTTATTTATCGAAAAGCTTATTCTGCATAGAATTAAAAAGATACTATTTTACACATTTTCTAAAAAGAATATCAACACACTCAAACCAGCAATAATAAATTAGATTATTGATTATAAATGAATTTTAGTTAATTTAATTACATAATTTTTTAATTCAATATTAAATATATAAAAATTAACAAAAAATGCCTATCTATAATGAAGTTTGGGAAGAGGAAGGTATGATGTCTAATTAATATGAGATTTTATGTTTAGAAATATGATAAATTTATAAACATTAACAAAGAATCATGTAAAATTATTGGATAATCTTAAATTTGAGTTTGTTGAATATAAAGTAATTATATATAATATTGCAGGCTAATCAATTATTAGCTTGCCATCTTTATGATAGAATGGCTTAACATTGTAAGAATCAATTCGGTCTTTTTGAGGACTCTTATGTACCAGAATGTTTAGATGCTAGAAATTATTTCTAATTATGTGTTAGAATGAATGCCTCTTATGGTCTAGCCAAAAAGTATTTCCCAGAGTAATTAAATTAGATAATTATAGATATTTCTTAACCAACGAATACTCAAGACCAAATCCCAATTTTAAGGAATTAGGACTTTGATCATCCATTCATTATATAAAATAAATAAATTCACAATAATAGAAAGTCTTAACAATTCCTCCTTATATTATATTTCTATTTAATTAATGAATCAATAAATTGATGATTTAATAAGATAAAACGAATTATAGTAGTTTTAAAAGCTGATTTACATTTGAAACTTCAGGAAAATTTTTACATAATGTACGGGAAATAAAACATATAACATAAAACTATTAAAGAAATATCATTAATTAAAAATTAAATAAATATTATAAAAATATACTTCATTCAATTTCGCAATGTAGATTTTTTTTGTTCTATATTATAAAAGAATTTATAAAGAAAAAAATGTTTATCTTTAAATTCACTTATTAAAAACGGCAATTAACCAAAAGGCCAATAGATTAATGTATAAGCATTTAATTTTTTATTATTATTTATAGCAGTAATAGAAATGCTATACTAACTTACATTTCTATACTTCTAGCATTAAATGTGTAAATGGTCTTATAAAATTTTAAAATAACACATGATCAAAAATGATTAACGCATTTCCAAAATTAATATTACTTCTAAAAAATTAAAATACTTAACCTCTATTGATTTTTAACTGTCACTACTCAGATATCCTTCTTAATGGTAAATTTGTTGAAGTGGAAATACTTTATTTTGCAAAAGATCTCTAATTTAAATTAAGTACTATTTATTCTCTTGAAAATTCTTTTGAATTCAAATTTAAAATACTCTAAATAAAATATTCAAATATGAATGTAAATAATATTAATTATTGAGTTTTTAAAAATTATAAAAATTTAATCATTTATAATTTAAATGTGTTCTTAAAGTGGTTGTCCTAAAGTTAATTTATAGAATAAAATTTCTAAATTTATAGATTTTCAAATTTATACTTAATTAATCTCGAACGCAATTTCTAAAGAAACTTAAAATAAAATTATTTACGAAATTTAAAGTTTCTCTTGATTTTGTATCTTTAATTTATGCAGAAGGCATAGAAAATGCAGAATGGTATTTGCAACTTAATATTTCAATCAAATATCTTCAGATATTTCTGATTTTAATGGAAAAAAGCTTTTGAATCAAAATAATTGGATAGAATAAATTAGTTATGAACCAATATTTTGATAAAAATTTGGTTAAATTTAAAATGTTTAATTTTTGAATTTTTCTATTTTCATTGTTTTTAGATATGTATTTGCTTAATTTTAATATGAAAAACTATATAGATAATTTAAATAAAAATAGAGCTATTAAAAAGTTCATAGGATATCATATAAAGACTAGAACTTTCGTAAATACTCAAGAAATAAAAATTTTTGAACTGTTTTTATCAAAAATTGTTTTATTATATGCATAATTAATCAACTCATCATAGTATATTATCTTTTATATATTAATTTACCACATTATGAACAATAATAATATTTATCTTTGCAGTCTTCCATGACAAATGGCAACCAGCACAAAGGCCAGAAAAATATTAAAAGCAACAGAAATGCCAGAAAAACTTATCCTCCAATTTTTCTTTATTATACAAGATTATATGGCCTATTACAATAAAAGCATAATTTATCTCCTTCCAAGATTATACCAGGTTAAAAGTTAAAACTAATATGAGAATGATAAAAATATACCCAATATTAGTTGATTAAGGTGGATAGTTACCTTGAAACTGATTTGGATATACTTATTAATAAGGTTATCCTTAATATTATGGATTTTAAATTTAATTAGGAGGATATCCACCTTATTACTATGGATAAACTGCCATTTAATTTTAGTAAGGTCCTTAATTTTATTGATTAAATTGATTTTGATGGTACANCTCTAATTTAAATTAAGTACTATTTATTCTCTTGAAAATTCTTTTGAATTCAAATTTAAAATACTCTAAATAAAATATTCAAATATGAATGTAAATAATATTAATTATTGAGTTTTTAAAAATTATAAAAATTTAATCATTTATAATTTAAATGTGTTCTTAAAGTGGTTGTCCTAAAGTTAATTTATAGAATAAAATTTCTAAATTTATAGATTTTCAAATTTATACTTAATTAATCTCGAACGCAATTTCTAAAGAAACTTAAAATAAAATTATTTACGAAATTTAAAGTTTCTCTTGATTTTGTATCTTTAATTTATGCAGAAGGCATAGAAAATGCAGAATGGTATTTGCAACTTAATATTTCAATCAAATATCTTCAGATATTTCTGATTTTAATGGAAAAAAGCTTTTGAATCAAAATAATTGGATAGAATAAATTAGTTATGAACCAATATTTTGATAAAAATTTGGTTAAATTTAAAATGTTTAATTTTTGAATTTTTCTATTTTCATTGTTTTTAGATATGTATTTGCTTAATTTTAATATGAAAAACTATATAGATAATTTAAATAAAAATAGAGCTATTAAAAAGTTCATAGGATATCATATAAAGACTAGAACTTTCGTAAATACTCAAGAAATAAAAATTTTTGAACTGTTTTTATCAAAAATTGTTTTATTATATGCATAATTAATCAACTCATCATAGTATATTATCTTTTATATATTAATTTACCACATTATGAACAATAATAATATTTATCTTTGCAGTCTTCCATGACAAATGGCAACCAGCACAAAGGCCAGAAAAATATTAAAAGCAACAGAAATGCCAGAAAAACTTATCCTCCAATTTTTCTTTATTATACAAGATTATATGGCCTATTACAATAAAAGCATAATTTATCTCCTTCCAAGATTATACCAGGTTAAAAGTTAAAACTAATATGAGAATGATAAAAATATACCCAATATTAGTTGATTAAGGTGGATAGTTACCTTGAAACTGATTTGGATATACTTATTAATAAGGTTATCCTTAATATTATGGATTTTAAATTTAATTAGGAGGATATCCACCTTATTACTATGGATAAACTGCCATTTAATTTTAGTAAGGTCCTTAATTTTATTGATTAAATTGATTTTGATGGTACACTGCCTCGTAGGGGGGTCGATCGTATTATGGTTGAGAATATTACATCTTGTGTAATTTATTATTTATAGAAAAATTACTAATAATAAATATTTTTGAATAATAATATGTATTTAAATCTATTGCAATTCTTATCATAGGATGTCTTAACTCTAATAAGGATTTATTTAAAAATAAATTAAAAAAAAGCTTAATAAAATTATTGAAGGAACAGAAATCCATAAGACTTGTACCTCATACAAATAATAAGATGAAACTTAATAATTAAAACATCTTTCCTCTTTATAATTTGAAATAGCAACAAAATTTTCTTTAAAGTTAAAATACATTTTCTTATTTTCAATAAAAGACTAGCTAAGAAAAATGATATACTCTATACTAGAGTTAGATATCTTTAATAAGTGTTTTTCTTCTAGAAAAATTGAATTTAAATATTAATCTGCTGAATAAATTATTGGATTTTACTTATTTTCTTCGTTAAAAAACAAAAAATCAGGTTTATTTTCATGCTCTTTTTCTTACTTTTCGCAAGTATAAAACTGAAATGTATTTCTAACAAAAAGATTGAATCCTATTTTTTGAAATTCTGGTTATAACTAATTAAGGATCCAGTTAGGGAAGAAACTAAATTCAATAAACAATGTTGAATTATCAATGCAATCATCTCTCATTTTTGAATTTTATACGTAAACAGTGAAATTAGATATATCAATCAATGTATCTCCAAATTTTAAAAAGTTTATTTAAAAAAAAATTGTGTTACGAATATTGAGAATTGAAGTGACTAAAATTTGTTATGGATCAAAATCTTTTCTTTCCGCTTAAAATGGTGTTTCAATTATTTTATCATTTAAACTAAAGCATAATTAAAACCCATCATCTACAAAAGAATTTAAATAATTTCCGAGCTTCATTAAATTAATCTAAGATGATGTTTGATTATTGTTATAATCATTAAAATAAATTAAGGGTTAAATTACCATTTATTAAGAATCCAAATCAAACATTTTAATATTGGTATAATCAAGCTCTGTATTACTTAAATAACATTAGCTTCTGGTGCAACTCTAACAATTTTAAGTGCATTTTGAAGGTTCAATTTAACTCAATTAGCTAATTTTACCTTAATTTCCAAAAATTAGCTCAATTTCCAATCCATTTATAGTTTATATATACATAGAAGTCTCTTTATATTAAATTTCAAACATTTTTGATTAAACAATTTGTAAAATATAAAAAAGGATGCCTATCATTTTCTAATTCTATATACAAAATTGATTTTTATTATCAATAATTTTATGTAATGATAATCAAATTAAATATATGAAAATTAATTTAAATAACCTTAACAATAATAAATAAGACTATAAAATGATTTACTTCTGTTGTTGTTAAAATAAGAAGATATCTAAAATTGAGAAGAAGTCTTAAAAATTATAAATAAACTCAATATTTTTATAGAAATATTATATAAATCATCTAATATTTTTATTTAAACTTTTTGATAAAGTTTCTTGGATTCTTTTATTTAAATTAATGAGTTTCTAGTCGACAGAATCAGTATTAGGAGTTTTATTAACAGTAGCATTATTATTATTGATAGAGCTGGTTAATTTATTAGTATTTATAATCTCTCTATTTTCTTAACTTAATGTCAATTAATCAAAAGTTTTTTAAACTTATTGTTATTATTACTGATGTAACTAAAATGATGAATTTAAAATAGATGACTTATTAGCCAAACTAAGATCGAAATTAGGAAATTGCATATCTTTGGCATTAATTAAAAACTATTGCAATTCTAGCCAATCAGGTCTTTAATTGAAATCAATGATGAGCATTTTTTTAAGTATAGAATCAACTCTCCCAGGATAAAGTTATTTCAACTATTCGAAAGAATCATTAAGATTAATGATATTCATTGTTCCAGACTCAAAGATGTGATCAGAGTTTTTGAGAAGGCAAAGAGATAATATAATCATACTAGGAGATGTAAATAAATAAATATATACCCTAATCCAAAAACATCTTATTTAAATCGATTGACTCTTAGATTTCCTCCTGATTCTGGTGATTTATATTAATTTTCAAATAAATTTGGTGCTCTAGCTCTGAATGGGCTAACATCTTGAATTCGATAGAGTAGATATTCTTCATCAAAGTAGACTGATTCTAAGGTCAAGGCAGAGTGGGTGATTCCTCTTTTTTGAAGAAAAACAAAAGCTTCGCATAGTCCTGAAATCATTTTCCATATTTCTTCTTCTGGGACATATTCTTGTGTTTTTGATCTTTTATCGATCAACTATTTAATATCTAAGGGGAGATATTCATAGAAGATTTTGAGTTATCTGTTTTGGCTAAATTTATCACTTAGTTCTTCAAAGAAGATAAAAGAGACTAGATTTGGGTGTTTCCATTTAGTTCTTTCTTAGATAGCATTAACTTCTTCAGGGCCAACAGTATTAGTCCAACAACATAAGTACTTAGCAAAAGGATCCAATCTATAGATGGATGATGTAGGTGAGATGTCAATAACATGATTGATGGAAGTATAAGCAGTGATCATATAATCTTTAGGATTTTCATTAGGTTATCTGGGTCTTGGCTCATTTTATATGACAGGATTATAAGATTGTGTAATTTTGTGTAAGGGATAAGGTTATTGTCTTTGAGCAACACAATATTCTGGGTACATGTAATAAATTTCTGTTAAAAATAAAATCAAGTATAAAATAGATTAATTTAGAGAGATTTTTTCTATTTAATAAAAGAAACTAACAAATTCGAATATGAAAATGATTGATATTATTAATAATAAAAAATGTTTAGAATGTTTGATCCAATGTATTAATCAATGAACTAGATACTAGAGGAGAGTAATAACATTTTGTGGTTAGGAGATTGCACAGCAGCATATGATAGAAGTTTATTAGATGGTAAGGGAATAAGAACAGTTTTGACAGTTGCTTCAGGATTGAATGTATAATATTCTGAAGGAGGAATGATCCATAAAGTAAATTAAAAATTGAATTTAAAAAGGTGTATCATATTTTAGATGTTGAATCATCTAATATAGCAAGACTGTTTCCAGATACAAACTAGTAAATATCTGAAGGTTTAAAAAGAGGAGGAGTGTTAGTTCATTGTGCAGCAGGAGTTTCAAGATCAGCATCTGTGGTTATAGCATATATAATGAAAACAAGAGGATGGTTATTTTAAGAAGCATTTGAATATGTGAAAAAGAGAAGAAATGTAGTGTTTCCAAATTATGGTTTTCAAAGACAATTAAGAATTTATGAAAAAGATTTGAAATAAAACATGGGATAATGGAATTTCGATACACCAATAAAACAAATATAGAAATCTTAATAAGATGGATATAAGGAGAATGGATAATAGATCAATGTTTAAGAAAAGAAGACAAAAATATAGAAAGGGAATCCAACATTTTTTACACCTTAAAAACAATATCAAAAGGTAAGATAATTAGTGAATTCTGGACAATAATATTAAATGGAGTAAAAGAGAGCAAATTCTTAGGGAAGGAGTAATCTAGTTGATTCAAGATTCAATTTTACAAATCAACGTCCTTTGATAATATAGTATTAACAGTAAAGAAACTAAGGAGTGGATAAGATGCCTGAGATAAAAAAGAGGAATTTATACAAGTGAATATTATAATTAATTAATGAATCCTCGGAGAGCTTAATCAAGTGGAAATAGAGCCTCGTCTGCTGTAAAACGAGTGGCTATGCCAAATGGATACACTTTATACAATTAAAGTGGGCAGAAATTTCATTTACCCAATATGAAGAAGTATTGCAGTTATATGAATGTAAAAGTGCATCGCTACGTTCAATGGAAGAGGCAGAGAATAGAGTTAAAGCATCAACATTATAGCCGATGCATAGCGAAGTTTAGACAATAGTACACCAAAGACCATAAAGTACAATAGAGGTAAAACATATTTGAAATTGATTTAGACCCCTGCAGTGATGATGAATAAGTACATTAATTACAGAATAGCATAACCATATTCATGCACAGTGGATGTGAATGCTCGTTTATGGGAAGCAAGTAAAAACACAACTATTGGATTAAAAAGAGTTTCCTCTGCTGTTAAAAAAGAAGAAACTGAATATTAATAAGATTGTGAAACTATTAGTGGCACTTTAAAACCATATGAATTTCTATCCTCTCTTGGTGGTAAAATGATTTCAAATGAACCATCCAAATAATAATCTATTGATGTTTCCAGATAAAATCATGCATAATAACCTCGTCCTTAAACTGTGACATCTATTGGCAAAATGGACTTTACTATCATTTAAGAATAATAATAAAAACAATCTGAATAATAATAAAGATTATCCTCTGCTTAATAAACATTATCTAGACCTCCAATTTCTAAAAGACCTATGACTTCTATTTAAAGACCTTAATCTTAAGCATTCGATAATTTTGAAAGCAAAAGAGTTAAATAAGATCGTATTTAAAGTGCTACTCTTGATGTCTTTCAAAAACCAAATCAAAAACATAAAAAATAAATCACTGACATGATTGATTAATAAGTATAAAGACCCTAAAGTAATTGGAGTCATTAAAGACCCTTATCTTCTAAAACTACTGCTCCATAATCCTTTTTCAAAATCTACACTAAATTTACAAATGTTAGTGCTCTTGATTTACCATATGAAGAACTTTTTGATAGAAATGAAAGAACAGTAGCAGCTACTTTTGCAAGATTTGGAGATCTTGGTTATTATTCACCAATTTAAAGAATTGGAGTTTACATGCAATTTTCTGCAAAGTTGAAAAAAGAACATTTACTTAAAATTATTGATTTATAAAAAACTATGAGTTCTGCTGAAAAAACAGATGGAGAAGTACCTATCCAATTAGCTATTGTAAATGAAATGTTTCCTTAATAAGGAAGAGATAAAACAGGTATTAATTCTGGAGCTAATGATGCTTTAACAAGAGAACCTGTGTCACTTTGTTTATATCCAGAATATTTTGATGATAATGATGAAAATATTGATTAAATGGAGTTGTCTCTTAGAAAATTCAATGAAATGTTAGCCATAATGAATGGTAACTATGATCCTTCTCTTCTATGTAAAGATGATTACGTTCACATTGATAGAGAATTCTGGCCAGAAAACATACTTAAATAAGTACTTATCTCTGAAGAAAGATATCGTAATTACATATCTGGAGATCATATACGAAATGATGAAGTTCCAAAGTTTAAAAGAGAATGGATTCTCAATGCATTCAATTTGATTAAACCAGAATTATTACGTAATGAAGAATGCTCTAGATTGATTGTGAAAGAGATTTTAGAATTATTTCGTGAATATATGAAGAGGGCCATGCTTGATTATATATTAAGATCCCCTGAAGAAAGAAAGAGATTGCATATCACTTTGCTTCCAAGATCATTTATTCATTCTGCTCAAAGAATTGCCAGAGAAGGAGGTTATAATATGAAATTGTTTCCAGATTGGCATGATTTTGTACAAAGAGGTAAAGATTTCTGTAAAAGTAATCTAACTCTTATTTCAACGATCAATTAAGGTTTATCAGATTGGATTTAAGATTTTAATTCCTTTAAATTATGTGATTTAAGTAAAATGAAACAAGTTGCTAGGTTGGGTTATACCTTCACATTTTAAGAATTCTAAAGGGTATAAACTATTTATAAATTGAATGTTCTTTGTCTCTTGGAAAATGTCTGGTTTAGAGGAGTCATGTTGATAATTAAACTTTAAAAATTCTTAAGGCAAAAACAATACAAAAGTTCATGGACTATTACAGGACCAAAGTTTAAATAATAATAATTAAGATAAACAATACTTGAAATCATCCCTGAAGAAGATTTTATTGATGAGGATAATGTCATCTATAAGGGTGAAGAAAACCCCTGTTATATATCTATTAAAGAGGCCTTGTAGTTCTATGCTTCTAAAACTACTTAACCTTATAATTTTGATCGTTTTAAAGATTCTTGTTAAGCACTCAATGCTTTTACAGAATACCATGTGATGTTACAAAATCCAAATCCAATAGAATCAGAAAAATTGTCATAATTCTAATTAGAAGATATCAGGTAACAGCAAGATGAAAAACCATACAAAAAATTAGAAAAAGAATAAAGAAAAGCAATCACATCTAATGCAACTGTTTTATTGCAACTATAACTGAGAGGCTTCATAGACAGATCTTTATAACATTTTGAATTCCACATTTTAAATATTGATATTCCTAAACAATTTGATATTGAGGTTACTGACACAGATTTTACAAGTTTGATCTAAGCTTGTTAAAGTCTCAAAGATAGAGAATTTATCCCTCCTAAATGGAGTTTACTCTAATAACCTTATGATCCATTCATTAGATTGGAGTTAGTAATAGATAATGAATTTGTTAAAGTAAAAGAAAATGAAGAATAAATTAAAAATGAATTTGTAGATGCATTCAGAAGTATTATTATATCGTTTGATAAATTTTTACATCCCAAATTTGCAAAGGTTACTTATAATCCAAAAGAATCGACCTAATAAGTTCAATTTAGAAATTTCTAATTCAATTTTGATCAAGATATGGGAGGAATGACAAAAGATGACTTTTAAAAGTTTTTCAAATCTTTTTGGCCATAAGTAAAAGTAGAAGAAAAATAACAAAAAGAGCATCCAGAATTATTATTGGCATCAGAAGAATAAAGAGAAGTTTATTAAGAGAAAAAATATATGACAGTTGCATCAATTGAAGAGGGATGTTATTTAGCTTAAGAAGCTAGAATTCTAAAACATGTTAGTGAACATTATAAAAGGACACTCTAAGTTATTTAATATTTCTAGCAATTCACTCAATTCTTTAATAAAGCATATGAAAAAGAAATCAGATCATTAAAGAAGGCTCTAACTAATGAAGAATTCAAAATGTATATGGAGATTTTAAATAAATATCGAACATTATTGGATAAAATACCTCCAACAATTCAATTTCCTCTATTTTAAGTAAACTGCGAATCTGTATTATCGAATGTAAAATAAATGATCAAAGAATACAAGGATAGATTGTTTATAAATTTTGAATCAGTTTTGATAGATTAATCAAAAGTTATTTCTGATCGATACTTATAGATCAGTACCTACATAAGAAGATCCCTTAAAACACCTGAAGATGTTGAGGCAATGGATAAGTACATAACTGATGTTGGGTAAGAGAGAGTAAAGATACGTACAAATACAACAGATATCTTTATTAAGGTTATGTTCTTATTAAAACAAGATTATGTGATAAGCGAGTAGTTGTTATTGTTATCAGAAGAATTGTATCATAGGCCTGCATAACTAGATAAGGAATTGATTGAATAAGAAGAGAAACATTAGATTGAGAGAGGAAGATTAGAAGAGGAATTAAAGAAATAGAGATCTTAATTTGAGGAGAGAGTGGCTAAATATTGTGAAGAGATACATAATCTTGAAACTTTTACTGAAAGATCAAAATATAAAGGATATGTTAGAGAAATTGAAGAATTTGAATAGAAATTAGCTGAAGCAGCTGCAGAAATGCAAGAGATTATATAAAAAGAATTGACTTTATTTGGATACCCATCATAATTTGATAATTTTGTGAAACTCTAAACTGAAATTTAACCATATTCAGAAATGTGGAAATCGATAGGTTTGTATATGGAAAATAAAAAGAAATGGATGGGGGGTCCAATTATGGATGTTGATTATAGTGATGTGGAGGCTATATTAAAGAATTAAGTTAAGGGCAATATGAAATTAGGGAAAATGTTTAGATAGAATAGTATTCCATTTAGAGTTTTGGGCGAGTTTAAGGAAGATGTTGAGGCTATGATGGAACATAGTAAGACTTTGGAAGTACTATCAAATCCAGGTTTGCGTGAAAGACATTGGAAATAGGTTTAAACAATACTTTCCTAACCAATAAACTATAAAGAAGTATCTTTAAGAGAATTAATAACTTATAAAGTGGATTAATTCATTAATGATATGGAAGAAATATCAGAAAATGCTAGTAAGGAATTCACTTTAGAAAATGCGTTAGCAAAAATGAAGAAGGAATGGGATAGTGTAAAATTGGTAGTAATAAATTACAAAGGTAGAGGAGTACTTATTTTGTAGGGATAATCTGTTGAAGAAATTCAAACATTATTAGATGATCATGTTATTAAATCATAAACAATAAGGGCTAATCCTTTGATAAAATTTATGGAGGAAGATGCAATAAGATGGGAGAAATTAATGACGTTTATTTAATAAATTCTTGAATTATGGATTAAAGTTTAAGGTATGTACTTATATTTGGAGCCTATATTCAGTTTTGAAGATATAATAAAGACATTGTATGATGAGAGTGAGAAATTCAAGAAGGTTAGTAGTAATTGGAATTTGATAACAAAGGCAGTGGAAATGGAACCATTAGCATTGAATTTAGAGAAGATTCCAAACTTAATGGACATATTATAGACATCATTAAGATTGATTGAAGAAATACAGAAAGGATTAGAGAATCATTTAGAAATAAAGAGATTAGAATTTCCTCGTTTCTTTTTTTTATCAAATGATGATTTAATCAATATTTTGGCAGAAACAAGAGACCCTTTATTGGTATAACCTCATATGAGGAAATGTTTTGAGGGAATAGAGGAATTAATATTTAATTCAAATACTGATATATTGGGTATGAAAAGTGTAGAGAAAGAAGAAGTTAATTTTGATAATAAAGTATCTCCAAAAGAGTTTAAAAATTGTGTAGAGAGATGGTTATTAAAAGTAGAAGAAGAGATGAGGAGTAGTATTTCTCATTTGATAAGATAATGTTTTGGAGAATTATAAGAATTACCAGTATTATTAAAATGGATTCGTAGGTGGCCTGGTTAATGTGTATTAGCTTGTGCTTGTATAAACTTTACAAATCAAATAGAGAGTACAATAAAAACAGGGAAGACTCTAAATAAATATGGGAATGATAGAGTTAATCATTTGAATGAGATTGTATCTTTAGTAAGAGAATCTTAATAATAAAATGAAAGATAATTGTTATCAGCTTTAATTGTGTTGGAAGTACATCACAATGATATTTTATAAGAGTTGATAAAATTAGAGATGAAAGATACAAATATATTTGAATGGACATCATAATTAAGATATTATATGATGGAAGATACTAGTGTTTCTGTAAGAATGGTTTAAACATCAATAACATATGGAAATGAATATTTAGGTATAGGTAGTAGATTAGTTATTACTCCATTAACAGATCGATGTTATAGAACATTAGTTGGCGCATTACAATTGAATTTGGGAGGTGCTCCAGAAGGTCCTGCTGGTACTGGTAAAACTGAATCAACAAAAGATTTAGCTAAAGCAGTAGCTGTATAATGTATAGTCTTTAATTGTGGTGAAGGATTGAATACTCATGCTATGGCTAAATTCTTTAAAGGATTAGCAAGTGCTGGTGCTTGGTCATGTTTTGATGAATTTAATAGAATAGAATTAGAAGTTTTATCTGTTATTGCATAATAGATATTACAAATTTAATAAGCTAAATCTATGTAGATTGACTCTTTCTTATTTGAAGGTACAGAATTACATATCTAATAATCATGTAATATATTTATTACAATGAATCCTGGATATGCAGGTAGATCTGAATTACCAGATAATTTAAAAGCTCTCTTTAGACCATGTGCTATGATGGTACCAGATTATGCACTTATCGCAGAAATATCTCTATATTCCTTTGGATTTGTTGAAGCTAGAGCTCTTGCTAAAAAGATTGTTGCTGTCTATAAACTCTGTTCAGAATAATTATCAAGTCAAGATCATTATGATTATGGTATGAGAGCAGTTAAAGCAGTCTTAACTGCTGCATAATTACTCAAAAGAAAATCTACTGAAAGAGAAGACATTCTTATTTATAGAGCTATTGGTGATATTAATTTACCTAAATTCTTAACCAATGATGTCATGTTATTCAATGGTATCATGAGTGATCTATTTCCAGATGTCAAAGTTCAACCTATAGAATACAAAAATTTATAAGAAGCTATGCATCAAGTTTTACAATCTTAAAATATGTAAATTGTACCAAACTTTAAAAGAAAAGTTTTATAATTGTATGAAATGATCAATTGTAGACATGGACTTATGTTAGTTGGTTAAACTATGAGTGCCAAAACTGCTTGTTATTAGGTTTTAGCATCAACTCTTACATACTGTCATAAAAATGGCTTGCAAGATGAAAGATGTGTGTAATATCATGTTTTAAATCCTAAATCTATAACTTTAAATTAATTATATGGTTACTCTGATCCAGTAAGCAAGGAATGGACTGAAGGAGTATTGGGTGAAATCTATCGTAAATGTGCTACATCCACTTCTTAAGATAGACAATTTTTAGTATTTGATGGCCCTGTTGATGCTGCTTGGATTGAAAATATGAATACTGTACTTGATGATAATAAAAAATTATGTTTAATGAGTGGAGAAACAATTGCTATGACTGATAGAATGACAATCATATTTGAAGTTCAAGATTTAACTTAAGCATCTCCTGCAACTGTTAGTAGATGTGGTATGGTATATTTATAACCAGATTAATTGGGGTGGTTTAATATATTTTTGAAACAATTACAAGAGATTTAAAATGTAGATTAAAATATAATTATGCGTATTTCAGATCTTTTTGAGACTATAGTTGATAAATCTTAAAAATTTGTTAAGTAAAAGTGTCATGAATATGAATAAGTGCCAGAAAATTCATTTTGTATACATACATTATCAATGTTGATTCAATTAATTTAAAATTATCCAGAGGCTATAAGGAAAATATAGGATCCAAACATTTTGATTGATGCATTCTTTATTTATTCAGTAGTATGGACAGTGGGAAGTTCAGTAGATGAGATAGGTCGTAAACATTTTGATTAATATTTAAAAAAGTTAATGAAGGAACCATTAAGAAATGAAAATAAGAAGGATGTGGTAATAAAAATTGATAAGTAATCTCAGATTCCAGAATTATCTAATACAAACATTTATGATTTTTTTTATGATCCTGAATTACTAAAATGGAGAGTATGGAAAGAATTATTATAAGATTCAAAAATTCCTGAAAATATAACATATTAAGAGATTTTAGTAGAAACATCAGAATCATTGAGAATAACTGCAATTATTGATAAATGTATAAATCGTCATTCTCCATTATTGATAATAGGGCCAAGTGGTGTAGGTAAGACTTGTTATATTCGAAAGTATATATCACAATTGAATAACTATTTAAACATATTTGTAAATTTTTCGGCAACAACAAGTGCTAATAAAACATAGATGATAATTGATTCTAAAGTGGAAAGGAAGAGAAAAGGATTATATGGACCTCCTTTGGGATTTATAGGACTAATTTACATAGATGATTTGAATATGCCTGCTCCTGATAAATATGGAACATAAGCACCATTGGAATTGATACGTCAATTATTAGGTACTAAAGGATGGTATGGAAATGACAGATAATTTATGCATATTTAGGATTGCAATATTGTTGCATCAATGGGTTTACCAGGAGGAGGTAGAAGTTATGTTTCTCAAAGATTATTAAGATTCTTTTAAATAGTATCAATAGTAACTCCAGATATTAGTAATGTTGTACATATATTTACATCTATTATCTCATGGCATTTAAATAATATAAAAATTGAAAACACGGATAATGATATTCGAAAGAGTTTTGGTTATGCAATAGAGGCTACAATAGATTTGTATATGTAGATAAGGGATCAGTTAAAGGCAACTCCAAGGAAGTCATGGTATATACTTAATATGAGAGATATAAGTAGAGTAGTTTAGGGAATGACTTTGGTGTTGAATGCAAAAGAATTATCATTAGATCATAAAAAAGTATAGAGATTATGGCTACATGAAACTACAAGAACATTTTTTGATAGATTGGAATAAGTTGATCATGAATAATATTAATTGATGTTGGCTAATTCAATTAAACTTAAATTGAGAGATGATTTAAAACATATGATTAAACCATATGATGATATAGCAAGCATTAAATACAATATCAAAAGTTATTATTGGTCTGACATTTAATTAGAAGAAGAATCTAATGTTAAAAAATATACTGAAGTAATGTCATCAACTAGAGTATATTCAAAATTATCATATTATTTGGACGATCTTAATTCTAATACAAAAAAACCATTGAATTTAGCATTATTTGATTATTGTGTTGAACATCTTCTAAGAATTTAAAGAGTATTGAATATGACTCAAGGTCATTTATTGTTAATTGGTTTAGGAGGATCAGGAAGATAGAGTTTGACTAGATTATCATGTTTTATAAAAGAATAAGAATTCTTATAGATTGAAGTTGGAAAAGGGTATAATTATGAATAATGGAAGGAAACTATGTAAAAATTAATGATAAATGCTGGAGCAGATAATAAAGAGATTACTTTATGTATTTCTGATTCACAAATAAAGAGACCTTTCATTTTGGAAGATGTAAACAATTTACTTAATACAGGAGATATTCCTAATTTATTTGGATAAGAAGATTTTATTCCATAAATAGATAAATTAAGATTAAAAGCTAAAAAGGAAGGTAGATAATAATTATTTGATAATGGAAATAATGCATAATTTTATGATTATTTTATAGAATGTGTAAAGAAAAAATTACATGTTGTATTGGCAATGAGTCCTATTGGTGATACACTTAGATCTAGAATAAGAATGTTTCCAAGTATTGTAAATTGTACAACAATTGATTGTTTCCATTAATGGCCAGAAGATGCTTTAGAAGCTGTAGCTAGAAAATTCTTAGAAGATATATCAATTAAAGATAGTTAACAAAGATTGTTAGTTGCTTAATGCAAATATATGCATTCCTCATTATAAATTATTAGTGATTAATTTAAATCTTAAGAAGGAAGACATAATTATGTTACTCCTAGTAGTTATTTTGAATTATTAAAAACTTTCTAAGCTGTTTTAAATGTGGAAAAAACTAAATTGGAAGACACTAGAAATATGTATAAAAATGGAGTAACCAAATTAGATTAAACATCAGATGAAGTCAAAAGAATGGAAGCTGAATTAATTGAAAAATAACCTAAATTGGTTGTAATGAATGAAGAAGCTACTAAATTAGCATTTATTATTAAATAATAAGCAGATGCAATGGAACCTAAAAGAATATAAGTATAATAAGAAGAAACTAGAGTTTCAGAATGTGTTAAAGAAGCTGAAATAATCAATTAAGAATGTGAAAAAGAATTATCTGTAGCAAAACCTAAATTAAAATAAGCAGAAGAAGCATTAAATACATTATCACCTGCAGATATTAATTCTATCAAAGCAATGTTAAAACCACCTATTACTGTTAAATTAGTAATGGAATCTGTTTGTGTATTATGTGGAGTTCCGCCTATTAGCATGCCTAAACCAGAAAATCCTAAAGAAAGATTTATGGATTATTGGGAAGCTAGTAAGAAATTCTTAGCAGATAAAGATTTCCTGTAAAAACTTATTGGTTATGATAAAAACAATATTAAACCTGAAATCATGCAGAAAGTTAGAACTAATTACATTTCAAAAAAAGAAGAATTCAATCCAAAAAGAGTTGAAAAAGCAAGTTCTGCTGCTAAAGGATTATGTGAATGGGTTTTAGCTTTAGATGAATATGAAAAGGTACTTACTATTGTTAGACCTAAATAAGAAAAGTATATCTAATCACAATAAGAAGTTGCTAGATTGTAAGAATCATTAAAGATCTTGTAATAAGACTTATCTATTTTGACTACAGAAATTAATAAATTATAGCTTTCCTATTAAGAAACTATTAATAATCAATAATAATTAGAGAGAGATATTAAAGAATGTGAAGTTAAATTATAAAGAGCTACTAAATTAATGGAAGGTTTAGGGGGAGAAAGAGAAAGATGGAGTAAATCATCTGCCATATATGAATAAAGATTAAAATAAGTTTTAGGAGATATTATATTATCATCAGGAACTATTGCATATTTAGGAGTTTTCAGCAATAATTTTAGATAAAAAACTATTAAAATGTGGATGAATCATTTATAAGGTTAGATGCCATTCTCTGAAAATTTTTCATTATAGAATACTCTTGGTTAACCTATTTTAATTAGATAATGGAGAATGAATGGATTACCAAGTGATTAATTTAGCATCGAAAATGGAATTATCATGAATAGATGTCAAAGATTCCCTTTAATTATTGATCCATAAGGATAAGGTAATCGTTTTATTAGATAAAATGAAAAAGATATTAAATTAGTCAAATTCACAGACAGTGATTTTATGAGGACTTTAGAAAATACACTCTAATTTGGATAACCCTTATTAATTGAAAATGTATATGAAGATGTTGATTCAACTATTGATTCTGTTTTACTCAAGTAAATTTTTAAAAATGCTGGAGTTATGTCAGTACGTATTGGTGACAATATTATACCCTATAATAAATTATTCAATTTATTTATGACAACTAAATTGAGCAATCCTCATTATACTCCTGAAATTAGTACTAAAGTTACAATTATCAATTTCACAATTACATAAAGTGGATTAGAAGATTAATTACTTGAAATTTGTGTAAGCAAAGAATAACCTAATTTAGAAGAAGAGAAAAATCGATAAATTTTATAGTAGCATAAAAATAAATAAGAATTATAAAAAATAGAAGATTAGATTCTTCGGGTATTAAATAAGGCTGAAAATATTTTGAATGATGAAGAAGCTATTTAAATATTATAAACATCAAAAGAAAAATCAAAGGATATTGAAGAGAAATAAGAGACTTCTGAATATACAGAGAGAAAGATTGATGAAGCTAGAATACAATATAAACCTATTGCAATTCATGGAGCTTTACTCTTTTTTGCAGTAATATCTTTAGCCTAATTGGATTCTATGTATTAATATTCATTAACTTGGCTACTAAATTTATATCAGGAAGCATTTGTTAAAAGTGAACCAAGTTAACGTATTCAATAAAGAATAAATAATATTAATAATATGACATTACATTTAATTTATAATTAAGTTTGTCGAGGATTGTTTGAAAAAGATAAATTACTGTATAGTTTTATAATTTTAATTAAAATACTTGAATAAAAGAAATAAATTGATTTTGATGAATTTTCTTTTATCATTCGATAAGTAAATATTCCAAGTGAAGTACCAGAAAACCCTTACAAAGAATGGTTACCAAATTAAGCATGGGCAAGAGTATAAGTATTAATAAAAGTGAATAAGAAATTATCCTAAATTGTAGATAGTATGCATAATTTCCCTGAAATTTGGATGGAATTACTTAACTCTCCAGATGGTCATTAAATTAGATTACCAGAACCTTTTGTAATAATAACACCAATATAAAGAATGTGTATAATAAAAGCATTAAGACCTGGTAAATTACCTAAAGTGATATAAGACTTTGTGTCTTCTGAATTAGGAGATAAATATACATAACCACCTCCATTTTCATTGAATTAATCATTTTAAGGTAGCAATTCAAAATCTCCATTATTATTTGTTTTGCCAGGTACTGATCCAATGAATGCATTACTAAATTTTGCAAAATAGAAAGATATTTAATTAAGATCTGTTTCTTTAGGTTAAGGTTAGGGAGTGATTGCAGAAAAAGAGATTGAGGAAGCAAAATAAGCAGGAACATGGGTTATTTTATAAAATTGTCATTTATATCCTTCTTGGATGCCAAAATTAGAAAAGATTATAGAGGATATTTAGACATCAAAAATACATAATCATTTTAGATTATGGTTAACTAGTTATCCTAGTGAAGATTTACCTACTTCTATTGTTTAGAGTAGTGTAAAAATGACAAATGAACCTCCGACTGGTATTAAATCTAATCTTTAAGTCAGTTATTCTAGTCCTCTCTATTAATAATTAGATTATTCTAATAAAAAACTCTCTAAATTATTTTATGCATTATCATTCTTTCATGCTATTTTACAAGAACGTAGAAATTATGGACCTATTGGTTTTAATATTTATTATGATTTTAATTAATCCGATCTATTTATATCTATAAGGTAATTGTAATAAATGGCAGCTGATGTATCTATACCTTTTCATGCATTACATTATTTAATAGGTGAATGTAATTATGGAGGTAGAGTAACTGATGAAAGAGATAGAAGAGTAGTTAGAGCACTTTTAGATGAATATTTAACTGAAAAAGTAACATCAGCTGATTTCCAAATTCAAGATTTTCCAATTATAGAAGGTTTATCTTATGAAGAATATTTGAATTAATTAAATAATTTACCACTTGCTTAACCTACACATTTATTTGGTTTTCATCCTAATGCTGAAATTATGAAAGATTAATAATATACTGATGAAATTCTTAGAAAGCTTTAATAAACTCTTGGATCATCATATACTGATGGTTAATAAAATGATGAATCTAAAAAAGCAGATAATATTCTTAAATTATTATGTGAAGAGTACCTTGCCAATTTCCCAAGAAAATTTGATATGGAAATTGCAAATGCTAAATATCCTCATGATTATAAAAATTCTTTTAATACTGTTTTCTAATAAGAAATAACTAGATTTAACAAACTAATATTAATTATTTAATAATCATTTATTGATACATTAAATGCTATAAAAGGATTAACAGCTATGTCAGATTAATTGGAAAAAATTACTCAATCACTTTTAATAGGAGCAGTACCTGAATAATGGAAAAAATTTAGTTATCCTTCATTAAAACCACTTGCATCTTATTTATAAGATTTTTTAAGAAGAATTAGATATTTTTAAAATTGGTTAGATAAATAGATTCCTTATGTTCATTGGATTTCAGGTTTCTTTTTTACTCAATCTTTTCTAACTGCTGTTCTATAAAATCATGCAAGAAAATATTCTATTGCTATAGACAAACTAGATTTTGATTTCCAATTTCTTGAAGAACCCCAATCTAATTTTGAAGTTAATCAATTACCTAGATAAGTGAATGGTAAATTATTAATTATATTTTTAGATGGAACACTTATCTTTGGTTTATTTTTAGAAGGATGTAAATGGGATTATGGTAGAGAAATGATTGTAGAATCTAATCCTAAAGTACTTACAACTCTAGCACCTATCATCTGGCTTAAACCAATATAAGGAGAATTAGAAACTAAAAACTTATATGTTTGCCCTGTCTACAAAACTGCTGAAAGAAGAGGAATCCTCTCAACCACTGGTCATTCCACCAATTTTATCATGAATGTCAATATACCAACTGAATAATCATAACATCATTGGGTTAAGAGAGGTGTAGCTATGTTATGTTAATTATCTGACTGATTGAAGTAAACTGATTTAATTCAATATATATAAATAAAATTTTATTTTATTTCAATTATTAAATATATTAATTATTCTTTAAAATTATTGTGATCACTCTCAAAATATTTAATTAATTACTTTATTTACTAATTGTCAGCATTATTATTCACAGATTTTATTATTATAATCTAGAAATTTAAATTATCATGTCTGATTAAACTTTTAAACAAAACGAAGCTTTAAACAATCCTCAAAAATTACCTTAACCATTCTCATACATTCCAGATACTCCAACTATCAAACCACAAAAAAAAAGTGAACAGGATTTTCTACAATTAAGCGTTAATAAGTAAAGTAGCACTCAATCTGATGTCGAAAATAATGCAAATACTTATTTAATCACTAATGATAATAATAATCTCCCTTTTACTATTCAAATCAAATTTCCAATGGTTTCAAATTTTACTATCAACCATCATAATGTTGAAAAATATGAATATGAAAAACCTATCAAAATACAATAACCATCGAAAATCTATTGTAAATTTTGCAATACAAGAAAACCAACTTAAATTGTACATAAAAATGGATTGAATACATACATCCTCGCTTGTATTTTATTTATTTTTTTTCTCCCATTATTTTGGGTTCCACTGATATCCAAAAAATGCAAAGATTAATTTGAAATCTGTGTTGTTTGTAATCGTTACACAAACTCTATTCCATTTAGATTATTTTGAATATAGATTTATTTTTGTATTATTGATTATTTGTATAAAAATATATTATCACAAGAGAATATATTATATACAAATTTATTAAATTCATTACAGAAATATTATAACATTCTTTTAAGAGGAATAATTAATCAAAATTATACAAGCAATCAAACTTTTACTCTAAATAATTCAGACCAATTCTTTAATTTATTTCTATCTAATAGGAAGTTAGATCTAGGCTTCATAAAATATTAAGATTGCCATTCATTAATAATCTTTATAAAAAATTTTTAAAATATCTAACAATAATAAATAAAAATATTAATTCTAAATTTTCTTGATTACAAAATATAAAATATTATAAAAATTAAATATTAAATTTATTTCGGATTACTCTACATTCAATTTGGATTAAACTTAATTAAATTGATTAAGAATAGATAAAAGCAAAATTTAAGCTGCTGAAATCCTATCTGCAATATCTTAAGCAATTAGAATATCATAGATTAAAATTTTATGACTCTTACATGCATGAACAATATAATATGAATTATAAATACTTTAATAATTTTGATTTAAAATTTAGGTTAGATTTTTCTTAGTTACATTAAGCTTGAAATGTGTTGAAATTTGGAGATTAAATTCTTAAAATTAAATTTAAACATTCATAAATGAGATAAATAAATTTTCAGTTATTTTCTTTTTAGTCTATTACATTTATGTAAGTAGTTCCATATAAATTTATTGTTGTGACCTAAGGATCTACTAGCCGTGACTTTTTGTGAATACTCAGATTTGATAAATCTTTAGATAATTCTCTTGAATCATCTTTTGAAATTGAATCTAAATTATTTTTATTCATACTTAAATTTCTATATATTGAATGATTCTTCAAAGGGGATCTAACAGGTGATGTTCCAAAAATGCTGCTTGCAGGAGATCTTTCTCTTGGAGATAATCTCTATTTTATGTGAGATATATTAGCAAATCTCGGTCTATCCTCAGGTGGCTATTATATTATAGATCCCTTTTTTTTAATTTACGAATTATTAGTAGATGATGAAAATGAAATAGGATAAGATTAATCAGAATCTCCACTTGTAGTGTATTAAGATTAATTTTTTGACAATTTATTGGATTCAATTATTGTTTTTTATTAAGAGATCAATAAATCTTTTGAAACTAATTCTTATTATGATTTAACTTGATCTGATTTTAGATCTAAAATTTATTTTGAAAGATCTGCAAATCTTTATTTCCAATAATTTATAGTTTATTATTACTCTTCTGTAATCTATAGTAATAAAGATTTTAATATTTATTTTTATTATAGATTTGTTTTGAGAGCATTTTACAATTATTTTTCAATAATTTGATTTTCTTTTTATGCTGCTAACAATTTCATATAATTTTCATCTTCTTGTTTAGTTTCCTAATTTTCCTCAATTTTTTAAGAATTTGTTTGAATTTAAGATTGAATTTCCATTATTGAACTATTAATTTCATAATACTCTTCAACATTTGAATATATATCATTATAAATTTTAGTTAGGTAGATTGATTTAGAAAAATTATCATCTAATTATTAAGATCCATAAGTTGGAGATAGATCTTCTGATTTTGTAGTTTATTAGATAGATTAAACTTCCTTTTGAACTTATTTTTTGATTTGGGTCGCTCTTTAAGAATAAGTTAAAGTATTCAAAATCTCATCATATGATTGTTTATTCTATTGTATACAAGCTATCATGATTGTTTTTGTGTTCCCTCCTAAAGAATCTTATAAAAGTCTAGTTAATTTTGAATTTCTATATGGAATATGTTAATTTTTCTTTGTTTTATCTGACAACATTGTTAAACAATGACTCAATGCCAATAATGATTTATTTATATTGGATCCTTCTTATTAATTTTTTGATTTCTATTCTAAGTAGACTTTTTCAGAGCCTGCTAAATCTACAATGAACAATTTTGGAGTTAAAATTTGACTAGAGATTATTGTTATAATATTACTTTTCAATTTTATAGGATAAGTTTACCTGAATGACAGCATGAGATCTTGAAGATGAAACATTATAAATTGTCTAAGCCAGACTTCTATTTTAATTTCCAAGATTTAAAACATCTTTTACCTCTTCACAATTCTTACAAACCATTTGCTATACTCCAGATATATATTATCCTTTTTAACTATCCTACATTATTACTAATGATTTTTAATTAGTATTTAAGAGATCCCTTATTGTTTCATTGTATATCTCAATAAAACTAACTTCTAATAATGTATTTTCGTATGCACTAAAATCTAATGACTTAATTACTTTGTTTTTTCAACTAAATAATTTAAACATTGAAATGCAAGTCCCTCATCTTTCTCATTACCAAAAATTGTATGAGTCTTTCCAGATCCTGTTATACCATAAGCCAGAATCGTTGTATTGTAACCCTCAAGAAAATAATTTATATTATTCTAGCCCCTTTAATAAACTAAAATATACCTAGAGAATCTCAGAAAAGATTTAAGCATTATTTTCATTATTGAATATTCGATCAAAATGAAACTCTTTATTATTTCTACCTTATTTGTTTATTACTATTCTCTTTTCATCTAACTCTTATATTAAAGTGTCCTGACTAACTATAATAAATATTATTACCTATTATCTAAAAAGGGCTTCACTCTAAGATATACTTAAAAGGGTGTATTATTAGACATTTAATTAGCAGTTAAATATTAAATTTATTTTAATACATCATATAACAATTATTTAAAGTTGTTATATGAATACGCAAACTATATTGTTTCCAAATAACTCTTTCGTAAAAAAACTTTTTAAGATTACCTAAGATGATTAACAAATATCTTTTATTGTTCTTAAAATTTATTTCTTATTGATTATAATATTAATAACCTAAATTTAAATTTATCAACAATTATAAAAAATTAATTAGATCTTATAAAATAAATAATTAAAAAACTTATATATTGGTAAGTTTATTATATTTTATAATTCAAATTTCCTATGAATTTGCTAAAAAAAAAAGAAAACTAATATATCAAATTCTCATTTTTGATTCATTNTAATTTTTTGATTTCTATTCTAAGTAGACTTTTTCAGAGCCTGCTAAATCTACAATGAACAATTTTGGAGTTAAAATTTGACTAGAGATTATTGTTATAATATTACTTTTCAATTTTATAGGATAAGTTTACCTGAATGACAGCATGAGATCTTGAAGATGAAACATTATAAATTGTCTAAGCCAGACTTCTATTTTAATTTCCAAGATTTAAAACATCTTTTACCTCTTCACAATTCTTACAAACCATTTGCTATACTCCAGATATATATTATCCTTTTTAACTATCCTACATTATTACTAATGATTTTTAATTAGTATTTAAGAGATCCCTTATTGTTTCATTGTATATCTCAATAAAACTAACTTCTAATAATGTATTTTCGTATGCACTAAAATCTAATGACTTAATTACTTTGTTTTTTCAACTAAATAATTTAAACATTGAAATGCAAGTCCCTCATCTTTCTCATTACCAAAAATTGTATGAGTCTTTCCAGATCCTGTTATACCATAAGCCAGAATCGTTGTATTGTAACCCTCAAGAAAATAATTTATATTATTCTAGCCCCTTTAATAAACTAAAATATACCTAGAGAATCTCAGAAAAGATTTAAGCATTATTTTCATTATTGAATATTCGATCAAAATGAAACTCTTTATTATTTCTACCTTATTTGTTTATTACTATTCTCTTTTCATCTAACTCTTATATTAAAGTGTCCTGACTAACTATAATAAATATTATTACCTATTATCTAAAAAGGGCTTCACTCTAAGATATACTTAAAAGGGTGTATTATTAGACATTTAATTAGCAGTTAAATATTAAATTTATTTTAATACATCATATAACAATTATTTAAAGTTGTTATATGAATACGCAAACTATATTGTTTCCAAATAACTCTTTCGTAAAAAAACTTTTTAAGATTACCTAAGATGATTAACAAATATCTTTTATTGTTCTTAAAATTTATTTCTTATTGATTATAATATTAATAACCTAAATTTAAATTTATCAACAATTATAAAAAATTAATTAGATCTTATAAAATAAATAATTAAAAAACTTATATATTGGTAAGTTTATTATATTTTATAATTCAAATTTCCTATGAATTTGCTAAAAAAAAAAGAAAACTAATATATCAAATTCTCATTTTTGATTCATTATAATTCAAATTAGATGCTTACTTCTATAAACTGAGTGATAAAAATAAATTGATTTGTCTTATTTATTATAGGATATGCAAAAATTTGTTTTATTAATCATAAATGAAATTTATTTGAATTTAGATTTTAAAAAAATTACTAAATATATGGCATAAGTAGATAGTGAAAATAATGATAGCTTGTATATTAAAACAAATAATTAAAAAATATTATAATAGCTTGTAATTATGATTTAAATCTAAAACAAAAGAGTTGAAAAGAAACAAAATAATAGAGTTCCAAACTTGGATTTTTATTAATATTCATTTGAATAAAATATCTTCCAAATCTCTGGCTTCAACAAGTTCTTTGTATTTTGATCCCTTGTCTTTAATTTCATCAATAGTCATTCCTTTAAGTTCAGAAGTAATGAGCTCCACTTTTTTGTTTTTTAAAGGGCAAGTATCTTCTTTAGGAGCTTAATAAGGTTTAGAATTTTTTCTATCCCATTCTTCTTAAATAGGATCTTCTTCAACCTCTACAAAATAGATTTTGCCATTTTCACATCCATCCCAACCTCCACGACTAAATTCAAATATTTTTTTCTTATCTTCTGATTTTAAAATCAATTTGTATTGTCCCTGAAAAACAAACGAAAGACAATATTTCTCATCAATATTTTTAGCTAATAACTATCCGTCTTTGATTGGAAATTTTTCATTATAATGTGAATATTTCACAGTAACTTCTCCATAAACAGGAACATGAATTTATGCAAACTCATTTTATTTAATAGGTTCCTATTACAATTTAAATTAATATTAATCTGGTTCTGATTTATCAGATAATATAGACTCTGTTAATTAAACAACTTTAGTTTCAGGAGGTTTTGATTGCTATTATTATTAATTTTATTGTTATTTTTATGGGACAGTAGTTTTTGTTTATTTCTTGATAGGTTATTTTGGAGGAGGAGCTTAATATTTTGGCTTTTATTGTACTGGTTTTGGTTTAAGAGTTACTTTTGTTGAGGAACCTGTAGCCACTCCTTAAATTACTAATTATTATTTCATTTAATGAATAATTAAAAGCTCATCAACAATACGTATATAACAAAAAGAAGAATATCTTCTGGTTCTTTTGGAGTTGTTTATTTAGGACAAGATATAAATACACGAAATTTTGTAGCAATAAAAGTTGATAAAGAAAGCAAAGAGGAATCTAGTCTTTTAAGAGAAGTAAAAAAATATGATAATTTTACTAGGCAGAAATTTTAAGAAGACTTTAACATTTAAAACATATTCCTAAATTATATTGGTTTGGAAGAGAAGGGGATTTAACATATTTAGTTATTTAATATTTAGGTAGAGATTTAACTCATTATATAAAAACTTTTCGAAAATTTTCATTAAAATGTGTTCTTAATATTGCAGAATAAATGATAATCATTTTAGAAAGTTTACATAAACAGTAATAATATTAACTATTTATTTTAAAGTAATGTGATTCATAGAGATATAAAGCCAGAGAATATCTTGGTTGGCAAAGAAGATGAAGAAAATTAACTTTTCATTGTAGACTTTGGGATAAGTAAATTTTATAAAGATGAAAATGAATCTCATATGTAATTAAATATATTATTACACTATATAGTTCTCTAAGAGAGAAGTAACCTTTTATCGGAACCACTAGATATGCAAGTGTTAATGCTCATAAAGGCTTATCTTTGAGTAGAAGAGATGATATGGAATCCTTAGGTTACATGTTGATCTATTTGCTTAAAGGTATTCAAGCAAATTTTAATTTTATAGGTTAACTTCCATGGTAAAATCTTTAGTTTACTTCTGAAGATGATAAAATCAATTAAGTTGGTCATTTTAAAATTAAAATAGACATAAATGAATTATGTTAAGGATTGCCTATAGAGTTTGCTAGATATTTTGATTATGTTAAAGGATTACCATTTAAATCAGAACCAAATTATAAATATTGTTTATCATTTTTCAGAAAGATTTCAAATGAACATAATTATTTATCTAAAGAACTCATTTTTGATTGGATAATCTCTTAAAAAACTGATAGAGATGGATATTCATCCAGTAGCAATTTGCTTAATAGCAAACCGTCGTTGTAATAATTGATTTTTATTCTTAGATTCAAAAAATCAAAAGAAGATTTGTCCTCATGTAATAATATTTAAAGTTCATAATTAAACTAATCTATAGAATATGAAATGAATTCATTACTTAAAATGCCTGATAAAAAAAGATCTACTCTCAATCCAGAAGTCAATCATAAAAAACACAGACTATAGTCTATAAGCAGTAATAATGAAACTATCTCTGATAATGATTTCAATAATAGTATCATGATTGGCATATAACCCAGTATCTTGAGTAGATTAAGTAGGATTTCTTTTAATTCAAACTCAAAGTTTTAAAATAGTAAATCTAATGCTTCTTAAAAACCAAATATTCATTAATTTGATCATCTCATCTCCATTTCTCCTGATTCTAATTTAGAAAATTTATTAAGTGAATAATAAAAAAAATCACAACTCAGTCAATCCTTTAATTAATAGAGGAAAGATGATGATACAACTATAGAACTTCAGAAAATGAATGAAGGAGATGAAGGTATAGAGTCAAAATATACCTAGCTTAAACTTCTCTTTGTTAGAGCGTATGTAAATTTTTTATCTTATGTAGTCGCTTTAAACTTGGATTAAACAATAACCTAAAATGAAAGTTATTTTTTTATCGAATTCTCTACTTAATTTGTATTAATTATAAATATCAAATCATTTACTATGAAATTTCGAACACATTATCACTCTTATTAAAAGCTAAAAATAATTATTTAATATACTTTTGATTCTATTCCTCTCTAGATTAAAATGCACATTTTTTTTATGAGAACACTGTGATCCTTGTTCTTTTTATAAACTCTCATAAAATTAGTTGTTAACATTTTTAAAGTATTTTCTTTTTTGAGCTTAACTCATTAATAAATATGCAGGAACAGAACTCATTATTTCTTTTAAAATTTTCAATTTTTCTTAATTTTTAATAACTTCGCTATAATCATCTCCCTCAATTATTTATTCATTAAATTAAGCAATGTTTTTTTTTTTTAATTCATTCTTTTTAATGTTTTCTAATTTCTCAATTATTTTTTTATTTTTTTTTTTCGATTTTGAAATATAACTAAACTTATTTTCTTCATTTTATTGTTTATTTTTATTCAACACCATTTGATCTTTCATTTACTCTTCCATTTTTAAGTCTTAAAAATTTTATTATTAATCCATACTAAAGAGATTCACTTATTTGTTGTTTTTGATTTATAATTTATCCTGTAAAATTTTCAATTTATATTCTTTTATATAATATGATCCTTTCTTACAAAAAAAATTTCTTATTAAGATAATTATTTGAGAGCTATTTAAAAACCAAAACTATTAGAATTAAGTCTTAACCATTTCCGTGTTTTATGTAGGTAAATTAAAATAATAATGAAGTTCTAAGCAACTCCAAAATAAATATTCAACATCATCGATAAAATCAAAAATCTAAAAATAAATCAATTATCCATTTTTATTGTTAGTAACTCTTTAATTATTTTTAAAATTATAAGAATAGTAGTTTATAGATTTAAAAAAAAAATGCATCATCAGTAGATCAAAAAATTATTATTATTAGATATAAATATAAATAATAGGTTGCATTTAAAGTCTAAAATTAAAAATTTTAATGATTATAGATTTAAAAAAATCTAAAGTAAGCATAAATGAAAATTAGAAGAGCTATTTTTAAATACTAAATAACTCAGAGGGAGCTAATGTGAGGAGCAAAACAATAAGATTAAATATGCAGATTTTATGATAATATATATTTTGAATATATAATAATTTCCTTTATTTAATCTAAAATATGTTTGAAATCTATAATAAAAAAATTTTTGAAATTTTTGAACAATCTTAGAGCCAAATCTCAAGAAAAATGATAATAAATTCAAATGAGCTGGTTTAGCTTATTTGAAAAATAATTTTCCTGTAATAACTGGTCGAGAGTTGAACTCTCTCGAATCGGTTATTATTTTGTTTTTGAATTTATATATATGAATAATATTTGATCATTCTAGGTATTTCATAAATTCCTTAACATCAATAGATCCATCTTCATCTCTATCTAATGCTTTGAAAATAAGTTCAACATCATCTTTATCAAGATTTTTGATTCTCATTTTAGTGAAAACCTCTGCTAATTCAGCTTTATTAATTTTTCCATTAGAATCCTTATCAAATGTTGCGAAAAGTTATTAAGGAGTATATTTATTTTTAACAGCTCTTGATATTCTATTAAAAACCTATAATAATATATTTATATTACTTCTTTAGCTTTACCAATAGCTCTTTCTTATTCAATTTGGCTTAATGATCCAAATCCAGATCTACCAGTTTAGCCAAACATATCAGATTGTTATACTCCTCTTAATTTACCAAGATCTAAGAATAGATTGTAATTTATCATTCCATTTTCTGGTCTAACAATATATAACTAAACATTAAATTATAGAGAACTTTACAGTAATATCATCAATATCATTAGGAGTGAAACCAACTTTTTGTTCCCTCAGAATTTGTTTGAATTACATTTCAGTTACATAACCAGGTTTTTAGGCTTTAGATTAGAAAGCTAATTATAGAACTCGGGCATTTTTAAAACATATTTCTTCAGCTTTTCTAGCAATCTTTTCTTTATCAATAGTTTCTTAATTGAATTCAGATTAATTTCTATCTTGATCAAGTGCTGGTTTTACAATTTATAAGAATTCAGATATACTAATATGGCCATCTCTATTTTTATCAAATTCAAGAAATAATTCATTTAATTCATAATCATCAACTGGGACCAACTAAAAATGTATAAAAATAAATTGATTACAATTTTATTTTTAAATATACCTTTTAATTCAACCTTGGATAAATAACCATTTCCATCTTAATCAATATCATTAAATAATTCTGGAATAGTTTTCCTATTTCTTCTCATATAAGTAATAAGATATCCTACTACATAATTTTAAATATTTTGTTATGTAGGTTAAGCTTTAATAATTTGTAGTCTATTATTGTACATATTAAGAGTATCTGCAAATTCTGAAATGGAGATTCTACCATCATGATTTACATCAAAGAATGCAATAATTTATCTAATATCATCATCTCCATTTTATAAATTACGATGAACTCCAAATTATATAAGAAACTTTTTCATCTCATTTGCTTCAATAAAACTATTTCTATTTTCATCCATAAATTCTCTGACTTACATTAGAGTCCATTATCGTGATTAACCATAATTAAGTATAGCAGTAATTGCAATATCAATAGGAGATGAAGTGACTTATGTTTCTTAGATACTTGGGAAATTAGATTGCAACCTTTAATTACTAGTCTATCTAAATGAAGATTATGAATAGACTTATTATTATTGTGAAGTAGGGATCAATTTAAAGAAGTTTGTAAACTCTCTAAAGTTGATTAATTAATCATTGTTAATATCCATATAAAATTTGAGAAAGTCTCTTAATTATGCAATAGGAATGAGTAAACTATTTTATTAGAAATACTTTTATAATTCATCAATAGTCAATTATCCATCAGGTTTAACAGAGTCAATTTCCATAAATAACTCTTAAACTGATTTACCATAAGAGAGTTTCCTTTTAAGTAAATCATAAATGGAATTATGGACTTATTCTAATTAAGTTCTTTATAATTGCATAGTGTTTTATTACATTAATTAATTTATGGATGATAATTCTTAAGTCTAAAATTGAGATTTGAATCCTGCTTCATACATAATGCTTTCATTAGATTATAAACGGAAGAATTCTTAGAATTTTTATTGATTTAAAGGTTAAGGTAATTTTGAATAATAAACCTGCATTTCTTAAGGATTCATTTTAATATTGAGAACATTTTTCAATCCATTAGCAAAATCTTCGAAAGTAATGATTTAATCCTAATCTTTATCAAAGACTCTAAAAGCAGTAATACCCAATAGACCTCTAGATCTCATTTCTGAACTAATTTTATGAGTTATATTTTCTTCCCAAGATTCTGCAATCATTGATCTTTATTAATTTAAAGTATCTTCATCCTTTATATCATACCAAAATATTTTAACATAGACTGAAGCTACTTTGTCTCCATCATCATTTTTAACTTCTGCTGCTAAATCAATCATTTGATTTTTTACTAAAGGTGATAAATCTATTAAACAGAATCCCACCTTATCATTTGATCCTTCTACTAATGGCTAATTATCATCAATGATATATAATTCTAAAGGCATTCTATTAAATTAATTGACTACCATTTCATTATACACAATCTCATGAACCATTCTATAATCCCATTTTGGATTAGTACCCATTTAAGTATTAGTATGATAATCCTTAGTATCAAAATTATAATATATGAAACAATTTGATTTAGGAGGAAGTGAAGTACCTTTTTCAATACAAACAATTAATTTTCTTTTTCTTACTGCAACTATCTCTTCAGCTTCATCTAAATCTTACATCTATAATTAATTCCTTTCCTTTAATAAACGAATAAAATTAGATATAGGATATCTCATTCTTGCTTTATATTCAACTATTCCTATCATTTAATTATTTATTCCATGGAAAGTTAATGAACCACTAATAACTTTACTAATCGTATCATTTTTATTCTCATAAACTAATTCCTTTAATTAAATTAATCCTGATCCAATTTTTGTTGGTTCACTACCTTAACTTACATAAAGTTCTAGTTTTAAATAATTGCTTTCTAGATATTAAATAAAATTTGCATCAGCATCTACTTTAAAACTGATTTATAAATTATAAAAACATGATGTTCCTTCTGATACACTAGTATGTTATGTTTCATGATCATAAAAATCAATTGTAACAAATGTCAATAAACTACCAAGATCCAAATTTAATTAAGTAGATGTCTTATATGAAGAAACTAATTCAGCTGGTTGATATTCTCCTTTACCTACCCATAAATCAAAGAAATTCTCTCCTGGTGATAACATTTCATCTTTATCAACTGAAAATACTGATATTGAATCATCATATTTAATTCCTTCAGCCTCATATAATGTTTATTATTATCTAGCCTAAGTTTTCAAATCTGCTATTTTTGCATATTCATATGCCTTCTCATTTGCTACCTTCAATTCTAACTTTAATTATTCTATCTATGTTTAATGCATTTTATCTTTCTCCATTTATATATCCTATTGATTCTTTAATAAAGTCTATGTCTTCTCTAAATGAGCAGCCAACTCTCCTTTCTCAAGTTTCAAATGTTCAATCTCTTTTCTTAAATATACAGGATCATCAGAATCTAAATAAGTTCTATCTATAAATTCTATCTTTCTCCAAGCTGGATCTTCTCCTGTCCATTTCAAATTACCTAATACTTTTAAAAATTAATCATTATCCCAATAATTCAAATCTTTAAATGGAAGCAACTATTAATCCTTCTCAGCTAATTTTATATTTAATTCTTAATTCTTATCTTAAAGTATTTTTAGTTCTTTTTTCAAATTCTCTATATCTTCTCGTTTCAATCTATTCTCTGTTTCTAATTTTGCATTTGTCTCCCTTAAATTTTTTAAATCTGTAGCATTTCTAATTTATTCTTATTCCATTGCTTTCATCTTTGCCTATATAGTTGCTCTTTCATTATATTCTTTAAAAAATGGAGATTCCATAAGAATTGCTAATCTCTCTTCTATTTCTTTCTTTTATCTTCTTGCTTCTTATAAATCTGCTTATAAATCTACTACACTCTTTTATGCTAATTCCATTGATCTTACTTATCCCTCTAATAAATGATTTTTTTCTTTTTCTTCTCTTAAAAGCATCATTATTTCACTCTATCTCTTACGTTCATCATCTAATTATGTTCTCATACCATTTAAATTAGATTCTAATTTATTACATCTCTCTTATAAAGTTACAAATTATGCATTTTTTTAACTTAATTCCTATTAATTAACAATCTTAGAATTCATCATTGCCTAAAGTTATCTAAATTATGCTTCCTATTCTAATAATCTTTTCTTTAACTTATCATTTAATTCTAATAATTATTTTATTTAATTTTATTAATCTACAAATTAACCACCTCTTATTCCTGTCTATTCTATATCTGGCCTATCAGCTTATACTAATTTCTTTTTCTTCATTGGCTAATGAGCTACAACCACTCTTTATGCTTAAGAAATTGCTTAGATCTTTTATTTTAATTTTTCGTTCTCACTTTCCAAATTATTTACTTTTGATACTAATTAATTATTTTATTCAACTGTTTCACCTCCACCAACAGTTTTATTACCCATAAATTTTTACATTTATTATAATTTAACTTCCATAGTACCATACATTTTTTCAAATTTAACTTAATTCTCTTTCAATTTAATATTCTCATCATATACATCTAAAAATAATTTCTCTTTCTCTCCCTCATTTAATTTATTAAATTAATATGGTTTCTTTTTTTGTATTTGAGCAGTTCTTTTATTTGAACTTTCTGCTCTTTTCTACTAACTTGATTATTATTATTATTACTATTTTGGTTTTGAATCCTAAGCATCTATTTAATATTGATATATTATTATTACTTTTTATAACATTAAGAATTGCATCATCACCATCAAAATCATCATTATAAATATTACTCTCAGTTTACTAATCTGGTATATTTGCTTATTATTTTTATTGTTATCGATTCTCATTTTGCCGCTCTTTTATTTAAAATCAATTTAATACTTAAATTTCCAAGGGCATTAGTCATCGCTTACTAATCCATTATTTATAAATATATATATATTAATCATATATATTTCAAATTCTTCATCAACCATATTGTATAATTATAAACCATTTAATATTATTTTGATGATTAAATTAAAAGTGGTCTTTATTCTCTCAATCTTCTCACAATACTAAAAATTGATATTTATGCATCATTTCTAACTAGTAACTCTTTTATATGACAAATTGCTAAAAATGTTCCTGTCCTTCCCACTCCTGCACTACAATGAATCACTGGCATTTTATTTAATTTTGCTCCTTCATTTGCTATTCCAGCCAACCAATCTAGAATTTTATATGAATCCTCTCCTACTATACCAAAATCTGGCCAATCACACCATTAATAATGATTTAATTAATGCTACTTCTATTAAAATTACATTATCAGTTTACTCTCATATACTTCCTTATATTATTATTCTTAGCTTTTAATTTACACAATTTAATAAGAACCATAATTTACCTAATCAGATGGCCAATATTTCTCACATTAAATCTAAAGTAAATAGCTTGCTATATACTCTTTATCTATCAAATAATTTGCATAACATTATTATTACACCCACATTATTGGTCCAAATCATATGCCAAAAATCTTTAACTGATTACTTTACAGGACCTTGAGTAGCAATATATTTCCTTTCATCATTTTTTACATCACTTATATAATTAGCATTTATATAATAGTTCATATTGGATATATCATATTAAGGTTTTACCAAAGAATGAACATCTTTTGTTAATGCATGAAATTTGTACATGGTAGAATATCTGAGTATCTATTCAAATGTTATATTGATGAATTTCTATATAATTTTCTATCATGTTCTCTTGTTTATGTAATTTATTTCAGATATCCAAATTCATTTTCATAATCCCTATTTTCTAGTGAAAGTACAAAATCCTTTATTGACAAGGCTCTTTCGAAACTTAAGAATTTCTAATCTCCTTAAAGATATGAAAGCTCTTAATTTTTAAATGAATTTTCTTAATTTTCAGACATCTGGATAATATTAGAAGGTGAGATATAATTAGTTATAAATTTATATAAAATTTCATAATTTATTTTTCACTTTATTAATAACTTAAGGAACTCCATAAATTTAGTAGGTATGAGTTATAGAAGAATTCAAAATAATTATCCCAAGTAGAAATATGAGCCATGATTGTGGCATTTCGTATCCTTGTACTTTGAATGTAAGCTTGATATAATATTTAAATTAATTATACATCAAGATAGTCATCTTCTGTATCGTTCTTATAAGTGAACATAAGCATATACAATTCAAGAATGACTAGAAAAATCAAATAAATAGTAAAAGGTCTGTTTGAGTAAAATGGTTTTTTGAATCTTGGATCATAGGATAATGATACTGATAACATTGTATATTAGAAATTAGTAACTAGAAATAATGAGGTTGCTTCAAATGATTGCATAAAACCTGAAACTCCATACTCTTCATGAGATAATATTACAGGACTCTTATACCAATCTTAATAGATTAAGATAAGGTAAATGAGCATTTAAAATCCCATTTAAATAAAGCATTATCCAAAAATAATTGAAAGTACTTCAACACTGACTAGACTTCTTTAAGGGATTTCTGGAGTTAACTTTTTAAGATTATCAGTATAAGTCATTAAAATACTGAGTGGTAATACAACAAATAAATCTAAAATAAGAAATTAGGAATTAGTCATATATGAATATTAAAAATACAAGATTGTGCAACTGAAAAATTGAACTAATGAACACATTGTCATATATTCAAAAGCTTGAAATGAAGTCGTTAAAGCACCTCTTCCTTCTATAAGTATAATTGGTACTGTACTTAAATCTTCTTATTCTGATGTAAATGGAGCAGCTAATGATAATTTAGTATTAGTTAAACTAATACCAACATCTGCTGTACGCATAGCTTAAATATCAGCACCCCCATCACCACAAAAAACAATTTACTTTTTTGTTTTTAAATAATTAATTAATTCTGCTTTATGTTCTCTTCTCATTTTTGCATAAATTTTAGTTTTAGCAATTAATTAATCTATATATTTATAATCTTTCGTATTCTTTGCTTATATCATTAAATAAGATAATAATTTCCCTGTTATTGCTAGAGTTGCTGATTTTTGTAATTATTCTTACATATCATCATTCATAACAATGTTATTGTCTAAATTCTCAAAAGATTTAGCGTCAAAATTAAATTTACTAATTGAACTAGGCAATTTCTATTATAAAATTTCAGCACATAATGTTCTGGTATCATTATGCATCTAATTCTCTATTTCTTTAAATTACTATTCTACATCTTTCCAATCTATTTATAATTCTTAATTATTTTCAATAAGTTCTCCATAAACTAATTATTCGCTTTCTTCAACTACTCTAGCCTATTTAGCAACTCTTATTGATGTTAATACATTATCTCCAGTTACTAATATAATATCTATTTTAGCTCTTTTTAATTATTGAATAACTTATTCTGCATTATCTTTAACTCTATTTTCAAGTATAAAAAAACATAAAAAATTTAATTTTGATTCAGAGTAATCTCTTGTAGGAATTACAACTTCTTAAAATAATTATTTATATGCACAAGCAATAACTTTAAATCCATGATGACTATAATATTTGAATACTTAAGTGTAATCTTCTGGAATTTACTCACACATTAATTTTATTTTTTCAGGAGATCCTTTCACAAATGAATATTTATCATGATTTTATTAATTGTATATAATACAACAAATTCTTTATAATTCTTATGTAAATTCAAATGTTTTTACTATGTCATAATTGATTCCATCTAATAATACAGTTTTAAAAGAAATCTTTGCTGAACTATTTTTAAATAATGCTAAATCTAAATGATCTCCATATATTATATCTTCTTCATTTACTATATTATTACAACAAGCCATTCCTAATCTTATCATTTTAGTTAAATTATTGAAATCCTTCAATAATGGATTCAATTATTATTAATCATTCATTTCAATAACTCCATAAAGTCTTTATTCTTCTTCTGTTAAAGTTCCTGTTTTATCAAAACAAACTTAATTTACTACACCTGCTAAATTTATTTTATTAGGATTGAAACAATATATCTTTTTCTTTTTAAATCTTTTTAAAGCTAAACTCAATCCTATTTATAAAGTTGTTGGAAGTGTTGGTGGTACACATACTGCCAATATATCTAATATATCTGTAACTAAATCAATAGCTTAAATAAAAGGATAAGTAATTAAAAAATATATTTTAAATGGTAATGCTATCAAATATCCAACTACTGCTACAATACTTAAATATTTTAAATATCTCATGCTATCTTCATAAAAATCAAATGAATAATCTGGTGTTAACATAACCTCTCTTATCAATTCACCTTTCTTTGTATTAAAACCTGTTGAAATTACAAATGCTAAACAATCTTCATCAGCTCTCAAACAAGTTGTTGACATATATAACATATTTCCTTCCTTTTAAACAAACTCTTTATCATCATTTTCTAAATTGCTTTTTGTTATTGGTGTCTATTCACCATTTAAAAATTACTCCTATACTATACATGTTCCTTATATTAGTACACAATCACATGCTATTATTTAAAATGGCTCAACTAATATTATATCTCCTGGTACTAACTCTCTCGAATGAATTTTTATTTTTTATCCAAATCTAATTATATTAACGTCATGTTCCAATTTAGAATTTGTTCTTATCTCACGATAACTCTCACGATACTCATATAAAGTAACTATCATTGAAATTATTGATGTCAACAACAATATTATTGCATAACTTGTATATTCTTCATAAATCCATAACATTATTTAAAGAAGTTACACAACAAATAAAGGATGCATCAATTCATCTATAAGAATGGACAAAATTGGTTTACTAGGAATTTCAGTAGAATTAATGCCATAAAGGTTTTAATAATCTATCAACTATTCATTCGACTTTAAATGATCCTTTTTATGAGCTTCTTTATTTTACTATATTTAAAACTCAATTTTCTGAAATCTTCCCTCTTTGTAAATAAATCTTTAATATCTATATGTAAATCCCTAAATTTTAATACTAATTCATACTATGTAATCAAGTCCTTTCTGCATATAGTGATGGCTAGGTACAATTATTTATGTACCATCTTTTGAGTTTATTCGAAAATATTCTGCTGCAAATATTTCACATTTAGACATTCTTAATATTGCCCAAATCTTATAATGCCAAGTAGCCACCACATAGACTAAACCTAAAGATAAAATGCAAAGAAGATAAAATAATATCGCTTTTGCTATGTTTTATCGATAGGGTACCACCAACTAAATTTCCTACATTTTTATATAAATATAATTAAATGTCATATTTAATTTAAAGTTATTAATACTAATAATAATACACACTTATTTCTCATTTATTATTTTATGTAAAACCAACTAACTATTTTATAAAATTTTAACTATTTTTTATATCTAATTTATAAATCTTAAGAATTTTATTTAATTAACTTTTAGAATATGCATCCAGTACAATGCATTATAAAAAAATTGATATACTAAATTTTATGATTAAATATAATTATTTTCTTTTCAACAATTTACATTATTATAATTATATTTCTTCTATAGATGTCATATGTAAAGCAAATTTCATTTTAAATATCAAAGTATTATGCTAAATAATTCCAAGCAAACTCTAAATGTTGTGCTTTTGTATTAGGACCAACAAAAAAATGTAATTTATAAATTTATTTTATTATTAATCTAAAAACTTAATCTTTAATATGGTTTTCTCTTAATATTCAAGTCATTTCTTAATAATATCTTTATTAATTCTAACTTTATATACTTTTTCTATCATGGCTAAATATCAATTTATTTAATTGAATATCCAATAGTTTTTTTAATTAAAAAGTTCAACACCACAAATAGTAGCATTAAGTTCAATATTTAAAATACCTTGTTCTTTTCAATCTATCCTGAACATTAAATAATAATCCTATCTGAATAAAAGAATTCAACACAAAAAAAAAGGTTCATTTTATTTGATCTAAGTATGTTTAATCATGTTATATTTACTTTTTTAGTAAAATTTAATTTTATTTTGAAATAAAAATAAAATAAATGTTTCATATTGAGTTGTCATTTCAATAAAAAAATATCAAAGATAACTGAATCAAATTTTTATTATTATTAGTAATAATTTGTTAGATGATTAAAATCAAGATACAAGTAAAGTTAAATAAGTAAAGCTACTTTTTGAATGAATAAATATACTAAAATTCTAAAGATAAGTTTATTTTTAATTTCTAAACTATAAATTTCTTATAATTTTAAATTGAAAAATGAAATTTGATTAGTATATATAAATTCAAAAAGAGATTTATTATATAATTAAGATTAAATTCAGAGATAAGTTAATGAGGAAGAAATCTAAATTAAACATATAATTTTTTGTGTAAGTGTAAAAATCTTAAGAAACTCTTAGAATTATGGATAGATAGAGTTTAGAATCGATGTATTCCTTTAGAGTTTCCTAGTTTGAGAATTGTATCATTTTTAAATTTAATAATTTTATCAAACTGATATCTTCTAAATTAAACTTGGAAAGTCATTATAATTTCTTTTGAAGACTTAGATAACTTCAGTTAAGATATCACTTTATTGGGTTCTAAAATATAATAAATGTTTATTAAACCTGATTTTAGTAGCCTCAACATAACCATTATGATAATCAACACAAGTTCTCTCCCAATCATCTTTTTGTTTTCTCAATAAAGTTGATTTCTTGAAATTTCAATAGATTATTATTACTTCAGTGTTAAATCTAATATCATTATTCAATTCTAATATGGTTTGATTGATTATTAAAACTCTAGCTCTAAATGTAGCAATTGTAGCTTCTAATCTTCTATTTTGTATAACAATTCGTTCTTTTTAATTTTGATAATCTTATTCTCTTGCATTGTCTGTAAGTAATTCTTGTTTAAGTAAATCAAAAACGCTTTCAATTAATTCATCAATAATTTCTTAAATTTTAGCAACACCTTATTGATTAGCTTAGATTCCAGGATCTCTAATAGATAGATAAATGATTTACTAGGAAGTTTCTAAAAGTAATTCATAAAGTAAGCCAATTCCATTGGATTATTTTTTCAATATTTTTTAATGTGTTTCAAGTTCATTAAACATAAATTAGGAGAATTCAAGGAAAGAATAAGTTCCAGCTAAAGGATCCCATTTTTTAGTACTTAATTTACTAATGATTCTTTTTCCTTCTTAAAGAGCTCCAACCATATTAGTTAATTCATCTCTTCTATTTTCATATTATTACTAAATAATTAAAAAAAAATACTCTAGTGATATCTCTTTCTTATGTTAATTCAGCAATACGTTAATTGTTTCTGTTTTCAATTTCTTATTTATCTAATAATTATCTTTATTTATTTTTTTATTCTTAAAGGAAGAGAGGTAATGTTTATTAATCTTTAGCCAATTAGTATTCAGATGAATCAATAACAAATAATATTTCATCATATTTATCATCACAAAATTAAGTATGATCTCTTGACTTTTATCTTTCATCATCTTATTCTGCATTGATTCTATCTTTCATTTGAGTTAGAAGATCAATAATTTTATCAACACTGCTATTTCCTTGTAATTAAACTTGAATAGTTTAAATAATAGTTTTTCCGAATTCAGTGTTTTGTAAAGATTGTAATAGGGTCTCTCCTTCACTCATGCTGCTTGCAAATAGAACAAGTGAGCACAATAATATCACTTTATACATTATAATTAATAATTAAAACGGATTTGTGATCATTATATGTATTTTATTGTTTTATTTCATAAATCAATGATGATGATGTCCTCCACCTATATCTTGTAATTTGAGTGTTCCTGTTTTCCCTACAACAACTTGTACATTTCCAAACTATCTTCCTATAATAGGCATTCCTTCAGCCATTTCTTCATTAATCTCATCTATGATTTCTCTCAATTAACCTCTAAATAAGGATTAGAAAAAGTAAGGAACTGCCAAAAATACTAAGAAGAAATTTCTAGTCCATCTATAGAATGCTCTATAATCATTAAACTTAAAATATATTATTTAATATTATACCTTTAAGTATTCGTAGTCTACTTCAGCATTTTAATGTAAATATGCCCATTCTTTAAATGTTCTTTCTTCAGTTGACCAGACTCTAAAATATTCAGCATCTTCAGATGTAATTCTATGTTCAGTTTCAAATGGATTTTATTTCATATTGTGATACAATGGTCTATGATATTAACCAACCTCCATAAGAGAATTTCCTCTAACATATCCTTTATTTGGTCTAGGAACACCTTTAATCATCAAATATTATTTTACCTCCTTTATATCTGCCAAAATCATCTACATTAAAAACTTATCTCTCTTTCTTCAAATACTCTTATTTTTCTTTAGCATAATCTGATGCCACTTATCCTGGTCTCTTGTAAGTACCATCATCATTTCTTTAAAAAGATTATTAGTATCTTTCCATATTTGCACCATACAATAAATCTGGCTATTCTTTATTCAAAAGATCATAAGCATTTCTGCTTTGTATTTGTGATAATACTGCAAATGCTTCAGCTACATCTTAGAATTCTTATTAGGCTGAAGCATCATTTATCGCTACTGATGTAGTAACATTTGGATAGAGTCTATTATTATATTTTACAATCATATATATACTTTTATGCTTTCTTTGTATAAGCATCTCTAATTTATTCTTCAGTGGCATCCTTCTATATTCCTAGAATTGCATAATAATCTTTTCTTCTCCCAAAATATTAAACTTGTTTTAATGGCAACTTAAATAAGCTTCTTGATAATATCATTATTATATATATATATATTTATTTATATATATTTATTTCTTATTCATCATTGCTACTATTATTATTATTGTAAATTTGCAATCAAATTATCCTTCTCCTCTAATTAACTTCTCAATCCTTCACATTCAGTGAATTACATTGTTAAGATCATCATGCAATCTTAAACTCTTTTTATTTATTATAAATATCTTACTTTTTATTTAATTCATCTACAGTTTTTAATTATTCTTAATATTTACTTATATCCTACTTTTATCTTTCTACAATTTCTTGAGATTCTTAAAATTTGGGGGAAATCACTTAAAACTTAAATTTTTATCATATTCTTACTTTCTCTTCAAAAGGTGTTAAATATCCTATTCTCTCTTCTAATTTTAACATTAATTAACGTAAATCTTCCAATTCTTTCTATCTCTAATTCACTATTGCATTTAATCTATCAAGATCAGCTGTATATTATTTATTTAGATTTTCCAATTAATCTGTTTATGTCTTCAGTACCTCATGTTCTCTCTAAATCTATTCTAATTCTGCAATTCTACATTTATAATAATCATTAATACCTTCCATTCAATTCATCAATAGTTTTATTTGCTTACTACAATTATAGATCTAAAGCACCAAACTATGAATTCAACTCATCAAATTATTAGGTCTTATCTCTCAATTATTCAGTCAATCTCTAAATATCTTTTAATTATTAATTAAATTTATTTTCAATATCTTTGTATCTAGCTTCATTTTATTTGAATTCCTAAATTTATCTTTCTAATTCTTAGATATCTTATCTCATATCATGATTCTCATTCTATAATGATTCAATATCCTTTATAGCATTATTAAGATCACTCTACAAATTATTAATTTAGGTATTAGCTTAAGCTAATTTATCTAAATTTTATTAATGTTCAGCTAATAATTATTCATAATCCTAGGTTTTTTTTCTCTCTTATTCATAATCATGCATTAAATTGCTCAATCTTTCATTCAAAGCCTCTAAAGCATCATCTTTGACTTTCATAGTCATCTCTTGTTAATTTAAATTCCATTTGTGAGTATCAATATCAATTTAATTTTATTGAATTATCTTATTTAATTTTTCAATATCATTCTATAGCTATAGAACCCTCTATTCAGCTTACTTAAATCTTTCCTCTAAAACTCTATATTAATCTTCCAAAGGCAATAATTAAGAATATTTAACTTTCCAATCATTTAAATCTTATGTTCTTGAATCAAGTAATTACCTTAATTTAGTTAAATCATCTTATGCACTTTACAATTATTTTTCCAAATCCCCTACATAATTTTCAAGAGATCTCAATTTATTAATCTCATTTTCCAATTATAAGATTTGTTATTATAATAAATCATTTTCTTTCAACAATTATGTAATTTGATCATTTTATCTTTGTATTTCCTTAGCCTAATTCTAAATTAGAATTTCTTAGTCTTACAATCTTTTTTCATTAGCTTAAGCCTATAACAACTATAAATCTTATTAAGCAACTCTTCTCTTTAAATCATCAATCAATTTTTAATATTCATTAATTTTATCATCTAATAATTTGCACTTTAATTCCAAGCCTCTCAATTCACTAATAGTATATTCTAATTCTGTACATTTCTTTTGTAAATCCATTAATTATTATAATCTCTACTTGTTTTATGCATTCAATCTACTAATATCATCATTCTTTGATTAAAGTGCATTCCTTAGATCATTTAATTACTACTCCATAATTTACTTTTCAGTCAATAATTGATCTAATTATTCTTACAGTTACTTAACTGTAAGTTCTCTCTCTTCTCTTTCTGAATTTGCTGCATGTAGATCTCCTTACTATTATCCAGCTCTATCATTTAATTCATTGACTCTATTTGTTAATTATTCATTTTAACTCTTAAGATTCATAATTTCATCTCTGCTACTCATTAGGTCATCATTTAATTTATTTATTTAATCTTCTAAGTTGCGAATATTATCATTGCATTTTTGAAGTTATTAATTTAAATAATTGATTTCATTTATTCTGCCATTCAAATCTCCTGTTAATTTCTCAATATCTCTATTTAATTATTTAATCATTTGATTCAATTAATTAATTTAATCTAATAAATTTTTATTATCCTATTCTGCCCTTGCTAATTTTTCCTATAACGATTTGTACTAAGCATCCTTATCTCTTAATAATCCATTCAATCTATCTATCTCTCTAATCTATTATTATGTCTATTATGTTAATTAATTTATTTTCTATTCAGATCCATTTTATAAACCACCCAAACTATTGTACTTATTTTCAAGTGTTGAATATTTATTCTTCCAATCATTTAGATCTCTGTCTCTTTATTATAATAAATCTCCAAATTCTTTAATTTTACTTTCATACTGAGATTTCATTGTATTAAATTAAGATTACAAAGTATTAAACTTATTCTTCCAATCATCACACTCAATTAATTTATTCTTTAAATCTGTCTTTAATCTATCATTTTCTGCATTCCTTTCATTTAATAATTTAGTTAATCTTTCTAATTCAGATTATAATGTATTAAATTTATTTTCATAATCTCTAATTCTAACTTCATAATCTCTTATTTATTTTTATAATCCATCTAAATTTCTACCTGAATTATTCTTCAAATCATCCAATTCCCTCTATCTTTAAGTCAATAAATCTTATAATCTCTTCATTTCTGCATCCCATGATGATTTATCTGTTGAATATTTACTCTTCCATTAATTAATATCTTTTTCATAATCTGAAATCTTTCTTTCAGCATCTTTTAATCTTTAAGCAAGTGAGTTATCTACCTAACCTAATCTTGACTTATAATCTGCTATTTCTGTTTCCAATTATTTGATTCTTAATAAATGCTTATCAATCTCTGATTTGTATTGCGTTATATCTCTATTTGCTTAATCAAGTTTTGCTTGTAATTCTCTCACTCTAACATCTCCACCTTCACTCTAACTTTCTAATTCCTTTATTCTCTTTATTAATGCATCATTTTCTCTCATTATCCTATCATTCTCTAATGCTAAAAGAAAACAAACAACTTCTGGGTATTTTCCTAACCATTTTCTCTCTCCTGATGGTGGTGTCATTTAAACACTTCATATAAATAACTATTTACGCTGTAGCTGGTGGTGCTTTAATTGTACTTGATCTTCTCCCTTCTGATCTCTCAAATGTACTTGTAGTGGTTGTTTATGGCACTGATAAATTAGATGATGTTGTTGTTGTTGTAACTGATTATCTATAGCTAGATTATGTTGTTGCTGCTTAATTCTAGCCTATTCCACTTGATCCAAGTGTAGATGGTCTATATCTACTTGTATAAGAAGACATTTATTTTATTAAATAAAAAAAAATAAGTTCAATCATCTAAGGTTTTTACTATATTAAATACAAATATTAATAATTATTTCTATCCATCGAAATTTAACCTCCTGCAAATATTCACATTTAATTTCAATCCATTTTTTCCTTACTTCCCTATTTCAAAGTACTCTTCTTATTCAACTTTTATATTTTATTATTATTCCAAAATCAATACTTATTCAACAACATTTCTAAAAGATATCTTTTACTGATAAATTCCATTATACTATTTTTTATTTTTAATCTTACTTTTCTTTAAGTTAATTAAAAACTACCTCTATGAAATTTCTAAAGTCTTTATCTTTATAGCAGGACTTGAGTATCGTTTTCATAATATCATAATTAGATTACAGGTCTTAATCTATGGAGTTCTTAGTATTTTAAAGAAAGAATATTCTCACAAGACATATTAGATGGTCTAAAAAAATATTATGTTTATTTAAACTTTGTGAAATCAATTTATTTTTAATATTTAGATGGGTATGAGTAAAATTAATTTTTAGAAGAAACAATATAAATGTCTAAGTTAAGAGCATTTATAGACATGAATTTAAGAGAGTTTAATAGATTATCCTAATTTTTTGATCTAAAATCTAGAAAAGCTAACCAAGTTCATGGTCTTACACTTAAAGTATGGCTTAGATATAAGACCTCTCTAAAATTAACAGAATCACTGGAGCAATTAAAGTACATCAGAATCTTCAAAATCAACATTTTTATTTATGATGATTTTTTTTTTCTTATTCTTCATATATAACAATAAAATTTGTAATAATATCATTCTTGAAATTGATCTTATATATTTATATTAAGAACTCTTGTCATAATTTCTAATGCTCCTCTTAATTATGGGTCTTTAGTAGGATCTTTTAATTTTTCTAATGCTAACCTCTTTCTATTATCAACTAAATCATGCTTTATTTTTGATGCTTTTTGACTGCTTTCTAATAGTAATACCTTTTCTTATTCTAATTTGCTAATAAGTTAAAGTTATTAAATACTCTTAGTTTAAAATCAATTTAGATTCTCTGGTAACAATAGAGCTTTTATTAAAGTTAAATTTCTATTACAATAATTCATTTAGTCTTTATGCTCTTTTTTTCTCTTAATAAATTATTAAAAACATACTTAAACTTCGGATTCAGCTTAATCATCCATATTAGATAGAGTTTTGCCAATTAAATTTTTTTCAATGTATTCAATTTTTTTTCTTTTTTCCTCTAGTTTTTTATCTTCAATCTTTTATTCTTCACTTTTCTTTTCTGGTGACAATTTTTCAATTCTTTTATCTTTAACAGTTTCAAATTTTTAAAGAGTTAACTTAATCAATTTTAAACTCTCTTCAGAATTAGCATCTAAAACTCTAATATCTTCACTTAGTTGTAATAAGTTATAACGTAATGCAGTGACATCTTTCAAAAAACTCATACATTATTAATCATCCAAAATCTTATGACCTGCTTACCTCATCATTAACATATATAATTCTATTCTATCCCTTAGATATTAAAGCATTTCATTAAATAAATCTACATTTTTATCATATATTTTCTCCTCTAAATGAGGATCTATATATTCTGGATTCTGCTCTTATAAATGTTTTATAGGAGACTATTTCAACCCAATCTATTCTGGATTCTTTTTGAATTCTTATAAAATAATAGAACCAATCTAATCTATTAGTACTATTGTGTCTTCTAACCTTTAATTAAAAACTCCCTTCTTTTTAGGTTATTCCATTAAATCCATTAACAAAAATATCTTTTTAAGTCTAAACTTATCAAGTAATAAATTTTTTAATTAGTTACATTTCTCCATTATTATTTTTAATAAATCTCTTACCACAACATGCTGCATTGTCCTATCTAATAATAAATATTTATAATTCTTACCTCTTCTAATAAAAGCATCAAATTAAACATAAGGTAATCCTTCAAATAAATTAGCTCTATCTATTTCTGTATGTTTAAACAGTCTATACCTTCCCAAAGGTCCATTTGATCTTCTCAGTTATTAATTACTTGTATATTTTTTCATTATAATTTTACTAATATTTAAATAAATGAATTTTCGGTATATTGATTATAATTATTTAATTACAATATCTTGATAATTATGAGTAAATCAAGAAAAGTGTAGGAAATGTAATATTTAAAGATTAACTAAAATCATATTTCAATTTTCTATTAGAAGATTTTTTCAAATACACTTGCAGGTCCTTGGGAATCAAAAAATTAATTTAATTTTAATTTCTCTCTAATATTAAAGTAAATATAATTTACCTATTATATTCTCTAACATCTGAAATGCCAATCATTCCATATAAATAATTTTGTAAACCCCATAACTCTCTATCATCTTTATTATCGTAAAAAGGAACAATAGGAATTCCATTATCTAATTACCACGCATAACTATATGCAGCATTATCAATCAAAACAATTTAACTCAATTGTCTATCAAAAATTCTCAAATCCTTAGTATACATTCCTCCTGTTGTCATTATACAATTATCTCTAAAAAGTCGATGAGAAATCAATTTGTTATCTGGATCCAAATAATCTAAGACTTATTGAGCATAACATGAATGTGATGCTGTAAATACTATTATTTCAAAATCATCAACTAAGGATTCTAAAAGTTCTATAGCTCCAGGACGTATATTAACTCCTGCTTTAACTATTTCATTTGGACCTACTTAGATATTTAAAACAATATCAGATTTTTATAACAGCGATTCATTACAATGTACTAATGTTTCATCTAAATCAAAAATTAAAGAGATTTTATCTAATTTAAATATAATTATTAATACTTCTATATTTATCTTTTTATTTCAATTGAACTACTTTTTTTTTTAAATCATTAGGATCAACTGGTCTAAGATAAGAAGCAACATAAATTCCTTAATAAGTTTGAAAAAAATGTTCTCTATAAATGCAACTAAAATAATCATCTCTTAGAGGGCGAGTAAAAACTTATCTAATTTTTCCCAAATAATATTGAAATTAACTATTCTCTTTGTTTTCCTTATTGAATTTAATACTTTCAAAATATTTCGATTCTCTATTAGATAATTATTATTATGGTTGCTACAATGATAATTATCTGGAATGTTATGGAGTAGTTTAATGTGATTAAGCCTTTTTAGGTTTCTATAACATCGCATTATATAATTTCTTGTAATTTTAATCTTTGGAACCTATTGATTATTATCTTTTGTGCTGTACAGAAGTAGGAGCTTTCAAGTCAGATGTTTAAGGTCTTACATCTGTACTCATAGGGGATCTTTATGATGATTTAAACATATTAAGTTCTAAGTTTGGAGTTACTTTAGTGACAAGTTGATTTAACAGTGATTAACTTTTTGAATAATTTCTAGTAGGAGTGTCTCGTTTTTGTTGTAACAATTAATTATACTTCTACATTGCTGCCACTAACTCTAGATTTGACATCTGTTTCTTCTTTTGCTGGTTCTCCTTACAAAATTATTACTTTAAGAATTCCTTCCCAAATATATTACCATTTGAATTTGATTTACTTGACATGTTTCTAACAGAATTTATGAGATCCAATTTTTATGTCTTCAAATTTTAGCTTGCTTTCTGCAATATATCGAACACATTATTGGTCTCAATTTGTGGTTTCCCCTTCATCAATTTTATTATATAATTAATTCTCTAAATTTATATCAATCTTATATATATATTTTCCATATACTATTTATTATTTCAATTATACTAATCTTTTCTAACTATTACTCATTCCCGCAGAAAATTAGTTAGTTTATATTAGAAAATTTTGATATCTACCAATCAAATTTATAGGATATAATTCAATTTAGTAAATTCAATTATGAAACCATAAAATGCTAAACTTATTTAATTAAATAAATATCTCACATCAAAGAGAAATATTTATAAATATAGAATTACATTAATATATCAAAAATAAAATTTGAAGATAACTTTAAATCATTAATTTTAAAATCTTTCTCTGATAACTTCAATTAAAGTATTTAAATCTGATTTTAGAATTTATTTAAGTTTTTTTAATCCTCTAACTAATTTAATAGCTTTCCTTTTTAAGCTTCATTTGAAAATTTCAAATTCTTTATTTCTTTTAATAAAGTAACAGTATATTCTTGATATTAAAATGAAAAATAATTTGTAAATTAATATTCTTAGAGGTTTAAACCTATAAACTAAAAGATATATTTATATTTTAATTTTTTAGAACTATTTCATATAAGTTAGCCAGAAATATTAATAATTAAAATATTTATAATTTTATGGTAGCTTAATACATACTTTCTAATTTGAATAAGTAATATTCAATTAAATAGATAAAAAAGATTAGGTCAAAATATTTCTAAAATTAATACAAATTTAGGTTAATTCTTTGTATTTATTTTCTATTGATTAAATAATTTGTACAATTAAGAGAAGCTAATTACTTTATTATTAGAGAGTAAATGACAAATTCTTGATAAATTCTTGATAAATTCTTGATAAATTCTTGATGTTATGGAACATAAGTTTATAAAACAGATTTTCTAAAATCAATTTAATCAATGCAACCACATGGATGAGTGAAAATATCATCAAAAGATGTTCCTTTTTTTTGGATCTCCAACAAGCATTTTACGAATTAAGTCTTTACATTGAGATGAAACAACAACCTGTTAAGGGAATATTATCTAAAAGTATTTATTTATTTTTCCATTCTATTTATCAATTTCATTAATAAGATCAACAATAGTTCCTTTTTTAGGATTAAAAGGGGGTTATCCATAAAGGATTTAATAAATCATTATTCCTAAAGATCAGATATCACATTTATGATCATAATTATCATTTTTCCTATTCAAAAATATAATAGATCAATTATTTAAGTATTTCAAGGTGTTCCACAATAAGATTCCATTAAATCACAACCTACTGATTTACCAAATCCAAAATCTCCTAATTTACATCTATTCATTTATAAGTATATTTGCTAATTTGAGATACAACATTTATTAAACGTAACATTTTCATAGCATCCAATAATTAAAGAATCAATGGTTTAGCTTCATTTTCAGCTAATCTATTTTTTGCAGAATGTTTTTTAATGTANATTATTTCAATTATACTAATCTTTTCTAACTATTACTCATTCCCGCAGAAAATTAGTTAGTTTATATTAGAAAATTTTGATATCTACCAATCAAATTTATAGGATATAATTCAATTTAGTAAATTCAATTATGAAACCATAAAATGCTAAACTTATTTAATTAAATAAATATCTCACATCAAAGAGAAATATTTATAAATATAGAATTACATTAATATATCAAAAATAAAATTTGAAGATAACTTTAAATCATTAATTTTAAAATCTTTCTCTGATAACTTCAATTAAAGTATTTAAATCTGATTTTAGAATTTATTTAAGTTTTTTTAATCCTCTAACTAATTTAATAGCTTTCCTTTTTAAGCTTCATTTGAAAATTTCAAATTCTTTATTTCTTTTAATAAAGTAACAGTATATTCTTGATATTAAAATGAAAAATAATTTGTAAATTAATATTCTTAGAGGTTTAAACCTATAAACTAAAAGATATATTTATATTTTAATTTTTTAGAACTATTTCATATAAGTTAGCCAGAAATATTAATAATTAAAATATTTATAATTTTATGGTAGCTTAATACATACTTTCTAATTTGAATAAGTAATATTCAATTAAATAGATAAAAAAGATTAGGTCAAAATATTTCTAAAATTAATACAAATTTAGGTTAATTCTTTGTATTTATTTTCTATTGATTAAATAATTTGTACAATTAAGAGAAGCTAATTACTTTATTATTAGAGAGTAAATGACAAATTCTTGATAAATTCTTGATAAATTCTTGATAAATTCTTGATGTTATGGAACATAAGTTTATAAAACAGATTTTCTAAAATCAATTTAATCAATGCAACCACATGGATGAGTGAAAATATCATCAAAAGATGTTCCTTTTTTTTGGATCTCCAACAAGCATTTTACGAATTAAGTCTTTACATTGAGATGAAACAACAACCTGTTAAGGGAATATTATCTAAAAGTATTTATTTATTTTTCCATTCTATTTATCAATTTCATTAATAAGATCAACAATAGTTCCTTTTTTAGGATTAAAAGGGGGTTATCCATAAAGGATTTAATAAATCATTATTCCTAAAGATCAGATATCACATTTATGATCATAATTATCATTTTTCCTATTCAAAAATATAATAGATCAATTATTTAAGTATTTCAAGGTGTTCCACAATAAGATTCCATTAAATCACAACCTACTGATTTACCAAATCCAAAATCTCCTAATTTACATCTATTCATTTATAAGTATATTTGCTAATTTGAGATACAACATTTATTAAACGTAACATTTTCATAGCATCCAATAATTAAAGAATCAATGGTTTAGCTTCATTTTCAGCTAATCTATTTTTTGCAGAATGTTTTTTAATGTACTTTTCTAAATCACCAAGACTACAATATTCCAGTACTTCTTTCAATTCAACAATATTTCAATGTTTAATAGTCTTCATAATTTAAATTTCTTGATTAAAATACTCTAACAATTTATCATAATGTGGACCTACCTACATTTCAGTACTAATTTGTTTGATGGCAACTATTTCCTTTGTTTTGATATGCTGAAATTGATAAACCATTGCAAACGCACCCTAAGAAAATATTTAAGAGTTTTAAATACCTAGCCAATAACCTTTAAAATTTAATAATTCTATACAGGATGTTTACTCATTATTTTAAATAATAAAGTAGTTTATTTTATAATATTAAATATCAATTTTTATCACAAATTTTATGATTGAGCCAGATAATTTAATTATTATGGAATAATACTTAAAATAATAAATCTTATAGATATATTGTTAATATTGAATGCTAAAATAGATAAAATATGTAAATATTAAAAAATAGAAATACATTAAAATAATTAATACATAATTAATATAATGATGAATCATTTAAGAAATTGTGGAAAATTTTCAACTCTTGTGTTTGCTGATCATTCAAGTGGAAAGTTATCTAAATCAACACTTAAAATCTTAAATGCTGCAAAATAATTGAATTAATAGATCTCTTTATTAGTAACTAGTAATGATGCAAGTTCTGTAGTTGATTAAATAAAATCAACAATTCCAAATAATGTTGTTCATTAAGTACTTGTAGCTTAACATGATTCATTTAAAGCACCATAAGCTGATTTATTAGGAAATTTGGTTAAATAATTGATTGATTAACATGGATTTACTAATTTTGTCACAAGCACATCTACATTAGCGAAAGACTTTTTACCTAGAGTAGCTGTTAAATATGCAGCCTAACCTATAACAGATGTAATAGCTATAAATAATGATGTATTTCTAAGACCTGTTTATGCAGGAAATGCAATTGCATAAGTAAAATCAAATGATAAAGTGAAATTCATTTCATTTAGACCTACTAATTTTGAAGAAGTATATAATAATAATATTTTATTAGATTCAATAAGTAGGAGAAAAAGTATCAAATATTGTATAAGTAAAAGTAGAAAATACTAAATAATTGATTGAACATGTTTCTGATGAATTAGTATAAAGTGATAAGCCTGAATTGACTACCGCTAAATTTGTATATCTTATTTATCATAGTAGATTGTTTCTGGAGGTAGAGGATTAGGAAGCAAAGAAAACTTTAAAATATTAGATGATTTAGCAGATGTTTTGGGTAACACAGCAATTGGTGCTTCTAGGGCTGCTGTTGACGCAGGATATGCTGCTAATGATTAATAAGTTGGATAAACAGGAAAAGTTGTTGCACCTGAATTGTATATTGCTGTAGGAATTTCAGGGGCTATTTAACATTTAGCAGGAATGAAAGATTCTAAAGTTATTGTAGCTATCAATAAAGGTATTTCAAATACATATATCTATTATTATTATAGATTCAGAGGCACCTATTGTTAGTGTTGCTGATTACACCATTGTTGATGATTTGTTTAAAGTAGTCCCAGAGTTAACAAAGAAAATTAAAGAAATTAAATAATGATATAAATGACGTAATTATATAAATAAAAATAATGAATAATTACATCATATTCATGATACTATTTTGAATATCAATTTTATTCATTTGAAAATGTTGAATTCATTTTAAACCCATTACGAATATAATAATTTAAAAGCCTCTTCCTAATTTATATTACTTAATTTATGGTTTTCATATATATATATATATATAAATTTTGTCAATTTATTATTCAAAAATTATGTAAATTTTTTGGTTATTGTTTCAAATATGGTTTATAATTTTGAATATTTTATGAAATCATTTCTTCTATTTATCTCTTGTCAATTTTTGGCTATATTTTCATGCATTATTGAATATATTCTAAATAAATAAAAAAGAGAGGATTTATGGATTATATAATTATGAGTTAT